ACCACCCCACAACACCCCCCCCTAACACAACCCCACCCCAAATAAATAACAAAAACATAAAAAAAAAAAAAAAAAAAAAACCCCCCTTCCCCCCCCCCCCCCCCCCCCCCCCCCCAAAAAAAAAAAGTTGGGTTTTATTACACTTCCCCATCGGATCGTAATATTGAAATGTTTGACAAGGCGTAATCACGTTTATTATAGTGTCGTGGTGTTAGTAAGCTGGAGGCCTCGTTCGGGGTAACTCGAACGTCGATGAGGTAGTTTCCAGGTTCACACAGAGATGTCTTATAAGCATGATAACGTGGACACCATGAAACCATCCCGTTTTTTTTTTTTTTGCTGTCGCCTTCGTGGGATGTTTGTGGTCTATGAGTAAGTAGGACCATCTTGTAAGTTGTTTCCTCACTAGTTCACCGTTGTGCTACCTCGGCGTTTGGCTAACTTATGTACCTACATAATAGAGTGGTCAGCAATTGCCATCATCTACACTTACGGCTCGGGGTTACGAAGTATAGGTATCATGTGACAAATATCTTTGTCATTCTATAATAATGGCTTAGCATCGCGCCAGGCAGAATATGACGCAAACTTGATACGAAAATAGACCTTGCCGTCGCACAGGGCTGCATAGTTATTCTCTTGCATAGATTGGTCGACAAGTTTCGACCGATATGAAGTAAATATCTATATCAAGCAGTTGGTAGTAGTCTGGTAGTTGGTAGTGTATTGAACGAAAGTTAATTCACTTTAGTTGCCTAGATGATATTAGCGTCAGGTCAGCGGATTCCAATCCCAACTTATATCAACGTCAGAGGTAGTTACCTTAGATCTTCCTATGACGGAACTTCTCCAAGATCTTCAGAGCTTTTATGAAAGAAACATGACGTTGTGAACCCGTCCGAGGATGCGGGATGGCATATTTTGGGATTTACCAAGCCACGCTGATACTATGTAGGTACATAATATGTATTCCTTTCTGCAAGTGTGAGATCGGCTAGGATAGCTCGATAGCCGGGACAAGTTGGTCTAAGCATCATGGCGAACTGGGATGAGCTGTGAAACGCTCCTTGTACCGCTATAGCTGAGGCGCATAGGCCCATAGAGATCACTGCGGTCGGTGCGTAAGGCGATAACATCTTCCCGCTCTGGCTGCCTTAGGGCAAAACTTGGCAAAATGCTAGCCCCATTATAGGAGGTCTAACAAGATAGGTAGCCTATTGAGATTTCAATTATGACCACTTTCTCGGGACAAACATGAAAAGCTTGGTCTTAATGTTGCATTACGCATATCGACGAGTTCCTGATGCTTCAGTTATAGATCCGTCTGATCTATATATAGTATGTAAATAGCGAACTTCCCCAAGCCTGAACCATTCTTAGGAAAATTGGAACGAGGTCGCGAGCATTCCTGCATCGACATGTGCTCTTCGTTGCGGCCACGAATTGAAGAAGTTCCACAGCTGAAGGACCACAGCTGAAGGATTTCCCTGGCGGTATACAGGCTGATTAAGGTAGGTACGTTAGCCAACGAGCTCACCGTCCAATCTATTTTTTCTCAAAAGCCGGCTACAAAGTTGTCCCAATAGCCTACTTACCGTTAGGTTAGGTGGTTGATAAAATTTGAGGCTATGAGGATTGAGACGTTTCTTTGCTTCAATATTTTCATCTCATTTAATTAGATATCCCATCAAATATAGTAAACATAAGGTTGGCTCTTTTTTAAGATAGGGCCAGTTTACCGGGTACGACCGTACTTTTCAGCCAAGTTGGTTCAAGGGTTTAATCTTCTTTTTTTTCTCGGCGTTCTTCAGTGGCTTTGCAGATGCAATCCTTAGTCTAATTGTTCCAGATCGGCGTCTGTTCTAGCGTCTGACGCTTATGAGTCCATCTCGGCAGGACTGTCCTTGTGCGGCACAAAAGCTTTTTTGTCTCGGCACGAGTGAGATGGCCAAATCGTCGCTTTTTCTTTCATGCTCACCTCCCATGTAGTACAAAGCTGACCTCATCGACCATGCGGCCGCACATGTCAATGCTTTGCGGTTGAAAGGGACCGAGTCGATGCGGTCGAAACTAACAACATAGCCACATCGTGCTCTAGGCACCAACATTGCCGGAAAAGGGTATCATTCCGTGAGCATGGCTGTTTACTCCTCTGTATTGTAGATTAGAGTAGGACTTAGGATTGATGTATAAACAGCGCGATCTGGAAACCCCATACTAAAATTGCATACTGATAGTACTGACAGTTGTGTCTAGATGGTAGAGGCTGAATTAACTGTTCTAGTAATTCAAGTACCTATGAAGTTAGAAATAATTTTAGTATAATACCAGGTACCTGTTAGTATGTTGATAGTAGGGTGTTTCTGGTGGGTGGCATCCGAGCAGACACGGATACGTATTCGCTCTAAATTCTACGAAGCGTAGCGTCACGGAGCTGAACCAACGAATATGGATGGTCAGGTCATTAGACCCGCGATGTAACTCCACCCCCTGGCAGATATGCGCGTGTCGAGGTGGTATGCAGTCAGTATATATCGTGTTCGTCTCGTCTAATATGATTCACCAATGGGGTTTGCAGACAGGTCATAAGCTAGTGCTATACGAATTCCCAGAGAAAGAAAAGAAGAGAAATCGAACTAATGCTGTCTGGATATGGTTTAGACCTGGACGGCGAGAGAGGAGTGAGCAAGTAGCGTAAGCAAATAAGTACATTACGAAGACAAATAAGAAGAGAACCGATGATGTATGACTGTATAAGCGATTATTGTAACAGCCGTAGATCTGGTATGAATTAATTGTATGTGCCGTGTGTCTACGGAAGGGGATCGGCCTTAGTTGGGATGGAGAAATGGATTAGGTACATGAATTTTCCCAAGCTGCCAGATTATGGATTTAGGTACTTACCTTAAAATCCGTACCTACCGGTACCTAGATCCTAACCTAACCTAACCTAACTTTACAGGTATTTAATGTACCTAAGATACTATGTACCTGTGATACCTACCTGCAAGGAGGTATATGTGACTAAATCCGATTGCCTATATCCTTGTGCCTGCAGGTGCTTTTCCATAGCCACCTAGGTACATAGAGGAAGGTGCCAAATACCCAAATAAATAGGTACATACATACCATAACTAGACATGTACAATATATGCACTACAAAGACCCATGTAATGATGCATAATGAGGTGGGACTGTATGGAGACTTAACAATGTGGGACGGAAACAAACCATGAGCCCTGCGTTAAAATGATCCCCTAACTGAAAAAGTTAAGGCAGAAGTTAAATAAACGCTAGTTAAATAATAATACTTCGAGTAATATCCCAATAAAAAGAAAAGATAAAAAAAAAGTCCTACCTATCTATTCTAGCATTGGAAAATGATTAACTACTTGAATTGTCGCTGTCCTTCCCTCCCTCTTTTCTCTCGCCCTTCCCCTTTCATTCACCAACCTTAGTCTATCGTTTTATTTTTTATTTTCTTTCTAGGTACTTAAATATTACGAGGGAATGATTGTTTCCATAATATGATCCCTTTGTCAACATCATCGTCGTCACAGTCGTTATTGTGGGCTTGACATTTGATAGAAACGCCTATATGTGTCGGCGTTAACTAATCCCACTATACGCTAGAAAGGATTGCATCGTTACTTCGACGGCGTTGGAATACCACATTTTCTACATACCTTAGGTAGGTTTGTAGAATTATACGATCCAATTGTATATCCTACCGGTATTTTATCTTAGCAACACCACAATCAGTCTCGGTATCCTCGGGCGCGTTTCGCACGAGTCGCAGACAAAAATGAAACGTGAAGAAGACGTCGAGTCGCAGGCTCAGCTGCTTTCCAAGGAGGGTCAATCACCATCGAGCGAGGAATTCGACTATAACGAACCCGAATACAATCAGCAAAACCAGCCATCACGCGGGAGACTTCGCATAGAGCAAAACACATTATGGCGCCGTATCCAGTCCTTCGCTGTACCTGCTTGGGCACCTTTTCGAAAGTTTAGCCCCAAGTACTATATCTTCGCCATCGTCGTCTCCTTACTCATCACCCTGTTCATATTCAACCCCTATTCCCCGACAATACCTACCCAGCACCAGACCGACGTTGACGTGTCACCCACAACGTCAACCACCAGTACTGTATCCCCAGCTGAAGCCTCAACCCCAGAATCCAAGCCGCCGAAGCTCGCGCCTAACGACAAGTACTGCACCACGTGGCCTGTAGGCGAGAATGGCGAGTATAAGTCCAAGGGAACCGACCGAACCAACAAGATCAAGACAGATAGCATCGCTCCTAAAGGTGGATGGAAAAAACCTGCAGGTATCAAGGTTATCGGTATGGTCTTCTACGGCCGCAAGAGATATGTGGACATCTTGGATTGTTATCTCCAGCAGAATCTGGCGTCGAATGGCGGTTATTTTGATGAGGTATGGTTTATGGCCCACACTAAGGACAAGGATGACGTCGACTGGATAGAAGATCTGGTTAAGAAGACACCTGGTTATAAGGTTGTCGGTAAGGGAAAATGCGAAGGTGAAAGTTATAAGTGCTTGTGGACCTATGCCGTAGAAGACAAAACCATCTATGTCAAGATAGATGACGATATCGTGAGTGAACTCGTACATCCGGAAGGATGATACTTGGACAGTTGGGGAGAAGTCGGTTGCTAACCTATGTAATCGTTCAGGTTTATATCCACCCTGACGCCATCCCCCAGCTCGTCCATACCCGCATCGCCTTACCTCACCCGTATGCCATCTCGTCGAATTTGGTTAACAGTCCCGTTACGGGAATGGAACAATACCACTACGGGGCGATTCACCCTTTCCTCCCGGATCCGAGCAGCACACCTTCGTCTCACGCTGTCGAGACATGGCGCCCATCCGAGATGAAGAAGTACCCCAAGGACCAATTAGTGGACGAGTATAAAGTCATGGACATGGAGCCGCCATACCGTGGCCACCCTTGGCTCCTTATATCCGACGATAACTACGACCTATTAAAGACACCGATGGGCAAATATGATCAGAACCGCGGTCCTGACCCAATTGCATTCGGCTTGGCGTGGAAGTCATGGGCTATTGGTGCGCAACAGCAATATTCACTCCTGTATAACCTGGAGCAGAACAAGATGCAACGCTATTTCTTTGGTCGAAATATTCAATACCCAGAGAACGCTTTGGGTCCTAATGCTTCCGCGGTAGTCCTTCCCAAGGGAGGCGGTCCCGGTGGTGAGCAGGTGTATGACACAGGATATAACCGATACAACTTGAACTTTTGTGCCGTGTGGGGATCTGACATCAGGGACCAACTACCCATCAAAGACGATGACGAGCAAGATATAACTTCAAACATCCCAAGGCGCATTGGGCGACCATTTGTCATCGATACTCGCTCTGTGGTAGGCCACTTCAGCTTCTTTACCCAGAAGGAAGGCATCAACAAGAGCGATCTTCTGGATCGATGGCGGGCTTTCGCGAATGAGGCGGTATGTACCGCGAAGAATCAGAAAAAGCCATGGGACCTGATGTGTCCCGATTTCAAAGCTCAAGGCGGTATGGGATGATAGCGAGAGGTCCCGACAAGAAATCCAAAAAAAAAAAAAAAAAAAAAAAAAAAAAAAAAAAAAAAAAAAAAAATATAAGAAAAGATCGAGCGGTGGTAATATTTTTTTCCTCACCTGATGTTCCCTGACATTTTGCGTGGCGTTCCTGGGTTCTTGCATATGAAACCGGCCCGTTCTATACTGTACCGAGAGATGTTTGGAGAGTGGTAAAGGTTGGGTCGTTTGTAAATGACTGGAAATGGAATGGATGCGATGCATTTAGGGAGTTTTTTTTTTTTCCTCGTTTTCATACGGAGGGCCTCATGGATGAATAAAAAAGGAGGTTTTCGAGACATAGTAGTAGGAAAGGAAATAGTGCGGCATCTCTCTTATTCGAGCATGCAATGCAACTATCCGTCCCTCTTGTATATAAGATGACCAGGTTTTAGCAAGGGAATAAGATGGTCTTATCCTTCGTCACGTCTCGAAGAAAATAATTGAAATCCCGTTGCGAGGAAAAGAGAAAAGGAGGACAAGATAAGTAAATAAAAAATGTCTTCTCAGTAACTGGCTCTTCTTATTTGAAAGGAAAGGTTGTCAGGGAAAAAAAAAATGAATACGAAGCGATAATAATAAGCCGGGTTTTGTACGCGCGTCCCCGACATCAGCTACATATCGGACCCGTTTGCAGAACCTTGTTCCCCTTTCGCTCGCAGGGGGGGGTGGGGGGAAAGAAAAAAAGAAAAAAAAAAGTCTAAGTCTAAGTGGATATGATGCGGCTCCGGGGATGGTGGGGTTCGTCGCACAAGCCGGAAACTAAGAAGAATTTTGACCCCACAGCGGGCGGAGAGACTGCCGGATGGAAGGTGGGAGTGGGGGGAGCAGGGCAGGTTCGAATTTGAGAGTTGATAAGTCATGTTGCGCTTTGCATGTTATGTTTTTATCGGTATATCTCTGAGACGTATGTACTGGCACAGGCGATGTTATCGGATATCGCATTTTATCTTTAGTAGCTGTGCCGCAGTTGAGCTTACATAGTAAGTACACTGAGTGCGCGGAGCTGGATTACTTGTAGGCTGCTGTAAGTGGGTTGTATTGTACCGATGAGGCTCAAAGTTTAGCTTAATGTTAAAGTTTTGGGTGGGTTCGAAGCCTATAGTAGGTAACCATTTTTATTCAAAGTCGAGCCGAGCAATAATGGGTATTTGCAAGTACGTGTGCGTTAACGATTCGAAAAAGAAAGGCGAGGGAGAGGAAGTGTTTTTTTTTTGTTTTTTTTTAGAGAGAAAAAAAAGAATTAAGAAAAAGTTGGTCTGACTGGCAAAATGGTCAGTCATATGGTAGTTGCTAATTTGCTAAATGGCCCAAACATTGTCCTCCAAATAGATGCGAACCGATAAATAGTGTAGTAAATCCTTGAAATCTGAGAGATCGCCCACTGAGCTAAATGGTATTAGATGTTGACAGTTGGTTTGCTTTTGGACTATATAAGGTCCAAATCTGGCTGGTGCCTGAGCATGCCCTGCGTATTGTACAGTACCAAGGTACCTTTACACCACCTGCACTGACTGCACTTGGGTACCTTGGGTACGTATTAGTAGGTATCTAAGGTTTGCTGTCCTTCCCGCCTGGGAGGAATCCAAGAAGCATTGATGTTGGGAATAGTTATCCAATAAAATGATGGTCGTGATAATCGTTGTTTTAGTAAAGATTTTAGTAAGGACCCAAGATGCAGGAGACCTTAAAGTGTTTTGCACCTTCTCCGCCGGTACTTTCCATCTACACATCTTCTCTCCTATGGCTAGCCAACTTAGAGTCTCCAGTAGTTTTAACAGTCATAAGTAGAGCACCTGCTAGAATTACCAACATGCATGTATGTTTACATGTATCGTAAACCTCCGCGAACACACAAAACAGGTACAGAACAAACAAGTAACAATCTACAACAGCATCACTCATCAGTTCGTAGAGCACCTTCTCTTTACTTATAGACTAAGGGCCACCATTGAATATCATAGTGAAATTAACCGCTATATGTCCTCATCTCATGTAGCTAACGTAATATATGGAAGTAGTTAACGAGAGTTGCGGCGTAATACCTATAGGAGATGTGTAAATCTTCATGATAGGATAGTTTACGCTTCATATCAGAGTCCCTAAAACCTGAGATAGGTAATCCTCATTACCTAACTCCAGGATACAAGGTTTCTAATTCTCTCTTTCCATCGCCTGCTTTACGGGTTTTCTACTCGTCTACACCTGAGAATGGTACCTAGGTAATTTAGGGCCCTCGTTTTCTAAAAGCATACATAGCGATATCCGACTACCTCCTATCTTATTGCCCAATCTTCTTTCAGATGATTTCCTCTATTTCCTAGTACCTAGATCCTAGTGTATATCCCGGGCCCCGTGAGCATGTTGAGAGCACGGCATTTTTATGAAGATATAACGAACTCATGAAATCGCATAAAATGCTCCCTTTCATTATTTCCATCTTCGGGTAGTGTGTGGTATTTGCCTTTCCCCCTTTATTTTCATCCCCGAGCTGTTACTACATTATATATAATGGCAACGGCAAAGCTTTCGTGAAAGATGACCTAACCTTATTGCTTTAATCTAAGCCTCACTATCCAGGATATCTGAAGTCCTGGAGAAACTGGCGAATTTGAATAAAAACAACTATCTCTTCATGCTTTAATTCAACGTTGAAAACAAACAATACCTACAAAGTATAACACTGATTAGTCAGCACCAGCATGTAGATGTAATACCTATCACAACTACCTAATTCTAATAGCAATAGTAATAGAATAATAAGTCAACTCATGGTTTATATGGTAGTTAGAAGAAATAAAAATATATTTGTTTGATATACGTGATCCAAGCTTCTTTTGGTTTTGCCCCATAAGTACCCGAACCCCATGGAGATTTAAATGATTCCAACTTTTTTTCTTCTTATCCCAGGGGTCAATTGAAAAAGAGCCCATTGTGTTACCTAGCGACTAGAAAACACTCCTTACAACAACAACACCACCACAACTTCCAAATATTTTGTAAGGTGTTTCCTAGCTGCTTCCCCATCTCAATTGCAAGGGTTTCCTGAACCAAATTGCTGTCAATTAAAGATATCAACGCCCTACCACGTGACTGCGCGTTGCTAGGTGCTTGTTTCCCAAGAAGTATCTATTCACAGAAATTCACGATCCTTTTCGCCGTAAGCAGCCGCACCCCTCTCTTCTGATTTGCATTACATATCGAGATAACTCTTTCCCTCGTTTCTTATTCTGTCCAGAATATACCTAGAATTTTTTTCATTCTTGCAAACAATTACGAACTTCTTATATTTACCTACCTACCTAGGTACCTACATACATACCTACCGGTACTTATCTCATATACTTCCTATTTCAACAAGCCTTTTCTCACACTTACTTAGGTACTCACCTAATCTACAACAAATCTTGCGATACTTCAATCCCTTTTCGAACCTTGTTGCAATGGCGACTCCTGCTCAGCCTGGCGAGAAAGACGCCCCCGCCGAAAGGCTCCAGCTTAGCCAGCGAGAGATCGAAGTCCTAGCCAAGGCATTCGTGTGCATTAGCGACGTCAAGGACGGCGTGCCCCAGGTAAGTAAGGAAGACCCTCCATCTTATGAGAGGTACCTCTGGCACACTACTTCACTATTCCGTGTGCCGCTATGAACCCACCCAAGTTTGCGTTCCTTCCATCTAGTGCATGTTTGCCAGGCGCAGCTTGTCCCTCTTATGATTCCATTGTACCTACTACTACGTTACCTATATTACCTTACTTTACTTTGCTTTACTTTGCTTTACTTTACTGACCATATGAAAAAAACCCTCAGGTGGACGCCAAGAAGCTCGCCAAGCTCGGCCCGTACGCGAGCGCCGACTCTGCTCGTCACGTCTGGAGACCCATTCACAAGAAGCTGCAGAGCTACATCGAGAGCGGGAGCGAAGAATCCCTCTTCCCCGCCACGCCTTCCACCAGGAACAGGGGCACAGGCACAGGCACTCCCGGCAAGCGCAAGGCGGACGGCGACGGCACCGAGCTCACCCCCACCAAGAAGCCCCGAGGCAGGCCCCCCAAGGCCATGGCTAAGAAGAAGCGCATCGAGGTCGACTTTGGCGACGAGGAGGATTTGGCGGATGGCGAGGCTTGATTCAGCGTGGCACTTACTTAGTTAGGGAGGATGGGGTTTCTTCAGTGATGATGATATCCAGGTCAGGCGTGCTTTTCATTTTAGGCTCGTACTCTTTTTTTTTCTGCTTCGGGCGATTTGAAGTCGGCGACAGACTCTGATTACTCGAGTCTCATTGCATTCTACGGATGCTACGCTTCAGCTGGCATGAAGCAATAGGTAGCAATCTCAGGTGTGCAACTACACGGCGTTGGGCGGAAGTGAATTTTTTTCCCAGCTACTTAGGTAGCTACCGTGGTTAGTAGTACCAAAGGTTGATGCGCAGAATAGTGCTGCCAGATATGCATGCGATGGATTTGCAGTTACTCGAGTTCATATTAGTAACATCATTTCAGATAATTTTCATAATGGAACAGGCTCGCGTGCCATTTCCATCTCTGGTCTTTTAAAGATTGCCATACTTATTATGAATGATGCTCGATTTTAAAACATTTAAAAGATCTGGTATAAGTGGTTCATGACATACATACATAAGCTTGCATAGTGCTGAAGTTCAATTTGCATAAGCTTGCATAATTGACACAAACATTCAAGAAAAAAAAAAGATCAGATTCAACCGCTTCCCATCCGCAACAATAAAAAGGTAAGTAATAGAAGGATGAAGAGAGAAAAACGAAAAAAAAATCAAAAATATTGGGCTCAACCGGGAATTGAACCCGGGACCTCTCGCATCTGCGCTTGGAAGCGAAGGGACTTCGGTGGCCCGAAGCGAGAATCATACGACTAGACCATTGAGCCTCAATGGGATCTGCAAGAGAACCAATGACTCGTCTTGCTGTTGGAAAGACGGGCTGCTATTTTGGCTCTTTTGTTTAGGATTAGGCTCGGGCATACACACTAACTTACGAACTATGGATTTGCTTGGCTGCTTTTGGTCGCTCGCGGTGGAGCCCCTGTTGTTGCTAAAAATTGGATCATGTACCTTAGGTAATGCTTACATGGGAACGGGCGCTCTTTGGCCTTGGGTACGTACCTATTTGTTCACATGTGAATGGAGACATTTTGCATTTAATAGCTTTATTATACCTAGTGATAATTCCTGTTACCTAATCCATTCGAAATTACAGCATTGCTGATTTATTTAGTTATAGCGAGGTATGCAGGAAGTTGGCCTCTTAGCTAAACAATTTTCTGACTTAGGTTAGTACCTAAGTAGGTAATAGATTGTTTTGAGCCTACATCTCTTTGAAGCCAAGTTTTCGAGCCGATTCTTTGGTCTGGTAACAGTTGCTTGTGAATGTTGCCCGTTCCATAGCAATAGAGGACCAACCCACACTTCCATCTCCCTCTTCGCAATCGGAAGTTGAAAAGATTAAAACTGACCCGGAGGCCTTGATCACCGCAGTCGCACACGCCTGCAACGCGCTGCCAAAGCCGATGATGGGTCTTCTGAAGGTGGATGCACAAAAGACATCTCCTAATTGATCTTTACGAGCGTGTGGCGTAGTGTAAATGACCTCAAGCAATGGATCAAAAAAGTGAGCGTTGCTACAAGCGCTTGATACGAATCTCCATAGACATTTAAGACTTCCTCTTGTAGAGTGTATCAAGTCTGCTCAAAGCAGACTTCGTCGAGATCAAGTCTTGGCTTTGAACGCACTTGGAAAAGATTCATATAGTCCCGTATCGATCACCGTACTTGAATTATACTTTCCTTACCTTAGGTACTCTTGCGAGAGCTTGCCCACGACCTTAATATCGAGACCATTGAAGAAGGAGGCCAAGACCTATGTACACGAGACTTTCGGTGAGGATATCTTGAAGGCCGTCAGTAGTTGATTCAAGGCGTTCTGGCGACTTGCTCATATCTGGTCTTGTACGTAGCTCAAGTCACAATGCTACTTCAACGCTAGGATCTTCATCGCTGGCAAACATGCGAGTACAGCCCGAGTGGTATCGTCTAAATCTTATCTTTCAGTTCTTTTATTAACTATCACAATTGTTGGTGACCAGTGCAAGATATCAGGTGCTACCAAAGTTTCTACGCGTCTAGGTGGTCACATAGATAGATGCATGTATCGATGCAATGATTTCTCTGGGACCCAACGGCAGCTCCGAAGGAACTACGACGGGCCAAAGGGTAAGTGATCGAAAGAAAAATTCCTCTCTCCTCCAGTTTCCCCTCCAAGACCTGCCATTGAAAACTCCGAAGAGCGACGAAAGCCAGAGTGAATATGAAGGATGTTGTTTTATGATGAGGAAAAAAAAGAAGAGAAAAAAAAGAAAATGTAAGTTTGAGAGAAAATCTTATTTCATTAAGTTGGAATAGTGGAGCTGGACTCGCACTCACTCGTCCATGCGGCGTAACCTTTTTCCATTAACTCGGGCTGGACTGCAGGTGCCCAGGCTAGACGAAATGGCTAATCCAAAAGCTAACCTAATTCTGGCCAATCAATGGCGTTGTAATTGTGCATCGCGTGCTAACAGCATACGTACCCCACCATTCAGGCCTCGAGATCAAGGGACTTCTGGTTCTGTGCGGTAGTGACTTGCACTTACAGCTGTGACATTGAACAGCGCTAGGTCTCAAGGCTTTGATCGCCTTGTGTTCCAATGCGTTGGTTTTTTGCCCCTCTTTCAACACCGTTGTTTGAATCAGGTCAGCAGCATCTTATTACTCATTCTTTAGTCGCCTCGACAACCGTTTTTTAAACTTTGGTTTCTTCTTGATTTCCTAGTTTCTATTTAACTCGCGTCTCCTGCATCGTCAATAGAGATCCGGAATCATTTCAAATTTCCCATTACTACAAGTACATATTTTCAATCGCGATTCCACATCAGTTTTATCTACCCCGCCATCCCACTATCGTCACTCTTATCACCACCACTACTAATACCTACTATCAATACCATCATCATGTCTGGACGCGGAGCACCAGGCGGCAACTCTCGTGGTCGTGGAGGAAAGTTTAGAAAGTTTACCCGAGGAGGTGAGGTTCTACTAAATTCCCCTTTACTTTGTAAGTTTCCAGTAACTAATATTTTTATTTTCTGCAGGTGGAAAGCACTTCTCTCGTGACCTCCGACCTCTCGACGCCGATGGCAACGAGGTTAGCATGTGGGGCCAAGATGCCCGAAAAAACGAAGATGAAGATGATGATGAAGAAGAGAGCTCCGAAGAGGAAGATTCCGAAGAGGAGGATGATGCTGGTCCCGCCCAACAGCAGGCCGAGTTAACTCGAGAAGAACGAAAACAAGCAAAGAAGGCCCAGAAGGAGGCAGCCATCGCCAAGAAGAAGAAGGTTGTTCAAGTCGGAGACCTACCCAGCGATTCCGAGGAGGAAGAGGAAGACGACGATATGCCCGCCAACCCGAACCACTCCAAGGCCGCACGAAACATGGCCAAGGCCCCGGCTGCTGCTGCTGCTGCTGTTGCCGAGGCGACTGAGGGTGTTAAGAACCTGACCATGAGCCGAAAGGAGCGCGAATCACTAGAAGCTGCGCAAGCCAAGGAGAGATACCGCAAACTGCACGAGGCTGGCAAGACGGATGAGGCCAAGGCCGACCTGGCACGTCTGCGACTCATCCGGGAGAAGCGAGAAGCCGAGGCTGCGAGAAAGCAGGTTAGTATTTAAAAGAATCTATTAGTTACCATTTATCAACTGCTAACGTGTTTGTCTAGGCTGAGAAAGAAGAGAGAGAGGCACAGGAGAAGGCCCGAAGAGCCGAGATCGAGGCTAAGGAAGCAAAGAAGCGCGAGGCCGCCCTAGGCAAGAGCGCAGGAAAGAAGAAGCAAACCAAATGAATGTGATCATTTTATGATCCCATCGAGACACACACAGCGGCTATCATAGTTTGTGGCAATGGCCTTGAATCATTTGGGCCATTTTATATTGCATATCAATCAAATACTCTGGCGTTGACTTGCAAAATGCTGTCTCCGATGCTTACTTGTGCACGTACTGCAGTGAAGGATTTCTCACGGTGTCTCATGGTAGTGGCTCTTGGTTATCAGTGTGCTCTGTTCATACTGGCATTTCATGTTTATTTTTGTGTGAAACTCTCTTGCATGATGTCTACTAGCCAGATGGACAATAATGTAAATTACTTCTCTTACGTCGCGGGATTATGCTACTCGACTCGACTCGACTCGCCTACTTGACCATGCGTATCTTGCCTTGTACTGTCTTTATTGCTATACATACCCCCTAAGCTAGTAGCACATAGCCCAAAAAATGAATCAATCAATCAATCGGAATCGACAAACTATGTTGACCATCAATTCAAACTGCATGTTCCTTATTTCTTATTATATCTAAGAAGTAGCCAGTCCCTCCTGGCCAACACTCTCCTTCCAGAATGCATCAAAATCGATACCCTCCTTGCTGAATAAATCTCTGATTTCCTGCGCAACCTTGACTTGTCTATCTGGTGTAAAACCACCAGGTCGTGATGTTTCAAACTGAGCGATCTCGATCCAGCGGTAAAACAGATGCTCCTTGCCAACTGCTGCAAGCGCATCTCGGAACGCGAATACTTGGCGCCTCCTCTCGTCTTCCTCCGGATTTTCACTAGTATTCGTCTTCGTCTCTACGCAGAGCCACCCGTAGTCCTCGCTGAAAAGTAGGACGACTTCCTTGAACGCTTCGATTGCAGCCATTTTCTCGTCTACCATATCGTTGGCATCAACCATAGCGGCCCAGTCCAGGTCCCAATCGGCGTTCATGAGGAGATAACCCGTCTTCTCGTTGATAAGCAGGGGCGCCGTCGCTACGCCAATACGCGACATGAAGAGGCTCTTTGCTCCCTCGTCGTGGACGAAGTCGCCGGCACTCTCGACCCACTTCCTGCTCCGGCGCACGACAACCTCGCGGTCTCTGAACCCGACGTTCCACCGCCACATGATGGGGCTTCCGTGCTCGCCGCCTATGACGAAATCGAAAGGCCAGGACCAGACGAAGACAAAAAGCAGGAAGTCCAGTAGGAAATTGAAGGCGCGGATGGCGACCTCGGGGATGATCTCGTCCCACTCCATCTCGTCGACTACCATGGTGGTCTCATTGGGGTAGCCCAGGACGGACACGAAGATCCGCAGGTAGTACGGCCCGATGTACCATATCCGATAAAGCAAAGCAGCCGTTAGGGCAATGTTCATGAGCGTGGGGACAAGGAAGATCTTCTGCTTGAAGTCCCGCGGGTGGCTGTCGACATGCGTGATGTACACGCACTTCTCATCGAGCGTCTCGAGGAAAGGCTGCAGGACCTCGGGCGGCTTCTTGAAGAGGGCCGGCGGTCCGGCATTATTCTTATTCTTCTTGGTGGAAGTTGACTTCCCCTGGCCCCGTTGACGAACCATAGTTAGCGGGGGAAATATAGAGAAGGAGAAAAAAGAAGAAGAAGAAGAAATATGAAAAAAATGAGTTTTTATAATTTATTAAAAAAAAAGGTTACGAAGTGAATGACAGGTCGGATAAGGGGGGATGAAAGTTGTCAAGATAAAATTCAAGATGACAGGGATTGTGGCTGAAGCTACCCCTGTTGTCCTTGCCCCTACATCCGAGATGTACATGTATTTAAATGTTCTCTCCCACTTGTGGCTGATGGAATCCTTTTTCTCGGCGTCGACGGCCCCGCGGTTTAGGTAACCTCTTACCTAAAGTCACAGGTATGTACAATATAATCACCTAAGGTACCTACAATAGGCACCTATGTCCTCTGTATTGTACTTGCAAGGCCCCACTAAAGGTTTTTGGTACCTAAGGTATCCAATTTTTGACTTGCATCGCGAACTGGAACTTTTTTTTTTATATCTCGATTAACCTTGACTAGGATTATTCGAGCTTCAAATGTCGCATTAGCGATATGAAGCAGTCACTTTCACTTTCACCATGTTGAGAGCGAGAATATCAGGGGTTAGTCCACGCAGTTTTAATCCGATATAATCTTGATCATTTTATATTTCATCGTACCTTTGTTGTTCTAAGCTAACTTACTCTTTGTGCTGCATAGCGAGAGTCTTCTTCAATATGTGTCTTCTGTCGACATCGCCTCTCGCTACGGCCAGCGACCCCGCGGACCGAGAAACATCTCTCAAGTACGTCGATCTTAAGGGATAATGACGGTTGGGGTGGCGGTTGGGGAAGCCAGGCTAAGCCTCCGGCGCAGCAGCCCAAGCCAGAAGAATTTCTCTCCCACCATGAGCTTCTAGCACGTCAGCAGCTACTCGCGAAGCAGCAAGCTCAAAAAGCTCAGCAAGCTCAGCAAGCTCCCACACCGCAACTACAACCTAGCGGCAATGGTCTTGGGGCAAAATATATATGGAATGCGCCAAAGCAAGAGGAAATCGAACAAAGCCTCCAGAGAAACGGCATGACCTTTCAAAAACCACCCACTGCCCAAAGAGAAGGTGGTTTTCGTATTACGAAGTATGGTGTCGATTCCAAAGGCGTGGACATCCGGCCCAGGGAGGGTCAGGGGAGACCTATCGAACCTGTTAGGCGGCCCTCTCCTATGGATCCTAATAATACAGGCGCCTCTACTTCTACTTCTTCTTCTTCAACCTCCAACTTGGTTCCCAACTTCTGGACTAGACCAACTTCTAAATCTCTAGGAAACCTAATAACTAAAGTTGCGCAAGGCCCTCGTAACAACGAGCCTATGCCAGCACGGGCGCCAATCCAGGAGTCGAGACCACCTAGCACAGAACAGAGGCCTAGTATAGAGCAGAGTGCTAGTACAAAGCAGGCAGTAAGCACAGAACAGAATCAACCACCTCCAGCAGGACCGAACCCTTCAGCTACTTCGACCAGCCCTACGACATCACCCCCTAAACCTGTCGGAGATTCGGGATGGGGTTTATTGGCACGAAAACAATCACCTAGTAAATCTGATGGCGATGATTTCTGGGCTGCTATGGCTAAAAGTACTGGTGGGTTGCTAAGGCCGAAGCCCAAGATACCAGACACTCCAGAGCAAGGTCCGAAAACACCTCAAGAGAAAAAAGACCCTTGGGCTGCTATGCAAAACGATATCACCAAAAAAGAAACGACATCTGCTACATATGATTGGGGGAAAGAATATGATACTTTGGTACCCGAAAAGAAGGCTGAGGAGAGACAGCGTCCAGAGAAGGAAGAGCCTGAGAAAGAAGAACCAGAGAAAGAAGAACCAGAGAAGCAAGAGCCAGAGAAAAAAGAGCCAGAGAAGAAGCCAGAATCTGCACCGGAAGTCAGTGCTCGACAACAGGCTGTAACTGAAGGTCTCCAGAGTCGCGATCGAGACCCTCGTCGTGAGAAACGACCAGATTTGATTGTGCAGGAAGAGCGAGGCCGAGGTGGTCGTGAAAAGCGTTCTAAGCGTAGCTCAAGGCGTGGAAATGACGAGGATGAAGGTGATGGTTTTGACTACGATGCTTACCAAGAGAAGCGCCGACAAAAGGCCCGACGTAAGGCTGAGCGACAAGCTCAAATGGCCGGCCATGTGCCCATATTGCTGCCGGAATTGATCACCATCCCGGCTCTAGCTGAGGCTCTGAAGGTGGAACCTAATTTATTCTTAACTCAACTTGGCGAGATGGGCTTCGAGGGCGTAACGTTGGATAGTCTCATGGCCGGTGAAACGGCTGCGCTTGTCGTGCAGGAGTATGGTTTCGAGCCCACGGTTGAGTCTGGTGAAGACCGTGACCTCAAACCTCGTCCTCCACCTAAAGATCCATCGGTTCTCCCACCACGGCCGCCGGTTGTGACTATCATGGGTCACGTCGATCACGGAAAGACAACTCTACTGGACTATCTGCGCAAATCATCTATAGCAGCTCAGGAACACGGCGGCATCACGCAGAGAATCGGTGCTTTCTCCGTGAAGCTCTCCTCGGGCAAGCCCATCACCTTCCTTGACACCCCCGGACACGCTGCTTTCCTTTCGATGCGCCAACGAGGTGCCTACGTAACGGACATTGTCGTCTTGGTCGTAGCCGCGGATGACAGCGTCATGCCGCAGACTATCGAAGCTATTAAACACGCCCGAGCGGCCAAGGTGCCGATGATCGTGGCTATAAATAAGGTTGACAAGGATGGTGCCAATATAAATCAGGTAAAGAATGATCTTGCACGAGAAGGAGTCGAGATCGAAGACTTTGGTGGAGACGTCCAAGTCGTCTGTGTGAGCGGAAAGACAGGCCAGGGGATGGACGACTTGGAAGAGAATATCCTTTTACTCTCCGAAATCTTGGATCATCGAGCTGAAGTCGATGGCCCCGCAGAAGGCTGGATCCTCGAGAGTAGTCTCAAGCCGTTAGGAAAGGCCGCTACTGTCCTCGTCAAGAGAGGCACTTTGCGACTCGGAGACTTCATCGCAGCTGGTGTTACATGGGCGAAGATTCGGCATATGCGTAACGAGGCTGGTCTAGATATAAATGAGGCACCGCCTGGAACTCCTGTCGAAATCCTCGGCTGGAAGGATCTCCCTGCTGCAGGTGACCAAGTTCTCCAGGCACCTGACGAGGGTAGCGCCAAAGAAGCTGTGGAGTATCGCGAGAGGCTTCGCGAGATGGAAAAAGACGCTGTCGCTCAGGCAGCTATCACCGAGGCTCGCAAAGCGCAGCAAGAAAAACGTGCGCGTGAGAAGGCCGCAGAGAGCGCAGGTGAGGAAATCGAGGAAGCTCTACCTGAAAAAGAGAACGGCGCGAAGATGGTCAACTTCGTTGTTAAGGGAGACCTCCACGGTTCCGTGGAAGCGGTATGCGCCGCGATCCAGGAGTTGGGCAACCACGAGGTGCAGCCGCGCATCCTGCGGTCGGGCACAGGTCCCATCCGCGAGTTCGACGTAGAACATGCGGCGGCGTCGAACTCGATCATCGTCAACTTCGCGACGACAACACCGGGATATATCGAGCAGATGGCGGAGGAGAAGGGCGTTAAGATTTTAGACCACAAGGTTATTTACCATGTGATAGACGACGTCAAGAGTATTTTGAGCGACTACCTAGAGCCCGAGGTTACGAGCCACGTGTTGGGCGAGGCGGAGGTGCTGCAGATCTTCCCGATCAATATCAAGGGTCGGATGTACAAGAATATCGCCGGTTGTAGGGTGCGTCAAGGACTGCTTACGAAGACTAACCTGTTCCGTATTATTAGGAACGGGGAGAAGGTCTATGATGGTGAGTGCTTCGATCCCCCCTTTTCGTTTTCCTATCCTGTCTTTTGGTTCTTTCCATGTGTACTTTTATTCCCCCTCGCCCTATATACTAATACCCTCCCGCGTAGGCAAACTCGAGACCCTCAAGCATCTGAAGAAGGACGTTACGGAGGTGAAAACGGGTACCGAGTGCGGTGTCGGCTTCGAACATTTCCAGGACTTCGAGGTCGGCGACAAGATCCAGGCGTACAAACAAATTATAACTGAGCGTACCTTGTAAGTTTGCAACTACCTAGACTAGACTAGACAGGCAAGCAATCTACAGTATATAGCTTCGAGTAACTATTAGGTGGCAGCAGTTCAACTCCCCCTACCTCAGGTAGATAGTCGGGGCGGATGGATGGATAAAATATGGCACGACTTTGTATGATATGGGGTGTATACAAAACGGGGTGGAACGGTACACTGCATATCTGGAGGGGGGTCGCGCGCACACATGAGTTTAAAAAAAAGAAAATAGGTAAAAAGAAAAGGAGTATATGCATAGGGAGTGATGTGATGGGGTCACAAAAGGGCAGTAGGTGCTCATTTTCCCATGGACGTCTAGATCTGTTGGACTGGGGGTCTTGTTCTCTTGGGGGTTTGTACATATAGATCTGTATGCAGCGTTGCATTGGTAGCGGGCGTATACATCTTACCTATACTATATACATATATATAAGGTATATATATCTTTTATATATACCTATACATCAGTCAACTCCTTGAAAACGAAGCGGCATGCTTGTACGTATATGCATTTCGTACACACAAATAAGGTACCTGATGTACCTCACCTAATATAAGAGACCTGAGGAAAATATTTGACCTTGGCGAGGTAATAGACTCTATACTGATATGTAGATGGACTAACAGGATATGATGGACACGCATAGAGTTGCTTTATTCTAAGGCGAGACAGGGTAAGGTAAAAAGCCTACCTAAAACTCTCTTCCAACCTTTTCAATCTCAGAAAGAAACGATATGCTTACATTGCTTGCTTACCAGACGATTTCACCACCAAATGCACGGAGGACAAGGCAATCAAAACTCAAGTGATAAAAAAAGAAGAAAAAGAAAAAGGTTAAGTAGAGCAGGGGGCATCGCCAAACGCGGAATGTGTTTGTGTTCATTCGAATCGAATCTACGAATTAGGTAGGTACCCCCTGAGATGTGTTGCCATTTTTTCCACTTCAAACTTGTTGAACTTGCACCCGTTTCTTCTTGCCACAACGGCCTCGCCTGCATTTATACTGCGCTGCAACTGCACTGCATTACATTGCACATCCTTCTATTCCACAAATCCCCACTCTTCTTCTTCTCTTTTTTTCTCCTATACCCCTTCTCCTATCCTATCCTATCCTATCCTATCCCACCCTATTTCTGTTCCTTTTGGCTGCCTTAGGTAGAGTAGGTAGGTAGGTACCTTAGGTACTCATATGACTTCACTGCTCCCGCTCCCGCTCACGCGAGGCTAAACTCGGGTATCTCGCCCATCTCGGACTTATTCTCGGCGCCCAGGGTGTAGCTGACGCGCCACCTGAGCTTGATGCTCTCAACTTTTTTCGACCGGTCTCCCGCGTGGAACACCTCGACCGACTGGGACACGCCCGCCGTCTGCTTGGGCTGCAGGGCGCGGCCCGTCTGCGGCTGGAGTTGGAGTTCGAAGCCCTGTGGGTTGTTAGCTACCTAAACTGAGGAAGTTTACTAAGATAGGGGAGGGGGAGGGGGAGAAGGGGGAGTGTGATTGATCAGTTGACTCACCTTTGTAACGGCTAGTTGAAAGTGGAGATTGCTTATGGGAGCCGCGGTGGCATTGGAGAAGAAAAAGATTAACGCAAGGGCGCTTGGCGTCTGCGACCTGGCTGCTTTGAGGTGGATCTGCAAGGGACCGTCCTTAACGTCTATTTGGAGTTCCCTAGGAAGGGTGGGCTCAGGTGGTAATGCGGAAGAAAATGACCACTCGTCGTCGTCTGCTGTCCCTGCGGCGGGTGCAGCGGGGTTAGGGGTGGTTGACTTGGATGAGTACTGGGAAGAAGCGAGAGCTGCGAAGGGATCACTGGCAGCGGTTGCCTTCTGAGGCGGTGGTCTGGAGAATGAGGATTGTTGGGATAGGGCGGGTTGTGGAGTGTTCGGTTGGGATCCCGCGGGAGGTGATATGAATCCTGAAAAAGGAGAAAAGGGTGGAGGGGTGGGAGATGGCGCTCTTGCGCTGTTGTTTTGTGTCATCGATGATAATAAGGCAGGCCCCGGAACATCTAGGTAAAGGTTAGCAATGCCATTCATTTTCCGCAGTAGATATTGGTTTCAACATACTCTGATTTGCGCCAAAGCCAAGCGATATTCCACCTCCTTGGCCGAAAGTGGTGCTGCTATCTCCTAAGGAGAGACCTAAAAGATCGTTTTCAAGACCGCCAGCCTGACCACCAGCTTGCGAACTCGACCCGGCAGTATTGTTTCCAGCGCCGTTAGCTGCAGTATCTGCATCAAAGTCGATTAAAGATAGCTCGCCCGCAGCCGAGATCGACTTTCCAGCCGCTGAAGATGATGTGTTAACGGGTGCGCCAGCAGCGATCTTGTTAGCGCCTTCAATATCGCCCTTCCTAAGGAGCTTCCACCGCTCGACTGTCCTGTGTATACTGTCGTTAATCTCGAACAGCTTAGCTACAGCCTCGTGATCGTCCGACTCCTCTTCACACATCTTTTGGATTTTGGGTTGCGCGCTTTGGAGCGCCGAGGCTAATTCCTCGAAGACGTCGCCATCCTTCAGAGTATCGCCTGGCTTAAAAGCTGCTAACCTCTCCTCCAATAAGCGCGCCTTGGCTTGGATCTTACCAACCTCTTCGGCTGCCTTTGCGCGATAATCCGTCTTTGACCTCGTGTCGTAGCCGGCCATGATCTTCATTAATCGATTTGCTTCTTGTAAGTCTTCAGGTGTACCTCTTCGTATTAGCTCTTGAAGCTTAGCGGACTGCGCTTCTCGCTCTTCCTCCTCCATTTCCTCGGCGGATTTCAGGTTCTACAGCTGTTAGTTAGATTGGTTGACGGAACTCAACTCTCAACTGCGCCAATAACCTCTACTCACATCACTCGGATTTAAAACGGCGACATCATCCCTCCGGACTTCGGGGAAATGGTACCCCTTGTAACTCAACAAGCGGTGCATATCCCGAATAAAGCCCAAGTCTTCCTTGTACCGGCTGGTTTCGCATATGGTGCTTCTCCATTCTTCAATAGCTTCCAAGATCTTAGATTGGACTTTCGTATACCGGATGGGAGGCCTCTCGGGAAACCGTCTCACAAGCTCGTTTAGGAACTCCTTGGTACTGATCTGGAGGTGAAAGGGATACCCGCAGTTTTTAACGCATATATCGAGAAGGTTAAGAGCTAGAAGGCTGACGTTTGGGTTGCGCGAGTTTATATAGTTGACTATAGCGACAGCTGCCTCTCGTGGGGCGCTGCCTTTCTTGCTATTAATCAGGTCCGAGATTTCGAGGTTAAGCGCAAGATTCGGTTCGTAGTTTTCGGGGCTACAGGCGCTCGCTATAAACCGTTGAAGTTGGGAAGGTCGGGGGAACCCCATTTCGCTCCAGCGATCTCTAGCTGCCGCTCGAGCAGAAGCGGCCTCCATCTTGAAAGGTTTCGAATCGAGAATTAATGTTCAGACTGTATAATTGGAGTTACTGGAATGCGCTCAAGGCCATAAGTTCATCCATAAATATAGGGTGGCGCGAGGTCTAGAATTGGTGTTTTTATTCATTGGCAAGGAAGGTGAGTTTGCTTCGGTGATGAAGCTCAAAAAGGTAAAGATGCTAAGATGTTACGGTGTTTAATCGTTGGAAATTCACTACTATGTACGTTAGGTACTTGGTTCACTGGTGGACCTCCACAGCTCCAATTGATCATGTCGTTCATCCCACCTGCCCACTTGGCTTGTGTGGCACAGATGTGGCAGCGCCGAGCTATAAAAAGTACAACCGGATTATCAAATTTATCCGCTATATACGTGGATCATGGAGGTCTATGGATGGATCCACATGGTGAACCCCACCAAGAGCTAGATTCGATTTCGGGGTCCACGATAGACATTCTGGATATTCCATCTGCCCCACGCTTCGTCATCCAACATCATTTCGAATAAATTTCGTATAAGTGTTTACACACCTCTACAAATTGACACATATATCATAAACGTTACGGGACTATAATACACAACTCTTTGCAATTTTAATCCCCCTCAAAAAAAAAAAACATCTAGTATATTACAATGGTTCGTCACAAGAAAGACAAATTTTCATCTCGAGGTGGGAAAGGTCACGGAAACGCTCGGCCTCGGCCGCGCACAACCGAAGATGATTCAGAACAAGGATCAGCATCTTCCAAGCCGGCTTTTAAAGCTGCTTGTTGGGATTTAAACCATTGCGATCCGAAGCGATGCTCGGGCAAGAAGCTAATACGACTTGGTCTCATGCGCGACTTACATCTAGGTCAAAAACATAATGGCGTTATCATCACACCCAACGGGAAGCACAAGCTCTCTCCCGCTGATAGAGAGCTTATGGATCAGTACGGTGCCGCGGTGGTTGAGTGCTCCTGGGCGCGAACAAATGAAGTCCAATGGAACAAGGTTGGCGGCAAATGCGAGCGTCTGCTGCCGTATCTCGTTGCCGCAAATACTGTCAATTACGGAAAACCTCTACGGCTGAATTGTGTCGAAGCTCTGGCTGCTGCGTTCTACATATGCGGTCATTCGGACTGGGCGGAGGAAGTTTTGCGACCGTTCAACTACGGCGAATCATTTCTATCTATCAACTCGAAGCTGTTGAAGAAATATGCGGCTTGCGCAAACGAGGACGACATTGTGAAGACGGAAAAGGAATGGATGGAGCGATTGGAGCGCGAGCACGCCGAAAGTAGAGAAAATGCCGACGACGACGATTTATGGAAAGGTGGAAATGTTAATAGGAGGGTTATTATCGACTCGGACGACTCGGATGATGACGAATCGGATGAAGACGAAGAAGACGAAGATGGAGATAACGATAGTACCGACGGGATTTATTTGGGTAAGAAGCCAGCTCAATGGCCAAAACTAGGGGAAAACGCAGAAGATAAGCAAGATGGCGGGACCAGCAAGGATCCATTCGATATTTCAGACGATACCGATGACGATGCCGAAATGGAGGAAATTCGACGCAAGGTGCTCGCATCAAAACCGTTTGCCAATTCAGAGGGTATAGACCGAAAGCCGAAACCACACGCCGTTCCTCCTCCGCGCCAGCCTCAAAGATACAAAGTAGACTCCGACGCAGAACCGGACTCGGATAACGGATCGGACGATGAAGGTAACGACGCTTTTGACAACATTATTGACGCCACGCCCGTCACGGATAGGGTTGGGTTGGCAAAACTCGAAAAGGAGAGGTCGAGAGCAAATATTATGAGTCGGACGTTTTCGTCAGGCACTGCGGAAGCACCGAAGAGGTGGTGATCAGATAACAGATATTCTACGAAGTGCCTCTGGTTATACTATCGCTGAGATATTATGCTCTTCGGCCTTTATCGTGCTCCGAGAGCCTTCTGTTCCAATGCATTCCTGGTAGCTGCGTAGGTCTTAGTATCTTAGCGTAGGAGAAGCTGTACGTGCAATACCGTTTTGAACACTACTGCAACTTATGGATACCATGCACCGAGGTAAGTTAGGCACGTAGTTGAGTATAAATGAGGTAAGTTTCTTTTCTGCATATCTCCTGGTCTACGGGTATTGTTTTACTGGGTATTTATACGCCATGTACTCCTTTCTAGGGACTTAAGATATGTATGATCTTAAGTGATCAGGACTTTCTCCTTCAGTGTACACACACATATTCGACCACCAATTGCATTACTCTTTCCAAGCATTCTTCTTGAGTAATATTTCATTATGCGTACCTACGAAGGTCCGGGCCAAAAGTCTTGCACATGCCAAGCTTTTAGTTGCGGGAACATAACGTACACAATTATAATAGCACTGTATTGGCTTAGTACTAGTTTTGGGGGCGGATAGTGGCTTGTACGCTAAATTCTAGGGAGCGTACCACTATAGCTACAGGGGAGCTAGCTGCTATTGGTAGATCTGACACCGTATAGCCTTTTTTATGGACACATACCTAAGTGGGTAGCTTACCTAAGCTACGATGTGCAAGACTTTTGGCCCGGACCTTCGTAGGTAGATAGATATGTTAAACGCTAGAAGTCGATCCGTACAAGTCATAAGACGGATTCTAGATCCGCCTCGTCCTCGGTCCCTAAGCTACCTAGATAGGTAAGGTAGTCAAGACTTCAAGCGTTCTCAATATCAACAACCCCTGGACTGCCCATCGTATAAATCCTTATATTAGGTACGCATGTAGGTACCTAGGTATATATACAACCAAGAACCAAACTACTACAGCCCTCCTCCTCCCGATTCACCATCATCACCGCCCCTTCCACCTCAACCTCCCCACCCACTCCGCCCAGCGTCTCACCGGCTCCTCGGCCATCACCAGCTCGACGGTATAATCCCTCCTCGCCAGGTCCTCGTGGCCCTTGAATCCGTGCACGAAGCGGTGGCACGCTCCGTATAGCCACGCCACGTTCGTTCCCCAGGTTCTCCGCGCGGTGCCACCCGCGCTTCGCCGCCTTCCCGTGCGCGAACCGCGGCACGAGGTCGTGGTACGACAGCGGCACCCAGTCCCGTCCGCACACCTCGCACCCCTCGGCCGCGGACAGCATCGCGCGGGGCGGGCGGGGAGGGGTGTGCAGCGCCGAGAGGAAGGCTGTGAGGACGGGCGCGAGGAAGACAATTTTGTGGCTTTCTTAGCCTCGGTTCTCCGTCTTGGTTTTGGTTCGGGACGCGAACCCTTCTCAATAAGTGCGGTTGAGAGACAGTCCCGGAATATATCGTAGTTCCTTTGCTGGTCGGGGGGTGTTGATATTATCTTGAAATTTATATATCATTTTTTATGATATGATACTTATGCCCGCACTTGTATACGTATGAATTGTATACATTACCTAGGCTAGGTACCTATATGATAAATTATAGGACAGAGGTAGAACGAACGTATGCCAGGTATATAATGTGTATAAGTGACGTAAGAAACCTCTGGTATAATATACCTTATGTCTAAGTTGTCATATAGCATTCCTCGTTGAAGAGTATATATGGCGAGGTCCAATTTATCAACTCCTCCCAAACTCCCATCCGCCGCCTAGATATTCAACGAAAGCTGAAAACATTAGACAAAGCATAACTCATAGCTCAGCTCAGATTTCAGATCTCCCTATTCGTATCCCAATTCAGTATCTAACTACCCCGCATAATCATAAATCGGCGAATTCATAACCCTAGAATCCATGACATCCTATGACACATGACAAATCGTGCAAATACCTAGACCAACAGACCTCGGATGAGACATAATAATAAAGGGGCGTGTATGTTATGTACATTGTCTTGTCTTGTCTTCTCTCGCCTACCGACTCATTCCCCGGAAAACTCTATAGGTACTAGGAACAGCTCCAAAAATGGCAGCCAAGAAGACGGTTATCGCCTTCGACCTCTACGGGACGCTACTGTCTACCGAGTCGATAGCTCACGAGCTAGCCAAGATCTACGCCGAGGATGCGGCCAAGCAATTGGCTGCCCTGTGGCGGCGCTATCAGCTGGAATATACGTGGCGGATCAATAGCATGGGTAAGGGGCTAGCTGTTTTCCGCTCTGGTCCAATACATAGTAGCCTTAAACGCTACGCCGAACGTTTTCTCTAACTAACCAGGGCGGTTCGTTGATACAGGTGAATACAAGTCGTTCAGCGAGATAACCCGCAATGCGCTAGGCCATGCCGTCGCCGAGCTTGGATTGACGCTTTCGGCGAAAGACGCGGATACCCTTATGAAGTCGTACGACGCATTGCATGTCTTTCCCGAAATCCCATCCGCGCTGCAGCTATTGGAAAAGAACAAAGACTCTGTGGAAGCCTATGTCTTCTCGAACGGAACAGACGAGATGGTTGGTAATTCGATTAGAACCTCGCCAGAACTGGGACCTCACGCGGGGAGGTTTGAATCGCTAGTTACTGTGCACAGTTTACAGTGTTTCAAACCGGATAAGAGGACATATAGCCATCTAATTGAGCAGGTCGGCAAGCAAGGGCACGAAGGCGATGTCTGGGTCGTAAGCGCCAACCCGTTCGACATTGTCGGCTCGAGGGCAGCAGGGTTAAAAGCAGCATTCATCGATAGAGCTGGCAAAGGCTGGATAGACCGGTTAGACGAAAAACGCGCACCTGCAGTTGTAGCATCGGGAGTTGATAAAGCAATAGCATCAATTCTGAAAGATTAGTGTATTAAATTACATGAGATAGCTACCTAAGTAGTTAAATCATTCTCGTAAAATATGGATCTTATATATCCATTAAAAAAAGAGTATCGCCAATCTGGTATCGTGAGGCCGTGCTAACGCTGGGATGGGAATACGAGCATCTACGCAATCTTATGGAAGCTTTCAAATAGCTTGATGATTTCCTCGGCGAATAGCTCCGCATCAGCGGGATATCGAGCACTGATGTAATTGTACTGATCATCCTCAACAGTGAAGCTGAAAGGAAAGGGTGAGTAAACGAGATAGGTCTATAAGATAATTATAGACTTAAGCTTGGAGGGGGATAACTTACGGACCGGGATTCAAACTGGCCTTAAACTGAGATGGATCGGCGAGTACCTTTTTAACCTGTGAATCGGGTTGGTTAGACTTTTATCTTGATGTATTCTTCTTAAACTAGTTTGCATACCGATTGCTCGACGTCTTCGCTTCCATGGCCGTATGTCTTATAGTAGTCGCCAAGGACTGCCCTGGTACTCCAGTACGCGGCCTGCTCGAATTTCGCTGGCAGTGCTGTCGTCTTGCAATGCCGTATGACGCTTCTACCCTCGACATCTTTTGACTCGGCCAAGACCATGACGCCGTGGCACACGGCAGCGATAACTTTCTTGCTCGGCTTCTTAGTCTTCGGGAAGTAGTCCAATACAAGCTTATGCACGATGGGCGACTCGATGATCTGCTTCATTCCCTTATCGTGGCCTCCAGGGAAGAGGACGAGATCGAAGGGGTCGAGGGAGAAGCCTGGAGCAGACCACGAGAGTGGGTGGCGCATCTCTTCGCTCACGGCCATCTTCTTGTATAGGTGAACAACTTCTTTCTTCGCACCCTGCTAGGATATTAGGATAGCTAGCTCAAACATCTGACGAGCCGTCAAGAGCCGTCATGGCGTACGAGTAGCTTTTGAGTGAACCCCTCCAGCATTTTCTTGTCGCATCGCGGATGGTTTCCGGTCTCGGTTGCGAATTTGACATCATAGCCTGCGTTCTTGAATGCGGTATAAGGGACGGCAGTTTCTAAGATATTGACGTGGTTAGACGGTCGAACTATACAATGCGCAAGATGATAGTAGATGATAGATGGTAGATGTCTCTTATTAGATGTCTCTCAAAAGGTGGCGCACCCGTGGGGTCGTGGCCATAGTCGGCCATCATAATGAGAACCTTCGGCGGCGCAAACGAGGTACCTGCCGAGGTAATTTGTGGTTCTTCGAGGATTTCCTCCATTATTATGTTTCTTTTAGGTAGGGTTGTTTAGATCGAATACGCTTAGGTTGAATCACGAGTCAAGAGATGAAACAATTTGGGTGTTGAAGTTGTTTAAAAGAGAGTTGACGTAACCACGAGCTAAGCTGGAGAGACCTTATAGGTACCTGTATTGTACCTAAGTGACAGAGTGAGTACCTGCCTGTAGTAGCGCTAGTACAGGTAGTATAAATGCCCCAAGCACGGGCCGAAACGAGTCACATGTCACTTGGTTCGTCCATGCTGTGCAACATTGTAGCACATGCTTAACCTAAGCCTTGTATTGTTATAGCAGTTGCTGCCTGTTCTAATCAAAATACTAGGAAGTTCTTTGCGTACTTGAAACGATTCAGATAACGTAATTTCTGCTTACGCCAGGCGAAAGAAAAGTAAATGTATTAAGACATGCTTTAGGTACCTATGACAAGCATTTCGTAAAGCTTAAATTTACAGCCCCTCGGGATTCGACAACGAATCAAAAAAGCCATTGGGAAGAAATACAAGAGTCACTTTTATAGAAGAACTCCCGTCTTATTTTATATCTCCAACCCTCCCACAACTAGACACAAAGTGTTCCAGCCTCTAAGCTCAGATGACCCAAATTATGACCAACTCACATTCCCTATACAACCGCTTATTGGTTGCAAATACTATTATCCATACTATTATGGACGCCAAGAAGTGAAGCCGCTCAGCCCTGTAGCATGTCGCTACCTTAGGCCCTAGCCACGATGTCACGGTCCAGTAGCCACTTCGTGCCGATTCCGAACGCCATGGGGCATATCATCTCTCTCTCTTTCTTCCTTGTGCCACCGACATTTTGAGGGGGAAGTAAAGGCTGAGTTTAGAGTACCTAGGTAGCTGAGAATACACGAGGATGGGCATGCTGGGAGTTATAAAAGAATGTTGCACTCCGCATCCGGGGCGTCTCTTTTCTTCTCTGGATTTTTCTACCTATTATATCTGCGTTGCTGTTGCTATGGTTGGTGGCCTTCTCTACTTTTCAACAAGATTTGCGAAATCACATGGAGCCAAGTCAGATCCCATCATGGATCGCACGGAGTTTGTCAACTCGCAAGTCGGCGGCGAGTCTGTTATTAACTACAGCTATACCGATATGCCCTGGAGGCTGATGATGTGGGATATACGATACTTCTTCACTTTCGCATGGGCTCTGCCTTGGGTTATTTGGCCCGTCCGACCATGCGATGGAGATCACTTTGACGAGCTCTCGTTTACGCGGGAAAACGTATGGTGCATGTTTATTCATGCTATCCTTGTGGTTCTACAGTTATTTTTCATATTGATGTTACCTTTAGCTGTTTTGTTTCCAGTCTGGATGGTGGCGGTAGGAATTGCCGTCTTCTTTGCTGTGAACAAACTCTTGTGCCTTTTCTTGAATGGTAAAACTATTACCTTCACATCGGACCCGAAATATGCACCCGCACTAGAAGAGCATGCACATGAGCAATGGATTTTCCTAAATGGCGTTGCTGTCGGGTATGTGTGACCCCATGACGATCCCATGTGTGACATTTCTTTTTTCTTTTTTTTTCTTTTTTCGCTAACTCCAAAAACCAGAGAAGCTTGGCTTAAGAGCAACATCAATCGTCTGGCACTCACTTTCAAGCGTCCAGTTATTGGTGTTCACAACCGGACTACGGGAATCATATTCGATGTTGTCGAATGTCTAATACAACGTAATTTCGGGTACGCTACAAGCGACATTCGGGCCGCGTATAAGATCATCAAGGAAAAGCTATATAATCCACAATACACGAAAGTGGTTTTCATCTTACACTCGCAAGGTGGAATAGAAGGAGGTTTAGTTCTGGACTGGCTACTCCAGGAGCTACCGCAGAATCTTTTATCAAAACTTGAGGTCTATACGTTTGGGAATGCCTCTAATCATTTTAATAATCCTCATCGTCATATCGATGCTCAGCACGTGGAAAAGAAAGTCTCAAAAGAGAATACTCAAATCCCCACTACGATTGCCGAAATTCCGCTCACCGACTCCCCGGTTGAGACCCAATCATTATTATCGAGAAGGCGACCATCAGACGCTAGTGGAACCTCGTTTGAAGTGAACAGACGGGTCCCGACGCTCACTTCACTCTCACAGGAGTCAAGCGCATCGCATGCGACAGCTTATACCGTACCAGTGTCTGGTCGGGCGATCGCTCATGTGGAACATTACGCTCATACAACTGATTTTGTAGCTTTGTGGGGGATTCTTCACTTCGTTACAAACGAGCTTGCATCTCCAGAAATGCCCCGATATATCGGGCGAGTATTTAAACATACTTCTCCGCGGGGTGGACATCAGTTCTCTCAGCACTATCTTAACGAGATGTTCCCGCTCGCACGAAATTCCAAGGGTGAGTTTATAGGGTGTGCTGATCGTAACGACTTCATGAGCAGCGTTATCGAGGTGGCCGAGGCGGGAACGGAAAAAGACGACCTGCGCGAAGCTGTCGAAAATAGCTGGTCTATGATCGAGCTTGCCGGCCGGAAGGGAAGCATTGTTAAGGGCGAAGTTGCGGTGCATGGGAGTTTCTATGAGAGGGATGATATTGATGACGGAAAGGTCAGAGTGAAGGATCTAAGTCGATTGTGGCAGTACCGCAATGGAAGAAGTCCGCCTGATCTTCCCAGGGACTTGAGAAGGATGACTTTGGAATAACGGAAAACTGAGAAACGATTTAAAGAGAAATGAGTTACTGGAGCGAAGGTGCGCATTTACGGCCAACTCTGGGGTATTCATTGATTTCAGTAAACTGCATCATCCTGTTCAATATGCAAACGAAAGCATACTCAGATTATAGCATTCTAGCATTAGAGGTAGATACCTAGGCTGTTTCCACCTGCCTGTCATATAAGGGCTACGGCGTTATGCATACTTGATTTTGAACACCCAACAGAACTCTTCTTCATTCAGGAGCGCTTCAGTTACCTCAATTTTCAATGTCGTCTCACTGCCCTGTCCTGTTACGTTCCATACCAGGTTCTCACCACCTTCAACAGCCAGCAAACTAACTTCATCGCCTTGCAACGCTGGCACAGGTGCTATGATGTCAACAGTACCATTCCGAAGCACCGGTCGTTCCAGAAACAGCACATAAAACGCCTCATTCGTCTGTGTAAACCTGACATCCGGCCCGGCCTCGATCTCGCTCTGCACGAACCAATACGTCGTATTAAAAACCGCTTCCTCGTGCGCCCCAATCCATCGCCCGGCCTCCAGCAAGCTGTCCACCTCGGCCTGCACCAGCGTCCCGTCCGCCTTGGGCCCGACGTCCAGCAGCAGGTTCCCGTTCTTCGCCACGACGTCCACGAGCGTGCGGACGATGCTGCTCGCGTTCATGTACGCCCACTCCGGCGTTGCCCCGTTGTACCCGTAGCTGAACGGGTCCAGCCCCCGGTTGCTCTCCCACTTGCGCCGCTGCGCCGATCCGAACTGCGCGTACTCCGGCGTGTCGAAGTCCGCGGCTTGCGGGATCCCGCAGCGGCTGTTGATCGCGACTTGTCGTCCTCGGCCGCTGTTATTGTTTTCGTTGCTGTTGTTGTTGGTGTGCTGGGTTTCCTGGTGCTGGTGCTGGTAGTCGCGTAAGGAGTTCCACCACCGAGCCGCGAATTCCGCCGTCGCGTTGGACGCCCCGCAGTCGCACCACATGATGTCCGTCGAGTAGACATACGCCAGCGTCTCCATCTGCGGGAGCATGACGTCCTGCAGGAAGTCCGCCGCGGGATCCGCCTCCTCGTATCCCGTGTACGCCTCCTCGGCCCCCGTGTACGGGTTCCGGGCGGGATACCCGGGCCAGCTGGCGGTGCCGTAGGGCGCGTATGCCGGGTTGAACCACTCCGGCAGGGAGAAGTAGGTCCCGCGCCGGAGGCTCGGGTGGTGCCGCTCCGCGGCGTCGAACAGCTCCCCGAGGAGGTCCCGCCGGGGCCCGTGGCGCAGCGCCGAGCGGTTGTTGCTCGGGCTGCTTCCGGAGTCGAACAGGGAGAAGCCGTCGTGGTGCTTGGACGTCAGCACGAAGTACCGCGCGCCCGAGGCGACGATCAGGTCCGTCCAGGCTTTGGGGTCGAAGCGCGACGCGGTGAAGGACGGGAATGTGTCGTCGTACGCCCAGTCCCGGCCGTAGGTGCGCAGGCGGTAGTCGAAGACGTCGGAGGGGTCCGAGTCGGGGTGGTGCGTTGAGTACCACCTAGGATGTCTTGGTTAGTAGCAAATTCGTTCCGTAGATCAGGCGTTGCGTGTGGGCGTGTGGCCTACCAAAACCATTCTGCGTAGCTCTCGTATGGCGACGAGTTACCCCATCCCGTCACGGAATACGGGCCCCAGTGTATGAATATCCCGTATTTGGCGTCGTTGAACCAGTCCGGGCTCTCGTGTCTTGCAAGATTGTTCAAGTTGGTGGTCCATTCAGTCAGACCAAATTCGATGTTCTCGAATTCGAAAGAACCTTTGGTTGTGCCGTCGTCAATAACCACTAAGGTGTTAATAGTGGTAGTAGAGGTTGATTCTACCCCTATTTTCACTATTTTCTGGTCCCCGGGACATAGCCGCTTGAGATGACCTACTTCAACAGTCTGGAGGCCGTCTCCTGAGAGCGAAATAGTTACCCCATTTCCCGCAATACAGTCTCGGCCTGCATTATTAACTGTAATCTCAACTACTTGCGCGCCACTGTCGGTCCACTTCTGAGTCGGGCGGATAGACTGTATATCTACCCCGACGTTGCCTTTCCATAAAGAAATAGCAAACACATGCAGTCGGCCATCATCCGCGTTCGTTGCTTCAGACAAGGTGACAGCACGAAGTTCCTTTCCAGGGTCAAGTTGTGCAGTTCGCTCGAATATGTGGCTAGTATTATAATCCACACCGGTCGCCGTGAAGCGGCTAGGGAATATTATCTCGCCGCGATTGATCGTCAGGAAGCTATACCAGTCCAAAGAGCGCAGTTCGTACGCCGACGTGCTGTTGTCGGTATACGTGAAAGTCACGTTCCCGGACACGGTCTCCCCTTCCTTGTCTTCGGAGATCAGGAACGAGGCTGAGAAGTACGACCCGGGGGGTACGGCTATAGTCTGACTATCACATATGACATTGTCGGGCTTGTCGGGCCCGGTATATCCCGGAAACGAGTACGTTATACCCGTGTCGCTTGAGATATAGTAGGGTTCGTCTAGATCCGGCGCTGGATAAGATTGGCCGAGGGTGTCGAAAGATGCCTCCCCTGGGTATGTACCGAATCCTTTATTGTTGTAGAATGGCGACAGGTCAAGCGGGATAGACTTTCACAGCATCAGTTTTACTTTGATACTACCACCTGAATAGTATAAGAATTCACTATGTCTGGATACTATGTTGCAGGAGTGTAATAAATGCGTAGAATGTGGCATACCTGTGGCCCAACTGGCTCTGACAATTGCTCGGTTCCCTCTGCAGCGAAGACTATCACATGAAGGAGGAAGCCTGCAAGAATGGTATTACCCCTTATCATGATCACTCTCGCTTCTCGTGTTTCGTCGTATTGTTCTTACATCAGACTTGCTAATTGTACAAAGCAGGAGAAGAAAAAGAAAGTAGGTATTTTCCGCGCCGGCCCTCAGGCCCGTCCCCTCACGTCGCCCGCCTGATCGGCACCCCGTCGTGGCAGCGTCGTATTCCGACGTTTTTAGGCAACTTCCGAGATCTGCTGCAAGCATGCTAGCGACCTGGTTTCATACGCGATGCCAAAGCCATGAATATGATTGGATAATGATTGACTAGGTAGCTTCGGTTACTGATTTCGCGAAAACCCCGCGGAGTCCCCATGGGGTTGAAACATCGTCACGATATGGCGAGGGGGTTACGCAAGACTATACTGACTTCACTCGAACTGCCTTCATATCTCGCTCACTTCGTCTTCTCTAGGTGTGTTCGGAGAATTCAAGACGTTAGGCGAAGAAATGCGAGATGTAAGGTTGAGTTAGGTATTTGTCATTGATCGCACATAATTAATTAATATCGAGTTGCTCCTTAATAAGAAAAGTTCTTCATCCCTCTACGGTCTTCCATAAATTAATGTCAATATATAACCCCCGTCCAAATTTAATGAACTTTCTAGTGGGTGGCCCGGTTACAGCGCATACTCACATGGCATACCCAGTCCAGAGGGCCGACTATAGCTACCCACGAGGCTTCTGGTAGAGTCTCCAGCCATTGTCTTGGATACGTAGGTACCAGGTAGGTATGCTGCCTATTAGGTATTCTTAGAAAATCCTATAATAAGAACAACAACTATTATTAGGAATTTAGGTATAGTAGTTGTCGAGATCGATTGTGGTATTGTAGAATATAGTTCCTGACGATGATATAGGATATCTAAATAGAGAATAAGTATTCATGGTTATATCTAGTTGAGGAGAACTAAAGAGTAAGGCTTAATTTCGTCAATAACTCCTATTTTCTTTTTCTTGTAGCGTCGGTACCTAGTAGCCAATACTGTTGGGCTCGCGTTTGCAATCAATATGAAGACGTCGCCCCCGCTTAAAATTCTTCTCGTTCGAGAAGTAGCGAAGAACTGCAAATTTTCTTGTGACTAACATAGACCCAGAATTTGAAAGGAGGAACATTATCGATGCTTAAAGGCTGGCTCGCTCGATGGATCGCCGCTGTCCATGATAAAGGAGAGTCTCAAAGAAGCAAACTTATTCCTAGAGCGCATCCATGTTGATTCGCTAAGCCGGCTTCTCCGCGAGGTATTTTGCTTAGGAGGATAACTGGATGCAAAACCGTATAGGTGAGTTGTTCTATTTCTCCTATACGGCGAAATGATTTGGAATACCCCCTTTTCTCCGCTGTGGTGGCCCTCGTTCAGGAGTATGCCCTACGGCACAGTTAGCCGAATCATTACGTGTGAGCTACAACATCGAGAGAAGGCCTGTAGGTAACAAGCAGCCGCAATATCGAGGCAACGTATCTGTTGGTTACATGTTTCACCCAACAGGTCACATTACTACCCGCAACCTATCACAGGGCACCGACAACAATGCCATGGCCTCATGGGGGATGTCTAGGCGTGCCACCAATAAGCATACCTACCACTCACGCGAATTAAGCAGGCAACTGACTCTAGGTAGACATTCTCTCTTTGGGCATGACGACACCAGGATATGCTCCTAATAATTGCTGATATATGGATGCCGGATGAGGGCTTATGCCATATCTTGGCACTACTTCCTCCTCTCTACATTAGGGCCGAAATTTTGTCCGGATATAGTGAAGAGCGGGTGCTTCTTGAGCATCCTGACACCCTGGTAGTCCTCGCCGCACGCTCGGCCATAAGGCTAGCCTACGGTTGCCGATCACTTGTTAATAGCATCGTGGGGAGATGCTGACTTTTACCTAGGTACCTTTGGTTTCAGGTAGCTATACCTAGAGCTATGTAGACACGATAGGAGAAGCTAAAACATCTTACAGGTTAACTTGAATAGCGGATCTTTGGCTGTGGAAGTTTACCTCGCTCATGTCTAGAACCATGGTCTGTCTCCACAGGCGAGACGATATGGAAGGCCATGTTCGGTAACCTAATTCAGGTCTAACATAACTAACTATAAGTGAGTGTTAGTATACGGCGGTCAGTGGCAAAGAAAGTTTCTCAGATGCACCCAATATTGAATCCAAGTTTGTTTCGATCCCATATTTCCGAGTGCTGGATGCGGCTTGTTGCTACGCTGTCATTTATCGTGGTTCTATAATTGGGAGGTGTAAATAACCGGGTAAATGCGATACAGCCAGAAGGGGGTGAAAGCAAGGCTCAAGGATCAATCAACACACGGAGCCATGGCTGTCCTAGATCCCCAATGCGGAAATCGATGCCAATAAAGCTGGGAAATGATCCTGACCAATGGTTTGGCGGCGTCAAAGTGAAAGAAATCTTCGAGCGAGTTCCTTGCGCTCGGCAGTTAGTGAGCGCCAGCCCGTGAGAGCGCCCTCCCACGATTCATACAAGTACGACAGGCATCACGGAATTCCAGAGATTTCAGATCCACGGATTTCACTTCTGCAACCGTGCATCTCGTTGCCTTCTCTCAGCTTACCATTGTTGCTCATCCGGCGCCTCACTTATTCTCACTAAAGGCTCATCGATTAAACGTCTTATAAGTGAAAATCAGTCACGATGCAGCTAACTTCGCTCGCTGCCGCCGCGCTTCTAGCGCAAAATGCTGCCGCTCAGTTCGGAAACTCTATGCTGCGATTCGCATGCTCCCAGTTGGTCGTTGACCGAATCGACCCCTTGGTCAACCCCGGCATGAAGTACACTCCTCACCTTCACCAGCTGGTCGGTGGTAACTCCCTGAACGTCACCATGGACCCCACAAGTCACGACCTGGCTTCGTCCACCTGCACATCTTGTACCTTCAAGGAGGACAAGTCCAACTACTGGACCGCCGTCATGTTCTACAAGGCCAAGAACGGAACATACAAGCGTGTTCCTCAGGTCGGTAACGGTGGCCCGCAAGGGAAGCTCATCAACAAGGGCGGTCTCGACCTTTACTACATCCCCAGCGGCAAGACCACCGCTTTCAAGAAGGTATGAGACAGAGAGAGAGAGAGAAAGGTGAAAGAATTGACGAGACATGGCTAACCGAAACTAGGGTTTCCGTATGTTGGCTGGTAACGCCGCCAACACCGACCCCAACAGGGTCCAGAAGTCAAACATCTGCCACCGATGCTGGACATCGCCCAACGAGAACACCTTCGTTGGCGGTGCTCCTTGCACTGGCTCCGATACTGTCGATATCCCCAGTTCTAAGAGCTGCAAGATGATCCGACAGACCATCATCTTCCCTACGTGAGTTTACCCCTTTCTTTCATTATTTATTTACCTACCTTCTATATGAATGCCTACCTAAGCTTTTATTACCCACCCCCGTTTCTCCTGCTCGGACTTTGCTGACCCTATTTTGTTCACAGCTGCTGGGATGGAAAGAACCTGGACAGCCCCGACCACCAGAGCCACGTCGCGTACAGCTCCGGCTCCGGCGCCACCGGCGGCGGTGCTTGCCCGTCCACCCACCCCGTCAAGCTCCCCCAGATCATGTACGAGCTGATGTGGAACGTGACCGAGTTCGCCAACAGCCCCGACTTCCCCACCGACGGCTCCAACCCCTACGTCTACTCCATGAACCTCGGGTAAGTTGACGACTTGTTTTTCGTGAAGTGAGGTGAGTTAACGAAGCTAATTTTCTTTCTAGTGGCCCTGCCGCCCACGGCGACTACCTCTTCGGCTGGGAGGGCGACACTCTCCAGAAGGCCATGGACAACATCGGCCGATGCGGTCTTAACACCGACTGCGCTACCGCCGGCATCCACGCCCAGACCCCGGCCCAGTACAACGCCTGCACCAAGGAGCAACAAGCTCCGGAGGATGTTGACGGCTGTAAGTTCCCCTTCCTAACCTTCTTCTTCTTTTTTCTTAAATTACCGGGAAGACTGCACACACACACACACACACACGCATAAAGAAAAAAAAGAATCGCTAACACCAAACCACAGGGCTCGCGGCTCTCCCCATGGGCGAAATGGCGATCAAGGCTTAGACGGGAGATAGGCGGACCGGGTTTCCACGGGAAAGCTCGCCAACAAGCAGAGGGGGTCCAAGTATCACATCGGAAGGTCTCGTGGGTTTTTGCTTTGGCTCTAAAAGATGGGATTTTACGATTTTTACCCCTTTGTAGGTACCTAGGTGCTCAGCGAGCTAGGAAGTATTAAACATTCATTCTCACGCTTGCCGGTGTTGATGGCTATCTGTCTGTCTGTCTGTCTGTTTTTCTTTGTCTTTCTTGCTTGTTGTGTTGAAATAAACAAATCTGTTAAGCTAGACATCTAAGCTTGTTGTCATCGACAGTGTTCTTGAAAGTAATTTATAAGCAATTCCAAATTGATTTTTTTCTCTTGAAAAATAACTTGCGATCGTGGATCTTGCTTGGATGTATTATTTAAATGAGGTAACAATAAGGATACCCTGAGTATATATAAATAGACAGCTTGAACACGATGTCACTGGACACAGCGATTCTGCGGCCGATACAACAGTAGGTAGCAAGAGGAAAGGTTTCCTCGGAACATAGGTATCTTAAGCCTCGGAGCGAGACGTCATATTTTTGAAGTAATACCTTAGGTTGCTACCTAGGAAAAGTCAGGGTTTGAAAGTAGATATTATAAAACTGGCTCTCTTTTGATATTTATCGCGACTCTAAAATTGAAGTCATACACTCTCTCTATTTTATAGGTATATACACCACCACGTACGGTATCTTCGGTGCAAAAGACAGTAATAGAATCAAGTAAACTCGGAGCGCCTCCCTTCCTCCCCTCCTATTTCGTCTTCTTCCTTCTCTAGTGTATCTTATGACACTTCAACCGACCCCTCCTCCAATAACGCAGACACTAAATCACGCCGTCACGATACGTCAACGCCGCTTTTTTGTCGTCGCAGCATTCTCGGGTTGCTTGCGGGTACGTAGGCAAGCGAAGAGTTTCTTGAGACAAAAAAAGGAAAAATATAGTTAGAAAGTGTTCCACAAACAAATTGGTAGATATAAGTTATATTACTTTCAAGTGCAGGCATCTAAAGTACACACAGGGCACGCACATATATAAGGTATATATATACATAGAACTCACAAGTTCCGATTGACCAGATCCGCGAACTGCGGGTTGCCGGCGGCGGCGAAGTCGTGCTCCCAGTAGTTGAACAGGTCGTGCACGCTGATGGGCGAGGTCGCGGAGCCGGGCTGCGCGGGCTTGGCCTTGGAGTACGCGAACGCGAGCCGGTTGCTGCCCGCCGGGTTGAGCGTCTTGGTGCCGCTGCCCGTCGTCGCGAACGACGTGCACCCCGCGCACTGCGCCGTCACCTGCCAGTGCGTCCCGTTCGTCTTGACGCCCTTCTTGAGGATCTGCGCCGTCGCGCCCGTGTAGATTGTTGGCGCCGTGTGCGTGCTGGTCGGAGATGACGGTGTTAGCTTTCGTATGTCTTTTGTATTTATTGTGTTTTGGTGATGTGTGTTGTCTTTTCTGTTTCTTAAAAAAAAAAGAAAAAAAAAAAAAAAAAAGAAAAAGGATTGGGAGAGGAGAGAGGCAAGGAGTGATATGGGAGCATGTACGCTCCCATATTTGATGGAATTTCTGTCAACTTACGTCGCACGGCGTATAGATACCACTCCGCTCCCTCCGTTATACCAGCTGAGAAGTAGCGGGTTGTTGGTCATGGAACCGCCCCAGGCGACGCCAACCCAGCCAGCAGCAACAGGAGCGACGATCTGGACCACCGCATCATAAGGCTGGTTCGCAGGCGCGGGGCTCGGGATGGCGACCCGGAACGTGATATGGTCGTTGTTGGTTGTGATCGGAACGTCCTTCTGCGAGAACGAAAATCCGGTGTCGGGATCGCGGAATACGTCCGCGCTGGCTTTGGACGCTGTAAACAAAAACACGCGGTAAAAATATTAGCCAACGTCCTTGAACAACAACAACAACAACAACAACAACTTCATTTGCCGTCCGGAAAAAAGAAAAGATTGTTCTAGGTGATATCTTCAAGCTGCTGCTTAGGGGTTGAGTACGCACCAAAACCAGATAACGCAGCAGCGCACGTTAAGCCCAAGTTCCAGCGCATTTTGGATGTTTAGCCTGAAGCTTCTATAGAATTTGATAATTGACGAAACGAGTTTCGATGAGTATTTATTTATTGTGATTTTGAATAATACGTGAGAGTACTGAGGGTTATTGTTAGATGAAGAATTTTACGTTGATATATAATAGTTTTATATATAGGGGGACTTACAGATTATATGTGGTTCTGAAACTTCTTTCCTGGTCTGGGACAACTATTGGTAGGTAGTAGTTGAAACGGGAACGAGTTCACATGCACAGAGGAAGATATTCCAGGTACTTAATGATTAAATACCCATTGAACGGCTCATAACAGAGTGCGGGCCGGCGCCCGCACAGATACCAGCCAGCAAGGCGAAGTGAGATAGAGAGGGAGAGAGGGACCTTGGCTTTGAGCCACCCAAAACTCAAAGATCATCGTTGAACTGCGAATTACGTATTGAAGCAGAGTTTACCTACAGTGGTATCGTCAAGAGTCTTGGCCAACCACCTTAGGAACACGATGACAAAACTTCCGTCCGGCGAAAAGAAGGAACCGCTCTGTTCGGAAAACGGAACGCTCGTAATAGGCATCAATTGGAGTAGCAAGGGCCGAGGAAATGGCGGATGGGGTAGCAGAAAGGTGACGTTGAGAGCGCGCCAGCTATTTAGCCGTATATTACCACATGTACCTAACCTAGGTTGCTTGCTAGGGGAGGGCTGGGGGGTGTTTATCAGAGCCGGGGTAAATGCAAAATAGAAACGGGCAGGGAAAGGGAGCCTTGTATCTTTTCTACCCGTGTTTACTCCTCTGTTAATTCTAGAAGGGCGAATAGCATCGTCCGTAAAAGGACACCAAGGGGTCGGCTACGCGGGTTACGACGGGGGGAGGAGGGTTAACCCAGAAGATCCATGTTGTAGGGATAACCTCGTGCCTGCAGGCCGACGATACATCGGTTCCACGCCGAATGGGGGGACTCGGTGACTGGCAAATGGACCAAGCAGATGCCTCATATTTCAAATCGCCCCGTAGCACACACGACAAATCGTGACATTTCGTGACATTTCTCATAGTTGACTAAGTCAAATTCACGCTGCCAAGCATCGCAACGACGTCGTCCGGAGCCTTCACTGTTTACGTGGTAGCATCGTGAAAGCATCTCCGGGAAACGCCATCACAGTATCCGGAAAAAGAGAGAAGGTTTGTGGAGCTTTGAGCACGTTCCGTGCCTTGGAATATATCGTGATACAATTTGAACAAGCTATTTTTGGGATTGAACTACTATGGCAAGGTCAGACGACGTGGGTGAGCTCAAGTCTAGATTTCGGCTCTGGTGGTCTAGAGTCGTGACAATTACCAGCATTGCCATTCGATATTGCAGACACGCAGCGTTCGGGTCGATTCCGTGCTCCTTTATAAATTACTAGATCCGAGATCCAGGGAAGAAAGCTCTTTATGTACGCCGTGGTTGGTTTAGTATTAACTATGGCTGCTTGATTGGCTACTACCTCGATCCTTTCCTGGACCATCCCAAAGAGAGCATGCAACTCGACCCGTCTGAACAATAATACTGCGAGTAATAAGGCCTCGCATCCTCTTAGGGTATCCTTCACCGTAATTCTGATCGTGATTCGTGATTGGTGTGATCAATTAAGAGTGGCCACAATGCAGCGTAGAACCCAGAGGCCTAGTCCGTAAACAATATCCTTCCTTATCGAAACATATGCAATATATACGATTCTGGGCCAGTGACGGGCTGTCTTGCTGTGTCGGATACGTTCGTGCTGTCGTATATACGATCCTGAAGGCTGCGGATAGTAAAACCGAGGCTTGAGATATCTACGCGGTTCTTTCCTGGGTCTTGGAGGCGGATATTTTCCAAACCAGACTCTACGGTGTAAAGCCACCTTTCAATTGAAGCTTGAGTGGATGCGTTGTCGCAAAAGCTTACGGCAATGTCGTAGTCCTTCCTTAGTCGAGTAATTGGAGAGTTATAAATGGTAGTCCATTGGGGACACGCTTGCGACATTTCGTTAAGGAACATCTTTTGAAGCGATGTTCTCTCCCATTGAAGCATATGCTTGGCGAAGTCTTCTTCAGCCCCGGCCAACCACTGGCCATGTTCGTCTAGGTAATATCTCTCTTCGGGTTGTTGGTTACGTGCTACCCCTTGCAGGAATTTGGGAAGTTCGCACCCTTTCCATAATGGAAGCGCAGACGTATGCTCCCAACCCAGTATCCCGACTAGCTTATTACGATTCATCAGGATGCTATTATAATTGATGTCACAGTTTGTGAGCACTGTGGGTTCAAAGAGTATTGAATCAAAGAGCCTTCCTCTCAATCTCTTCAGGCGATCGATGATATGCTTGGTTTTGAGCGCCACGTCGGTGTTCGAGATGGCCAAGCTGTCCCTCTGCTTCATCTCTATGCGTATTTGGAGCCACTCAGCACTATTTCTGAACGGTCCACGGCCAATATTGACCTTCTGGTTGTCCATATAGAACTCCGGGGAGACGATAACACCAACTTTATCGTCTCTGTCCCGCCTTCCGGTCGCATGGCCCATATATAGACTGCCGATGGTGGAGAGTTGGTGGTCGAATGTGGCAGAATAGAATGCCACCAATTGTCTTATTAACGACCGCTTCTTTTCGTCGCTTACCATTTCCCAGTTAGCTTCACCCACTTCAGCCTCCGCCATGGGAGGTACCTGGCCTTGCGAGCATTCAAGAACAATCCATTCGAGCCCAATCTGAGTAGTGCCAGTCGGGTCGAATATCACAACTTTCGGAACTGGTAGCGATGTATACTGTCGAACCCATTCCAAGGAAGAGACCTCGGCCTGAGTTTTGAAATAAGGGTCGACAGGTAGCATCACGCGTATGATTGTTTTGGTAAGCTTGTTTGGGTCGGGCTTCGTAATTAGATATGTATAAGCGTGAGGATCCTGTGATAGCAGTTTGATACCGATGTCGTTAGTACACCATTCTTCGCTAAGCAGCAACTTGATATTCTCCTCATTTGGTGATTTTACACAGGATCCACGGAAGTCAGATTTAGTCTGTTCAACTTTATCCTCGGACGTTCTTAGTACATATGGATCCATCTTGCCGGTAAATATCCCTAGCTAGAGACGATAAAACTTGAATGTGTAATGAATGGCTATTGCTACTATAATCCGTTTTCCTGCTAGAATGCTGTTTTTTGAGAGAGGAAAAAAAAACATCAATCCTATAGTTGAGGGATACGCTCTGTGTGTCTTGCAATTGAACATGAAGCCGTGCCGATATACTTTGCCTGCTAAAACTTAGATCTAAATAGGCCAGGAACGAATGAGATGATCGGAGGAAGTTGAGAGGCGAGGTGCATGTTGAAGTTGCCTTATGGACCATGAATTCTATCGCGAGGAAACCCCAGACTCAGGATAGGTTTCTGATAGATGCATAGAGGTACCCAACCTAACGTAAAGCTTCTTCTAGAGTCTGTAGCGGAACCCAAAACTCTTCCAGTCTGTAGTATCTTCATAGTCTTCCGGTCTCAATCGGACCTCATGAACTGCTTCGGTTACATTACGTGTATCTGTAATGTCGAATACTTTACCCCCGCCGACAGCACCGGAAGCTCCAGCACTTCCTTGAATGCCTTCTTCCCGTTGTCTCCATTTATTGACTAGTTGTAAATAAACCCTGAGTGTCGCAATGAGGAATATTACCAAGGCATAGCAGACCATGATTGCACGAAAGGCCGTATCATACGTTGGCTCTTCATCTGATTTGAATAATTGGGGACCGACAATACTAAAAGAAAATTAGCAAGCGGTCCTGTAACATTTAATAGAGGCGAATTAGAGAAATCCATTACTTACTTGCCGGTGCAATAAGCAATAAATAGCATTGCGGTCATAGTCATTTTCTTGGTGACACCTCGATAATTGGATTGCACAAGAGACAAAAGAAGAGGTAACGCAGATGGGCCGGTAGATAGAAGAAAATACCCAAATAGGGAGACACCATGAGGAATAGAGCTTCGGCTCCCGATCAAGGCAGATCCGACTACTGGTGGTACTACGACAAGGCCGACAAGAATGCAGTTCATCGAGCGGAAGCGTCCGGCTACCCACCCAGTTCCGGAGATGGCTGCTACGGAAATGATAGAGTATGGAATATTAATGAGTGTCGACTCGAGTGACGAAAACCCAAATGACTTGATAACCAAGTTTGCGAAATTCTGAGTACCGCCATTGGGAATTTGGCAGAGTAGTGCAACTGACCATATAAGCCACGTCTTAGGATCTTGCAGACATTCCGTCACCTGTTCCCATTTCCAGGTCGCGTTTTCTGTGCGACCTGTACCGGCGATTACAACTCGGTCGCCAGCCCATTGACGCTCTTCTGGAGATAGAAATTCGGCGCCCGAAATAGTATCGGGCAATAGTAAGAGAAGCCCAAATCCGAGGAGAAAAGTGGCGACGCCCAAGATGATAAACATCCAACGCCACGGGTGGATATTATCAGAAACATGGCCAATCCCGTAGGCGAGGAGTGACGACACGATGCCGCCTACGGAGTTACCTGCGAACCAGATACCTGTCCGAACGGGAATTTCGTCTCGAGTGTACCATGTGGACGTTATGAACATCAAAGCGGGCGAAATAGTCGCCTCTGCGATACCGAGGAAGAACCTCACAGTAATCAGGCCGCCATAATTAGAACACGCGGCAGTCAAGGCGACCACCGCGCCCCATACGAAGGTGTCGGCGGAAAGATATTTACCTATCGGCAGGCGAGCTACCAACAGGGTCGTAGGGTACGCCCAGAGAAAATAGCCAAAGTAGAAGATGCTGGATACCCAGGAATAATTCGAGCCCTCAAGGTGAGTGTCTTCTCTCAGACCGAACACCGACGCACTTGACAATATGGTCTTATCCATGAAGTTGAAGGTGTAGGTGAGAAAGAGGAGCGGCATGATGCGCCAATCGATGCGCCGCAAGATACGGCGCGCTTCATCAGGTCCAATATTACCGACCGAACCGCCGTCACCATTTGGCACGAGGTTAACTTCTGGTCCGGCCATTATAGGGTGGTTTTTACTACGGCTTGACTCTGGTTGATCGTGTTGGAGTAGCGGCTCTCGCTCGCTACACGACAGCATGGTCATTGTAAATAGCTACTCACTCACTCGCCCACCTTAGCTAAGTTACAGGTAGGTATATAGTGCAAACCGAGACAGACAATCTCTGGCGAATCAACGGGGTCGATCTTGATCGGCCGTCTCCGGCGCTACCAATGCAGAGGTTGCGGTCGCGATAACGTCTTCCCCAAGAAGGGCAAACGGGACTGGGATATGTCGAGCCCAAGGCGTATCACACCCGGAACTGGGAAGGAATCTCAAGTTGTGACGCGCATACCTATCTTATCTTATAAAACAGACTCTAATACACTTTCGTAACTTTGAGAGCATTATATTGGTATTCTGCCTGTATATCATTACAAGCGCGTTGGATGTTTCAATTAGCTACGCGTCTTTTGAATGTGATAAGGATAAATTCCATTTATGTACATGAACCTCTACACGGTGTACGTAACTTCTAGGTATTAGCCACATACAGCCACATTGTCGATCACATTCAGGGGCTTGTGATTTATAAGTGGCTGGAAGTGGTCAAAGTGTTTTTCCCCTGGGAGAAAAACACATGAATTCTCTCTTGAGCATGAATAAAGAAAAAACATGTTTTTCTTTAACATACCTTAGGTACCTAGACAATATACTAATAATTCACAAAGGCTAAGATATACGAGTCGGGACTATGTCTCAATGACAAAAGAAATAGTCTGACTTAATCATGGCTACCTATTGCTATTCCTATATCCTATTACCACCTTTGCCCGAGCACTCTGAGTGGCCCTTTGGGCTGCTCGCCTGAACCCTTGCGTCCCTCTGCCCCTAGCCAACCGTTATCTCCCTGTTTGTTACCGGGTGCTGCGGGTGGTGGTGCTGCAGTGGGGTAACCTTGAGCGCTGGTGGCCTGAGACGAGGGCGTTGCTTACGGAGGTGGTACATTGGGATGTCCCGGCTGGCTCGGCGGCGGTGGCCCCAGAGGAGGAGGCGGTGGCCCTTGATGTGGCAGTGATCCCGGCGGTGGTCCTGGGGGTGGAGGGGGCGGTCCTACAGGCGGTGGTGGCGGCGGTCCTGGAGGAGAAGGAGGCGGTCCTGCAGGCGGCGGCGGAGGAGGTGGTGGTCCTGGAGGACGCGGTGGTCCCGGAGGAGGAGGCGGTCCTGGAGGACGCGGTGGGCCTTGATGGGGCGGCGGCCCTGGTGGAGGGGGTGGTGGTTCTTGATGGGGCGGCGGCACTGGAGGAGGCGGCGGTGGTCCTTGATGGGGCGGTGGTCCTGGAGGTGGAGACGGCAGCCCTGGAGGAGGAGGAGGCGTTCCTGCAGGCGGCGGAGGAGGTGGTGGCCCTTGATAGGGAGGGGGTGGTGGTCCCGGAGGAGGAAGGGGCAGTCTTGCAGGCGGCGGCGGCGGCCCTGTTGGATAGCAAGGGACACTTGTTGACTCTCCAGGAGTTGTAGCCGTTGTGTTTCGTACTCCAGGTGGACTAGTAGGATATCTAGGTGAAGTAGCAGGTGTTGTCGTAGGTACCCTCGGTGTTGTTGTAGGCACTCCGGGCAACGTGGTTGGTACTGTAGCTGACGAAGTAGGTACCTGAGGTGATGTAGGATATCCAATAGTTGTGTTAGGATATCTAGGGGTTGTGGTAGGATATGGTGTTGTCACACCAGGAGTCGTAGATGTCGTTCCAGGGACCTCAGGTGTAGTTGTCGGAACCCTAGGTGTTGTGCTGGGTGTAGTAGGAATACCGGGCGGCGAAGTACCGGGGGTACTTGGGACGCTAGTACTGTTATACATATTCCGGGACGACGTTGATTTCGACGGGCACTCGGAAACCGTAACTGTCTCAGACCTAGTAACTGTGATCGTTGGAGGGGTGGCCGGGTAAGTCTCGCTTGTTTGCACAGGAGGAGACGTAGTACAGGTCAGATTTGCCGTCAGTGTCTTTGGAGGAAGAAGCGGTAGCGACGGCGGAGGTTTACTTGGCGTTTCTGGAGGGATAGTAGGCATCGACGGCGTGGTGGGTGTCTCCGGAGGTGTCATGAGCTTAGTAAGTGTCTCTACAGAAGGAATGACCATTCTTGGATATCTTGGGGTTAGCGAAAACTCCGGCTGCGACGTTTCCAGGCTTGGCTCCTGCGTGGTTACTGGTGTTTCTGGTGGACTCATCTCTGGAGGTGGAGATGCTGGAGGACCAGTGGGCGGAATTTGTTCTGGACATTCAGTGACTGTCGAAACGCAATCTGTATTTGATACGGTAACGAAAAGTGTGGTGGTCTCCGGCATACATGAACTTGAGCCGCCTTCGGAACCACTCGGCAAAGATGGGGAAGCACCTCCACCAGGTGGCGTCGTGTCAGGCGACGAAGGATATGTCGAGCTGGCACCTCCGGGACCACTGCCAGTCTCCTGGGGCGGCGTTGTCCCAGTACCACCGGGTGGGACAGACTCAGTTACGCTAGGATAAGTTGAACCTGCGCCTTGCGATGTAGTACCACCTCCACCCGGGGCTGTTCCGCTTGCGCCAGGGTATGTTGAGCCTATGCCCGGAGTAGTTCCAGAGCCAGAACCGCATGAGGAAGGCAGACACCCACTAGCGATTAAGGAAATCTGGTTACAGTTGCTTCCTCCAGGTGCAAGATATATCATCACCACACCGTCCTCTCCCGTAGCACATTGCCAGAAAGCAGACTGGCCATTGAACGTGAGCTCTCCGTTGCAGCCGATAGCAAATCCGCCTTCGGGGCTTTGGCCGAGGTCGCATTGGAGTATGGTACTTGGGGGCGTCCACCAACAACCACGGCCTTGACCATCAGACAGCGTATTGCCATTCAGAACAAAACTGGATTGTCCGACATTAGTTCCAGGGAGCCCCCCTTTAGTCTGACCACCGTCATATTGGCCAACTTGGCCGGTGAATGAGCCGTTTGTTGAAAGCGTGAAGTTGCATCCGCCATCACGTGCAACGAGGGAATATGCACCGCTCACAATGGAGAGCAGAACAAGCGGCTTGCTTGCCCGTATCATTTTGTCGGTATTATCGCAGCCAAAACACTCGTGACTCCTTTTCGAAACTTCTTAGGGTCAGGTATGAAAAGCTGCCCCGAAACGATAGGCTGAGGAGAAAGAAGAAAAGCCTAAACCAAAGAGAACGACAGAGAGTCCATCGATCTTATATTCCAAGATACTCGAGAAGGGAGACCCTGCCAAGAGAAAACTCTGAAAAGCTTGATCATTCGAGAAACGTCATGCATTAGCAGTTTGTGACAAGAAATCAAAGTTTGTGTTGGTAAATAGAATGGACCATCGCGCGGCTCATTGTGCCGTAGACCTCTTAGGCATTACAGACAATATGGTCAGACGAGGCTGGATAATCACGAGGGCTGATGAGATATTCCAAGACGCATAGTCACAATTCCAAGCCTGGATATGGGAAGATGCATCCTGCTGTTAGTGAAGGAGAGACAGTCGAAAACGAGACCGCAAAGCGCTGTTAGATCTCACTAACTCCGATATGATATAACATGTTGACGCAATTTGGACAGAGGGATGATGTATTCATCACGCGAGGCTTGTATTTTAACCTCGACCAACCCCTGATGAGCTGATTCGTACCTAATATATGGCCTTAACAACGATAGGATGCTGAGTGCCTGATTATGATATACGACACCGAAGACTCGGAGAATAACCGCAGATCCATAGTCCAGTATACCATGAATCGATTGAGAGTGAGCTATGCCTGCGGTAAAACGGTGCAACCGAACGGAATAGTTCGTTCGACAAAGTTTTCAAGAATTAAATTATATGAGGAATAGCTCTTGAGAGCATGAACCTCATGAGATGGCCAATATCGCTACCTAATTACTAACCCCCTCCACCAAAGATGAAGTATCAATCAACCCTATAGGCGGACTCTGGTGGTATACATCGTATGATAGGAAAGATTGAGTTTTGATGCTAACCATCTCCAAGACCACATTCTACCTCACAGGATATATCCATGGACGAAATTACGGGAAAAGGTAAAATCTCAGGTTCCAGCTCCTCGGATTGGCTTCTCTATATCATGTCCCATTTCAAAGTTGAGACTACCTCCTTACCCCTATCCATGTTAAACTCTATATTGCGAGATGTCAACTGTCAACTGTCACATGGCATAATGTATTTATATTTCTCCTACTAGGTGAACCTTGTATATTTATCTTTACCTTTATACCTAATAATTACAATAAATCCATGACATCAACCCGTTCCCGAACTAGCCGATTCTTGGTATGTCACTGTCTAAACCTTTGAGTTCAGCATTGCGTTAGTTACTTACCATCGCATAAGAAGCATTATATTCAACTCGGCTCGCTTCTATGACGTTTGCCTGGAGAATGATCAGGACCAGGTGGCTACTGTAAGCCGGACCGGCATCGGCTACAGCCCGTAAGGCTAACCCTCCACTCGACGTATACAACAAGTATATTCTTACATTTCCGCGTTATGCTGATGCAAGGCAAAAATAACCTCGTTTAAGTTCAGTTCCGACTGCAGTTATAGCCGCAGTAAGTAGTTCGTAATAATATTCTCGGTGCCTCCTCAATGACGATACTGACACAGGTTCTCCAGCTAGAAACTCTTGGACCGATTATGTCGTAAGTCTTCATCATATTGGCCTCGTATCAAGAGCGGAGAATAGAGTGTCCCACGTTGTCGAGTCGAGATTCATCTCGCTTTCGATTGCGGATTGCCAGAACTCCTCGAAGGAACCTTCCCCGCCAGCTTCTGCATATGGTATATCCGACCCGACTGCGGATTGCATGGGGACCTCTTGAAGAAGATTGGAACTGGTAGAATTGATCCCATCGGTAACGCCGTGAATAGTGCCATCGGCCCCTGATACAGTAGGTTGGTTGGTAAGATACACTCCATGTTTCTGCAAAACCTCGCGCAGAGAACTCAAGAAGCGCCTCGGAAGCGGAGAGACGTGCCGATCATCGTCGAACTTCTGGAAAGCCTCCCTGAGCTTTGTCTTAACCTCCGTCCCATCCGCCCCGGGCCTATTAAAGCATAAATCCATAACCATAACTGCCAGGGCGAGATGCATGTAATGCATAGCCAACCCCATCCGCGCGGTCGTGTAAGCCGGAGAATCGAACTCGGTCGGGTCCTCGTACCCGTTTATGACGGCGAACGCCGACTCCAGACAAGCCCGTCTCGAGTACGAGTATCGCGGGTCGTGAGATTGCCGCAGTAGAAACCTCTGATGTAGCTTACACCTTCTGCTGTGCGCCGCGTTCGTGATGGCGTACCTCATGTGCGGAATATACGGATACACGGTCTCGAACTTTCTGCTCGTCTCGCGGCTTGCGGGGTCGGTTCGGAAGAAGAACGGGAGGCTCAAGAGGAAATCTTGCAGCTTCTTGTCTAGTGCTATGATATTCTCGTAGGGCATCTGCAGCGCCTTGGACGTCTCCGACGGCACGGTATCGACTATTTCGCGGCACAGATGCGCGAGTCGGATCCTCTCGAGGAGAAAAGCCGTTCCGCTTGGTCGAGGGCCATCTGCGGATTCGGTCTCTTCGCTCAGCAGAATTTCGTCATCGAAATAGTACTTCGGAAGTCTGACGTCGATGTGATTCGGGTGGATAAAGTACATTCCGGCCTGAGGCCCGCTGATGGTTGACTGTAGCCAGTCTTCAGCTGTGATATGCCAAAATACTCTGCGCCTAACCTCCCGATCTATTAAATCGCGAACACTAGTCTCCTCCTTAGCAGGCCGTTCATCTGCGGCGTCTAATCGATGCAAGCGAAGGTCTCTGGCAATAGCCGCCGCCGTAGCTGATAGAAGACGACCCCTTGCAGAGAAACCATCGAGGTGGAACGAAACGAGAGACATAAAGATATAAGCTTGGACATCTTCCAGCGTCCCCGACGTATTCCTTCGCGAGTAGTCCAGCACATCCAGCGCTGCTTTGCCTATGACCTTTGAAATATGAACGGCCTCTTGTTCGCTAGTTGCTATCTCCGAATTCTCGGAGCATCGGTAGAAGAACCCGGACAGGGCAAATATGGAAAGCAACAGTCCGGCTTGTCCGAGCGGAACAGCCTCCCCCTGTCCGAGCTTCATATAGGTAGTCTTTATGAGAGACTTGGTAGTAGGAATGTGTAGAATACGACACATTTGGTCTATATTGGATTCGAAGTTTTGGAATAGTAAGGCTGCCTCTCTGTATGTCGGAAATGTTATAATGATATTGCCTAAAGGGTAGCTTGCTATTGTATCCTGGGGAGAAGCATGCGCTCTATGGATTTCGCGTGCTTTGTCTATTCTGAAGACCAAGCCATGGGATAAAGGAGAGAGCTGTGCCTATGGAGTTAGAGCCCACATACATTAGGTACCCAAATACAATGAGATATGCCCACGTACCAGCGAATCCTCTCTTGTCCCTATATTCTCCAGGAAATCCGAGTCTTTGTCCCGCGTTTGATGGACGTCGGGTCCAACGACGGGTTCTGAAGCGGGCGTAAATAGCGTCTGGCCTGCATGACGACTATCATCAGGGGCGTGCTGCGGATGAGTCGTCCCTAGAGAAAATGACTGGAAGACGGTAGCTTCTAATCGTTCAATACGTGATATCAATTCAGCCGAGCTGTACTCTGTAGTCGTTGTCTCTGGCGTCTTCTGGGGCGGGACCAGGAAATGACAGCTGATACCCCGTGCGGCGCAATTCGAACACGGCCGAACCCGATTGCATTTCAACTTTTTCGATCGGCATGATTGGCAGGACACCGGGTCCGGACGAGCCTTGCTTCTCTGCCTGGTTGAGTGCATGTTAAGGCGACGACTATATTGAGAACAGCTGGTTAGAGAACAAGATGGTGAGATCCATGGAGCTCCGCTAAAGGGTCCGCGGAGGCCCGAGCGCGCCCCTGTCAACGGCCACTTACTAAAGTGGATGAAGGAACGGATCGCTTTGGTCAACTAACTACGCTGCTACGTAGGATTAACCCCGACAGGTATAGTTAAGGTCGGGCATAATAGGGTATTACAAATAATCCATTCCTTTAGTTGGTGACATCTTAGCGTTGTTGAGTAATGGATCGAGCCTCCGCGGACCTTAGATAGAACGAAGAGGACGCAGCAGTAGGGAAATGAGTGTATATAAGGTATGCTTGTCATGGACACGTCTCTCTGGACCAAATCAGCATCACCTCACAGCAGCAACATCATAAACATTCAAAAGTACTTCTAGCTCCTTCCAAGTTTTTCAGTCCGTCACCATGAAGGAAGTCATTATTCAGCCCTCTCTCGACGCGTTCGAGGTTATCGAATCTCCTATTCCGACCCCTAAAGACAAGTTCATTGTTATCAAAGTCGTCGTCTCGGGATCTAACCCAAAGGACTGGAAACATCCCTACTGGTACGTCTGTTCTATCTTTCTCCGCCACCCTACCTAAAAGTTAGTCGATGCTAAGTCGCACGTAGGAACGGAACTCCCTTTAACACCGGCGATGACATCGCCGGAATCGTCCACTCGGTCGGCAAGGACGTTTACGAGTTCAAGCCCGGCGACCGCGTATGCGCGTATCACGAAGCTATGAATGTAAACGGGTCTTTTGCAGAGTACGCCACCGCCCCTGACTGGGCGACATTTCATCTGCCGCACAACGTGTCCTTCGAAGAGGCTGCAACCATTCCCACAGCAGCTTATACCGCCGTGGTGGCTCTGTATATCGAGCTGAAGCTTCCGGCTCCTTTTGATCTGAGGGGGTTCCCGGAGGGGAAGAAAGTGCCTCTCCTCATATACGGGGTCACGTCAGCCTGCGGCGCGTTTGCCGCCAAACTTGCTCGACTCTCGGGGATCGGTCCTATCATCGGAGTAGCTGGCAGAGCTACCGACTTCGCAATGACCTTGGCCGACCACGTCCTTGATTACCGCAAGGGCGAGGACGCATTAGTTGCCGGCGTGCAAGAGATCCTCGCCAAGGAAGGTCTAGGCGACAAGGTCCCGTACGTTTTCGACGCAATTAGCGAGGGGGAGTCGTTCGAAGTAGCCTCTCGAGTTGTCGACCAGAACGGCGGTAGAATTACCACCGTACTGCCATACCAGTTCTTCGCCAATGCCCGTGAGAACTTCAGGTTTCCGGATGGCGTGGAGGCTTCCAATACGGTTGTTCTCAGAGTCTTCACGACACACAAGGACGTCGGATATATCTGGTCCAGATATTTCGGACGTCTGTTGGAAGCTGGGAAGCTGAAGGGCCATCCGTATGAAGTTATACCGGGTGGGCTAAACGGTGTTTTGATAGGTTTGAACAAGCTAAAGGATGGACAGGCTAGCGGATTGAAATATGTCTACAAGATTGAGGAGTCTGGCGATGTCACTACCGGGCTACACAAATTGGATCCTGCCCTGGTGTCCCACAAAAATGCCCGGAAGGTTGAAGAGTTCTTCAAATTCAAGTTTCCTTCTGAATAACTTGGGATAGAATTACGAGAGGATCATTAGTGCCTCTGCTCAGGTGGTTACTCCAGCATCCTGGACGTTTTACATAAATAATTCATTGCAAATTGGGACGGGAATCAATCTCGCATTTTCCTAGTTCATGAGGTACATAATAAGGTGGAAATACTACCTCACATTAACGACCTAGAATTCGTGCATATCCCCCCTTATCTTCCATCCGTCAGCTTCTCTCAAGTATCATCCCAGCAAAGGCACGTACTGTCACGGGCAGCGCGTCTTCCTTTTCACATGGCCAGGTTTTCTTCAAACTCCTGGAGTTGGGAGATCCGTCCCTGAAACTGATTGGCAAACTCCACCCATCCTTCCTTGATTCGTTGAACGATCAGGCGGAGAGCCTCGGCCAACCAGGAGGCCTTCTGCACCAGATCAAAAGCTTCTACGTGCAGGATGGCAAAGTCCGTGAGTGTGCTTTCGAGGGCCCGGATCATGCAGGAAACACTTCCTAGCAAGTTCATCGTAGCCTCGGGTGTGGGGCAGTCCTTGTAGCTCGCGGGAAGATGGTTCTATATTAAGCGCTATGTTAGTGCCTACAGGTCTTATTGCTGAAGGACTATCTTGGTTGACCATCACTGTACTTACGAGAACTACATCTTCCACAGCTGCAATTCTGGCGTTGGCGTCGTCCAGATCTTCAGGGACCGTCGTGTTGAATACCCAATCAGGGAGAACGATATTGTAAGACATGGTGGATTGGTTGCAGTCGCTCGTCAGTTTGTGTGTAGGTAAAGCGGCCTGCTGAGGGGAAAAGGTGTGTGGGTTTTCAGGTTGAATATTTCTGGGTTTTGTAACGAGAAATAACTTAGGTAAATAAGGGTAAATAAGTGTGCATGTCTTAGGTACAGGTACCTAACGTAAAGGTAGCTAGAATAGGAAAAGAAAGTATTGAAATACACAAGGGAAGTGCCATGTTCTGCTGCACTGAGAGGAAACCACGCTAGCGTGTCGCTAGGCGACAGCGTGTTTGGTGAGCTAGGGTCTTGTTGTTTTCCCTGGGGAAACCTAAGACTTGGACTATCTTAGGTACCTCCTACCTACCTAGAGGTAGGTAACCACGAAGTAGGCAGCTACCTCCCAAGGCACCTTACGTGCCTATTTACGTTCTTTAGGACGTAGATATCTAGGTTACTTCCATACATGTAATCTATCGTCAAGTCTTTTCGCCCCGCTATTGCGCTCTCCTTTACTATATGGTCGATTAATGTCAAATAGGCAAATAGGACTGTCCTAGCTTCCAAAGCCCACCGCAACCTTTTATAGGGTTGTCAGTGAATTAATTCACTTACTACAACAAAGATCCTAAGGGCGTCTTATTGGCCCACTATCAGACTAGTGAATCAACAAGATGCAACAAATAAAGAATATACCCATTTATTTTAATATTAGCAAACTGATGCTAAAAACATTCACTTACAGTCTATATGATCCTTAGGCAAATATATACCTACCTCCTAAGGTACTTACCCAAAGTACCCAGGTAAAACAAATACTCATAATACCTGGGTTTTGTAGTCAATGTGCATTAACAACTAACAACGCAAAAGTCTGCCTTCCATAGCCAAACCTGCATTGGCATAATCGTACCTAAAAAGCCGTGGCGTTGTTATACCAACACACACAATTGTAAAGCATACCTGTTCTGGCAGTTCCGGAAGTTTAGTGGACCCAGTCCGGCTGGGCCTCCGGAGGATGTGGGGCATCCCCGGAATTGATTGTGTTACATGGGTTTCTTCTTGATATTATCACAGAGCTGGATAAGCACAACCCTTAAAACAAGATTATGAAATAGAATCGCTTGACTGATTTCTCTCCAACTGTCACAATGTATCCACTGTCCCAACCAATATCTACCTAGATAGGTACCTCTTACACACATCCCGGAATTTCATGTGCTACTTTATAGCGCACTCCTCCAGCTTCAACACTTGGGTCAGCCGAAAGCTTTCATCGCCCATCAGCAACCGGGTTGCAAAGGCATGCTGGAAAGCTTTAGGATATATATCCACTTTGAGAATAGCCGTAAGAATTGCAGTGGAGGAAATATATTTTGACTGCTAGTCGCGTAATTGATATGAACAATAAATGATCTAGTGCCCGCATCCTTCGAGTCGGGAAAGTTCTCTACCTACCTCCTAAGGTATCCATGGTTAATCGACTAAATAACATGCCTGTGGTATCAACGAGATACTTCTAAGCTTAAAGGCGATTATTTTACGAAACATTTAGACAAATTCTATGGCATGCATGGTATAACGTGTCACTACGACTGTACGATGGTCTCTCCCTGATGGTCTAGAATAGGAACTTTTCCGTATCACTCATGCTGCCCTACCGAGGACGTTGGGGTCATCGAGGATTATTGTAACATCGCTCTCAGTTAGGTATGATGACTGATGCTGTGTTTGGCTCCGAGTGTCTCTAGAAGGATTCGACATTATCCTTGATCTAAAATTCTAAGTCTTGTCACCTATTGTTGCTGTAATTGTTGGAACAGGAGAAGAGAGCTTAGTGATGAGTCTGGCTCCTTTAAGCAGTGTATCGGATATGATACCACATGACTTCATCTCTATCTAAGTCGATAGCCAGTCACTCTCGCAGCAGGAAAGGAGAGGACTTGTTGGAAGAATCATCGTCAACCATTTTCTTGAGTCGCCATATTAATCACCACATTACTTCACACTGACGGAGTTATGGTTCACAGTTGACTGGATCGATCCTAGGTCATATATCACCTTCAAATCCCCACGTCCTATCAAGAGCTGACCCTGCATGAAACGTGCAACAATGATCTAGTATCCCTCTTCGTTCATGCCCTTCGTACACCTTGTGCCACTCTCGGCATTTTGTCTCTCGTTGACCCTTAAGGATATCAGAATTCTAATTATCGCATTTTCTAAGGGAAAATGCCATAACCCCTGTATCACTACTAGTTGGGTAGGTAGGTACCGTCTCACTTTCTTCGTCAGCAACTCGCTCTGCATGAAGTAAGTTACTCGATACACAGAGATACCTGCCCCAATCCAATGGTTGGACTAGTTAACAGCACATGCTTTCCTTGCGAGCCCTTCAGCCAGAATCTTGAGTTGATCGGACTTGTTGATGCTTCTTTTTAAGAGCAGCTAAGACATGATATGTCTAAGACTAAGGCGAGGGAACACGGGTATGTGTTCATCGGGCCTTAGGGGCCCTCTTTAGCGAGACACAGTGGCTGAAGCACTCCCATTAGGAAGAGATGCATTCCTTGATGTGGAATGGATCTGTGCACCATCGCCAAGCCGGAGATTTCACTGACTTACTTGCAATGCACATCACCCTTCCCAGTGGGTGGGCGTGGATCTACACGTACATCGTTATTTCACTCCAGGTAGGTAGCTTGTGTTTTGTTGTTTCTACGTACCTACTTCGTTGTATTTCCCTGGCGCGTCCCCATGGCTGTCAAATATGAAAAATCCGACCCCAGAGCCAAGTCTTTGGAATCTTTCTCTGCATTCGTAAAATTCGTTTCTCGACGACGCCATATCTCACGATGCCGACTCTAGACGTGAGCGAGTTGAATATAGTTGTTTCTGTTCTCGGTAAGCTGGCCATAATCAAGACGACTGAACAATCCTAACGCGCTCTAGGTGCTTTTACTGTAATCTACGGCCTGGTAGCCGTTAAGTTAAAGGGGGTGTGGTACCTCGGGGAGGCATGTTAGTGCAATTCTATGGATTATGATATTTATCGACTTCGGTTACGTGATTCTAATTACCTATGCGACAGTGCCGGCGGTTCTTACTGGTATGATCCTAGGACCTATCGCGGCAAGGTTCTTGGACGCCAAACGATGGGGATCGGCTACCCCAGGCCAACAAGATGCGATAACCCTCGGTATTATGAGAGTGATGATTGGTATTCAACTGTGAGTGCGATGCGATGCGAGCCATACTCGTTCGAAAAGATGCTGGAATATCGAACAAGTTCACGAGTCTAACCAGGCTTTTATTCCGACTATTGTAGGGTTATTGCAGGATACCAACTCCCAGCGAGATATCTCCAACTCCACCGTAAAGCGATAATCGTCTGCCTTGTCCCTATCATGGCATTAATGTGGTTGGCAACCTCTATTTGCGTGCTTGCGACGATCCCGAAGATATCCTTGCTCGCCGCTCTTGTTATGGGCGCGTGCGTTACCTCTACGGACCCGATTCTCTCCCAAGCCGTCGCCAAGGGCCCATTTGCCGACAAGTATGTCGCGCGACCTCTCCGAGAGATCATCTCAGCCGAGGCTGGTGCTAACGATGGTTTTGCCTCGCCATTTCTAATGCTTGCTGTCAACCTCCTACGCCTTACGGAGAACCGAGAGGAAAAGCTCGTCGAGCGCGGCCGAGGCGTGGGCGAAGATACGCGCGATGTGGGCATCGCGCTAGGCAACTGGGTCATCGAAACTCTTATCTATATTGTGTTGTTGGCTATTGTATACGGGGCTGTTACGGGGTACTGTGCTAGAATGGGGATTAGATTCTCACTCTATCGGAGATGGATCGATTCGGAAAGCTACCTGCTTTTCCCGACGGCCTTGGGAGTGAGTATTTCTGATGATTACTTTATGGTTGAACGATTGCTGATAACATCGCAAAGCTGTTTATTGTTGGAACCTGCGGAGCAATTGGTACTAGTGACCTTCTTGCATGCTTCGTTGCAGGCTGCGCGTTAAATTGGGACGGGCAGTTCCTCGCAGAGACAGAACGCCGCCACGACGAAGTCAATTCGTGCATCGATGTTATGTTGAATTTCGGCGGCTTCATGTATCTTGGCATTGCGATGCCTTGGGGGGAATTCCATCAGCCCGCTACTACTGGCATTACCTATCCTCGTCTTTTTGGTCTTGGCGTCCTGGTTCTCTTATTTAGACGGATACCTGCCTTGCTTCTTACATATAAGACCATGCCGGCGGTCATAAAGAACTGGCGAGAAGCACTATTCATGGGGTATTTTGGCCCAATAGGTGTTGGAGCTGTGTACTATCTCCAACATACCCGGTTGTTATTCCCGAAGGAAAAGGCAGCCAGTCCGCGGGAGCGAGAACTCCTCGATGCAATATGTCCAGGTAAGTTGACTTCACTAAAGACTCTCATGCCCGCTATCTAATATGTTCGCTAGTGGTATACTTCCTCGTCTTCTTCTCGATCGTAGTACACGGTCTATCCATACCAATTCTCAGCGTCATTTATAAATACTTCAACGTCCGGCCAATCACCGAAGATGCCGTTGAGATTAGGCGGAGAAGCATCTACATGGCGACCCCCGTAAACGCCTTAGCAGGCGACCATGATACGTTCATCGTCTACAACCGATTCTTCCGTCCTCTTGTAAACATGGCGACACTTCCAATTTCGCGCTCTCGTAATCGTAGCGACACCGATAGCGTCTCGACCGAGGCCGAAGAGGAAAAAAAGCGCTCTCAAGCGATTAACCTAAGTAGGATGATAACGACATAGAGGAATTGGAGAATGTTCTTTTTTTTGTTTGTTTCTTTCATGTAAATGTATGGAAGACCTTTCTTGGAATAGGCCACAATGTCCATGAGACTCCGTACGAGATTATGAATCCATCGAAACGACTATCTCGACTTTCTATACTTGGATGATTATAATATTTTTTTCGTTTATTAATTGATTTAATTCTTCAATTTGATAATATAGCCGATTGAAGAACGCGGGTGGCTATCTGATCAGTATTCTCGTACAAGTAAAAAGTAATAGGCCAGATATATCCGGTCCACCCCAATTTTATACCAGAATATAGCCCTGTCACTCTGTGATATCTTTACCAATAAAACGCATAAAATCGTGCTTTTAATTAATTATAATAGAAACGCGGTTTAACTTTAGGATAAGCTCAACCTCGCAATTTTTCAAGCTTCTTTCATAAAGATGTTGCAGAGTGACAAAGGCTAAAGTACCTAGCCAAATGGTATTTTTCGACCCTGACTGTACGTAAAAAGAAAGGCTAGGGAGTTCCTCTCATATCATCTTCCAACCCTTTTTAGCTTCGAGACACTCTTCGACGCTTAACAGGCGTTGTAGGTATTTTCAACTCCCTTCGTCTTTTATACATCAGGGATTTGTAGCTATGTTGACACAGCCCGAGTTTCTCTCCTCACCAAATCTTGGGCCCTTAACTTGTCAACGGAGACCTGAATAGAAATATTATTGAACCCGTTAAAATCCTGTGATATCGAAAGTATCTCCTCCCCTAACAGAGGAACTGTAATATTTTTCACCAATCTCGGGGCAACCTCAGGCTTAGCGGTGTCCTGCAAGTTCCAGGTACGAAGGACCGAATGCATATACTCTTCATCCGCTTCCCGTTGACTTACCTCGTGCATAACAAGGCACCAATCATGCTGGTCGATATTCCCAATTAGGAATACATAATTGGTATCCTTTGCGCGCTGCGGTATTGTAAGCGCCACCACAACTGGGAATTTAAGTAAAGGGATAGTCCATGTTTCCCAGCGATTCGTAATCCGAACAACCCTTTCGTTCTCGTAGGTCGTGGTTGGAAGCCCCACGGAGAACACATGCGAATGGCACAGAGCAGTTACTTCCGGGGTTTGGGGGAAATGTAGATCGATAGTCGTCCAGCTATGAGAAAGGGGGGCGATGGACGTATGTCGAGTCTCGAGATATATTTCTCTCCAGACGGGGTTGCTCTCGTCCTGTGTCCTATGCACGTCCGATTGTCTTAGGTAAAATAGCTGGGGTTGTCTACAATGTGCCATTTTGCCTGCAGGTCGACAGATGCGTAGGAATATGAACAGCGGGCAACTATCGTCATCGTACCAACATCTCGTCCAAGCTAAGGAGAACCTGTTATGAGCTGAATCCAGGCAGAGAAGGGCGACATGCACACCTCGGCTTGTAAGGGACATAGCTGGGTGGCTGCTATCCTCGAATATCGAACTGGCATCTACAGGGAGTTCTATTTGGTTGCGGAGCTTGCGTAAATCTATTTTAATGGAATGGTCATCATAATCAGGCATTTTAGGGTCGAATGTCCAGTAAGGATCATGCATGATCTGGCCACTGAAATCAGCTGGACTGTCCGCCAAGAATATGTCCCAGTCTGGACCGTTACAGAGGAGGATCGTGTAGTCTTCATATTGATGTATGATTTTTTCTTGTAGCCTTTTGAATGACTTTGTGCCTTCTCCGTACAGTAAAGGCATGTTGATATCAAAAATTCCCATCAGGCAATATGCCATGTCTTCCACTCTTGTTGTGGACCTATTCGCGGCCCAAGACATTTTGAGGGCCACCGTAATATCAGACAAGGAAGTACATCCCAGAAGTACGTCTTCATTGATACCTGTAACTTCGGTGATTATTTCTCTGAGATTTGATTTTGTTCCCAGCTCGGTCCAGTCCTCGCTATAAAATTTGATGCGTCGTGGCGCCACTAATTCTTGTAGCGTCCAGCCACGAGTGAACCATCTGCTATCCTTGAAGTAACCCCTGGTTCGTGGACAAGAGAATTTATTAGGATCTCCCGAGCTTGGCTGCACTTCATCCTCTGGGACAATTTTAGATAGTTCGCTCGGATCTAGGATACTCTTAGATCCTTTTATGTTGCCAGTTCCAACGTCCGAGAGATACGCATAACAGATACAGCTGTCAGCGTACCATCTATACATTGAATTGATAGCTATCGGTAAATTAGCTGACATGCTTTAAGTCAAGATGAAGGGTCTTTCGATAAACAGGACTAGCCTCACCCTCTGATAACTCGGCGCTACTACATTTATCTATACAGCACGTATCAATCCACACCCATTCGTATCCGTCCTTAATTGCTTGACGGCAGCAACCTAGCACTTTTTATAACCCTGCCGCAACGAGGCATGGCCGTCTTTGATGTCTTGGAATAATACCTCCTCATTTTCCCACAGATGGGAAAGGATGGCGTATCGCGGTCTCTTCTGAGTAAACTCTACCACCTCTAAAGTATTCGTATTTAAGAGCCGCATCTTTCTATGACGACCTTGCTAGGCGGAAGAACATCTTGTACAGGCAAAGCGATGTGCGATGGTGGTATAAACTTAATTGATCCACCCCCTAAATCGAGAAGAAGGCCACTATTAGTATGGCCCCTGATGAGGCTGAAATTGGGGCTGTGAGCGTAGTTAAAGGTCCCGTGGTATGTAAGTCGTGCGATGATCGTAAGATAAATTATTATCAGCGCGATTTTATTAAATTGATTCGAGGTACTTCCGATGCATGATTTTTCATGCTTTCGAGAAAAATACCACAGTCAGAGTCTAAACATCGGGTCCACTTCGAAATTCCCACCAAAAACGTCCATTTTGCTACATTGTCACTCTGCAATATCCTTACTAATAAAAATGATAAAAATGATGTTCTAACTGTATCTTATAGGGATTTGAGTTAGATATATATTTTTTATACAAGAGCCTTTGACATATTCAAGGTTACTAAAGCCTTTCTTGTTAAAAGTTGATTCAAGTTGACTTTTTAATTTTCCTATACAAAGATTTGACATGAATCAACCTTCAACCACGATAACCTTACAAATTTGAAGTGCATCAAAAGCCCTTATATAAACGTTCTTCAGCCCGTTCAAATAACTATAACCTAGAATCAAAAAGAATATTTTTATCATTTCTATTGGTAGAGTTATCGTAGAGTGACAAGGCTGAGTTTCGGCGTAAAACGGGGCGTAGGCCGGACAGTTTTGGACCACTACTGTACATGTAGCGTGTTCAAATACAGGCTCAATTCCCTTCTCAAACTATTGTCTAATAGTTGTAAAGCCTTTTTTTCTTTTTTTTCCTTTTAAAAAAGCCGTCAAATGTCAAGTTTAAACACCTGACGTATCTAATCCGAGTACTCATTAATATGAACAAGGCTACATCTACTTGCAATTACTCCTGCTCAGATTCCTCGATTAACTTCTCGAATGCTATGGTGCTATCATAGGCGATATTCAATTATTGTGAATGTCTGATTAACTCGGTATCCCTTCGGAATACCCAAGAAGATCCGTCGACTGAGACACTCTTGTAACCTAGCACACCTTCAACAAACGGTAATACTATCATAGGCGTCACAAGGATTTCGGGGGTGCGGTCCCTGGCGGTCATTATTAAACGGTCATACATAACACCAAGTCCAAATGAAGACTGGTGCAACTTGACCTTGATCGCGTGTGGCTGCACAAATTTGTTGTCTGTTAGACATTGCGTACCAATATGTCGTTACACTCTTGGAGAGAATCACTTACATGCCCTATATCCTGATAGTTGAGCTTGCGCCATTTCCTTAGATACTCTTCGAGGAGCTCAAGCGTTGGGCTATGGCTACAGTGAACCTCGACAGTGGTCTTACTTCCACCGTATACTGTGAGGTGATACGGCGGCTTGAGAAGTAGATGGCCCGGACGCGGTAGGGTGCTGATATGTGGTACTATGTCTAAGGGCCGAGGCTCCTCTATCGTCGCCGAGCGTTTATTTGTGGCTTCTATGGAGACGTCTGCCCGGTCATCTAAGGAAAACTGCGGGTCATCGATGCAATTATTCAATTGAGTTATGAATGAAGACTGCATCTTAACAGAAGACACCATTGGGCCTCTAGGGAGGTTGACTTGGAACCCTCGACTTCTTGATGGCGAAATACAGATTTTTTGGTTCGTTGCGGCCCAAGAAACTGTTGGGCCCTCTTTATCGGTAACCTGATCTCAGGGCTTAGGTATCAGCATCAACCTCTCCAGTTAATTTTCAAGTTTTCTTACGCCGATGAAAACTCTCAAATCACCCTCCACATTCTCACAAAGGGCATCAGGCAAATCTGGGTTCCAGCTGAGGTCTATTGTGTCCTGCAGCCCATCGACAAACACCCGAACAACATTTGCAACGAATGGAACAAATTCTGACTTATCCGGACAGTCGCTACCTAAATGCGATAGGAGATCACCCCAGTCAATCTCGAATATTACGTTGATGCCGGAATTTTCCTTCAAGGCAGACCGCATCACTTGGAGAGGCGAATTAATGTTATCCCAGTGGTTACGAATGCCATCCCGAACGTCGCAGGGTCTACAAACTGTTTAGTAACTTGGAAGGGTAAAGAAGTGGGAGTCAACTTACAGGCTTGGTGATGCCATTGGGACCCAGAGTTTTCAATATAGCGAACAGATCTTAAAAGATCTCTTCTGCAGACTGCAGTGTCCTTATGCGATGGGAATAGAAGGTAGTACTCGCTGTCTTCTCTCCATAGGGGTTCACTAACACCACCTTGTCATTTTATAGGATTGACACTCGCCGTTGGACGCTTGCATGAGGGAGACTTAGCCCAAAATAAAGGTGACAATTGTGTGTGTTGTCTTCCTATGTAAAAGAAAACATGTTTTTCTTTTACAAACAATCACTTAACACTCAAGAGAGAGAGCATGAGAGCCAAGCCTGAAGGCTTGCCTGCAAGGCGTTTCCGTACCTAAAGCATCCTTGCGCTTGCAGACATAATCCCTGTTTTCCGCGTTGTCTCCAGGGTTATTAACCAATCATATCCACGACCGTTTTCTTCACTACTAGCTGCCACCTGGTTGCACGCCGCCGTTTGCGGCTGAGCAGCAACAAACTAGTAGAGTCAATAGTGTACTGAGCGAAACACCTAAGAACGCCAAACCCTCGGTTTCACTTCCACATCGGAACTAAGTCGTATGTTTGGATATCTTAAGGCAGAATTAACACTTGACAAGTGCTATGACGACGAGGCGTAGAAGTATGTAACTCAAAAGCTGTTGGTACTAGCCCAAGAATTGCAGGAATTAGTCTCAGCTAGCCCCTTTAATTGAGCTGAAGCCTGGTTGGAAATGGGGTCGGAAAAGGCAACAGAAGTAGGGAAAGGGGAATCACGATAATTGATACTCCTATTTAAGACTCCCAATCTCCCAATCTTCCATTCGATCATATAGTCTCCTAAGAACAAATCATATCGCACGACTCATCAATCGATTTCCTCACACAGACTCTTGAAAGACTTCTTAGCATCAAGTTTCCTATTCAACATGTCTAAGCTACCACCTGTTGAGAAACTTCCGCTTTCCCTACGCAAGAATGGTAAGTCGGTATACCATAGCCTCCTTGCCAAAGCTGACCGATCTAGTTCGCGATGAGTGGGACAACAAGAAGTCAGATCTCGAAGAAAAGCTTTCGGATACTCTCACAACCCCTTAGACAGTTGATGTGAATCCCAATCAGATATACGCCTACGCTACGGAGGGCTACGCGAAAGAATCGCTCGGTAATTGCATTACAGGGTAAGTGTCGAAGCAAGCTATTGCAGTTGATGTTATACTCATTGCTATTTTAGATACGTCACAGGGGCGATATATAGATTTAAATAGTTTAAAGATAATGCGGGGGAACACGGTTTAAAGGAGCTAAACACCATCTGCTATTCTCACGTCTTAACCATCGACTTAGATGATGCCAACCGCTTTCTATATTGCGGCGCAGATGTCCACGAGGGCAAGCTACGCATCTTGTTCGCGCCAGGAAAGCTGGGTACCAACATTGACTCTGCACTCGATCACGAAGTCCTTGCCAAGGCACTGAACGACGCTCCGACCCCTGCATCGGATAACGCGCCGGCGCTAAGCTTCGCAGCACGGTCTAGTATCAGCAGGGACTATGGGCCCAAGGCCGAACAGATCAGGGCCCAGATCGCGGAGATTTTGACGAAACCTGATATCAAGCTAAGCCCCAATTTCGAAGACACGTTCGCGACGCTTCAGAAAGCAGGTGAAGCGGGCGAGCCTGACTTCCGGTCGGACTGGGAGGGGCTATTGGGTGAATTCACAAGGCTTTACTGGGAGGGCCTGGTCAACCAACTCAAGTCCCAGAAGTTCGATGAGGACGAACTGCTACGTGAGGGGTTCCACGAGGCGGTCGAGAAAGGCGAGATTGCATTCCGTATCGTAGATGCGCTCAAGTATAGCTCGTATTGCGAATGCGAAGTCGAAGATGGTGTCTTATATCTTCAGGTAAGAAATCCCCTTCTCCCACGGATATGTATCTCTCGTCGGATATGGTCAAAGTGCAAATCTGCATGCCTAGCACATGTGCTGCTTGCTACCCTAGGCGCCTATTTACCTGGTTACCTCTATCACATGCTAAGTTCCTCACAGTGCACGACCAAAACCTGGGGCGCCAACATCGACGATGCTGCCCGGGGACTCTTTGATTGGTTGTGAAATAAACGCGGCTCAGGGGTAGCAACATCTAATAGGGGAGGGATAGCAAAGAATTGAGTTATCATATCATACCTATTATGACAATATTCCGCGAGATGCTATAACACGTGTCACACAAATTTTACAAGAGGCGTGCATAGTTTGGAGTCTAACTATCTACCTTTAGCGAATATCATTCTTATGACTGGACTATTTGTAATAAGTTAACTCCATCCAGTATACCGATACGCAAGGGCTTAGTCGGAGATAGTGTTTGGTTCAATGTAACGCTCCCAAACATTAGTAGTGCCAGGTACTCAAACATGCAGGTTGTCAGCTTACCTTCTCTGTTCTTAGATAGGCAATGCATCCTTAATACCACTTACTAAAAGCAGAACATGTTAACATATGGGTAACTGGTTAGCGGTAGATCGCTTTTACCTACCTCCTACCTACTATGTCACGAAATCGAGGGACCAAAAAATAATAGGGAGATAACTTCATTGTTCCGTCAGGATTTCTAATTAACTAAGATAACTCTAGGAACCAGCGTTATAAGCGTCCTTAGAGAAGGATCTGTGGCTATTTTGGCAATTCCCATCTGAACAATAACAGTTACAAGTACAGATCTCCGAGAGTTTTCGGTAGAGGCAAGTCATATGAGGAACAAAGTGGCTCTTGTATATCATATCTAGATTGGGTATCCCCATAAAGGCTTAAAAGGGGTTAGCAAAAAAACACCCCAGACATCGAGGTAGTATTATACCCCCTCATATCCTTCGCCTTAACGCCCCCAGCCTTGCCAAATGCACGCCGCGTAATACGACATGATGCAGGGTACGTTCTTTGGCACGCGACGTGGCTTTCTTAGAAGCGTTCTATAGGGCCGCCTTACTTCGGTATTTCAACTCTTGAGATTCGGCTACAGCAAACGCGCAACGCCGCATATTTACATGATCGTGATTTCACAGGATCTCTCAGCCCCCTACGTTAGGTAATATTCCATTTTGAGGATCCGGTAATAGGCCCCCAGCCTACACCGACTGCTCATACGGGGCGCAATCCTTTAACGACATGATCCGTGATTTGCCGTCGATTACCTAAACATATCACGGAAGCGTTGTGTCAGTGCCTCATCGCCACCAGCAAGTGTTACGCTTTCAATTAGATAATAGGCAACGATTAGGAATTGATTTGAAATCCTCCTAGCCGGATGTGTTCTTTACCTACATCTCTGCCAATTGCTCCGAAATCCAATAACCGCCCCCATGACCGTAAGCAATTGCTTCGATAGCACTAAGGTCATTCGAGATTCCTTAACCCTTACCTCTTCCTAGACAAGGCAAAGGATCATCGAGGCGAAAGAAGATCAATTAGGAAAGCAGTGCTTGGATCTCCACAGTAATACCACACACGTACATCGGCCCTGTACTCAGGCTGTGTCTCCTTTAATGATGATAGGCGGGCATTGCATTTGCCTCAAGGGGCTGGACGAACCACTCAAGCAAAGTAAATGCTGTCGTAATTCGAATATATATCGTGTTTACTACGGTTGGCGGCCTCGCTCGCTCTAGGCTACAATTACATACATCTGAGAGTATACATCAAGGATCGATCAATACATGGAAAACGTGAATGGTCACAGCCCCATATGGTACTTGGAAATCCCAGCTACTTATCCGCTACCATCTAATATATAATCGAGGATATACGGTAGCTCTGGAAACAGGATCCAGTTGCTGATATTCCATCCACCGCAGTCACATAACCAGCATTGAACGGTCGTCCTATCGGTATTTTACAACGATGAGTCAAGACCAAGCCTATGTGCCATACTTGCCAACAATTAGCTTTGGGAAGACCACCAAAGCCGTTCTATACGAGCAGAGCAGGTGGCTGTGGGTTAACAACCAATTGGTCGATGACATGAAGGTGAAATATGCGATCAAATCAATACATACATCTAATGAACGAATTCATTAACTCTGTAGGTCCAGATCAACTCGAGGAGAACCTGCGACTTTCATGTCGATATGGTGTAAGTAACTGGAATTAGGCAATGGTGGTTGAAACTAATAGCTAGGATATAGGGCACTAGAAGCCGGCGCAATCGATGCTGACGGGCGCACTCATCTATAGATCCAACAGCCACATTTCCTATGGCTACTTGAAAGAGCCAATATACCAGCAGCTGTCGTGGGAGATCTATTTCATAAAAATAGAAGGCATTTCTTTGGCGTCGATGACTTTGGTGGTGCCCCGGGAGAGGATCCCACGTCAATGTGTAAGAGAATTTAATAGCTACAGTGGCTTGATCATAGCTGACCTTTGTTCCTCTTGAGACATATGCATGCGAACCCCGTCTTCGAGGTCCGAGTCTGCTATACCAACGACCTTCTCGCTGCTTCTTGGAATATCTATGCAGACAAACTCGGCAACATGTATTATCATCACGAGCGACATCGATAAAGCCAATATCATTATTGGAGCTCTGCAGCGTGACTATCATTTAATAAGCGCCTATCCTCTCTATGCACTGAAGATATTCTGCGAAGAACTAAGCAGGGTCAATGAGATGTGCTGGGACACTCATTTTCGAAGCTTTCAGAAGCTCGGAAGAGATATGCATGATTTTTGCAAAAAAAAAAAAAAAAAAAAAAAAACAGACCATCTACTCCAATCGTGCCCACGATGTTTTCGAGGCAATACACAGCTTCAACAGAGTGCGACAAGGACTGGTCACGATAGAATACGACCTCAAATTCGAAGTGGATGTTCTTCGCTTCACGCAAGATACGATTGCGAAGTATCAGGATATGCAACACATGCCTCAGTGCCCGGGGGCCTCATGGAGGGCAATGCGCGGCAGGATCACGAATCTCAAGGATGCGGCTAGATTCCGTCTGTGGAGGCTAGAAGGAGTAGAGAAGTCAACGACACATAATGTGGAAATTGTAAGTTTTCCTAACCTGGCGTAGATACCTAAGGTAAACAAGAGACGAATGGGAGAATGAGGGAACTGATTTCAGCCACCAGCTTAACAGCTATAATTCTCGAAATAATTCCAAACTGCACCTCAATATCGCCGAGACCACTCGAGACGACAGCATCTCGCTCAGGAGGATAGCCGTTGTCACGATGGTATTCCTTCCCATCACGGTGGTAGCTGTAAGTCCCCAGAACATCGTACCTATTTCACATCTCAAACTACAAGGCTGACATTAATTGTGTTCGCAGACGATCTCCGGGAGCAATGCAATTGATTTCGCAAAGCGGGAAATCGGGGGCGGAGTGACGGCATGGAAGTACTGGTGGGTGTTCCTCCTAGTCGCTATCACCTTGACCTTGGCAGTATCAGGTCACTTCCTGTATCAGGAGATAAGCCGAGTCTATCAGGGACTCGTGGGCCGAGAGCCGATTGATATAGAGTTGGAACAGGGCAGTGACAATGAGCAGAGTACTAATTCAAGAGAGAACAAGAAAGTGTATCGATCCGTGTGGTCTCATTGGAATCTGATACGGCAGGTGGTAGGGCGAGATGCGCGGCCGGTTAAGAGCACCTAGGGGATATTACCTATACCTGTCATATTGTGCCTGTAATCATTTGTATTTGGATAGCATTGTAGTCATTAAGCGGTAGTGATGTTACAGCCATGCTATTAAATCTAAACCATAGTAGTTTCACTATAATATGTTTAACTCAGAGAGTACCTAATGCTAGACAGTGTGGGAAATTCTAGATTTAAGCTTTGTCAAGTCGTACCACCTCGCAAATCAGCAGCAAACATTAGAAACATCCCCAGGGTTAAACTTTTAGTACCCGATTTAGATGAGGAAAGGACGGTGATAAGTTGAAGTGAAGGAAAGGACAGAAGTCAGCCCCTTAGGTGTGTACTTGCCTAAGGTGAATAGGGCAGTAGGCAATCGTACATGTAACCAAGCGCACGGACGCAAAAGTCTAAAAGCAGGCAAATAGGGGTAAAGTGAGTAAGTTCAGACGGAGCAGCTGATTAGTGGTCGTAAAGCCAATTAAAGTTTTCTTTGTGATGAGGTCAAGGACAAACCTAAGTGTCAAACAATTTTCTGTTTGCCTTATCTAATTGGATTTTTCCAGAGTTGTCTGAAGATTATCAATATTACATAGGTTAGGTTACCTAAGGTGCTGTGGTAGATGTGCTGATACTTCCACGCACTGTTGGATCTACCCAGATGACTTCAAAATCGAGGTGAATGGATTAAAATGCCTGTAGGTGCCTCAGTACCTGCGAAACAGTTGTCGGGTTCGAGGCAGGTACTTCAAAGATACCCAAGGTAGACTCGGCAACCTTGCGGTCATCAGGTCTACTTAACAAATAGATAGGGAAGAACATCCATTTAAAGCGACGGCTTGAGGTTTCCAGGTGATCTGTCTACCTATTCAAACAACGCATCGTGGTTTATGATGGTTGCAACTTAAGTGAATCTCAAAGCAAGAACACTCTAAAGCAAAATTAATCAAGCCAGCGACAAAAATAATTTGCAGACTCACGAATATAAAAGAAGTACAAAATCTGCAAATTATTTTGTCATCCAACAACGATTGATTGTGCGGTCCATTCCACTCCGACTGGTACTCTCTCGTTTCCACTTTGTCGCCTAATCTGCGTTTTGATACCACACCAAAATGGCATCTCAAAACATCGCTTCTCTGGTACGAGAATTAACTGAAATTGGCATTCCATTCAAAACGCCAGCGGACCCCGATTGGGCTGCATATTCGTCAACATACAACCTTCGCCTTCCAGTCACCCCTGCCGCTGTTGTTGTTCCAACCACAGTCCTACAGGTCAGCTCCGCGGTCAAATGTGCCGGTAAACATGGATTTAAAGTGCAAGCTCGATCGGGCGGACACTCGTATGCCTCCTACAGCAATGGAGGAGTGGATGGCGCTGTAGTGATTGACCTCAGGGACAATAATTTCCGAACTATCTCAGCCACGGAAGATCCCAACTGTGTTATAGTTGGTGGCGGCACGCAACTGGGCAAGTTGGCTCATTACATTGACAGATATACGGGCTGGAGACGAGCCCTTCCTCACGGTACTTGCCTCGGTGTTGGCGTTGGTGGGCATTTCACACACGGAGGGTATGGATTATTTTCTCGTGCCTGGGGCCTTGCTATGGACCGTGTCGCAAAGATAGAGGTAGTATGTGGAAATGGCGCCCTGGTCCTTGTTGACAAAGACCACTATCCAGATCTATTCTATGTGAGTTCTTAGGTCCTTATTCTCTTAATGTCTCGAGTTCACTGGCTCTCTCTCTTTTTATCTTATTTTTTATATATATTTTTATAACTAACGCTTGGAATTTCCAACAAGGCGATGCGAGGTGCCGCTGATTCATTTGGCATCGCGGTAGCATTTCACCTATACACAGTACCCGCGCCCAAATCCGTTATACTCTGGAACTTTACGGTTAGTGATGCAACAAAGAGCGTCGCAAGTGCTGTCATGGCCATTCAACACATCCAGGCCTTCGTTCACAATAGCTCTGCCGTCAATCGGAAATTAGGACTCTGTGTAACTCTGGCATCAAACCATCTCTCACTACAGGGAACATACTTAGGACATCGCGAGGACTTTATGAAAACGATCATGCCAGGATTGCTTGAGGGCAGTCCCGAGTTCTCAAGTATCCTTGTTCAACAGGTGGATTGGGCGACAGCTCTCAAGCAGCTAAATCATGGTCACGACGTAAATGCCCCAACAGACCACCCGGTCCACTCCAATTTCTTTGCCAAGAGTGTTACTATCCCCGAGCCGGGATTCACCGTCGAGCAGCTGACAGACTTCTTCAAATATCTCTTCAACGAAGGCTCGCGCGCGCCTGTCTCGTATTTTATCTTGCTCGGTCTATACGGAGGTACTGACAGCCAGATCAGCATCAGGGACCACAATTTCTCCGCGTTCGCGCACCGCGACGCTCTATGGGTCGCCCAGCTGTATGGGTACGTTGACAACGACAAAGTATTCCCACAGGAAGGTTTGGGCTTCATCAACGGGCTGGCAAACGCTATGACAGCGCGCCTTCCGCATTACGGCGCATACTCCGGCTACACCGACCCGAGTCTTTCGAGAGGGGAGGCGAACGATCTGTACTACGGGCGAGAGATACACCAGACACTGAAGAAGTTGAAAATGAGGCTGGATCCAGATAACGTCTTTGCGAATCCCCAGTCAATTGATGGACACGCGTGACTGTTCAATCTGTACCGTTGAGGCCTAGGCCTCCCTTTTCGGGTTCTTTAGCAAGCAGTTAGGTATGTAGTTGAGGGGCATGGAAAAAGGTGAAAAGTAGATGGGAATAGTACGCGATGAGGCTAATCGCATCGCAATATATAGCGTAGAATTTAGGTACCTAGTCATGCTGCCTCAATTAATGGTTCTGTAGCGTGGTTATCTATCGGTGAGTTTTGCTAGGCAAGGCAAGGCCCACTACTAGAAAACGTTTATCAATACAACGTTGAGTTACCATACTACGGTTCCTATCGCGATGCTGTTTGGAGTTCAGGTACTAGTCACAAATTTGATAAAGTATTGTAAGGGATGACATAACGCGTTCTGGCGTTACAGCGCGCGTTATCACATGCCTTACAAGGGTACCTGGATGCTTATCGATAAGAGTGACGCATATAGGTACGTACTGTGTCGGCACTGTCGTCAGCTACAGGCTACATTATCAAACTCCAAGTAGGTAGAGTTGATTATTCTTTTTCCAATTCATCTTTCAATCCTACGACCTATGTTGACATGGAGGCCCAAAATCGCTTCCACCAAGCCCTGCAACCGCTGAAACGGCTTTCTTCTTATATCTCGAGAGGGTTAATTGCAGCCTCATATCCTCTTCAAGGTATATACTACTTCTTACGTCATCCGGCATATTATCCTCTGTTTCTCGGTCGACTGCTCCCTCTTTCTATCATATCGTTCCTGGTATACACAATTCTCTTTATGTTTGCATTTTTGCCCCAGTATGCATTTTTAGCCATTTTCCACGGTTGGGGCGCGTGGATCAACGCCGTGGTGTTGGTGCTAGGTGAGGGCCTAGTTATCATCCAAGGGTTGTTTGAGGGCTTCTTCGTGGATGAATGTCGCGTAGATGTTTTTGACGTAAGTATCCGGTATCTTCACTCTATGAATGTTCTTATAGACATTCACTGCGAATAATTCGACTGTATTTCATCTTAACACTTATTAGGCAACTCTCATTGATCAAGGTCTGGAGCATCTCGTTGTGCCGCATCGATTACTATTCCCAGACGCCCCCAACTCCGTCAAGAAACTAGGAAAGCCAACCAGCGCCGCTGTTTACCAACCATGGAGTTTAATCCAGATCGTCGAGTTAATTGTGTTCCTACCTCTCAACCTTATCCCCAAGGTCGGTGTCCCAGCTTTCATCATAATTACGGGCGCCCGACTGGGAACATTTGCGCATTACAGGTGGTTTGAATTGAGGGGCTTAACGAAGAAGGAGCGTAAGCAAGAGATTAGGAGTAGAATGTGGGAGTACACGTGGTTCGGCACCGTGGCCATGATACTTGAGCTCATACCCATTCTATCTTTCTTCTTCCTTCTTACTTCAACAACGGGCGCTGCCCTCTGGGCTGCGAAACTCGAGCGGCAAGCAAGAGGAGAATTGCATTCCTCTGGCCCTACTATTACTCCCGCTTCTGCTCCGGCGCAGCAGGGAGACCCGCACGAGCATGGTCCCGACGAGCCTCCTCCGCCCTATGTGGATAACCCTGTATAATTAATTATGTGCGGTCGGTGCAGATTGTCTAATGATGAATTTTATGAACAACTACGAACTTAGCCTTGCTTTTTTCGGCGTTGGTACCTAATTACAGTTGAGATATAATAAGTATTAAGTATAACCTATACTGAAGGTCTCACAGATGCACATGACTTACTAAAATCGTTACGTCTATTGAACTGTTCAATGGGGGATAATGGGGGGTCTATTCTAAAAAGTGTTACTCCTCTTTAGGTATAATAGGAGACTTCCCTATGATATGCATTGACATACCTCGGTGAGGAACGTGAGGTATATCTAATTGCTCTCCACTGACTCTTACTAGCTGCTACTAGGTACCGAGGTAGCTATCAGGTTAATTTCAAGCAGTCTTGACTCTGACGCACACATTTATGGCTAATACCTAGGTACCTAAGGTGTACTCTATGCCTGCGTTAGGAAAGTAAGGTGCTATGGGATTCTCATTGCAATGGTACCAGCAGTATGTACCTAACATCTCCTGGCAATGCCATCACGTTATTCTCAATGGTTTCACCATCGAAGATTCACTACTTCCAACAAGTCTCCGTATATCCGCATACACTGGCGACTTCCTGGGCAATACCACACCAGTCTTACTTTACATAAGTCCCTTAGGTACGTACACTATAACCTAATGCGCTTCTCTTTTCATTAAACGTCATGTGCGATTACACAAGTTTCCCAAGTTGCTTCGAACTTAGAACTCTTGGAAAGCACCTCCTACATAGGTACATGGCTATCCAGTATGATGATACGACATCCTACTCTAATGAAGAAGCTATGCCTACCAGATCTCGACATTTTGGAAGTAACAATTGGTGCCATCACGTCACAGTCGTGTCACGCAAACATAAATTCACAGTGGAGACCCAGGCGCCTTCCCATTATCACCTACCTTACAACTTACACCTCTTATCAATACCCGCTTCCAGTACCATTGACTTGTATAGGTGCGCAGCCGTCCAGCTTGGGTTGAAGTATTAGGTAGACCTATTTGAACAACCCGGATACAGGGCGAAATAATCATCAAAGCAAACACTAACTACCTCTAGAAATTATTACTACTCAGGTATTCTTTTGGTCTATACCGCAATTGAAAACCTTTCTCGTAAAGTTCCTATGTGCTCTCAACAGTCGAGTATACGTAAGGCTAGGGGAAGGTGCAATATAGAAACAAGCTCAACAAATAAAATATGAGAGTGGAACATGCTACCTGGATATGCTTTCCATTTGCCGTCGAGACTGCCATGCTGGAAATAGTATGACACATAACATGATGCTCAACCGTCGGCTCTTTCCTCCCCATTCTGGGTAAAGGGGATACTTCCACATAAGTCGGGAAGGCACAACAGAAGCAATGTTTCAAGTCAAAAAATTTTGCTCAGTCAAGTTTCTATCCGATTCTCTCTCATCTTTCAATCTCTCAATCTTTCATCTTCTCATTCCACACCATTCCTCATTCTCATCGTACCTCTGTCTACTATCGTCAATCATTAGCCACTACTTTACCAACCTAGTCAGCATCAACTGGACTCTAGATCACATACGAAATGCGAAGAAACGCCCTTCTTGGGGTCCTAGGGGCCTCTGGGCTCGTGGGATTAACCACGGCTCAAGAGTATGGCAACGGGTGAGTGTTTGACTGACTGATCTACCCAACAAGATTTTTATCTGTCTACTGGTGATGCTAACAAGTTCCGAAAGACCTGCTTCAACCGGTGGAGGTGGAAGCGGAAGCGGAAATGGACAAGGTGGTGGTAATGGGGGTGGAAGTGGTGCTGGAACTTGTCCTGCTCATACTATCTTCGTTACTGTTACCCCTGCTAGTCTTCCCACTGTCATCTCTACGGTCGTTTCTACTGTTGTTTCTACTGTCATCCCTGGTCAAGGTGGCCCTGGTGGCTTTGGTTCGAGTTCTGGCACCAATGTCTTCCACTCTCCTACTTCCCCTGTGGCTTGGTCTCCGTCTAGAACCATCACTATTCCTTGTTCTACTGAATTGTCTGGCACTGTTCCCTTGTCTACGGAATTCCTCACTATCACTCTGCCTCCAGCTCCTAGTAACACAGTATCCGGTGTTCCCATTACTTACACGATTGTCAGCCCAGGTGGTGGCGCAGGTGGACAAGGTGGACAAGGTGGACAATCGACTGGAGGTATACCTGGTGTCTCAACTATTCCTCCAGGCCCATTTGGTGTCTCTTCTTCCCCAGGCCAATCCCCTGCCATTTATACTGAGACTCTCTCTGGAGGCGTCGGAAATACTCCTTTCGCTACTATCACAATTACAGCACCTGGAGGATCACCAAGTGGTGCTGGTCAGGGAGGACCGAACGGCCCAGAAAGTTCAGAGACGATCGTTGTTGTCTTCCCCTCACAGACTGCAGGAAGTCCCGGAGGTTCTGGCTCGGGTTCTGGCTCGGGTTCTGGATCTGGATCTGGATCTGGATCAGGCTCAGGCTCAGGCTCAGGCTCTGGAAGTGGTCCGAATGGCCAAGGAATTTCACAAACAACTGCTACTACAACCCCTTGTGAATCTACTGGCACTCCCGGTAGTTCTGGATCCGAAACTGGCCCAGGCGCTGGCGGTCAAGGAATCCCTTCTGAGACCACTATTTGGGCTGCGCCTTCCGAGTCTGGTAGCGGTTCCGGAGGTGCAGGTGGCCAAGGCATCCCACCGAGTATCACTTTGACTGCACCAGGCCAATTACCAAGCAACTCTGCCGGCGGATCTGGCCCTGGAAGTCCTGGGGGCTCTGGTAGCCATAGCATTCTCGAAACAGTTACCGTGACCTTGCCCGGAGTATCTGGTGGCCCAAGCTTTCTTGAAACTCTTACTATCACTGCACCTGGAGTTTCGCCAAGTAGCCCTGGAGGTGGTTCTGGAGGCTCTGGAGGTCCCGGGGGATCTGGAAGCCCTGGTGGTGCAGGTGGGCAAGGTATCCCGCAGACCATTACAGTAACGGTTCCGAGCGGATTGTCTGGCAGCCCTGAAACAACTCCATGCCCAGAAGGAAGTGGATCCGGCTCTTCAAACCCTAATGTTGTTACAGTTACCGGCACTGGCAATGCTCCCGGCGGCGGCGCTGGAGGTCCGGGCGGGCAAGGTCTCCCTCCGACAATCACCATTACTGCCCCCGGAGAATCTCCTAGCAATCCTGCTGGTGGGCCTGGAGGCTCAGGAGGCGGCAGCCACATTCATACCATCACTCTTACAGCTCCTGGAGAGCCATCAGGTACAGAAGGGGGTTCTGCTCCATTTGTCATTACGGTGACTGGCACTGGAATTACCCCAGGCGCCCCGGAAACCATCACTTTTACAGTTCCCAGCGGACCAGGTAACCCAGCAGGTGGTCCCGGTGGTCCGGGCGGCCAGAGTGTTCCTTACACCATTACCGTAACGGCACCAGGACAGCTACCAAGCAACACTGGAGAGGGATCCGGAGGTTCAGGAGGTGAGTACCACCCAGTTTTCCTTGCAGGGTATTATACTAACAGCACCAGGCCAATCCCCAAGTGGTTTTACAGGTGGACCCGGAGGCCCAGGCGGTCAGGGTCTCCCTCAAACCATCACCGTAACCGCGCCGGGTGCATCAGCAGGCAATACTGCAGGGTCTCCTGGAGGTTCCAATGGACAGGGCACAACGTCATGCACTACCGGAGAATCAGGTTCAGTTTCGTACCCGTATGTTGTCACTGTCACTGGTCCGACCAACGGCCCCGGAGGAGGCAGTGGAGGTGGTGCTGGTTCTTCACCAACAGCAGTCACCGTCACCGTTCCCGCAAACCCATCTGCAGGCCCCGGTGGTAATGGAGGAGGAAATCCGCAGCTACCTACCATCACTGTGTCAGCACCCGGAATTCCATCAGAGGGTCCTGGTAGTGGTAATGGTGGTGGCTCTTCGCCGGAGTCCTCTGCAGCTGGCGCCGGCAATCCTTCCGGAGGTTCTGGTGGTGGCAACGGAGGCAACGGAGGCAACGGATCCGGTGGCTCTTTGCCTACAGTTACCGTGACGGCGCCGTCAGCAGGATCGAATGGTGGTCCCGGAGGCCAAGGTCTTTCAAACTCTCCATCTTTAACTTATGCCACCCCTGCCGGATCCGGTGAGGTGACTGTGACTGTTACAAGCCCAGGAGGTTATGGAAGCAACCCTTCAGGTCAATTACCCGGAGTTTCTGGCGCGTCATCGGTCAATGCTGGCACTGGTGAGGGTTCCGGTGCTGCCACACTTACTGACTCAGTTCCTCCCGGAGGGTATGGAGTTGGCCATCCAACACCTCAAGTCAGCGGTTCTGCCGGTGCTGGAGCAGGAGGACAGGGAATTTCCAATACCGGTGCAGCCGTGGGTCCGTCGGAGACCACCACCAAGACATCGACCAAGCCAGGTGTTCTAACACACACGGTGACAGTTCCCGAGGAATCAGCAACAGGTAAGATCATGTCCTATTATTCGTTTCGCACTCTGAAGTGCCCCTCTTTAGACAGTAAATAGAGCAATGACTAACTATATTATAGAAATCGCGACATCTGTAGCCCATAGTGGCTCTATTCCATGTGATGAGACTTCTGGGACCGGTAGGTCGGGAGCTCTTCCAACTGGCACGTCCACCTCTTCACGAAACCCATGGTCCATTGTGCCAACCAATGGGTGGAACGCAACTGCATCTAGCGCTGACTCTCCTGTAGCCACCTCGACATCGTGCACCGAGTCTGAGATCGTCCCCACGGTGTTGGTTTCACCCATGCCTAGTCTACCACCACCTGTTTCCGCACCACCAGAGTCATTACCCGCCGCAACAGGTTCCGAGATCGCATCTGAGCTCGCGACCGGTGCTACCGTGGAATGCGTATCGATGACTACGTTGACGATGTCTTCACGAACATTTTCATGGTGCGCCCAGGTCGCAACAGTGGAGCCAAACAACCCACACGCGACCCCAATCCAGACTGGAGCCTTCTCGACTCCTACATCTGGAGGTTACGCATTTTCTGGTCGAGACAACGCTGAGCTTCTTGTTCCCTCCACGCTGTCAACAGTTATTGTGAAATCGCCTAGCCTAGTCCCTAGATCGCCTGTCGGCAGTGAGACTCCCTCGCCAGGGGCTTGCGGAAACAAAGCTGATGTGGGAGACTTTACACTTAACGTGAGTGGCAAGCATTCTAGCATCGAACAGTTTTAACAACTAATTTCATACCTAGTTTGATGATCTCCCACCCCTTGGCGTCGGATCCGGTGTAAACCCTCACAATGTTAGCCCGATGCCAATGTTGAGCCCACACCATCGATTTTACTTCTCCCAAGGATTCAGCGTGCTCCCACCGCCTCCCGCTAGGTTTGTGCCATCATCTGGAAACCTGATGCTTCAATTTACACCATCGTCAATCTCGAATCAGTCTGATCCCGGTGTGCCTCGAGACACCGCAAGGATTAGTGTCGGACCCCAAGCCTCATCGGCATGCTTCTCATTTAATCTCAACGGCTTCAGTCTTGGTTGCGACTCCAAGGATTCTCCCTGCGTCTTCAACTTCACAGGACTGCGATTCGATCAACAATCCCAGCAGGAGAAGGAAGTGGCTTGGCTAACGGTTGATATCTCAGCATGCTCTGCCGCAGATAACTGCGAGCTTGTACCAGTTGTTTTTAAGGGATTTGACAACCTAACATCAATCCAAGTCGCTCTCAAGGCGGACGAGAAGGCCAAAGTCTGGTGGGCAGATGATCTCGCACTCGGATGGTCTGATAATCAGTGCGAGAAGGCGGTTTGCCGATCCAAAGTCCGCGATTCCGTTCGCAAACGTGACGGATTTTCTGGTGGTCGAAAGCCCAGATCGAGACTATTAGACTTTGCTCTGTTCCGTGGCTGAATCGCCCATGTTAGGCAGAGCGCTACAGGTGGGGACCCCCCTTTGAAACATTCGACCTAGTCTGCTGCTTGCGAGGAAGTTTTCTTGAGATGTAACAGGAGCCCAGTTGTAGATGGAGTTATGACTCCATTCTACGGGATAATAAGTATGTGAGAGAAAGTGGAGGAGATGAAGTCCAACGTGATGGGATTTTTGGTCGGTTCTTTGTCCTCATGTACTATCATGACTTAATCATTTACATTAGATGGGAGGAATGTCACTAGACATATTCGCCTAGATATGAGGCTAAAAAGATGCATTCAATGTGCTCAGTCGCTACCTACCTTACCTAATCCAATGATGAAACTTTATTATTAAATTTTTTGTTGCCTATTTCGCTTTATGCACTGTTGTTAACTTGTCCTTCGTGTATTATGCGACGGCAAAGCTTGATTTATATAATAAGGTGCCTACTACCTAGGTATGTAATTAGAATGACAAAAAGGGCGTACTATGTAGTCATGAAGCAAAGAATACCACGGTACGTGTATAACCGAGTTATTAGCGATATCGGGGGGCAAAGGGGCGTAGCATAGTGATATGTAAATATTTACGTAGTAGGAAACCGTAGGGCGTGCGTAGACCCACGTCGTGTTCATGGGAATAAGCCTCTGGCCGCTAGCTTTAGTGAGTGGTGGATGGGTACCTATTGTTAGATGGGCTCATAAATAATTTTCATATACGGCTTCGAGGATAGGTACCTGGGCATGGCCTGACCTGGTCATTGGAAAGAATTTGGTAGATAGACCGGCTCTGTGGAAAGCGATCCGCATGAAATTGCAGATGGAGATGTAAAATACTAAAGGTGGATTATAAATACGGTCGGAAGGAGTTTTAATAAGAGGTAAGTTGATATCTCCCCGGACCGCGGAAATGTATATTCTGAGGTACCTAACCTAAGGTACCTACCTACCTAGGTAGGTACTTAACCTAATACAACCCATATACCTTAGTTTAAGTTAAGTAAGCATATTCATGTGTGTGTGTATTGTAGTCAGAGCGAAAATAACCCTCGTGTTTCGACTTTATATCTACATTGTAAGTATTGCCTGAGGTTTCGTTCACTCTTCCCGTTCTTGGCCGCCGCTCGTTTGCCGACGTTATAATGTAAGGGCGAGGTCTAATCGGAAATGTTTAGTTTCGTTTCCGCCCGTGCAATGGCTTTCCCATCTCCGCTTTAAACCCAATCCCCCCCGGTGGTCTAAGGCTCCATTCTTCAAGCCGAGCGGTGTGAGGCCCATAGCCGAGGGCCCCCGGGAAACCAGTTACAGGACCCCGTTCTTTAGGGTAAATTTATCGAAAATTATAGGGTAATCGACCCTCTCCGATTCTTGCTCCTACGTCGGTTGACTCATCACGAGATTACTACCTTGCCATAGTATATATAGAGAGAAAGTGTGTGTAATCAATGACTTGGAGGAAGAGCAAATGTATAGAATATACATATACTACCTATGTATTAGCAAGATGACTAAAGAGGTTCTAACTATTTATCTGTATTAACTGCCTGTTACTTGCTTTATTTTTAGGTGAGTTCTGCGCGTATGTACAATCAGGACTCGGTAATCAGACAGAGAAAATTTTGGACTATACCAATCGATACGTCAACCAGCCGTTCGCAAAATAATGCCGCCTCTTTCGTCGTCGTCGTCTAGTTCTAGCCAAGGCGAGCTCCCGGCAGATGTTGAAAAACAGGCGATTCCGATTCCTGCGGGAGCCGAAGGTCCTAGCGAGAGCAGAAAGAATCAAGGAGAAGTAGAAGAAGGAGGAGGAGGAACCGGAAATATGGATAGCCCCGCCGAAGAGGGAGAGGATTGGCGAATCCCTCCCGAGCCCGATATCCTGAACCCGGATGCCGACGGCGTGGCCGGCGTCGTAAGCCGGGTGCTGAGTAGGATGTCGACCAAATCGAGCTGGAACCCCGGGCCGCCTCCGGACGGTGGTAAAGTCGCGTGGCTCATGTGTAAGTCCCCCTTTTCAGATTACCTACCTACCTACCTACCTACCTACCCACATAACGTCAAGCACCTATAAACAGCTTCTTTCTTTCTTTCTTTCTCTCTAACCTCAGCGGCAAACAAACCAGGCATCTGCGGGCACCTCGCCATCATGAACACGTGGGGCTTCATCAATTCGTTCGGCGTGTTCCAGGCCTACTATGTGGCACAGCTCGGGCGCCCGCCCTCGGACATCTCGTGGATCGGCTCCGTGCAGGTGTTCCTGACCTTCTTCGTCGGCACCTTCGCCGGCCGCTTCACCGACGCCGGCTTCTTCCGGCCCGTGACCGCCTGCGGCGTCGCCCTCATGACCCTCGGCATCTTCGCCACCTCCGCCGCCACCCGCTACTGGCAGCTCGTTCTGTCGCAGGGCCTGTGCATGGGCCTCGGCAGCGGCTGCGTCTTCTGCCCCACCGTCGCCACCGTCTCCACCTACTTCCGCCGCCGCCGCTCCCTCGCCATCGGCCTCGCCGCCTCCGGCTCCGTCACCGGCGGCCTCGTCTTCCCCGCCATGGCCCGCCAGCTGCTCCCCGCCGCGGGCTTCGGCTGGACCGTCCGCGCCATGGGCTTCGTGCAGCTGGCCACGCTCGCCTTGGCCATGGCCCTGATGCGGTCGCGCCTGCCGCCGCGCCGCGCCGGCAGCCTCGTCGAGTGGGCCGCGTTCCGCGAGCCCGAGTACGCGCTGTACGCCGCCGGCATGTTCTTCAGCTTCTGGGGCGTGTACTTCGGCTTCTACTACCTAGCCGCGTTCGCGCGCGCGGGGACGGCGATCTCCCCGGCCATGTCGTACACGGACTCGCTGGACCTGCTGCTGGTCGTCAACGGCGTGGGGCTGGTGGGGCGGATCGTGCCGAACTACTTCGCGGACCGGGTGGGCCCGCTGAACCTGATGATCCCGGCGTGCCTGGGGTGCGGGGCGGCGGTGCTCGCGTGGATGGCGGTGCGGACGCCGGCGCAGCTGTACGGGTGGGCGGTGGCGTACGGGGTGGTGGCGGGGGCGATACAGAGCCTCTTCCCGGCGGGGCTGAGCAGCCTGACGACGGACCTGCGGAAGCAGGGGACGCGGATGGGGATGACGTTCACGATCGTGAGCTTCGCGGTGCTGACGGGGAACCCGATCGCGGGGGCGATTATCGGCAGGATGGACAGGCGGTACGTGGGCGCCCAGGGGTTCACGGGCGCGAGCTTGCTGGTGGGTGCCGTGTTGCTGTTTGGCGCGCGGTGGGCGAGGATGAGGAGGACGGGGAGGGGGTGGAAGACGAAGATTTAGGGGATTTAGTGAGTAGAATGGGGGGGAATTGGTTAACCCGTCTTTGATTTTTATCATAAGCTAAAACGGGGATAGATATAACGGTTATATAAGGGGAGGGAGGGTATGTACGATGTGTCTATATGTGAAGTGAGGATTTCGAGGGTTGGTGATGAAGGTACCTAACCTAATGATTGTTACCTGTTGTTATATGGCGATACAGGACATGATGATATGCAGATTGGGATTTTGTGTATATACATTAATTTGTAGATATTTACTCTATAGGTACGTGTTTTAATATGACAGTAACAACAGTAGCTAATTCGTTTAATGTCTAGGTACAATCCAGATGGTGATTGTTATTTAAGACGTGGGTAGATTAGTTGCTTGTTAACTGATCTGAGTTAGTACTTAATTAACTCCTATGGACCCGGGGAATTGGACTCAATCGTCCGATCTTTAATGGAAAATATACGGAAATGATTTGATAACACCTTATTATGATATGCAATAGACTCGACTGAAAATGGCAAGTTCTGTGATGAGTCCAATCTCATCACAGATCGATGATATCCCACCTGTGAGGCTGCAAAAGCTTAGCTTAGACTACTTAGACAGGGATAGGTAGGTACCTGTCAAATAGAATTCAATACGAATACCCTGTTCCGTAACCCTTTGCTCATCAGAGTCAGGTAGGCAGATAGCAAGGACACTATACAAGTGAAAAGGGGCGAACATTTGTGCTTAACCTAGAGATCTCCCAAAGAAAACTTTCTTATTTTCTTTCGAAGTCTCGGTCCAGAATCTGGCTTGTTGGGTGGCCCGCCCTTACCAAATGATCCGCTGCCTGAGCTAGACTGACGCTGACGTTTCCCCGTGCCATTCTTTTTCCGTACGAAAGTGAAGCGATCCATATCAGAAGCATTGGTGTAGCTCGCACAAGTGCATGCCATTCTCGGGTGGGGAGGTTTGGTCCAGTCCCATCGTTGGCACACGGGTTTGCAGCAGGAACCGAATTTTATCGTGATGTACGGCCTGGGTGGGATAACATGCTGGCTGCCCATAACAAACGCCTTATCAGCATCACTCACGCCTTGCGCAACGAGGTCCTTATCCGACCGTGATTGGCCAACCTGACAGTAGAGCATGTATGCCTGATGATGAAGGCAAACTTTGGCGCACATAGTATCCAATTGCTGTGGCGTCAGAGTAGCAGCTTGGGACAAGAATGGTATGCGATCTCTCCTCATGATATCAACCCTCTGGGTCTCAATTCTCGGCATGTCATAATCCTCCTCCTCATGTGTGCGCGTGCTATCCATCAACCATGATGGGACGCAGACGGGAGTTGGATAACGCTCGTAAAAGGCCTTAAAAATGGAATCATCCATGCGGCGAGGATAGTAACTTACCTCTTCCCAGTTCCAATCAGGATCTAAAAATTGCGGTTGCTGTCGCAGGTCCCAATCTTTCGGCCTGCCGGCGACGTCGTAAACAGCAAGGGAGGGAAACTTATTTAGATAATGTAACGATCTGAAGGTAGTGCTATCATATCCCCAGATTCTCAAAACTCGGAGGAGGGGGAACGGGTTCGGCACCTCGGCCCAATGTCTGACGATAGAATCGGTTATGCGAGGAAACTGCGTGATAGTCGGGACACTTGGTTGTATTATTTCCAGCACGCCCAGGTTTTTGAGGTCCGCCAGTGCCAAAAAATCATGTTCAGAAAATGTCGTGTGAACGTGAGCAAATATAAGATGAACGATGAAGTCGAAAGAGTGTGATATAAGTGGTTTGATGTAGGTGGGTAACTTGGCGAATGGGAGCTCCGCGGTGTAATTAAATTGGAAAAGGCCTCTTGGCATTAGCCTCTCCCTTTCGTATTCACGATGCTGCTTGGTAAGACACGTTGCGAGGACTAGGAACGACTGCAACGGTACAGGTCTGTGATTACGAGTACCTAAGTTAGCATCTGCTGGACTGTCGAATATACCTAACTTAATAGAGCTTACCGGTTGTTATCGATCAGGATGTTCCAAATGCCGTATGCTATTTGAAAAGGGATACCATCTAAGTCCCCTATCTTAAGCGTAGCAAGGTTGTCTGCAACAACTCTAATCGCCATGTCAAAGAGACTGCGGACTCGCTTTTTAGAGGGATATCTTGACAGTACAAATGTTTCAGATGTCGCAGTAGATTCCGCCTCGTATAGCGTTGCACTTGAGACTCCAATCTCGTGGGAAAGCCGGCGGTGCCATTCAATCGTATCGTGTTGAAACGCAGGTACTTCCCACCTATTAAACCCCACCCCTGCCGCATTGTCGTAGTTGTAGGAAGTACGATACTCGGCAGGATGAGACATGTTGATATAGACCTGTGTGCTGGCGTGACGACGAGAATAGATATCATTCAGCAACAGGTAATTATTAGAGTAAAACAATCGACTATTCAGATACCGAATTTGCATTCAATGCAAAAGCTGGTAATCTCATAACAAAGTTTAACAATAACCCTATAAGCAGAATTTATTATTCCATGTTGATTCTCTTATGAAAGCCGTAATCGCGTAGAGTAATGACCATAACGTAAAGTGGATGATGTTGTTTACCTTAGGTACCTAACCTACCTAGGTCTGTTGTTTTGATGAAGCGTTACGGATACCTTAGGTACCTAGGTACAATACAGTTCCACCTGGGCTCAGGGGTGACAGTGCGACGGGGATGTTATCCACGATATACATGCATACCATGCATTAGGCATACGAGGACGTGTATAAGTCTACTGAAAAAACATTACATATTATCTCAGTTTACATCCTATAAGCTACCTAGGTAGGTAGCTATAGCCTACAACTTATAGCTTATAGGTTATGTCATGTGTTCTTATATACTTGTATGCTTAGGCGTACCAACTATTTAGACTCAAAAGAAGAGAAAAAAAACACTTGATATATCATACATTAATTGGACATTTACACATCCCTCCCTCCCCTCCCGTACCTAAATTCATAACATGGGCTTGAGGTCATCCGCAACTCGGAATGGCGCCTCCGTCTTACTCTTAATCTCATCTACCGTCACGCCGTCCGCAATCTCTATCAAGGTAAGACCATGCGCAAAGTCGACATCAAATACACCCTAACAAACCTATTAGCAAGACCATGAGGTTAAAAAATAAAAAATAAAAAGAATTACGCGGATCATCCCTATGCAACTTACCAGCTCCGTAATAATCCTGGACACGCAAGCTCGACCCGTCAAGGGGAAAGCACACTGCTTGACGATCTTCGGGTTTCCCTTCTTGTCCGTATGCTCCATCGTCACAACAACCTTCGTCGCGCTCGGGTTGCTAACCAAGTCCATCGCCCCGCCGAACCCCTTTACTTTTCCGGGTAGCATCCAGTTTGCAAGGTCTCCCGTAGCGCTGACCTGCATGGCCCCCAGGATCGTCAAGTTGATGCGGCCGCTGCGGATCATGCCGAAACTCTCCTCGCTGCCGAAGACCGCGGCCCCCGGCTTCAGCGTCACCGTCTCCTTCCCGGCGTTGATCAGGTCGGCATCCTCCTCGCCCGGTCTCGGGTACGGGCCGAGACCCAAGATGCCGTTTTCGGACTGCAGCTGCACCTCGACTTCGGGGCCTACGAAACCCGGCGCGAGCATGGGCATGCCTATTCCCAAGTTCGCGTACATGCCGTTCTTGAACTCCTTGGCCGCCCTGCGAACGATCCTCTCCCGCTTAGCTGCCGTGTCGCCCGAGCCCAGCACTTTCTTGGCGTCCGCGTCGCTTTCATCTTTCGTCCAGGTGTATTTCTCGATGTTCTTCTCCGCGGTGCTCTGGATTACCCTCTTCACGTAGATACCCGGTAAGTGGACAGCCTCGGGAGGGATCTCGCCAGGCTCGACAATGTGCTCGGCTTCAACGATAGTCATCTTAGCATTTCGGCCCATAGCACCGTTGAAGTTGTTAGCAGCAAGACGGAACTGGCAGTTTCCAAGCTTGTCCGCCTTGTAGGCCTTGACGAAGGCGTAATCTCCGGCAATAGCGTGCTCTAATAGATACGATTTCCCGTTGAAGACCTTCACGTCTTTCGGGTAGGAGAACACGTCGGGAGTTCCGTCGCTCTTGTTCTTGAGAGGTAGCTCGCCCGTCTGCACTACGGTGCCAAAAGCAGCGGGGGTATAGAAAGCCGGGATGCCTTTGCCGCCAGCGGCGCATCGTTCGGCCAACGTGCCCTGCGGCGTGAGCTCCAGTTCAACTTCCCCCGTAAGATACATCTGCTCGAACGTCTTGTTCTCGCCTATATAACTAGCGATCATCTTCTTAATCTGCTTGGTTTTTAAGAGCTTCCCCAAGCCGGATGTATCCGTTCCAGCATTGTTTGAGACCGCTGTGATGCCTGTGATTTCAGGCTTCTTTAAAACCTCGTTGATCAGGGTATCTGGAACACCACAAAGCCCAAAGCCGCCACATAATAACGTGGTATCCGGCTTCATGTCTTTTAACGCTTCAGCAGCAGATGGATACACCTTGTTGATCTCGGCGCGCCTGGACGTTGCCGAAAACGTCCTGGCGAATAGTCTGGCATGCTGAAAAGACCAATCAATCAAATGTGCTACTTGAAGTAAGTATATTGGATAGGGAGTTTAATTCACCTACATTTGAACCGTAGCGAGAGTAAGCTCTCAGGGTTCTCATGCACACTGCTGCAGAAGGCATTGCGACAGTAATGGTCTATGGGGCAAGACGAACGACGGCTGAGAATGGTAGGACCTAGGTATATACAGGCACCTAATATATAACAACAGAATCGCCAGGTTCGCTAGGTTCGCTAATGATGATCTATTCTATGGGTATATACGGCGCACACGACAAAACGAAAGAAATAAAAGAGCCTTATATCTTAAGAGAAGAAAGGGAAAAGTCATGCCTCTTGTATTTACTTGCTTCGTTCTCCGCGCTCGGCAGTGTTCGGCTAGAGATGGAATTCAACCAAGCCAGCCTACAACCAACGGAAATAGTCACCTGATTTACTGCTTGACTTGGCCATGTTTGTATGCGCTTACAAGTAGTTATGGAGAAAAAGAGGCATTGTTTTCGATGGGGTAAATTAGAAACCGCGATTATATGCGCCGGAGGCAATCAACGGCAGTTAGAACTTTAGGTACAATACAGGTATGCAAAGCGGAGTGTGGGGAAACCGATATCAGATGGGGGATGGATCTATGCGCGTTTGTTTGTTGTATTTGTATTGTACCTGACTTGAGTGCCTGGAAAAATTGGGGGTTAGGTATGGGCCATCACTAAAAACGAAACTACTGCAGCTTGAGACCTGATGCTTTATTTTCAACGCAGCAAAAAAAGAAAGTTTATTTGAGGATTATGTAAACAAATAGAGTAAACTCGGGCAGGTGACGTTGAAGGATCATGCAAGTACCCGAGATGTACCTACTATGTACAACATGGTACATCATTGTAGATCCAATGTTCAAGGGTATTACCTGGTAAAATTAAGCCTATCAATCCTATCAGCCACATACTCTAAAAACGCGTGAGCCACGAACAGGGGTCTTCTTATCGATACAATAACTGGTGTTAATTTTTTGAAGTTTGGAACTGAGAACTTGATAAACATTTGATTCATTTTATTTGGGGGGTCAGTGCCATCAACAATATCGAAGGAAAAAAAAAAAACTAGCCGGGGGGTAAAATACGAAGTTATTCAATAGACTTCAACAACTACATCCGTGCACCTTTCACTTTCCTTGGTCCCCCGGACCCATCCGAATACAAAATGGAACCAAGCACAGCAAAGCGACGCAAATTGGATCACGCAGATGGTGGGCCAACTTTTGAAGCTGCAAATGCGACAGCTGCCACGATGGGTTCCTCCGGCGCAAGCGCATTTGTTTTAGAGACCGAAGAATTGCTGAAGGAAGTGAAGTTCGATTATGGCAAGACCTCTTCCGACGTCGAGGATGTTTTGCGACAGCTCAAAAATGTCATTGAAGCCGCCGAACCTCACATTCCCCTTCCCGTGAGTTCCAACCCCCTTACGAATCGTCTGGTCGAACGTAGTAATCAATATCTGACTTTTGGATTTCGTGTAGATTGGCGACGTGACGGCAAGTTTTGAAAAGACCAATCGCATCACCATTCCTTATCCCGATCCGCAACCAGCGAAAGATGCTCCCTACAAGCTTTCCTTCGAGAGGCCAGCTGAGGTCAACGTGGCGGGCAGTTGGATCCTGAAGACTAATACAAAGTCCCAACCGGATCTGGCAGTTGACATGATTGTCGTTATGCCTTCCTCCATCTTCCAGGAGAAGGACTACTTGAATATGAGATATTTCTATAAGAGGGCATACTATTTAGCTTATATTGCCGCTGATCTTCGAGAGCAATTAGGCGCAACCACCGAATTCGTCTTCGATCATATGCACGGGAACATGCTATTACCTATACTGGTTGCTCGACCAAAGAATACCGCGAACAGAGATGATGGTTCAGAGATGTCGAATTCCCGTCGCAAACCAATCCCGGCGATCCGCATAATTCCATGCGCTCCCGAAGATTACTTCCCAGCGGGAAAGCTCACGGCAGTCAGCAATGCTATACGGCAAGGCAAATCCGAAGGAGGCGAGGATGCAAAAGTACCTACGCCTTTTTACAACGCAACCCTCAAAGCCGAAGGTCTCTTCCCCTCTTATTTGCGATTACTCTATCGGACTGTGAAGTCCTGTTCCGCGTTCAAAGATGCGTGTGTTCTGGGTCGTATATGGCTCCAGCAGCGAGGGTTTAACGGCAATATCAGCAATGGCGGTTTTGGTCATTTCGAATGGGCAGTCTTGATGGCGCTTCTCTTACAGGGCGGTGGCCGGAAAGGAGAACCAGTACTTTCGCCTTCGCTACATAGCACACAGCTATTCAAGGCCACCCTGCAATACATCGCTTCAGCAAACTTGCAAAAGAAGGCATTGGTTATAGGCAAGGACTCTCACGGCCCAGAATCTATTCGTCAATCCATGCCAGTTCTGTATGATACTGCTCGTGGGATCAACGTCCTCTACAAGATGACGCCGTGGTCTATAGCGATGCTAACCGAGCAAGCTAAATGGTCACTTTCTGCAATCAACGATAGTCCACACGACCAGTTCGATCCACTATTCATTGTTAAAGTCGACCAACCATTACAGACATTCGATATACTTATGAGTGTCAAACTTCCTAACTCGAAGGAAGGAGTTCAATCTGTCGACCGCAAAGGATTTGTGTGCGATTTCAGCACCAAATTATATAATACAGTAAAAAGGGCTTTAGGCGAACGAGCAGAGTTAATCCACATTAGCCTCCCAGAGACAGGGACGTGGCCGGTCTCTGCAAATATTCCCCAAACGAAAAATGCAAGCCTCCTAGTTGGGATTATCATAGATCCCCTGAAAGCATCTCAGGGCCGTGACTATGGCCCACCGTACGAACAGAAGAAAGAGGCGGCTAAATTCCGCGAGTTCTGGGGTGAAAAATCAGATCTTTGGCAATTTCCTGATGGAAGTATCGTCGAGAGCCTTGACTGGACAGAATATAGCTACTTGGGTTTTCCCGGAATATGCGAGGCCATCATACGGTACATCCTGAAGCTGCGGCTACAGGTAGGTGATGGCGATCTAGAATTCTATGGACAAGATATGCCCAAAGTCATATCATTTGCTCCCTCGGAAAAGGTGGCCTTCGATGCGGCGAGAGAGGCTTTCGAGAACCTTGAGGGGGATATCCGTAACCTACAAGATCTGCCCTTGCACGTAAAGCAAGTGGCTCCTATTAGCACAGCTTTGAGGCGTACATCATTATCTGTGCCAGAATTCAACTTCAGGAAACCTTTACTACAGCCAATGGAGGTCGTCGTTTCTTTCGAAGTATCTGGCAAGTGGCCCGAAAATTTAGCGGCCATTCAGAGAGCCAAGGTTGCGTTCCTCTTGAAAATTGCCAGCTCCTTAGAGGAAGTCAAAGGGAATGTCAGGACACATATCGGGATGGAGAACACCACACGCGACGATGAGAACCTGGCATTTTTAGACATTGTCTACGAGGATGGCGCTTCCTTCAGACTCCGCGTGTATAGCGATCTCGAGGAGGCTCTACTGGACAAACGTACAAAGGACCAGACGATCGAGCGTCATGTTCGTACTGAAGCTGCCGAACTACTCGCCTTGTACAAACGGATGTACATCAACTTACCACTCCACAACCAAACCATCTCTACCTTCTGTACTAGATTCCCCGCATTATCCTCCTCCATACGCCTCACCAAACACTGGTTTGACTCTCATAAGCTATCATGCCACTTTAACGAAGAGGTAATAGAGCTCTTCGTCCTGCAGGCATTCCTCAAGCCATACCCGTGGCAAGCCCCCTCCAGCGCCATAACAGGCTTCATTCGAACGCTCCTAATGCTATCGAGATGGGACTGGCGCGACGAGCCCCTCGTCGTCGACTCGGCGGGCTCCTTATCGACCTCGCAACGGCTAGAAATCGGTACCCGGCTCAAGGCCTGGCGCAAAATCGACCCCAACATGAACCGCACGATCCTCTTCGTGGCTACCTCCCACGACGTCAGCGGCATTGCGTACACGCACGACGGCCCGACCAAGGTCGTCGCCACCCGGATGACGAGCCTCGCCAGATCCGCGTGCAAGGCCGTGAAAGAAAAGAGCGTCGACCTCGGCTTGCGCAGCCTCTTCCAGTCCCCGCTGCGCGACTACGACGTCCTGCTGCACCTGTCCCCGAAGGCGCTTAAGAGCATCACTCGGGCGGACACGGCGGCGGCGGCAGCGTCCAGTAGGCGCTCGCAGTACAAAAATCTGGCGGACGAGACGGGGCTAGGCGCGCTCCCGCTCCTGGAACCGCCGGCCCGCAGCCTGCTCAGACAGCTGAGGGAGACGTACGGCAGCCCGCTGCTGTTTTTCCACGGGGGCCAGGATGATGGCGTTATCGGGGCGCTGTGGAATCCGCAGCTGCACGCGCGCGCGTTCACGGCGCATATGCCGTGTTCGCTAGGGCCGTCTAGTGGTAGCGGGAGCGGCAGTGGAAGTATCAAGGGGGATAAGGAAGGTAGTATTGGTAGTGGTAGTGGTAGTGGTAGTATTGGTGGTGGTGATAAGGGTGGTGCTATGTACGAGGTTAATAGGACGGCTATATTAGCGGAGATAGCGCGGATCGGGGGGGATGTTATTGAGAGGATTGAGGTGGTTAGGGAGTAGAAGTACTAGGTCTAATAAGCCTGCGTAGAGGTATTGTACATACATACCACATACCATACCTACCTCCTACCTCTCTCAGGTATTTGCCTAGGTACCTCTAAAGGTTTAAGTAGTGGACTGGTTACCCGAGGTTAGGTACCTACCTAACGTAAGGTAATTACCTAACCTAGCTGTACATACATGCGTAATAATGCAATAAGGGTAGGGGGGAGTATAAGGTTAGGCGTGTAAATAAAGGAAGTGGAGAGAAGTTAGTGAGTGAGTGGGTGAGTGGGTGATTAGGGGGGGGTTGAAAGTACGGTTTGCATTAACTACCTTACCTACCTAGGTTAGGTAGGTGGGTAGGTGGGTAGGTGTATATAGAGAGAGGAGAGGAGAGATATAGATGGGGTTGTTGTGTAATGACGATGATACCAGATATCAGGAGTACGTGTTTTATTATTCTTTTTCTTTTCTTTTTTTTTTAAAAAAAAAAAAGAAAAAGAAAAAAAACCCTGAATGGGATCGTGTTGATGCTATTTGGCGAGGTAATGTAAGTTAAGTTATCCTAATGGCGGTGATGGAGATGGTAATGTAAGGTATACTTCTAGCACCAGCACCAGCACCAGCACTAGCACTCTTACACAGACGGGATCACAAAATACATGTACCTACCTCCTAACCTTAGGTTAGGTAGGTACACATAACCTAGGTACTTAGGTACTCAATCGCAACGACGGCTTCAGAAGTGCAGCAGTGCAGTGATCAGAGCTGAGAAAACCGGCACACCATACGTACGTGCGTACTATATATCGACGTGGAATCACACCGCTGTTAAGTACCTAGTATTAGTAGGTAGCTAAATACTCAGTAATCAATTAATTCGTATAATCAATGTTATTTCTATCGTACATTAACTAACTACATTATTTCAACTCACAGTCCCATCATCCTACCAAACGCCCCACGCCGCTCAAGGCAGACGAAGCAGGCTTGTGATGGATGGTTCAAGGCAACGAGGCGACTAACTAACTGTACATATTAGGGAGGTAGTAGGTAAGAGGTGAGAATGGTGGGTATAGGTAACTGGTATCAAGGGGAGTGTAGGTATTTCCGCAGCCGTGTTATTGGGACTAAAAGGGTATTGAAGTTTACCTAAGTCCGTATGCAATGTGTATAAGAAAGAAAGTGTTTGTTTGTTGTGCCCCAGCGCCGCGGGGAAAATACGCGACAGCCAGTTATTAGCAATACGAGATCGGCAGCAGCTGATCAAATAAAGAGATAGATAGATGATGGTCGTCTATTATTAGTCTTCGGGATACACTTCCTTCAGATTACTGATGAAGACGCCCCGCTCGCTATCCCAGCGCTTGAAGAACTTGCCGGCCATGGGCATCAGGTCTTTGATCTCCGGCGGTAGCAGGTCGGGACGTCCGCGTAAATCCAATAGTTCAATATTCTCCTCAGCGATGAGATGCTGGTCGGAACCGTCAGTACCGGACCTAAGAATATGTTAGAATAAATAAACCGGATGGATTATAGTAAAAAAGAATAGTAGACTTACATGCACCTGTAATACGGCTGGTTGTAAGTAGACCACGGCCTCTGCGTCGGGGATAAGGAGTCGTCGGTCCAAGTAGACGAGCCCTCGACGGTCCAGCCCAAAATCAGGCCGTGGTACTCGTAGCGCTTATGCTTAAACACCTGACCGACGTGATACTTAACCTTCATACCCTTGGCCAGATCGCTGCGCCGACGGGCGGGCTGTACCGACGCGTCCGCCCGTCTCATGCGCCTAATCTGATCCATGACGCCTTTCGAAGGAAGCTCCCAGTTGTTTCGGCGGCGCGATGGAGCCGCGAAGGTGTCGTACATGGGACATACGTACTTCTCCACGAGCCACGCATCCTCGGGGAAGTGTTCGTAGAAAGCCGAGAGTAGATCGCGCACGTCTTGCTGCCAGTCCCAGCGTATCTCGTCGCTATCCGGCAACACAGGAACCATCATGATGCTCGCCCATATCATGCTATATAGCGCCGGCTGCAGATTACGAGCCCAGTCGCCGCGGTTGAGTTCGATCATAGGGATAATTTGGGCGAGGGGTCGCTCGTTGGTTCGGAAGCTAGTGAACGATGCGCGTATGTTTTGCGCGGTGCGCATGACGATAAGATCCGTGGATGTGGGGTCTAGCAAGTTACCGTGGCCCGTGTGAATACCGAGCCTAGATAGAAATTCAATTATCCGGTCCAGAGGAACTTCATCTTCCAGCGTATAAGGATCTAGGAACATGTGCTCTTGACGTTGAGAGGGTTCGTCCAAGGGTCGATCATCTAGTGTCATGCCTGGCCGGGACAAAACTGTAGCATGGACGTGGCTAGGTAAAGCACAGGGATACGCCTCCAAGCCGAGTCGCGATGCTACGGCTGAGTAAATCGCGGCGGAGATAATTGGCAGTGATGGATGGCGCTCATCTCGCAGAGCCCTGCCGATCAGACAATTACGGAGATAACGATAAGTTTGCTCCGTAGGATCGTTTAAGCCGGTCATATTGTTCAAGCGCAACCATCTAGACAGGGCGATGGCCTTTTGACGCGTAGTCATCTCGTCAAAATACGGATGAGCACTTTGGAATCGATACGCGATATCATCCAGCAGTTCGGTAATCTTACAAGTGTATGCAGAGTCAGCCACATAATTATTACCTGGGTATATATGATAGCATGATTAAACCTACCTCATCCAAATCACCCTCATTATCGTGTAGCATAAACATATCAAAGGCGCCGAGGGCACGCTCAAGGCGCATGCCGCAATTTAATCTTTCGCTATTTGGAGTGTCCTCATCAATGCGACGCGCCGCGAATTTTTGATACTTGGCCCATTCGTCTATAGCAAGGCTTCGGTGTATGCTGTCAAGAACAGCGCATGAGTAGTATCTATAATTTGCGTCGAGCACGACGACTCCTATTAGGCCTAACAATTCCAACACATGTGATATAAATTCAATTGAGCTTACCTTCGCGCCAAAACGTCTTTAGCAGATTCGGGAGCCTGGCACTGGCTTAAAAGATAATCTTTCGCGTCGTAACCGTAAAGACAGATCTGTTCCATCTTCTGCAACCGAGAGACGCGAGAAGCGATTATGCCATCGAGTAGACGCGCAATGTAGGCATTGCGTCCGAGCCGCAGCAAGAATAATCGCCTCCAGTCGGTACCGCGCAAGTAGCCGTTCAACCTCTCTTTGAAGTGATGACTGGCTTCCCAATACTTGAAAGTATGCTTACAGTACCACCTCCATAGCAGTGGTTCATGCGCGACTCTGTTGAAACGCCTTGATAGAAGTGCGACGTTAGATAAAGTCTCTTCCGGAGATACGTAAAGTAGAATATGGTGAACGATTTCGTCCGGTAACGAGTTGATAGACGCCATTTTCTTTCCTGTGCGAAACGCGATCCGCTTATAAGCAGAAACTTTTTTGAAATCTTTGAAGTTGTTTGGGGACGACGGATGCTTAGGTTAAGTTAAATACATAATACGTTAGTACATGTAGTGCGCATATTATCACCGAGGTGGCTGACAAGTTTGCGCCGAGTTGGTACAATTTTTTGTGTACGGTACGGTTTAGAAAAAAGGGAAGTCTTATGCGACTGATCAACTTGTGATGAAAGAAAGGAATAATGCGAATTTCAATGGGTCTGATACGTCAAGAGGCGATGATTCCAGTGGAGACTAGGGCGCTAGTATGTTTAAGGAATCCATGTCTCTCATTCCCCCACCTTCTAGTCACACCAGTCATCAGGGTTCTTTTTAGACTAAGCTACTACTCGATAAGGCTTATCGCGAAAAATAATACATGGGGCTAACGCGGTTACATGCACTAGGTAGGTACCTAGATACCTACCTAAGTTAGGTACGTCCTCGATTTTCCGGATGTACTTCGTACCTAGTACTTTAGATTCTTTAGTTGTTTAAACTTGGAAAGAAGTAAACAACGGCCAACGCGCGTCTATAAGCAAAAACTACCGTGTTGACAGGACCAAAAAAAAAGAATTAGCCTCCATCTTTCTACAATCCAATTCCGTACAATACCAACAATAACAATAACAATTCAACATTCAATCTCACTTCCTCAAAATCCAAAAACACCCACTCCTAAATACCATAACTGCATTAACTATATTTACTGTCTCATGGTTAACCGAATTTTCACGCCGACACATCGCGATATTCAATCCCACTTGTACGGCTCTATTTTCCTCATTCCACCTCTCGCATCGCCGAGATGGATACTCCCCGAACCAACTTAGGTGATGCCACCTACCTAAGTCGGGCACCCGCCGACTTCGATATGACGCAAGAGTCGTCATTTCATTCACCGTCTAAAGACAACAATCTCCTACAACAATTACGAAATGGCCGTGGTGTCAACTTGCGAACACCACGCGGGAATAATCGAGCTCCTTTAGGTGACAAGAGAAACCTACCGGCTGGAATTGGTGGCGCAGAGTTCACACCTATGCTCAAGTCTGCGACCCGGAATAGCGCCCGCCGATTCGGCAAGGAAAATACGAATGGCGTATCCACGCCCACCTTGAGCAAGATTAACGAGGATATAGACATGACCAACATCCCCGTCGAGACTTCCCTATACGGTCCTTCGAGAGGCGAGTCGTACGTCGAATCCACGCCTTTGCCTCAGGTAGAAAATAGCAGCGCAGCATCTACACCATTAGCTGTATTACCGCGGAGAAGTGGTAATAAGGGTCTCTTGCAAGATGGGAACCAGTTGTCGCTTCGGGAGCAAGAGAATGTCATCGATAGGATCGAAAAGGAAAATTTCGGACTGAAGCTGAAGATTCACTTTCTCGAAGAGGCATTGAGGAAAACTGGTCCCGGGTTTAGTGAGGCCGCCTTAAAGGAAAATACAGAACTCAAGGTCGACAAAGTCACGATGCAAAGGGATCTTCACAAGTACAAGAAACACCTGGCCGCCGCAGAGAAGGACCTTGAAGCCTACCAGCAGCAAATAGAGGAAATCCAAGAAAAGGCCAAGAAGAAGTACGCGGATCAAAGCCAGAGGGCTGAGATCGAGGTATTACGACGAAGTTTAGAAGACAAGGATGCCGAGATCGAGGATCTGAAACGACAATTGCAAAGAGGAAGTCAAGATCAGGAAACAATTGATCAATTGCATGACGAGATTGGCGACCTTGAGGCGGACATACGCCAAAAAGACCGCCAAATCAGCGAGCGTGAAGAGGAAGTAGACCGACTAAACGAGCGGCTGGAAGAGGCAGAAAAGGATCTCCTGCAGCTTCGCCAGGACGCTCCAGGGGACGAATTAGCCTCTTTACAACGAGATATGACGCGGTTCCAAAAGCAAATTAAGGAGCTTGAATTTAGTTTGGATCAAGAGAAGACACACTCGTCGCAAGCTGAACACGACTTAAACCGCAAGCAAGAAGAAATTGATCGGTTAAACGATGATATCGCGGATCTTCAAGACGAGATTAATCGGGTTCGTGAAGAAGCATCCGGTGGGCAAACAGCTTCGGCTTCTTTAGAGCGGGAGGTCTCGCGTTTGCAAAAACGCGTAATCGAATTGGAGACAAGCCTTGGCCAAGAGAAATCCCGCGCCTTGCAGAATCTATACGGAGCCAACGCAAAACACAAGGAAGAGGTCGATCGGCTCAACGAGAATATCTCTCAACTCCATACTACCATTCGCGAAAAGGATAGTCTTTATAAGAGCGACAGCGAAAAATGGAACACCGAAAGGCGTGACTTGGAGGCGCAAAGAGATTCTTTCGAGGAAGACTTGGAGGCACAAAGAGATTATTTCGAGGAACGGATTACCGAACTTGAGCGGACAATCGTTCAGTTACGCGATACTGAAGGTACTCTCTCAAGCAAAGAGATGAAGTTGCAAAACACCTTGAACAGCGAGGTTCAGCGCTACAAATCCGAAATCAACCGTCTCAACGAGGATATTTCTCAACTCCATGCTACTATTCGTGAAAAGGATAATCTCTACAGAAGCGATAACGAAAAATGGAACATTGAGAAGCGTGACCTGGAGGCGCAAAGAGATCGTCTCGAGGAACGGACTACCGGACTTCAAAAAATAATCGATCGATTACGCAACGCCGAAGGTACTCTCTCAAACAAAGAAATAAAGTTGCAAGATGCCTTAAACAGCGAGGCTCAACGCTACAAATCCGAAATCGACCGTCTTAACGAGGACATTTCTCAGTTCCATACTATTATTCGCGAAAAAGATAGTCTTTACAGAAGTGATAGCGAAAAATGGAATGTTGAGAGACGTGACTTGGAGGCGCAAAGGGATCGTCTCGAAGAACGGGCTAATGGATTTGAAAGAATAATTAATCGGTTACGCGACGCCGAAAGTACCTGGAACACCGAGAGGCTTGACTTGGAGGCGCAAAAAGATCGTCTCGAGGAACGGGCTACCGGGCTTGAAAGGACGATAGAGCGGTTACGCGACGCCGAAGGTAGATGGGACACCGAGAAGCGTGACTTGGAGGCACAAAGAGCCCGTCTCGAGGAACGGGCTGCCGGCCTTGAAAGGACGATCAATCAGTTACGCGACACGGAAGGTACTTTGTCTAGCAAAGAGATGAAGCTGCAAGACGCCTTGAACAGCGAGGCTCAGCGCCACAAGGATGAGGAGGCCGCGCTCAGCCGTCAGATAGACAATTTACGACAAGACTTAGAAACACGACAATCCTCGCTGACAGCACTACGAAACGAGGTTGCGACCGTCCGCGAAGACCTTCGGAAGAGTCAGCTGGAGTACCAAGCTCAGTCTGAGAAGATAGAAGCCTTAGAAGACGAGGTCGAAGTACTCCAAGCCACTCTAGACGAGGAATCGGAAGACGCTGCTCAAAAGCTAGATGAGGCTGATCGAGTGTGCCAAGACCTTAGACGGCAGCTTGAACTAGCAAGACGCAACCAGTCAGAAACGGCCGTTGGTCTAGGGGAGCAGTTAGAAGAAGCCAATCGAGTTTCCGAAGACCTTAGAAAGCAGCTCCAAGATACAAGCCGAAAGCTGCTTGATGTCGAGCGCCAATGCGAACGTCTAAAGCAACAAGCGGAGCATGCAGCCCAGCTCGAGTCTCAACAGTCGGACCAAAAGGTAGAGCAGGCCAATCGTGTCGCTGAAGGGCTCAGACGAGACCTGAGACGAGCGACTAGGGAGTCGGAGAAGGCGAATCGCTTATGTGAAGAACTACGGGACCAACTTGAACTAGCGAAGCAAGATCTAGACTACGCTGCCCCGCTATGCAAAGAACTCCGTCAAAAACTTGACCGAGCACGGAGCGAACGTGCCGCGTACAAGGCATCAGCTGAAAAGCTCCAAGCTGACTGTGAGCGGTTACAAGAGGGCGCCAAGGAAGCACTGGCATGGATCGAGTCGAAGAACTCGGAACCTAATAACTCTGCTATATCCTATACACCTCATATAGCCAAGAGAGGCACGAGGGCTAGCTTCCGGTATGGCGATATCGTCATGGATGTAGTCGACCAACGGGACCACGAGGCCGTCATCCGCGCGGCGGACGCGGCGGAGAAGAGACATATCAAGGAAATCCGCGGCCTGGCTCTACAAATACAGTGGATGCAAGCGAGATGGGAGCGGGAAGCCAAATTACGAAACGACGCCGCGTTCGCCAAGAAGTACCTGGCGCTACAACTGGAGATTGCAGAGGCTTGGTAAGTTCACATATACATAAACCCCCTTATCCCTACCTTAGGTAGATATCTCGGAATGAACTCAACGGCTAACTTTTTTTTTTCTTTTTTCGCAGCAACAAAGCGGACCTGCGCATCTTAAGGGATATCCACAAACAGCTAGGCATCAAGTCTCCAGATGCTTTGCTCTCTTCCCGAAAGCGCGAGCACGCGTCTAAGAAAAAGGCACCGAGCAAATTAAAGGTATTCGCCAGCGTGCTGCGGGCCGTGGCGCGGATGCGCATCGGCGCCAAGCAGTGGGGCCAGCACGAGCAGACGCGAAAGAAGCTCGTGAACGCGTGGGAAGAGGGTAAAAGGAGAGAAGAGGAGGTTGAACTGGTCTGATTTGGTCCGAGTTCGGCTCAACGGAACAAATGTTTATTTATACCCCATTGTCACCGCCCGTCACCGTCCTCGTCGTCTTCAGACTTTTTGCATACCTAACCTTAGGTACTTATGCATATATTCATTCCTCTTTTCTCACTCTCGCGGGACTCTGGACACATTAGGGACTTTTTTCGCTAGCATAGCCCGTGACCATGTTGCGCACGGGTAGGGGCGTTTACGCGGTTTGATACCTAGGCAGCATCTAAATTTTCTATGGCGTTTGTTTTTTTTACACGTCTTTGTTTGGGATAAGGGCTAAGGGGGTAAGGGGGTAGGGGGTAAAGGAGAGGAAAGGGAGGAAAGGCGATACGACATAAAGAGAGAGAGGAGGTCCTTGAATAGGGAATAGGAGACACCTCAAACAAGGATACGATACCGTGCGGCTGGTTTGTCTGGCTGTTTGGGCGGAGTTTTTTATTTATTTTTTTAGGTACCGAAGTAAGCGCAGGAGGAGAGAGACAGAGAGAGGGGGGGAGGCAGGAGAGTGGAATAAAATGGAAAATGGAAATGGAGACGGAATTCACATTCCTGGCGCCCTGACGTTTTGGTTGCGTTCCTATCGATCCCCCTATGATTCTTGATGGAAACGATGCGTACGCCGGAGAAGTTACCTTACCAAGCTGTCGACAAATGGCAAAACTAAGCGGGTGCTTTTCTATCGCCTTGGGTACCTTAGATAGGTACCTTTTAGGTCTAATCAGCGATCATGTTTTATGCCTTACCTACATACATACCTTGTCTTACCTTGCCTACCTCCTAAGGTACTTTTCTGAAATTGGAGGAAGCGTTGCCCTCAGGGGTAGGATAATCAAAAGGACACCTTAGGTTAGGTTAGGTGCCTTCTATATACCATGTTCTCAGTCTACCTAAGATACAGCGCAATGAGAGAATATAATACAAACATAGGTACTTCCCTACCAGTTCGTTCTGATTCTAACGTGGGCGGAAAAAATCGTATAAGCGTGAAATTTAATTTTTTTTTTGAATTTTTTTTCCCTACATGTTTGCTTGCTTACCTTCACCGTAACAGCTTGACAACAAGTGAGAGCAGCTACCAGTTCCAAGGTAGCCACTACAACAGGCTTACGACGGCGTTATAGTTAGGTACCATTAACAACATCATACGTTAGTAGGTAGGTATTTCACCGCACCCTCATCACGAAACCTACCTACCTACCTACCTAGGTAATAAAATAAACAGCGTACAACCGCAGATATCAATGCAGATAAGTAAGCGATAGAACATATTTGGGGATGGGGCACAATTTCATTAGGAAGAAGAGAGAAGAGAGAGAAAAAAAAATAGGCAACCAAGAACACCCCCGCGTAAACCCAACTTAAGTTCTCTCCTTCCTTTTTTTATTTTGTAGAGCCTCATGATATGAAGAAGAGCGAGTAAGAAGAAAGCCCCCTTTCCCCTCCCGAGAAGCCCAGAATGCTATACCAGAACCATTAAACACGGTAACGACGTAGTAGTAGTTGATATAGTAATAACGCTACGCTACGCAATCGTAAACGCAATCGTAGTTACACGTCAAACCAAACCCCCCCCCCACCCCCCCCAAATGCATAACTTCATTGCGACATCCGCCCAGGAGACGCCCGTCAACGTCCCGTTCCGCTTTGTTACATCACAAATAGCAGGTTAGTATCTAGATAAAAGTTTAGTATGTTAGCAACACGGCGGTGGTCATCGCCCGGGAAAGGAGGAGACCAAAAATCCAGACGTACTCAGAGGGTGGCTGCAGGAGAGCTGAGGCTTTTGGGTGTACCGTGTGGATAACTCGTCCCGGATGCTGTTGAGTAGTTGTACATAACTTTGCTGAGGGTTCTTCTTCAAGGCGGTTATAAAGGCCCACGACATGGCACCGGTAGCCTGGGAAGCGATTGTTGCATCGGCCCTACAAATTCAGTTAGCAAATTGTGTGCAACCCCAATGTCGTGGAGCGGTAGTAGTGAAAAAAGAAAAGGGGGAAGGGGGGGTTTCTATCTTCAGCCCTTAACCCGATCGAACGTAACCCGCCGCCCTAGATGCAAAGCCACAGCACTAGTAGCTGTACTTTGATCTAGAGCGTTCAAAAAAATAAAATATTATACATATATACTTTTTTTCTTTTTTCTCCCCCCTCTCCGTCCTCCCTCTGGTCTGTATTCAGACACCCGAATGTACCCGTCTCATATATAACCCACCGATAACCAAGCCCGCCATGTTTTTAATACAAAAAAAAATACATTAAAGTATACATATCCTATGCCACTTGGCCAACTTATGATATTCGTTCATCAAACAAGAAACCAATAGAGAAAGAGGCAATTTAAAAGAAATGGTAGACGAACGAGGTTTGATCATCTTTGCTTCCAGAAAGCATGATAACGTCTGCTGCCGAAGTCTTGGTCGCCATGGCTCTGTGGTGCGCATCCTCTCCGCTGGTGGCCTTCTTGAAAAAGCCCATGATGTTATTCGCAACGCCGCCAAGATCTCCTTGGCTGTAGGAAGAAATAACACCGAGAAGGCCCTGTCCCGCTTCCTTGGCCAGGTTCGGTTCCTTGAGTATTCCTTGGGTGGAGTAGATATACGGAAGGTCGAGCGCGGTACCGGAATGGCACGAGTCAAAAATGGCCGTTAACCGTACTCCGGATTGCAGTGGTCTAACCATGATACGATGCATCTCATCGTCGGTAATGTGTCCAGTATGTCGGAAATCGACAGGATATATAACTTCATCATAACCATCGGGTTCGTCACCATCCAGATCCTTGGTTTGACCGCCGTGCCCTGCGACATTATTAGCTATCATTACGCAACCAACCCAGCGTTATCATACCCGAATAGTGGAAGAACAGCGAGTCGTTGGGCCTTGCATCCTTCACAAGCCAATGCATAGCCCGTAGAATATTCTGCTTTGTCGGTTGGCTCATGGGGTTTTGTTGGTCGTCGGTAAGAATAACCATATCTTCTCGTTTGTAGCCGAAGTGTTCGACGAGGTATGCCGACATATTTCTCACATCATTGATACATCCCCGAAGTTGGCCGCGCTGACCGAAGTAGTTTATGCCGACAAGTAAAGCTTTCCGTCGACCGGTGCAGTTACTATACTGAAACGCGTAGTTTTGAGGAGCGCCGCTGCCGAAATGTTGAGGTCCAGAAGGCGGTGGAGGAGGTGCGTTGTAATTGCCATGGTTATAGGAATTCGAGTTCGCCGTCGGTAGTCCTATACTTCTCTGTTAAACCCACACCTCAGAAGGGCGAGCCCTAATGTCGGTCTTACCAGGTCTACCATATTGACTTAGAGGTTGGCCGTAGCCGCCGTGCTGTGGTGGTGGGCCCTTGAGGATAGCATGTTAGCACCTAGCTCTTTGGACATGAGCCGATAGCTCATATAAATTGTCAATTCACCTGGTTATATCCGTAAGGTTGAGGAGGGTTTTGTTGCTGGGGATATCCGTAAGGAGCGGGAGGTGCTCCTTGGGCAGGAGGGTATCCGTTGTATGGCTGGGGTGGGCTAGGGCGATGTCAGCAGCCGTCGCGATGCTCGTAACCGTAGGGGTATGGGAAATTGGTGGGTGACCATACGGTTGATAATAATTGCCGTGATACTGTTGCTGCGGCGGACCATATCCTCCTGGGTAACCGTAACCCGACATGTCAAGAATCTAAGCTGCGTATATGTATATATATATTGTACTATTCGTATTATACTATTCGCGATGTTGGTTGGTGTGGTTGTTAGTGGGACGAGTGAATACCGGTTAGGTAAGGTTTGGTGGTAACAGAGACTCGTGATATATAAATCGGTGATGGTGATACCTATGAACTCGTGGGGGGTATTATAGGCGAGTGTAGGCGGGGGAGGGATTTTGCCGACGGAGGGGGGTGGGCAAGGTAGTAGGTTCTTATAGGCAAGTCTTAAAGCTTTTGTGACGAAGGGGAGGTGTTCACGATGTTTTTGTATATCGGTTCGCGTGTGGATTAATGGGTATGATGTATGTATTGATCGGAGCTGGTTAGTGTGTAGGTATAAGTAAAAAAAAAAGTACCTTAGGTACCTAGGTAGATATGTATCTATTGTAGATGTGGATATGGATGTAAGCGCAGCCCCATGTAACTACTACATGAGAAGACCTTTTTTTGTTCCCTTTTTTTTTCTTTTTTTTTTCCTGAGAGAGAGAGAAATAATTATAGATGCCAAGACCTTCCAATCTGGGTTATAAATGTGTACATGAATATATATATCTGATGAGACTGATGAGATAAGTGTAAGGTAAAACGTAGGTACACCAGCAAGGGAAAACAGAAAAGAAAAGAAAAAAACAATACCAGTACAGCGGTCAAGCGTTGCGGCGCAGGGGACTTTGACAACTTGCGCGCATCACACACAGACACAGTCACCTGTTGACAGGGATTTGGACTGGTATTCTCCAAAATATACCAATTATATCAATTATACCAAATAATCGGAGATGTCGCAAAACAGTAAGGTATTCCAAGCAACGTTCCGAGTAGCCGTGTAAGGGAGACAGGGGGTAAAAGATAGATAAGCGTGGAAGAATAAAAAAAAAATTGGGTCGTAGGTTGTAACAAGGAAAGACAAGACGGATGAAAGCGACCCTAAAGATGTGAGGAGTTAGCTCGGTTCCGTAGTACTTCATAAATTAGTAAGGATATGAGCCATTAGGATATAGGATAATGATAGTATGGTACTTATCTCATAGTGCGTAATTCTATGATAGCGTTAGGTACACAAACTACGTGCAGGAAAGTGCGGTCATAGTGGTTAAGGTTAGCTTTGGGAACCACATTGGCGCTTGTTACAACTCCGGCATGCCGATAACGTGTGGGGTTTTGTCGGGTCGCTGTTGGCCTGTATCACCAATGATAAACTTTTACGCCGTGGCTGCGCAGGAAAGAATATTCTGCATGCTAACCTTAGGTAAGTAACTGTAAAGAGTAATAAGCTATCGTCATCCAAGCAGCCAAGCTAGAGCCATCTTTCATGTTTAGAGGGGATCTAGCCGCTAGCCACATGGAATAATTTATTATAGTCTGTCTAATCCGAAATAAGTCGTAGCAAGGATCTTGAGAGAGCAAACAGAAACCGAATAGGCAAGAACAAAAAGCAATTCGGCGATTGATACCGCGGCTTCTTGATGTTGTCCATTCTTTTTTTTTTTTTTCTCTTAGCTCGATATTGCGTATGAGGTAATGTAATGTAATACTTTGTTGCTTTATCCCATACCTATTCCGTACCCTCGTCTTCTCACCAACCTGCCAACCTACGTTATGAACCAACAAATCCAATAGTTTAGCAATGGATTCATAGCAACCAAGGATTTCACCAAGGATTTCTATCAAGAATTAGAAGTTTTCTTTTTACCTACTGTGGTATTTACTTTTCAGCAGCTCAGGAACCCCCATTGATTTCTGCTATATGATCGACACTTATAGCTATCAGGTCAAAATAATCCTCGACTTTCAAGTTCGGAGCTGAAGATAGTTCAAAATTGCATCGCCGTCTCCCGCTATAATATTCTGACAACTTACTACTACGCACAGCTATTAGCGTAGCAGCTATACCGCTATACCTTTGCGGCTCTTAACTGTACCCGGTCTCTACAGCCGTACAGCGGAACACGTCAGTGCTGTTACAACGCAATCTCTCTACATTATCTTCCTCGGACGAATCAGCATCTCGGGCAACCCTGCTACCGCAAACTCGATCGGCGACCTAATAAGAGCATAAAGAGCATATACCCAAAGCTTCGCTATCCTATTTGTGCATTTGTCATAAATATAGTTTGACGTTATGTCTCTATTCGTAACTACATAGTACCTAACTACTTGACAGGTACCTAATTCACCAGGTTTCTCCCGGCGAAATCCGTCTTGTATGGCGTTATACTACCTACATGTATGTATAAGTCAGTATACCTGCTTAAGGTAGGTAGTATACACATGGCACTACGGCAGAATCACGGTTAGGTTAGGTGTCTCTCAAGCTACACTGCCTAATTCTAACTTCGTATGGATGCTCACCTTTCATTTGCCCGTATGTCCGTCATATTACTTAAGTCCATCAGCCGCGTTGCAGCAGATTTGACGCATGTCAAGTTAATATAGGACGATATCAAAAAACTTTAACCGAGATTCTTGGAGCGTGAGACGCCGTAAGCCGCCTCGAAAGCCAATACATACATGCACGAGATACATACGATACATACGATGCAATGCACGTCGTCGTTGGAGTCGTGTTGGAGTATCTAATGCGAAACGGTAAGGGAAGAACGAATTATCCGAGTCTTTCAAGCCAGTGCCCAGGTGCCTTGAAGGATAGTAATGCAACCTTGAACAATGCTCGGGATACCCGAACATGGTGGCTGACGTGCAGGGGCCAGAAAAGCATTTCGTCTGAACTTTTGCTTCTCCGGCCCATGGTTTAGCCGTGGCCTATTACATTACCTCCTATTACCTTAGGTTTATCTTAGGTACCTATCACCACCTATCACCTTTGCGCCTATACTTTCCCGGTGAGGCTGTAGGTAGGCTGCAGTATGCTTTGTAAACCTACAAGGCCGCACGAAAAGGCCACACTTTAAATTCTGCAATACGTGGGAGATCTTATTACATACCTACCTGGTACCTAACGTAGTAGTTAGACGGATATCTGGACCGAGTTTCGCTTTCACACCACGCATGCACATGCACATACACATACGTTATCCCACATACAATATCTACAACGTAACATAAGGTTATGTAGAGCAACTGCAAAATCATCGTGGCTATGTGGATTATGACTTCACGTTGAAATCTTATCGCATCCGAATATCTACCGGAGATGCATCCATCAACGACTAAGCTCCGCGGATATTCAGATTTATTTTCGGTCTGTGATTTCTCGGGCTGCCGTTGCTTGTAGGTCTTAGTGGCGGGGATCCCCGCGAGTCAAATTTCAAGATCGGCGTGCTCCTCGGTTTCGGCCAAAAGAGGCAAACGGAGGTAACCAACGGAGCCAACGGAGTAAATGAAGAAAAAAGAAAACAACTACACACAGACATTTTACGTATAACCACCGAACATCGAAGCTCACAATCTAGCTATTAACTATCCTAAGTGGGACTATCACCGCAGATCATCAAGGTACAATAGACAATTATCCAGGTACAAGGTTGTCAGAAACTTGGTCTCATCTTTCAAACAGACGCCACATGCATCGTCCCTAGACACTTCCAGGTCCTTGGGCCGGTTTGGGATGAGAGAATGTGTGGAGGAACCAATCGAGGTGATGCCGAGCAGCACAGCCGCAACCTCGCACCGCGTTGTCTGCAAGGACCAAAAAAAAATATTTTTTATTTTTTTTATTTTATTTTTCGGGACAGCATGGACCAGGAAAATACCAGCCCTATCTAGATAGCTACCTTAGCTGCCAATGCTAGGTAGGTTACGGATTAGGTAGGTTTATCATTGCTGCCATCCTAACCATGCCGCCATGCCGCCATGCCGCCATACCTAAACCGTACTCCGGATCTGTCTGCGAGTCAGCGGTCCGATACTGTATTGTATTGTACAATACCTAGTAGTAATGACTTAAGCAGGTACAGCATTGTCGGTTAAACAGGACCCTTCCAGCCACTTCATCCATGCATACTTAAGTACCTATGCATTGTAGGTATGTACAATACCTACACGCGTACAACGCATGCAGCTAGTGTGTATATACCGCCGGGAGTGCTGCATGTAACCCTCTTTAGAGGCTATGCTATGCGGTATCGATTAATTCTGCGTCGGCATGACAGCACTTTTTTCACTTTTTCACTCTAGCTCACATTAACTCAAGCGCGATCTAGCTTGACATTGACGCTAGAAGAGTCTTATGCTATACCCTTTCTATCATTTACCTTCCGCGTAAGGCCAAACTGTAGCCCTACCTTAAGTTCAGGGCGGCTCAGCTGCCAAAACGAGGCGATTGAGGCTATACAGCTGTTGTAGCTATCTTTAGCTCTAAGTTGCATATTTTTTTTCTTTTGGAGCCTCATCTTCCCTTTAGGATTTTGTTTACATCTCAGCTAAAGAAGATTCTATCTACCTATTGGTAGTTATAGAAATGTTTTAGTTGTTATTACTATGTTCAAACAACGTTATATTCCCTCGACGACTACCTTAGGTACATCTTACACGAAATACCTAAGCCTAATAAGTCTTCCTAATGCGATCAACCCAAGTCCAAGCAGCGCTTAGACTGTGGAGCATAGAAACACGGGCCCTCCCGCAGTTCCAAAAGACGTTAGATCGAACGAACGTCAACTTCATCTGAGACCATTATATACTATGCCAAGGTCTGCATGTCTTACGTTAGAACATGGAGAGGTCATGGAGAGGCTTCGATTTATCCCGAAGTGGTCCGTGGCATTTGATCTTGCTACTAGCCGCTACGTCATATATGTGATCAGAATCGGTTGCTGGTGAGGCAGCCAAAGCGAAAATTAGAGACGATCGCGGAATTATTGCGAGCTGGATTCGTAAGGTCTCGTACAGACACGAGATAATATACATGATGCCACACATGGAAGACATGCAGGCTGGGAATATCATATCAAGGATTATAACAGACACTTCTCTCGAAAAGAGGTAGCATCGCCACTCTCAACGCGACGTACGGCTAGCGGGAAAAACTCCGCATCAGGGGCACACCATTCAATAAAACCTGGGGGAGAGATTAGCGCCGATGTTGCTGTATGGGTATTTATAGCCGGGCGTTTCATCAAGCCCTCTCGCATTTCGATCAATGATATCGTAGAGATGGCTCGAGTACTCGCCTAGCGCGTCTAAGTCGTACGTTGCCACGACTATTCTACCGAATAGCTGGCCGAGCTCTTCGATACAGCTAGGCTAAGATAAGCCTGCTTGATGTCCTTTGCTACCAGGCCTATAGGAACGAGACCCCGAGGCCATTCTCATAACCCAACTCCAACTTCTGCCGCTTATTCTCCGGCTATCTTACCTCCCCTACCTTACTTCTATCACTCTGGAGGGGGCTAGGCCAGCTGGATCGTAGCAAAGTATGGTTAGGTAGGTAAGTCGTTAGAATGGGGGCTGTGATACTTCCCGGGGCATCTACTCTGCGGAGCTGGACGCACATACGCATGTATTCGTACATGTATGATACACCGTAGGCGACTCAATGCTTCCTGGAGTAAACTATCAGTAGGTGATCACCAAGATGGAACACACTACTTGATCCTTCGTATGAAAGGTGGCTACCTATCAACTAACTAGCGCTACAAGCGGACTTCTCTTGTACCTATAGAGAACTAGGTTGTCGGCAGCCCCTTACTGTCAACGTAGAGCTCGCTTAACAGCTGCAGCATACCAGTTCACCGAGCCAGCCCCCCCTGAGAAAGTGCTGTATTGTCACCCTATTGGCGAGAAAACACCCCCTACCGGCTAACTAGACCGACGAATTATTAACTCAGTCTTTCAATGCCCCTGACTTGTTTACACTTATCTATTTCTCCAAGTTTCCGGCCTCTTCGACCTCTTCAGTCCCTTGGACGCAATAGGTTTGTTGACTACCCCCGAAGATATCCCAGCCTACCCGAGCCCCTATTCTGCACATATACACATATGCCTTAGGTTAGGTACCTAGGTAGTTATATGAGTAGAATAGTATTTACATAGGTACCTAGCCCTCATAATTCAAAGCACATAAACTAACCGTGCAAAAGCGACCTACGTATCTAGGTTAGGCTAGCTAGGTATGTAGAGAGGTATTTACTAATATCTCCAATAAGAATACATATAGGTAATATACCGGTACAGACAGACATGCATGCATCTATACCTAGGTACATATATTAAGTACATACATACATACATACATACAATACCTACTCCCATCTAGACCCCTTTACCGCCACTCTCCAGCATCCCAATTCCACAAGATGGATTACCTTAGGTTATGTTAGGTGAGTAGGCTGGTGGTCAGAGGTATATACCGAATCATGTATGTATGTCATGTCAGAAGAGCATCATCCCATTATGTGCGTAATGCCTACCTGAATCAGGTAAGCTGTAGGTAAAGCATTCTAATAAATAAATGCGTATTTCTTATACTTTCACATGCATGCATACATACAGGTTCCTAGATAAGCACTTACTTACCAACCTATCTTACCTTGGGTAGGTAGGTAGGTACCTAACCTATTCCTTAATTCGCCAGTGTAAAATTCAGCAGCCGAACTGCGCGGCTGATGTTGTTCTTGTTGTTATTCAATGAGTGAATGAAATTCTTACATGCTCATACTACTACTACTTCTGCTGCTGCTGCTGCTGCTGCGGTTGTTGTTGTTGTTGTTGTCGCTTGTATGTACTTATTAAAACGAGAAGAACAAAAAGAAAAAAATCCGTTGGTAAGGGTGACCTCTGACTTTTTATACGTTACGTCAGATCTGTCAAGCGTCAAGCAGGTAGGTGTATATAATATATAATATAATAATATATAATACCTCTTACTACTTATGGTATTTATCCCCATCGGCGGCGGTGTAGAATTGTAGAAACCAATAGTATCAATCTATCTATCTATTCCGTTCTGTCTTGTTATGCTTCTTTACATTATAGTATGACATGAACGAAAAAAAAAAGAACCGTGTAAGGTAAAGAAAGGCAAAGGCTACCTAAGGTAGGTTTTGCGAATGGGTGTATAGGTAGGTACCTAAGGTAGGACATCTCCCCGGGAACGAATCAAGCGAATCCGGCGAAAGCGGGGGTTCAAAGAATGCAAAGAAAGAAAAACGTAGCTACCTTAGGTACCTAGGTAGGTAGGTAGTCTTCGTATTACTCATCATATGCTTCATTCACGTCTATCAGATGGGAAGATGACGATGCTAGTTAGGCCCTTCTTCCTAGCTACCGCATAATCTAGATCCAAATACCTAGGAGGAGGGAGTAGGTCGCTGTCTATCTATCTTTCTTTCTGTCTGTCTGTCTGTCCTTGCAACCTCAAGTTCGCGATAGCCGATCCGGGATGACACTCGAGTAGGTACCTAGTTGACCCGTAACCTACATCCTAGATCAGAACAGTCTCAGCTCTCGACTAGAGCAGACCCTCAAGCATTCTTCATAACAACATCCTCATCCGCCTTCGCGCCGCCGCTGCCGCTCTCGTCTTCCGTGCGCATAACCCATGCCATCATGCCCCAGAGCAGGCGCATGGCCTCGAGCCTCTCCTCGACTATGAACAAGTCGTACCACTTGCTGCGCCACACCTCCAGCTTCCCCCAGCTCTTCACCTTCTCCCCTGTCTCGGTCTTGACGTACGCATCCGGCGCGCCGGCGAATACCTCTAGCAGGCGGTTGGGCACGCGCACGCGAATCACGGACAGGTGGTGGAACAGGCTGCTGAGCACGAACACGTCGTCGAAGTCGGCGCCCTTGATCTTGCCCACGGCCGTGTACTTGGTCTTCCTGTCCCAGTTCGACGACGGCAGCCGCACCATGCGGTAGCTGTCGTAGATGCTCAAGTTCTTGCGCGGCTTCTTGCTCACGGGCTGTCCGCGCACGGGGATGAGTACGGTCTTACCCCCTACTTTAATCTCCTTGGTGGCGCTGGTTGTCTCCGGCACTGGCACTGGCTTCACGCTATCTGACTCCTCAGGGTTGGACCCGGCGGAATCCTTGTCGCCTACGATGGAGTCGCCGTCGATCTCCCGCCCTATGGGACCACCTTCGCCTCCACCCCAGCGCTTCTGCGTGGCCCACCATTTACCCTCGCCAAACCGTTTTTCGGGCTGGCCTTCGCGGGCACGGTGCTGCGCAGTAATCAGTGCCGCGACAAGTTCACGCCCAAAGTCCAAGTACGCCTCCGCCGAAGTGGGGAAATTGATAGTGTTGCGCGCCGATACCGCTGCTATGGGGCCTTCGACGATACCCGCGCGCGCAGCTTCGCGGGTCATCGGCGACTTGCATAGAAACACGCATCCAGATGGGAAGTAGGATGCGACCTGAGGGTGATACCGTACCTTGGATTTCGTAACTTCTTTGAATGCGGGTGAAAGCAGCTGTAAGCGAGGCTCGACTCTCGGTGGGACGACGTTGCAGCCGAAGTCGTAAGCTACGAGCTTAACGAAAGACGAGATTAAATTATGACGGAATTCAGCCGGCATGATCGCACCGGTATTAGTGCGATAAGTAACCCGTTCAGGAGCCTTAGGTTTGGCTTCCGGATTCTCAGACGAAGTACCATCGGCGGGCTGTGACTCGTCTTCATTTTCGGTAGAAAGTGGTGGTAAGGAAGTGTCATCCCAGTACTGCGCCATCAACTCCATTTGCCTATAGAATTCATAGCAATTCCCTAGTCGTGGGGCTTGAGTGCCAGGTTCGGGTTTGATACGACGAATGGTCCTAAAGGCTGATTGATTTGGTATGGATAGTTCAGCACGGCGATCTATGAAGACACGAGCCTCAGGAGAAATCCTTCCATTGGAAAGGGTGCGTCGGAAAGTTGGATCCCTACGCCGGGCCTCATCTATGTCGACGCCGACCCATTCGGAGGCTACGGGTAAGAAGGACGGATCCGGGACAACGTCCTCGGGCGGGGCATCGGCATGCATCTGAAGGCCGAGGGCGGCGAAGTGAGACCCGCTAAGCTCATTGGGACGCTGTAGCTTTTGCAGGAAGTGAACAAGGGAAGGGTGAGAATTTGCGTCAGATAATTGAGAGCTGATTTGTGGTAATTTGATAGGAATAGCTGGTGGAACGTCCTTGGGCGGCGGTCCGATCTGGTGTGCGTTTGGCACTAATAAAATAGATGAGATTGATGATCAGAGATAGACGAGATTATTATTTTTTTTGGAAAGGAATTATTGTAAATTGCCTATTAAAAAAGAATATTCATATGATGCCCTTTTCAGGTTACAAAATTTGAAATATATTGTTGGTTCGAGTTCGTTGCATATACACGGTGTGTACATGATGTATATCTCAGCTGTGTTTCCACAGCGTACTTCACGATAGTAAATAAAGAAAAATAGATACCAAGTCTACTTACCAAAGCTGACTATTGAGCCCAACATTCTTCTAAAGGTTGTCGCAGGTCAAAAGGTAAGGCGTGCACACAGCCAAGTACCTAACCTATAGTAATAATAAGCACCTCGTACACGGTTTCTACCTGTGAGAGGTCCAGTTCCTAGGAAAGTGTGCAGATAGGGGGAAAGGGTCCTAGAGGTCGCCTTGCAAAATGACGTTTATGGGTGACACAGTTCCCCTTTAAAGCAGGCGGTAGCTTGTAGTAGTAGAGCCTGGCCAGTTTAATCAATCGACGGGGGCGCTTCTTAGATGTTCCAGCGCCAGATGCTAGGTATAGTATGTAGGTAACGTCCACGGGTCTCAGGTGTTAAAGGGTTCTTCGGCCTTAAGATGCTTCAGATGTCATTAGGTCTCGAAAAACTAAAAGCTAATATAGGTAACTTAAGTTCCGCTAAAATATTCACAAGTAGCTTCCCAAATAGGAATTGAGAAGGGTGGTCTGGTGTTGTGGTGTTGTGGTGCTGTGCTCGTGACGTTTACTAGAGCCTAGATAGAGCCTGGAAGGTATCATGGGATGGAAAGGGAAAGGGACTGGACCTTGTTGTAAATCGGGTTGAAGAATTAAAGCGCGGAGTTTGACAGTTGTTAGTTTTTAGGTTGGTTTTTTTTTTTTTCTTTGCTCTCAGTTTGGGCGGGACTGTTCCTTCCACTTTTTAAGCTTCGACATTGCCCTTTTTTCTCTTATTAGTCAAATTTGGTCTGTGCATTTTTTATACCTTGCCAGCTTGCACCTTGCATACATCAAGTACTACTACTATGGATGGTAGCACCTCCTCCAATGTTACATTTTTCGACCTTACGTCCAGTGCCAACCGAGCACTTATGTGCCTTCCCTGCTTCCCAACCCGCAGCGAGATGATGAATGGTTGGCGCGGTAGGAGCAATAAGAGCAATAGGGTTAGGCACTTTCTTTTAGTAGGATCAATAAAGCTACGGTTTAAGTATGTGCTACCTGTTCTACTAAGTACTTACACATATCTACCTAAGGTGTATCAAGTGAGATGATTTGGGGGTATTGTACATAGGTACTTGCTATAGTATGTTGGACCTTTTTTTTTGCTGGTTGCTGGTTGCTGTAAAAATGGTTCGTTTTAATTTTCCCCCCTCTTATCATCATCACATCACCCATGAATACCCGCATAAACAATTCGACAAAAGCCAAAAGCTACCGTTTGCTAATTAGAAGTATGCAAACATTTGCCAAGGATGCTTTTACGGGTCAATACATCGGCATCGGCATCGACGTCAACATCAACATCAAGCATATCGGCAAGCATAGATCCGTCAAGTTTGATGTCCATCCCGTAGCTCAGGAAATCTGAGTGGATTACAGGATTACACAGCGCAATGACTACAAGTTTGTCGGGACTCGACTATATTATCATATTATCCTTCTTACCTTTGAAACTCAGAATTGTTCGATGACTTCTTCTTCTTCTCCTCTTTAACCTGCTTCTATAATGGATAAAAAGAGGAGACCGTTTGCTATTTTACCCACTCATGGCTAATGTGTTAAAACACCATAACTCCTTACATTGAACAACTTCGATCCCGTGCCAAGCCACTCGATTTCACCGTCCCTAGACGGTCGCTATGTCGGATTTCTCCTAACCTACCTCCTAACCTATAGGTAACGAGTGGTAAAATAATAGTATCGATGAGACAGGCATTCAAACCCCCCACCGGCACCAATATCTAGGTGCCTTAGGTACAGTACAATACCTAACAGCCCCAACACCAAGCCCCAAGCCCCAAGCCCCCCCTATACTTGGTTACATTAGTTTGAGTCTTACTAACATTTTTACAGATAGATACCTTGTATAATATAATATACGATATAATATGTATTAAACATTAGGTATGCAAAAATATGGTGTGGCGTACCGAATGCGGCTGAAGGGTCAACCACCCCCCCAACCCTCGCTGCTTCAGATTTGTTACAAGCCAGGGGTTCAAGCGTTTTACCCCACATCCATAAGAGTGAATTCTGAGGCTATCAGCTCTCCTTAAGGAGACTCATTGGATGCTTTCCACGGCGCTTTGGGGGGTTACCCCTGTCTGACTCGTCCAACCGATCTCCACCGTTTTCGTTTCCTCAACGGCGACATCAGCCAATCTCGTCTATCCATATCCTTACCACCAAACACACCATACCAGGGACGAGACCTTTTGCAACAGAATCTGATGGACATGCAAACCTGAACCCTTAGCATCGTAGTAGTGCACGTCCTCGAGGTGGTTATCTCGGAATGGGTGGAAATCCAGGGGAGGGGGACCGTAGTCTATATTCTCAGTGACCTAGGCGTTTGACGATCCTTAGTTCCATTCATCCCGTTGTTCTCTTTCGCTTTCTTCCGAAAGGTGTAGCACTTTTCTTCCCGAACTTCACTCTCAGATATATCATTAATATATCAATATTACGTAGGGTGTTTAGTTCCAAGCCACTCTGTCTTTTTTTTCCAGAGGAAAATGAGAGTTTTGCTGTTCCTTACAACCCATTTTTGATGATCTGATCATCGTAGCCCGGCCGCGCCGGCCGTTTTTTCTTTTTCTCTTTCTTGTAACCTCATTTTATCTTGATTTCATTTGCCCAGAGCGGCGGTAATTATTTCCTGTTCGACTTTTGCGACTGGTATCGCTTTATCTATTCTCACAATTCACGATCATGGCTTCTATTACGACTCGTAAGGGTAGGAGGTGTACGGCAGTGCCGAAATTAGTACAAATCGAACAAGCAACACCTGTAGCCTCTAGTTCTACATCAACATCGACATCAGAATCTTCTTTATTGAGTTCAACTTCTTCGACATCACTATCTTCTTCGACTTCGACATCAACCTCGACTTCGACTTCAATCTCGGCTTCAACACCTTCGTCTATATCTAGTTCGATAGCGACCGAAACCCAACAATCCCTACCTGAAAACCCGGCAGAACGAGAAACCACCCCTACCAGTACCCTCCCTACGGAAATACTCCCAGGACCAGCAGATACTGCTGTTTCTGCATCATCTCCAACGCCAGCCGTAACTGACACTGATGGAGTTTCTTCATCTGCTCTTCTTATTGACACCTCTCCTACCCCATCTCCTACCCCGTCCCCTGCTCAGCCAGATACACAAATATCGAGTTCCGCAGATCAGGATAATGGCTCTGCATTATCAACCCCCTCCCTTTTCAACCAACCGGTAGATTCTTCCTCATTCGTCAGTGCTGTCGAAAGTACGGCATTACCAACAATAGCGACGACGGAAGCCTCTAGCTCGGCAGTGGAGACTGGAGCAAGAGGGACAGAATTGCCAAGTACTCAAAATACTCAAAAGCAAGCGACTGGCAATGCTATCACTACGGGGCAGACGGTAGCCATAGCGGCTGGGGTTGTTGGTGGAGTCATAGCCATCTCTTTAATAGCATTTATAATCTGGTTCTGGAGGAAGAGAAAAGCGCAGGGACGGAGGAGCACCATGTTGACGTCTATGTCCCCTATTGCGGAATATCGCGGCAATGAGAAGGAGCCTTATCTCATTAGTCGGAGGTCTTTGGGTCCGACGCCGCTCCCTCAAAAGCTCTGGGCGACTGTTGGAGCTAAGTATAGAAGACTGCGCGGGCGTGTTGGCTATATCGTGACGCGCAGCGGCAGTCCAAGCCCTAGCGTCAATCTTGACCGCGGCAACTCCCAATTTGGCCTGCCGGAGCCAATTCATAGCCGAAACACTTCGAATACGGGACCTACAACGAATAATGGACGCCCCGTGGATTGGTGGAGCCGGTTGGCGGAAGATGAGAATTCCAACTGGCAAATACGTGGTGAGCCCGAAAACAATGGGCCTGCGTTTGGCTTCCGGCCCGAGCGAGAAATGGGAAGTGTGCAAGGGGACGCAAACGGCAATCGGCGGCGCTCAGTATCCGTGGGTGGCGAGCAGCACTTCCTCGGCGGTATAGGATTAGACCTGGACTCGGCAGACCCCTTTTCCGATATGAATGTTATAGGCAACAATGCAGCCAAGACCACGTCTCCGGTAGTCTCTGCAGTAAACAACCCATTTTCGGACTCTAACGCTATTAGGGCTCCGTCGGGTGTTGTAAATGGAGGAATCGCAACCTATGTGCAAAACGCCCGTCACTCCCGTGGCCATAGCGTCAATGTTAGCATTAGCCGCCAGACGAGCAATGCTAGCTACCGGACGAGCGTGGGTACTGTCGGCACGCGACGTAACAGGTTCCGCTCCGACCCCTTCGATTTGGATCGCCCGGATCTTCTACGCAGCGCCAACTCCAGTATGGACGCCACTGCCGGGTGGGCCAGCAGAGCCAGCCGCAGTAGCAATTATACGGAGAGCGTGCCCAGTATCCCACAGCAGGCCCATATGAGGAGCGAAAGCTTCACGTCGAAATACTCGAGCGGCGTAAGTAGCATGGGTTGGGGCGATCCCGGGCCGGACGTCGGACCGGCAGTTGAGCGGTACACGCCGAGTCCAGACAGCCGACTGGGGCGACGGGATTCTGACGCTAAGAGCAGCAAGAGCCAAGGTAGCGTGGGCAAAGCCATATAGGACACCCACGCTTGAAACTTAAAGACACAGCAAACATAGTGTTTAGATTGGCGTGGGAAGAGCATCAGACGACGAGGCGTGACGCGAGCATTGCTGCTGGTTGACTAAAGCATATCGAAAAGAGGGGGTGGGAGTATAGCTCGGAGTTTTGACGGTGCATTGGTTTTTTTTTTCCCTTTGTTTGGGTCCATTCCATGATACCCAACAAAACCACACTCGCTTATGATATACCATACCACCCAGGGGAGGGACGAGGAAATGGCGTGTTCCCTAATTAACCCCAATATGTATAGAGAAAGAGAGAGAGACAGAGAGAAAATATGTTCCCTTTTTGTTGTTTTTCGTTCGACATGGGGGGATTGGTTTTCTTTCCCCGTCCCGTATACCCAAGCGAGGGGAATAAAAGAGATGAGAGTGTATATTAGGTGCCGAAAAGCCTTGAGTGTGCTTGCCAAAATAGCTGCATAGATGGAGCGCGCGTGTTGTATCCTATCGTACCGATCGAGAGAGAATAGCGTAGCTGAAATAAAAGCCTTGAAGTTTGATCATGTTGGCGTGAGGACGGTGCTATATTTCGAGGATCATGTGCTGTATGTCTGCTGTTGTGGTAAACGATACCTATGGTAAGTTATCTTGACATGCCTATAACAAGATATGCCTTTAGAAAACAGGCCTCACAGCTTTATAAGCGGGAGTGAGAATGGCTTATTATGAGAGATAACAGGTAGGTACCTAAGTAGGGACTTTAGACACCTAATTAAGTAGCTACCTACTTGTAATATTCATTTAGTTAGTTTCAATAGGCAATGGTTCAATTTCTCATTATAAGGACAAGAGGAAAAAGAGCTTGCTACCAAACCAAATAGACACGACATCAAAGCTCGAAAGGGTACTTAACCTAAGGGAATACATCTACTATTGCTAGGTACACATAAATATATGCAATACGTACGTACCTACCTCCTACCAGGTACTAATAGTAACTTAATCCATCCCAGATCTAAGATCCTGAACCTTTACTTCTTTAATGAACTCCTAACCAAGTACTGTTATAAACCAAAGTATAGGTATACCTAATATGGATTCATTACGGCGTATAGATGTTTATCTACCCGATACACAGGAGGTATCCAGAACATCGTCTTCGGTAACAACACATGTCAAGCTTCCGCCTGGTTAACTTTTCTTTGCACCTGGAACGGTCCGGATGTTGTATGTATGTACGCAAAAGTCTCTTAAGGCACATTGCCACATTGCCTTCCAAGTAAAGTCCCAATGCTTTTAAGAAATAAATAACAGGTACCTTATCTAACTTACATACTCGAAACCCCTTGAAGCTTAAGCTTAAAGCACACCCAAACCCTACCCCACCATACCCCACCACACCACCTCAGCTTAGTCAGTGCTAAACCGTAGATGTACACAAAGTACCTCCCCCAAGTACCTCTTCCCATCCCATCCCATCCCAACCCATCCCTAACCCCTTACCCTCCCATTGGCCACCTCACCTCACCTCACTTTACTTTACGTAACTCCCTCCCTCCCCTCCTTTACGCGAACCAGACGCCAAAAAACGCCAAAAAACGCAAAATTCACCGTCCGCCGCGCGAACCTGCGGACGCGTCTGGCGTTAGGTAGGTCGATCGCCGTATAATAGGTAAAAAAAAAAACAAAAAAAAAAAAAACAAAAAAACCGAAGCATCACATCGCATCGCATCGTATCGTCATCTCACATGCAACCCTCCATACCTACCCTACCCAACTTCCTGACTCGCATCAATTCGCCAACGACGAAGTGCACTTTTCTTCCATGACCAATTGATCGGTTACTATTTCGTTTTGTTTACAACACAACCTCGGTTCACTGGATCAGATTTAGGTTCGCAGAAACAAAAAAAGACTCGCATTGTTTGTTTGTCTGTCTGTCTGTCTGCAAGTAAGAGCTAACGCTTACACTGCGCTACACTACGTTGGCCTTTTTGCCTGCTACGTTAGGTTAGGTAGTTTTCGTTCGTCCTGTCCATTCAGTCCGTTCCATCCATCCATCCATACCCATCCGTACCATCCGTACCATGCTATCAAACGATCGTCGAAGAAAAACAACAACAAAGACTACGCATACGCATACGCAATAGCTTTCTTGGACCCTCGGGAGAAAAAGAAAAGAAAAACAAATATCAAATTACTCATACGTTGGGGTGAGTGTGTGTGAAGCGCAATATCGTTGCGAAGCATTACCGAAAAAAACAATTGAGGGGGTGTGCCCTGACCAATAGACTCCGAGTATTCCACATTGCTGACCTCGGAATTAAAAGACCAGCAGAATATCAAAAAGAAGACGCAGTCCATGTCTTGTGTGTTGTACAAGCATACCAGTCCTGGCTGTTTGTGTCTGTTCGTCCATCCATCCATCCATACCCTCTTGGGGAAAACATACTAATAATAAGTGATCATGGCGAGAGCCGGGTATTGTCGTAATGTGCGTATGCACATCTAGGTGAGAAAATTTTGTGTAAATGTAGAAATGAAAAAGAAAGTTTTGCGTCGTCCGTAAAGTCGTCGATCTCGACGTAAATTGCTAGTGATTGGGCGTATGTAGCTGAGCTACAGCTTATAGCCCGAGTGCTGGGTCATCAAACGTTAATCGTCTTCTTGCTCCGCTCAGTGGCGTCTTCGCCGTAGGCGTTCTAAGCGACATCGGCGTCTTCCACGGCTTCTGGGCAGGGCTAGGCGTAATATTGACAAAATCTGACATGTCAAACGGCTGGCCTGGTGTTGTGGGGAAGAGTGTACCACCGCCAGGGGTGGTCATCATTGACGATGGCAATGCGAGGTCTTTCTTCTGAGGCGGCGTAGACGGTGGCTCCATTCGGGTCTTAGTCGAATGTACCGCCGGCGAGGGAGATGCTGCCAGATAAAGCAATAAATCCGCACCTTCTTCCGGCTTCTCCCCGTTGATCATACCCCTATCCTTATTTCGGCGGTTTATAGATCTACTCCGCATGGGCGGTGTTCGAGGAGGCGACGTCCGATTGTGATCATGGCCATGGCTAACCATAAATGAGTGTGCGGGTAATAGGTCGTCATCATCGTCGGAATGCGCTGCAAAATTTTGCACAGCAAAATCCACTGAGGGGCGGCGGGAACCTTGGAAAAATGACACGTCGGGCCCCGTAGAAGTCGTAAAGTGCTGTTGTCTTCGTGGCTTGAGAGGAGAAGACTGGATTAGTTGTCGGTGTGCTCTCCACGCCCTATGTGGGGACTCCATGGATTTGTATGCGGTGGGCGAGGTACGGTATCGCTTGGTTGGACTCGACATAGTTATATCAAATGAGGCCATGTTGTATGTGCGTTTCCGATGACCTGTACTGCCATTGCTGGACCCAATTGCGTCTGAAAATAGAGGAGCTTTGAGCGGGGAACTCATGAGCGTATTCCTACTGCTGGGATAAGGTAGTTCTGATGTGCTAGACGACGAGTCAGATAGTACATCTCCTTCAGCAAGACGTCTGCGTCGGATCTCTTCTTCGATCTTGGGCTCGATCGTATCAAGCGTCAAGTCTTCCCATCCATGCTTCGTCTTAAACTGTGCTAGAGCCAATCGACCTTGTAATCTTCGGGCGATCTATCAATGTGAAAAAAAAAGTCTGTTAGATATTGATTTTTCTTCGCTGATCCGATAGGTGAACCAAGCTTGTGTACATACCTTGCTAACTTCCACTCGTTTGAGGACTTTATCAACTACAGCCTCAGGCTGTTTTTTCAATGGCGACGACATGTTGCTTTGCTTGGATCGGAAGGAAACTTTTTTTTCTCTCTGGATTCTCCCCCCTGAGTCGAAAGTGACGTTTATCGAGTGATTGTCCAGAAAATATGGCGGGGGATATAAATGATTGGGTCGACTTGTAGGCCAGGCGCTTGCCGGTGTAAGGGAAAGGGGGGTTGATGGTTACTTTGGAAGGATGGAGGATGTTGATAGGTATGGTATGAGGTATGTATGGCTTGGGGTGAATGTGAACGAATGGAATTAGGTAGACATTAAGTATACCGATCCGTCTGAGTGTCAAAATTTTATGAGGTGGGCTCTTGAAATCGATATGTACAGTTTAAAAAGGTTGAACAAGAGCTGCAAAAGGATAGTTTTTGTATAGTTTGTATAGTTCGTATACTGTTGTAATGAACGACGACAGTGAGGCAGCACTAAGGTAAAAGAAGTATGTAGGGAAAAAGTCAATTAGTTCACATTGGCGTTGGCGGAGGTACGATCTTGGATTACCCGCAATGGAAAATAGGCATTTGCGCTAGTTAAGGCTAGGAAAGGGCTGTTAGTTCGGTCTACATAAAGTACATAGCGACGGTACTTGTTGCTCAAAAACACTGCTTGACTAAGCCAATTCAGCCAATTAGGTACACTATGTTGGAAGTCGGTGCATTCCTTCCCCTTGGAAACCTGCTGATGCAATATTGGAAATTAGGAAGTCTTAAAAAGTCCGAGCTTAGCTTCCCTTGATTTCCAGGTGAACAATGCCCGCTGACTTAACTAAAGAGGTCCCCCCCCAATGGGCTTGCCTTGGATGAGCTCACCGATGGGTCGCTAGCTTTCAGCGCAAGTCCGGATCTCATAGGGCCAGATGCAGCTCCCCTAAGCCTAACTACGTCTTCAGGGGGCTGTTGTTGTGTTATGTATTGTACAATACAACCAACCAATCTAGCGGTTAGATGTTACATACCTGACTGTTATCATACAATTCAAGCCAATGCAATCCTGTATAAGCGACTAGGATATGACTTGCTAATAGCCAATTATTTCTGCGACAGCCCGGTAGGTTGCAGGTGGCCTGCGAACAAGTTCTATGACATGTCTATTCTGCTTGTACCTAGTAATATGTTTTCAAAGGTTGGCGTTTATGCTGTGAACCCATTGAAGAGCTTACTGGCGTTTTGTCTGCCCTTCACATATCCCATTAGGCGAAGGAGAGGGCAAATAGAGCAATATCGTTTAGATATTACATTTCTTGATAATATCCCTATTCCCATGGTAAGGACGGTTTATGGCCAGCGAGACATGCGTGGACTCGAATTCAGTAGGATGTCTTAGGCAATAAGTATGTCATGTAAGATACCTATAATAGAGACCCCTTTTCTGCCGAGTTATGTACCTAAGGTAGTGGGTTAGTTAATTCCACAGTCTCCTATTCTTATCGAGAGCCAGACATAAAAAAAAAGATCCGTGCTCGAGTTTAAGAAAAGGGAAGAAGTCTAGAAAGAGAAAATTCGAGAAGATAACAACGGAGCTTTTTATCGTAGGGTCATCGGATATAGGGGAGTAGGAGTAGGAGTAGGAGATGGCGAGGTTTTCGTGGCATGCGACAGCTCTTCCGAAAATGGCAGCCAATTTAAACCCCTGTCCGACGAAAGTGAGGCTAAAATGTTACGAAAACGTGCCAAACCCGCATTTTGCTGCAAGCACTTAAAAGAGCGTTGTCTCACATCAACTTAGATGAATCATGGTATTTTGACTAACGCTTGGGTAAGCCTTTCAGCGGTGCTAAGGTGAGAAAGAGGTATGTAACTCAACATTGTAAAATGATTGCAATTAGGGGTTGGTAAGTAAATCAGGTGGAATGCTGCAAGCATTAACAGGTAGTTATATAAAAATGGAAAGCTTGTAAAAATACCAAGGGGGGTAGGGTATATACTTGAGGAAATTGAAAAACTTCGTATCTAGTGCAAACTGGCTATGGTTTAAAGCGGCAAAGTAGAGAATACGAGAATCTGTCAGACGAAGTGCATTTATCTCCAACTTGACCCAATTGGTTACATCGCAAGGCCGCTATGGAAACATCCCACGAATATGCAGTGATGCTGATCATGGCGATGATGGAGAACAATAGAGTGACCTAGTGTATATTTCGGGGAGTAGTCCAAAAGATCGGATACCAAAAGTTGAAGAGCATATCCGAGTTTCTGCTTCTCACACATATACCCACACTATGTCTTGTGAGTACGTGGAAAAGGCACTCTCTAGGGCTTCAAACTTAAGAGATTAGTACAAGGCTCTAGAGACATAGGCCTTATAAGGAGGTAGCTTTATAAATTACGTTGTACCGGGCCGAGCCGTAGACGCAGCTATAGGATACCTAGGTATCGGATCATTAGGAGTATTGACTTTGGTTTGTAACTTTACTTAAGTATTTCAAGCCATCCGGCGGGGAAATGCGAAAGATACCTCCTTTTTTCGAGTTTTCATCTTGATAACTTCCACATCACCTTGCGACATCCGCTACAGTTTAATTTATGTACGCTGGTTTCAAATAAGATTTCTCCGCTATAATGTTGGAACCATTGTAAACGAACCTGATAAAATCCAGCAATTAAAATGCCAGGTACTGTTTGATACCTGACGGTTTCTTGCATGCTCAACAAGCTAAGAAAATCCATCACCGGTTGGCTGCATCGTCGGGCAGTATCAAAACTAGGTGGTATAAGGTACCGTAGCATTATAAGGTATCATCCTAGGTTGGATACGCACGAGACAGTCTTTCCGTTGAGCGCTGTATGTAGTTCGCATTTCGATCTGAAGATCTGTGATACCAGGTGAACAGATATCAAATGATCCGATAACCAATCAACCAAAACTTATTAGGTTTATATGAGTGTAACTAAGTCTTAGAATACCCTGTAAGTCCTGTCCAGGTGGTTATCCTTCGTACGTATTATCGTTTTATGTAAACCGTACCTTAGGTTAGGTTCATAGTTGTCATTGAATAAGACAACCCGACAAAATGATTAATAGCTTCCCTGTCACCAAAATAAGAACCAGCATAATCGTGTTATATTTAGGTACATTGCAGATATCGACACCCTTGTAAAGTGCACTGTAACCTTGGCTCGGCTCTTTCAGGCCAAGACCTCGTTCACCAGCATGCGCATTACTTACTGTGCCACTTACCTATCTACAGGTATTACAGACCGAAGGCTTCCGGAAACCTCCAATTTTTTTGAGCTCGAGATATGGATCGTGGCTTTTCATGTATATCAATATTCGGAGGAGTAATTACGCGTGTCAGCTTACGCCAATCTCGACGTCTTTTCCCCCCCCTCCTTTGTTCTGGAGAGAAGTAAGACGCGGAGGTTGAGTATCGGGTAAAGTACACGAGCGTATCTAACACAAATAGAAAATGGGGCATTATAGCTAACCGGTACATGGAAGTTACAGGGTGGTTCAGTGGCCCTTTCGTTAGCAACTTCTCGTATCCAAGTTTTTCAATTCAACTTTTCAACTTCCAAATAGGCCAAAGCGGCCTTCCAGGGAAGGCTTGGTCCGGCGCAATGCAATTCGATGCAATTTCAAGGAGCGGAAGAACCCACTTTAACTTAACTTAGGTACCTAACCTAGTACCTGGCCTAACCAAGCTGGCCAAGTACCTTAATCAAGTACCTCCCAACTTATCAATCCCCGACGTCATCATCATTTGTCAATTCGTCAACATCCCGCTCCTTGTGCCGTTTTCCCTCCAGCGGACGCACACATGTCAATCCACATCTACAAAAGCTATGATCATTAATGATCGCTAATGATCGCCTATCCAATCTAGCTGATTACATTTAACACAACTTCTGTGCTCTACGCCAGGATACCGTTAGCTACTAATCGGCCCTACAACCAGAAACAACTTATTGTCTTTTTTTTTTTTTTTTTTTTTTTTTTTTTCTGTCCAGAGTTGGCAGAAAGATAGGTTTTTTTTTCTACCCTCGCTTTTGTTTTTGTTTTTTATACTCGTCGACGTTGAAAGAAATACCTAGTTTTTATAGCCAGGCTAATACAACTTCTTTTATCATCCAGAAGTCCAAGCTCCCTCCCCCCCAAATGTTACCCATAATAGCCTATCCTTGATGACCTATTTACATTCCACTTATCATTTTTATCTCGCTTAGCCACGCATTACTCGTTTCATTACCTCCAAGTGAATCTTTGACCTTACCTTCTTTTTCTTCCTCTTTTCTTCTTCTTTTCTTCCCTAATTCAACCAATTTGACTAGTTCGTCCGTTCGCTTTAGGGAAGCTCACTAGCTGCCGTTAGTTAGACTGACTTGTGGGCTGTCTGCTTCCCCTTCTTAAAATAACTCCGGTGAGGCTACTTTGACCCCTGGTAGCTTTGGCTTGGCTTAACTGTATCGACCGACCAGACAAATAGAGAGCTCTGTTACCAAAAATTTGTTGGACCTGCGCCTAACAGCTTCTCTCCTGAGTCCTCACAGCTTCAACACGGAGAGGAGACCAGCTTCTGCTGTGGTTAAGCTGTTATGGCTCCCTCCTTTCTAAGCTTCAAGGAACTTCGAAGACGATCGCGAGCTAGTTTCCGTACCGACCATTCCACTGACGGCTCAAGTTACGATGAACAGCAGAGTCAAGACACAACGCCCACTAACGGGTCAATCACGCCTCCTTCTATAACTGCCCAATCCGATCCGGGAGTCCCTACGCAATCCAAAGACCTACTGCAACCCCCTCCGATTCCAGCTAATAGGCCCCCTCCTCAGCCTAATTCCAACCGGTATAGTAGTGTATCGGGGATGGCTGGATTGGGATCTCCTGCTCTCAATGGCAAAACCTCGTTACCTCAATCGCAATACGCCCCTCGACTAACTAACATTGGGGAGAATACTTGGGTACGGTGGAACTTTCTCCTTTTTTTTTTTTCTTTTTTGTTAACATTAAAGTTCCATTGGCCATCTTAAACCCCATTAATTGATAGAATTGAACAGACTTTCAATCTAAATACCTCCTTTTGTCGTATGTATATAGGCGTATATGCTGATTAAAAAGTAGGTCTCGCAAAAGATCCTTCTTGTCAATGGTACGATTGGAGAAGCAGGTCAAAAAGCCCCGGAAGGAACTGCTACGGTTTGTAGGCTAGACGATGGATTCCCACCTACGTATTGGCCGGTTTGTGAATCGCAGTTCAAAGCGTTGGTATATCTCATGCCCGGTGCAAATAGATTGCGTTTCGACTTCTCGAGCCCCAAGCTCGCAAACAGCGGCACCTCAAATCCGATTCATTCGTCCTATATCACCGTACATATGGTCCCTCCCATGAACTCACCACCGCTACAACTTGCCATCTTACTCGCGAAGGATTCTCCCGGTACATTTGACGCCGTCCCTGCCCGGATTGAGAAGGAAGGGAATAATATCGAAACGGCCATTCGCAAATTCCGAATGGCTGCTTACCTCTGGCAAGCATTCACCGCCGAACAGATGTCGAGGAACAAGCTCGGCCGACGGGTGTTTAGGTTTGAGGAGGAATGGACGACAGGTACCTGCAATTATCGGGATAGAGAAATGGGCGCGATGCGATCAGAAGCGCGTATTCACGTTATCCGATCAGACAAGACTTTGGCTGAGATTAGGGACCTTAACTTAGCGCAACAAAATCCGGATGCGACAAAAAAGGGTGACCTTTACGGCATTGCTGCTGACGCTCTCAAGAATTACTTCAAACCTCTTCCAGGACAGACTCAATACGTTTCGGTGCTACTTCTAGATGCTCATTGGGATACGAACGCGAAGATTGTAACGGGGCATGCTGCTTTAGGAGGCAATTCCGGCGACTTACACATGGCGATTTTTGGATCCCATTGCCTGCAAAGCTACCCCACGAGTATCGAAGAGGTTGTGCCGGCCTTTACTGACTGCACACCTACTGACACCAACTTTGTTGCGAACGACTGTAACGAGGCCGGAAGTTCCTGGGAAGCTGCGAATATCGGCATCGGCGCTCACCTTCACGAAACCGGACACCTCTTCGGATGTCCGCATCAGGAGCATGGCGTTATGCTCAGGGATTATGTCAAGTTAAACCGCTCGTTTGTATCTCGAGAGGGCTACTCTACTCGGACTAAGTCGAAGGGGGGACCCGTGTCTCAGGCAGACGAATGCACTTGGCACCGCCTAGATTGCCTCCGATTCCGCGCTCACCCTTGCTTTAGACTGCCCAATGACCCGATCCTAAATTCCGACTCAAGTGTCCAGGCCTGGCCGGTCGAGAACGGTCATGTTCAGATCACAGCAGCTACGGGAGTCTCATTTATAGAGATCTATCCGGAGGGCGACGATTTGTGCCATACATGGATCGAGTATCCGTTGGAGAACGGTTCAGTGCAGCGTAACCTAACCCTTACAGAACAAGAGCTCCGCGACAAGCTACCCGAGAATAAGCGGCGTTCGAAGATAAAGGTCTGCATCAAATCTCATGGCGGTGGAAACCTCGATATAAACGACTTTCATAGCTTGTGCTCGAAAGCATCATCGATTAAGCTATCTTTTGGAAAATCGGCTTATCGCAGTGACAAGCTTGGCTTTTCGCAGATGGAAGGTAGCCAACCGCAAGAGTTCATCTTTACAAGTGCGACACAAAAGAACCGAGTGCTCTCTCGTGTTGTGGTCTATCACGGCTTTGCTTTGGATGGGATTGAATTTTTCTACGACGACGACTCTAGCCAGTTATTTGGAAAGCGTGGAGGCAAGCCTGGAGGCGATACGTTTGAGATGGGTAAGTTAAAGGATAGTCTCCCATCTCTTGTCCGCAGTTCTAACATCTTGTAGACATCCGTCGTGGCGAGTATATTACTGGCTTCTTTGTGCGATCAGGAGTGTGGATAGATGGTATCCAGATCCTTACGAGCCTTGGGAGGAAATCTCCCATTTACGGCAACGCGCACGGTGGCTCTCCGTATGTTTTATACCCGTTCTATCATCTAGTTAAATTTGCTAACAGCAATCAGTCATACTCTTCTTCCACCGCGAGGCTACACTCTTTGTGGCGTCTCTGGGTCATGCGCGGCCTGGGTTGACGGTTTCTCGGTTATTATCGCTCGGTAACCATAATACTTAATACAGGATCACCTTGTCGAATATTAAGAAGCGTCGGCACAGAAGAAGCCGTGTTCGCTAGAGATAGAATACCAACTGATACCCAAGGGAAGTTGGAGCGGTCTACGCATCTGCATATTCGTTTCGTCATAGCATTATATCCCCGGGCATACACAGGACTTGTAACTTGTCTTTTCCTTTCTTCGTTTTCGCATCGGACATACATAATCACAGCATTATATGCGCCTCGGACTACAGGGAAGATCCGAGGGGAAGGGGCTTGATTCGGCAGCATAGCAAGACGGACGGGTCATCCGGTATCATTCTCGTACACAGAGGACGGTTGCTTTTGAGGATTATGGCAGGGCCGACTATTTGGGCATACAATGGTGAGAGATACGCAGCAGACATTATCTCGCAAAATAATAGTGTTTATAGGGGGATCCTCATTAGTCGAGCTGGGCGAAGAAGTGAAAACAAGTAGGGAGAGACGGCGGGGCCGCTGCCCGAATCATTGTACATACCAACCTACTTAATGTAAGCAGTCAGCAGCACCCGGGAACTAATAAGGCAAACTCTGCTTCAGAGAGCCATTCGAAAGATGCATCGTGTTATTCCGTGAATGGCGGAGGTTATATGGCCAATTAACAATTATTTAGTTATCGCTATCTACCTACTTGATAAGTTGATATTATTTAATAACAGGCTCGAGTAATTACAGGTAATCTTATTCACTAGTTGCTACTGGACACCTGTCGAATCTATACTATCTTGGTCATGTTTATTCCATTATTCCATTAATAAGTCTCTAATTACCTAGGTACCTCCTAACATGATTGTTGTAGGTACCTACCTACCTGTAGCTGGAGGCCTGCAGACCTTAACTTGGAATGTAAGTACCTTTGTAAGTCTATGAGGCAACATATGCGTGTAAATGTAGCACAAAGATACATACTTCAATAGAAGCCGGTTCCAATGAGCTTGACTAGAGGTACTTATCAGTCAGGCCCCAGGGGCTCTCTCCAACGGCAGAAGCCGCTTGTCCTAAGGCGGCCTAGCGGGGACCTGGACGTGTCCAAATGACGGCATCAATGATGCTGCGCCTACCCCGAAGCCGCCAAAAAAAAAAGTAAAAGGCCCTATGATTTCAAAAGTTGCCTTTTTCCACTGCCAAGGTTTTTTTTTCCGGCATTCTTTATTTAACTTCTTTCCTCTCAACAAATTATCACCCCGCCGCCGCAGTTGATATTTGTGTAAATTGAAGCTCCTACCATCTTTTACTAGCTTGGTTTTCTAGATTGCCCAACCAGTATTATTTGCCTTACTATCAGCCTTCTTGCGAGAAAAGAAAAAAAATCGGTGAAGGAAAAGAAGATAATAGCTACCTGTTACACGATTTCGCAACTCCCTAGCTACTGAACACGACTAAGGCTTCCTACCACACACACACACTTTCTCTCTCTCTCTCTCCTGCATACGATTAGACGACGGGCGGATTTGTGTTCGGCAGCGGATAATAGACGAAGACGGAAGAATGTCGAAACGAACGGGCGGTGCGAGCAATGGCGCCGCGGCAAAGTCCAACCAGACGAGCGTTACTGATGAGCCTTGTACGTTGTTATCCAGCGCGGGCGGACGGAACTAGCTGGTCTATCAGTCTAGTCTAGTTGTATAAATGGGGTGCTGTTGTATGATATACGATATTAATACTAACGGTTTGGTTGTATAGCGTATAAGAAGCAGAAGGACCTGCTATCGTCGACCACGGGCCATTTCTCTTTGCTGAAGGCTTTGCACATGGCGGATTACATCACTGAACTGAACGGTATTGTTTCCCGCCCTTCGGATACATCAAGGCATGCTTTGTCTATGTTAGGAAGACATTGTCGCTAACGGGTTTTATTCTTTACTTCGTAGGCGCCTGCGGTATTCTATCCGTCTTCTCGTCCCTGCGCTACTGCCTTGGCGACCCCTCGGACAAGACGAACGTATACCTCGCGCTCGCGTTCCTGCCCTTCGGACTGTTCTTCGATTTCATGGACGGCCGGGTCGCGAGGTGGCGGAAGAAGAGCAGCATGATGGGGCAAGAGCTGGATTCGCTGGCAGATTTGGTACGTTCTTTGATGTGATGATCACACTACTACTACTACTCTCGTTGCTTTATACACACATGCATACCTACCTCCTTATCCGGCCTATGTGTACCCCGCCACTTTTACGAGGAACTTTCTTGGCCCTTACCTTCAGCTACCTATTCCGGAAAGCTTTTTCTTTTCTTCTTTTCTAGTGCTACGCGGCATAAGATGGCAGCAACCGTGTAACCCAATTTCAATCTACTAACCGAGCTGTTTGATCAGATCTCCTTCGGCCTGGCGCCGGCCTGCGTGGCGTTCAGCATCGGCTTGCGGACGCCGGTGGACCAGGCACTCCTGGCAGCGTTCGTGCTGTGCGGGCTGACGCGACTCGCGCGCTTCAACGTGACGGCGAACAGCGGGGATATCCCCAAGGACGCGAGCGGCAAGGCCAGCTATTTCGAGGGCACGCCCATCCCGACGACTCTTGGGCTCGACGCCCTTATGGCCTGGTGGGTCAGCAAAGGCTGGATCCTCGACCAGGTCCCCGGCGGCGTCCTATTCCCCGGCACTGCCTTCGAGGTCCATCCCGTCGTCGCGTTGTTTTTGATTCACGGGTGCTTGATGTGCAGTAAGACGCTACATGTGCCGAAGCCTTGATGTGATGTAATGAAACGTTCGTGTGTCGAATTTACGAGACTCCTCTCTTTCTCTCTCTCTCCGCCCCGTCCGTACCGTTATCATATGAACAGGTGGGGAGGGGTTAAATATGCGTGGTTAGGTTTTTATGTGGCCTGTATTTTCTATTTTTCTCGGGTTTTGGCTCGGAGCGTTTGGGGTGTAGGGGGGAAATAGGGAGGATGATGATGATGATGATAGATACCTACCTAGGTACCCAACCTACCTACTCTACTTATTTTGTTAATGAAATGGGGTTGGGAAGGGTGTGTTTCTTCCGGGTATGCGGTACAAGGGGGATAAAAAATAGCGGAAAGAAAAGAAATGAGCGAGGGGAGGGGGTGGAAATGCTTGCTACTGTTGCTGCTGTTGCTGTTGATGTTTGTGTATGGGGAGGAGAGGGGAGGAGAGGGAGGCGGGAAAGGAGGATATCACGCATATAGTAGGTGTGCAGGTAGACAGGTAGACAGACAGGCATACACATAGAACGAGGATAGCGGACAGGGCAGAGCAGAGCAAGAGAGCGGGTTTGTTTTTGCGTTTTGCGAGTCTTGAAAATGTGCAGGTTTTCTCTCTCTTTTTTTTTTTTTTTTTTTTTTTTGTTTTGATCTTGTTCTGGTTCCGTTATGGTGAGTGAGTGCATAGGCACGGAATTAAATTATTGCGTAGTAAGGGGGAAGGGGGAGGAGGGAAGAGGGAGGAGGGAAGAGGGAGGAGGGAAGAGGGAGGAGGGACATTTGTGTAGATGGGGGAAGAATAGGTCTTGAGCTACACACATGGATATATAGGAGGTAGGTATCTAGGTAGGTAGATGAGAGAGAGAGAGAGAGGTCAGAGTAGTTAATGTTGTCAAGATAAGAGTACCTTAGGTAATGTTAGGTATGTATGAATTTGTGAGATACGGCGGATGGGTCTTGGTGTTTATTTGCTTGTGTGAGAATTTTCCTCGGGGGGGGGGGAGTACATAGTGCCTAGGCACATGCCATGTGAATGGATAGACAGATGCATACCTAGGTACCTAAGGTACCTAGTTCCTATATCAGGTAGCCTAGGACGTTTCTGGGAAGACAAGAGGCGGTTTTACTCTGGAGAAGGCGTTAAACTAAACAACTGAACTGCTGGCATATGAGGTATGTATAGTATACATGGAGGTAGGAGGTAGGTATATATCAGGTAGATTTACCTTACCTTACCTTACCTTACCTTACCTTACTTGACCCCCTTCCGGCGTAGATACATAGATAGATATATTAACCCTAGTTTACCTACCTAGGTAGCCAGCCAATGGATCTTTTCTCCTGAAAACTCCCGGGTCTTTTTAAAAGGATATACCATACCTTACCATACCATATCATGTCATATCATGTCATGTCATGTCATATTCGATCTGCCCTCTAGGACACAGTGCATTGTAGCTCTTGAGAATAGTAGGTATAGTTGATTTATGTATGTACCTAATGTATGTATTTATTCCTTTCTCTCGTCCTGTCGTAACTAGGTCAGGTAGCTACCCTACCCTACCCTGACCTAACATATCTCACTCGTAGAAGGGAGGACTATCGTGGGAGAACTACCTAGGTACCTAATGTAACGAGATCAAGTGCACAAGTAGTCTGTCTCTTGGTCAACCCCCTCCATCGCTTCCTTGCCTTAGGTATTTCATCGTATTCATCATCATCATCATCATCATCATGCTTGTGCCAATATTACTTGAAAAAAAAATACCATCGCGTGGGTAAGCCAAGTCCAAGGCGAGCTGCACATCTCTCCCCCCATCTCCTTCTCTCTTTCTAATGCCAAATCGGACCTCGTCAGATATCATGATCCTATCTCCCGTATCAGCCCCCGGAGCACCCCCTTCTCAGCCAGCGCCCGCACCCAGCAGTGTATCGCCGGCGTGTAATCGCGCTGCCGTCCGCGTATGATATCCACCGCCTCGTCGACGGCCGCCATCTCGGCGACGTACTGGGCGTCGAGCGAGTCCTGTTCCGTCTTCAGCTCCCGCGCCAGCGCCAGCGCCTCGTCCGCGTCGAAGCCCGGACGGCTTTTCGTCCTGGCCGTGTACGGAGCCGGGAGCTCGACGGACAAGATGGATTCGCGCGTCAGGTTCCGCTGGGCGAGGTGGGACGTGGGGAAGGACGCGAAGGGGTCCGGGAAGGTCCATTTGGCATCGCCCTTGAAGCGCTCGTGGAGAGCGTGGGAGCAGGCGAGGCTGGTGGCGAGTTCCTTGGTCAGGGTGTCGAGAGGCGATTGGCAGATGGCTAGGAGGCTGTAGGATGAGAACTCCGAGTTCCGCGTCATGCGTTCCTGGATCGCCGTGCTCGCCGTGTCGATCCACGAACCGGATACGGGACCTATTGCAATTTAGGGTCAGCAAAGCGAATGAGACAGCTCGCTAGAAATGATAGAGGATATATATACCGAGACATAACGGCTGTGCTTGGAAGCCATCCAGTTCCCAGACTTGGCCGTTCACGGGCACGTAGGCGATATAATGGTAATTCGTCTCGGCGACTTTTTTCCGTGCGGCGCGGCTGGACTTTTTTTGCGTCCTTCTCTTCTTCACTTGTACCGACTCCTCGTATTTGTTCTCAAGGCTCAGATCTTCAGAGAGGAGGTCGATTCGTCTATAGAATTAAGTTAGAAAAAGCCACGAGTACCTAGTATAAGAGACATGGTTGTTATGTACCTTGCGACGGAATTATGGACGCTTCGGATGAAGTCGTTCTTATCGAGCGAGTAACCTCGATGGGGAGGCGGCAGTTGTCTAGTCGAATTTTTGAACTTCTCAAGCTCTTCACCCAGGACCGCGTCTTGCGCGTTCATGACAATGTTCATGAGCGCAACGGTGGCACAAGCATTGGCCGTTGTCTATTTGCCTATCAGTCATCAAGGCGAAGCTTATACATGTCGCAAGAGAAACCCATACCTGATTCGCGAACCAGAGATAGTCGGGACATTCCTGCCGATTATCCTCGTTGGTCGGCTCATCATCCCCTTCGTATTGGAATAGAAAAATGAGCCCATGAACGGGTTTCCTGCATCTTATCAGCATTGCGATATAGAGGATGCCGGGGATTCATCTTACGGCAGGAATTCCAGGATATCTGGATCCAGGCTGTATACTTCTTGGGCCTTGAAATATTTAGCTCCGAGTTCTTGTAGTATCGCGTTGAAGAATCCCTAGTAACGGGTTAATTAAATAAACGTATGGATTTATATGAACTCAAACTCATGGTTTAGGTGCCCAACTTACCGGTTCGGATTCAAGTTCTACCCAACCGCCGTATTCCTTCCGCTCATCCTGAGACATTCGACTTAGAGCTGCTTCTAGGAGGGGACCAGGTTCTTCCGGAACGATATTCTCCTCTGCAATGCGCGCCGCCTTTCGCTTCGGGCGGCTTGTGGGAATGGCAGGTTGGACAGGTTCTTTGGAGGCGGGATTGTCATACTTCTCGTCGTATTTAATAGGCGCCTTCGTAGCTCTACCTGAACGACGCACGCCATTATTAGCCGTGCTAATATTCTGGGAATCGTCATTTTGGGCGTTGTCCGGAGACACGGGAGGCGTCGCAACCTGTTCGAGTTCTGCCATGATTGCGGTAATGAGGGGGTCTAGAAGTTGTATAAAACGGCGTCTAGGTGATATTGGCGTGAAGATGGTAATTGGCGTTGTAATGCACTTAGTAACGAAGAAAAAGGTGTTAAGTGTGGATATGAGTTGGCAACCAACGGTAGCGAGATGCAGGAGTTTATTTTTTAGTTTTAGACGGCGTGGATGAAAATTCTCTTTTAAGGTGTCATTTATTTAAAATAGGAAACAGCAACTGCAGCCTGTTTTCCCTTTCTTATTCAATCGCGCAGCCTATGTCTATTCCATCAGCAGAGTACATATATACATCTACCTAAGGTAGGTAGGTATGTTTTGCAGTTAAAAGATGTGGCATCGACTTACACGCCCAGGGTATAAGCGATGGTTAAGACGGGTTGAGGCTCAAGCGCGGCTCTATAAAAGTAAAGTGATATATCATCATATAAGAGGATTAAAACTACATATAGAACTGAACCAAGTGTTTACTAGGTATTATTTTATCCATCCTGCTGGCTAGATATTTGAACAGGCTGTGATCTGTGTCAACTACCTTTTGCATAAAATGACTCAGGGATTTTGAAAGCTTGGGAAACACAAAGGCAGCCGTTTGATACCTCAGTTTGGTATACCTTTACGAGCAGAAGAACACTTGCCCGGAGCGTGGCACAGCTCGTCTCTGGCAGATCCTTTCCTTTCCGTTCTTTACAGGTAATTGGTATACTCCATAGATTATTGCCTGCATATATGTGCATATATGCATAGGTATATCAACAATGCTGATGGTAGGTTTCTTTTCTTTGTATTAGTTAACGTGAGCTCGGTTAGAAGCTGAGATACGGTCGAGATGCGTTGATGTGACTTGTGATGTGATAAAACTGAGGGGATGGAGCTGATGTAACGGAATAATTTCCGACTAACTACCTAGGTTAGGTACTCGTTGGTGGTAGTATTAGGTATGAGGTCTGTATTGTGTAATTGATTGGTTTATGAGCAACATCGAAGCAGCATGGAAGCAACACGAAGGTAATAATGTTCCATGGTAAGTTATATTGGTTATATCGTGTTAGGTAGGTGTCACTGTGTAAGAGCTAGGTACACAAGCTTGAAGCTTCAGGTACCATAGAGGTAGCTACCCTGTCCCCACTAACGTTACGCATAGCCCTGCCCCACGCTATCATAGTGCTCAATAGTGCTTCCCTTCCATGACTGCTAAATTCAATTAACAAAAAGGTCATAGCTCCTAGGTACCTGATAAGAAAGGCAAGATAAAAACAAAAAAGAAAACGATAACACCTGGCGAACAGCTGTGCGTGACAGTCAAGCAGGCAAAAAAAAATCTTGGCACCATTCAGAAATTTAGAATTCCTTGGACGCGCCCGCGTCGTTGATGTTGCTTATATTATTTTTTATTACAGGCCAACCCTAAAAATTCCCGCCCGCTCTGCCCACTTCGACAAGCTTCAATCAAGGTTTAGGTAGGTATTTACATACCTCCCTTCTTTGCGCTGGCGAGACAACCCGGTGTATATTTTGCCTTGAATAACACCTTGATTGGTTGAATTCGAGTCAAAAAAATATCTTGACACTTTGTCCATATTTTCTTCCGGTTTTTTTTTTTTCCTTTTTTTTTTCTTTTCTAACGGAAGATTTCACCTACTCGATCAAGTCAATCTATCAGCCAATTTATACCCGACTCGATCGCTTTTTTTGTCTCCCTTCTTTTGCTTCTCCTGATGGTTCGTCCCCATCACGGAATGCAATGAATCCAGGGACGCCGCGCGTGGGCGCTGGAGGTTTCCCTCAAACACCGGCTGCTGCTAGAGCCCAAAGGCCACGTCCAGCACAAGATGCAAAACCTCGAACTTCTCTACCAACCGCTCCCGAGAGCCAACCTACTTCCGCCCCGACCACCCAGCCCGTAATTCCTACAACCCTCATCGACGCACCTACTCAGCGATTCTATGCCTTAGCTATCTACGTGGCCTTGTTGGGGTGGCGCTTCTACGACTGGATACAGATACTAGAAGACAATGGCGGCTCATTCTACTTTTTCTGTAAATGGGTCGTCTTTGACTTTATCTTCTTCTTTTCTCTGCCTTCCATGCGCATACCTTGGTTGGAGCTAGCTGCCCCGACCGTCTCCATGATCTTCTTCGGCCATCTGGTGTTTAACTGGCTCTTAATGTTTAACATTCCCGTGCCTTGGCATTCCTGGCTTCTCGGTCTGGCCAAGGTGTTCTACGACAAAGAGCTTGCTATCTCCGAGCATAATGTCAAAGTCTCGAGCATTCTGCATAATTCCTCTCTCATTATGGGAAAGCAGATTATTAATATTCTGCCCGAAGGGTAAGTTCAAATAACCTTTTAAGTAGACTTTCAAGTAGACCTTCAAGTAGGTATATATACAAAACTTGTTACTGACTTGGTATAACAGCTCCGCCCTCCTTAATCCCGAAAAGAACCCTTACTGCCTCGGTCAAGGCCAGAACGTAGCCAGCGTCCCGATCTACTTCAACGCTACCGTTCCAGTCGAGGTCGAACTTCTTCGTTTTGATCTGGAGTCAGATTCTCAGGAGGTGTTGAAACTTAGCCGTAAAGAGATCAAGGAAATTGCCAAGCAGTCAGCAAGATCTATGGAAGATGGAACCCTGGGCATTTACAGATATGACATTGGCATAAAGAAGCCTGGCGTTTATCAGCTAAACAAAGTCCTTGATGAGTATAAGCTTGAGGTTCAGAGGCTTACCGAGCCTACATACATTGTCCCTTGTCCGAGAGCCCGTGTTCGTACGGCGCAGTCGGCTACGAAATGTATCGGTGATTTATCCAATTTATCTCTGGATGTTTATGGGACGCCGCCGCTAAAGATCGTCTATAGCCGGACCATTAATGGGAAGGACCACAGTTTCCATTTCCAAAGTCTCCAACCCGATGGATTCTCTTCTCCTCTGCTTGCTCAAAAATCCACCATCATGCCCTTAGGAGAGGAGGACTATACCTGGGCCAGGTCACAGGCGGTTGAGGTAGGCTTGAACGAGTCGATGAATGCTGCTGGGGAGTGGCAGTACTCTATTGACGAAGTCCACGATGTCTTCGGCAATGTTATACAGTATCCCCAGCCGGAAGATCCCGACGCGAAGCCTAAACCCAAGCACTTATTTCAGAATTTTGTTGTGCGAGAGCGACCCAGAGCTACCATTGTGGGCTGTGACCCCAGCAACCCGCTCAAGGTTGCCAAAGGTAAATCAACAACGCTTCCCGTCAAGATTGGGCGCCCAGGTCAAACCCCGGATAGCGTTTCGCACACTCTAACCTGGATTTTCTCTCCGATTAACACCCTTACTAAGAGTGGCGATCATGGCGACGTTGTCGAGGTGGGCACGTTTACCGCAAAGAGTGTAGATGATCAACCCAAGATCAGCGCGCCGGGTCTCTATACTTTGAAATCCGTATCTTGCGACTCCTGCGAGGGGGAGATTGAGGAACCCTCATCTTGCCTATTGCTCAACCCCCTCGAACCTACATTGTCGATCCAGGCCGAGGAGATTCCGGACAAGTGTGCCGGAAACTCTATTGGATTACGGGTGAATCTGGACATGATTGGAACTCCTCCGTTTAGAGTTGCGTACACCGTGGCCAGCGACTCTGGCCAGACTAGAAGGGAAACGGTCGAAATCAGAGGACTCAGACAACAGATCGACCTTCTCCCCAGGAATGCTGGACGCTACCAATATCGCTTTAGGCGGATTGATGATGCTATTTACACCGTCCCATTACCTTTAACCGATGAATATTACTTGGAACAGAATGTCAAACCGCCTGCGACAGCATATTTCAAGTCGGAGCCTCGTACTATCAATGCCTGTCTGGATCAACCGGTAAAACTCGACGTTGCTTTACTCGGAGATGGTCCCTTTACTCTTGAATGGGAACTGGTACACGAGGGTAAAAGGAAATCTGAGAGAGCGACGGGCATTGAAAGTGACACGTTCACTATCGAAACCGCTCCATTATCTACTGGTGGCGAGTACACCTTATCTCTAAAGAGCATTCGAGATAAGACAGGATGTCGTATATTCCTCAAGGAAGAAGCCAAGATCTCTGTGCGACGTCAACGACCACGAGCAGCATTTGGCGTTCTTGATGGCAAGAGAACTACTACTGTGGTTGAATCAGCTACGGCAAAGCTTCCCCTGAAGTTGTCGGGTGATGGACCGTGGATAGTGAGCTACCGCAACCTTAATGGTACTTCCGAGGAAACCGGCGTTCGCGTCGCGAAAACTGGCAACGATTTCATCGAAGCGAAGGAACGGGGAGTATATGAGATCATTGACGTGAGAGACCATGGTTGTAGTGGCATCATCAATCCCCAAGCCAAGTTTTTCGAGGTTAAGTGGTACCCACGTCCCGAGCTATCGTTCTCGCCAAGCGAATCGATCCGGCCCGCAGAGAAGGAAAACAAATTCATCAAGAGAGATGTCTGCGAGGGTGATGTGGATGGAATTGAAGTTTCACTTCAGGGTAGGTTATTTCCGTACTACCTCTCTTTTGTTTCCATTTGTGCTAACATAGATCTTAGGCTCGCCTCCGTATCACGTCGAGTATGAGGTTAAACATAAGCCGAAGGCAGGTTCGGGCTCAGTGGCCCGAAAAGAGTTCGATGCTGCCCTAGGGAAAGCATCTATTGCCCTGGACACAGCTAAAGCTGGGTTATACACCTACACCTTCTCTGGCCTATCGGACAATCTCTACAACAGCAAGCAAAGTTCTCGACCACTCATCCTGGAGCAGACGGTCAATCCCAAGCCGTTCGCCTCTTTTGTCAAACCCGGTCAGACGTTCAAGATGTGTATGTCTGAAAACAGCCCGCAAGAATCTATTCCTATTAGGCTAGAGGGCAAAGCACCATTCTACGTCGAGGTGGAGATTAAGCCGCATTCTGGAAATCTACCGGAGATATTCAGGATTCCTAACATCGAGACCAACAATTACGCCATTCAAATCCCTAGGCAATACCTAAGGCTTGGTGGTCAGCAGATTAGGATCCGCAAGGTGCGCGACGCCCGTGGTTGCCAGCAGAAGACGGAAAGTGGTGGGGGTGTGGTTCACATTCAGCTCTATGAAGCGCCATCAATTTATCCTCTCGAGCAGCGGACTGATTATTGCGTTGGCGAACGCATCGCTTACACACTCTCGGGCACGCCTCCTTTCGAAGTACACTATGAGTTCGCTGGCAAACAGATGAAAGCCAAATCCCAAACCACCAATTTCCGCCGTATTGCCGAATCGCCTGGCGACTTTACGATCAACAGCATTAGCGATAAGGGAAGCGAGTGTCGGGCAGCCGTCAATCTCACTAAGACTATTCACCCCATGCCCAGCGTCAGGATCAGCAAGGGCCGCGTAATCCAGGTGGACATCCACGAAGGAAGCGAGGTCGAGATCTTATTCGAGTTCTGGGGTACGCCACCTTTCGAGTTCACGTATACTCGTAGCACCAACGCCCGGAAAGGACAGAAGAGCCAGATATTGGAGACGCGACATGATATCAGCTACGAACATAGTAAGGTGATTACGGCGAACTTGGAAGGTACGTACGAAGTGGTAGCCATCAAGGATCAGCACTGCGCTTTTTCGACCATGGGGCCCGACGGTAGGGACAAGGGTCAGAAATCGCTGAAGTACTAAAAGAGCTACCGCATAGCGAAGCAGGAAGAGAGGGGGTTTGGACATTTGGACATGGACATGCGGGAACGAACAGGCCGCATATGAGGAGCACGTGGAAATAATGTACAAGGACGAGGAGGGGGGTAGCTACGTGCAGCTGTTAAAGGGGAGCATTGCATGAGCATGGCGTTCCGGTAGGATGACAACTTTTTGCTGAAGGGGATTGCTACGGCGGTTCCCACAAATATAAAAACGTGATTCTATTGTAAGACCTAGTACGATCGAGACATGTGCTTGTCGTTATGCGTGTACGACCGGCAGAGACAGACAGGGGTGGGACTCGGAGGTAAACTTGTAGGTACCTGGTTAGGATAGTCACGTCACGATACCTATGATATGATATCAGCTTGGAGGGTGAAGGGCGGAGGGGGAGGGGGAGGTGGACTAGGTTAGAGATGTTCTGAACTGAACTGAGCTGAGCTGAGCAGGGCTGGGCTGGGATGGATATATCCAAGAGCAATGTTCTATGTGCTTAACATGCCTGTTTCAAGTGTTGAAAATTCAAGTGGCTAACCAGTGAGTTTGAGTGAGAAGTTGGGTCAGGTATACCGTATGTATATCCAGGCGGTCGAAGAGTAAGTTGGTGAGTTGGTGGGTTGGTGGGTTTGGTAGACATCTATGTATGAGGTACCCTTATAAGTCGTAACAACTCCCCGTTCAAGCACATACGACCATAGGATCTGGAAAACTCGGGATCCCGTCCGCTCTCCCATTAGATAAACCGGATACCGCTGGACTAGTAGTCGGGTCGGTGACGACCGGCGAATCCCCAGTGTTGTATGTTTTTTTTTTTTTTTTGGCCTCCGTCCCTTTTTTAGCCTTGCGTTAGGAGGTAAACCTGCTTCCTTTGGTTAGGTAGGTAGGTTAGGTACCTCCTACAGGTAAGGACACGGGAGGATGGGTATAGTCGGCTGTTATCGAGGAGAAAGGCGAGGTTGTCGTATTGTCGTAGTACGGGCGGCTTTGTGTATTGTACTATGCATAGAAACGGTCTTAGCTGGGTGGATGGATGATGTCCACGAAATTTTAGTTATCCGGGGACCGTTTTCGGCAGACAGGATGTCAGCGGCGATAGAGCACTATTTTAGTATCGTATTAACTACGGCATATGCCGCTGTTGTTCCTCTTTGGTCTCACAAGCTTTTCCCTTCGTGATCCGTGGTCCGCGGAGCTTCTTTTTGCTTAACGGCCTTTCTACCTAGATATACAGAGCCTAGCAAGCCTAGTAGCTTAGCAGCTTAAGCAAGAGAAGGCGATCTAAGATCCTAGTACGAATCTAACGGAAGCCTAGGACCTAGGTGAGTCGGCGATCAAGTGACTGAGGCAGTGAGGGTAGGTGTATGTGGTAGGTACGGCACCTAAGGTATTTAAATGACCATAGCTCTCCGGACATAGCAGATCGTGTAGACGGTAGTTAGTTCGGACTTCATATCCGTCTTGTTGCTAACCCACTTCCTTCTCCTATAATGATATAACCGACTTTCGCGTGGAAATTAATATGATGTGGATGAGGTGAAGTCGATGCCAAGCATCGTTGTGAAGCTGTCTCCCCGAGTCCTCGGGTCGCCTAGCCAAGGACTGCTTGCTTTTTTTTGCCTGCCTACCGGTAATACTATCCGACGGAACAACGCCGTTCAGGTACCGAGGCGATGTGCCGTCGTAATCTACTAGTAACCTACGCACATACATACCCATTTCAAGAACGTTATTACTATTCTCCAACGGGATGACTTCCCGGAAATAACTGGTCTACATGGCATGTTAGGTAATGTTCCTAGATGTCAAAAATCCTTTATTATTCTAAGCAACAGACTGTATGTGTACCTAATGCACCTAAGGTATACACTACCTGACATAGGAGATAAGAGGGAAGGGTTGTCCCCCTTCACGACTACTATGTAATAGACGAATGAATCGAATCGGTCGTTGCGAAGATAACTCATTACCAACTTTTTTTCAGAAGGATATCTGTTAAGGGGTTTAGTTCTTGGTCTAAAATGGGGACGGGATCACCTAACTTTTCTCTTCTCTTCTCTTCTCTTCACTTTCTCTACTAGCTAGTAATATTTCCTTAACATGTAGCTCTTTTGTCTTCGTGAGGCTGCTTTACTAGTATGTTTATTAATCTATACCTGTTAACCAAGTCTAACTTTAGTTACTCTACATATTAACTAGTATTTTTTGTGGAATATTTCCATCCGTAGTGGACTTATAATTAGCGAGTCTACCTGGCTTTCCAGGCCCTAACGGCTCAATATCCGGCAGCTTTATGGACATCGGACTTGTCAACCGACTCGACAAAGAGTGAGGCTTAACACCTAGACACTCCATCGGAGTTAACTAGCTACCTAATTTTCTTATTTGTTTATTTCGTGACGAAGGGTCGTAACGATGTACGTCTCTTCTTTAGCATCTCAGCTATTACTTTTTATTTATTGAACTGTGAATCCAATTCTTATTTATCGGGTTTATAAACCATCTTCTTCATTCTCGTTGGAATTAGAAAACAAAAACATGGAGACAGTGATTTAGGATAGTTACCTAGCGTACTGAAAGGAAAAGTGATGCGGGATCTTCACATAAGCAGATCAATCAAATCATGCCAATCCCGATCACGACGCCTCGATAAAGTGTCTTCAAAGCGGGCGTCGATCAGGAACTAATGGCTTTACTATGCCTCTCGAGGCTAGTCGTCTCTCCCACTTTGGACGTCGTTCGCAGTTAGTTCAAGCCTCTACCGCTGCCGACGCCTTCTCCTTCTCCACTTGGCTCGCCTTTTCGCCTGGGGTCGTTTATTAACCGCGTCAAGGCTTCTGATATTCCCCTTCATGCTTTTTGAACTTATGTGGGTAGGTAGTTAAACTATCTCGTCGGATTACATTTCCCTCCTTTCCTATTAGTCCATCCCGTACATCCCATACAATCTAGGTATCCAACCTACCAACCAAGCGTGGCTGAAGAACTACCAAGCATCAGGAAAAAGAAAAAACCGACTCGTGTGACGAGGGGGAGGGTTGCGGAATCGATCTGAGGTTCCCAATTGCAGCCTTTTCAGGGGTGTCTCGACCAATCAACCCGTTCCCAAAGTTCCCGTAAAGCAGGGGGTAAGGGGGGCTTGTAACCTACCCCAGATCGACGAATCCCGTTCTACCATACCTACCTCTTATCCCTCGGCCGCAGCAAGCAGTTGAGGGTTTTCCCTCCCTTCAGGGCAAAGCACGGACTCACCTGAAACATAGAAACCCGGGAACGTCGTGAATCCGGTCGTCGATTTGAACTTGACAACTGACATAGAAGAGGAGAGTTTTGCATTATCGTCCATATCCATGCCCCCATGCCCCCCCCGTTTAAAATACAATAATACCCCCACCGCCTCATCCCCCCCTAGTCGACCTTTTTCTTCTTCTTTGGGTTACCAAAATACACCCATTAGCGGTCTAATATAGTACGGTTAGAAAAAAGCATAACTCCTACTATTACTAGTACTTACCTGACCTAGGTATTCATATCGTCTTCAGAGCTTAATAACTTGCTTACTTCGGCCGATAAAGCTTGAAAAAAAAAAGAGCCGCAAGAAAGGAAAAAAACGGTTCAACCTGGGATTCTCGGCGATCTAGAAACACTCAATCCCTCAACCTGCTCAATTCTGGTTCAATTCCTCCGATTCGTTTTCACTAATCTAACAGAGTCTCTCTCTTTCTCTCATGCTCATGGGACCTTTATGCGATTGGGCTGGCTTGCCTTCTAAGTGAGAAAGAACCTGGGGGGAGTTACTACGAATTCTCAACATTCAGCGCAGGCCTGAAAGCTTCCCCGTCGTTACCTACCTACCTATCTATCATCCAATCCTTTAATTCAGCCAAGGTTCATCAAGAATAATAACTACCTACCTTAGGTACCTAGGTTAGGTAGTTAGGGGACATTAACGGAACCGTTGGAAACCCTAGCTGTTTGACCTAAGATTTCGCGGGCTGGTTCGTTGGACTGGGCTTATACGTTAAACGCGACTTATAATAACTACTTGCTTTAAAGTTGCAACTGCGATAACACTACGATAGTACCCGTGGACGTCATTGTTGGATTTCGACAAGATGGTGTACTGCGGGAAGCCCTCGAGGGGGTGTCAGATGTGTAGGACGAGGAGAATCAAGGTACGTTATTGCTATTGCTGTTGTTATTATCATTATTGTTGTTGTTGCCATACGGACAGCACATCCTACTCGCTTTTGCACCTCTCAACTAACCAGCACGTATAACTCTTCTCTCAACATAACAGTGTGATGAGACAAAACCCACATGCAACCAGTGCGCCAAGTCGCGCCGGCAATGTCCCGGGTACAAGGACGAGTTTGATCTGATATTGCGCAACGAGACGCAAGCTACGGAACGCCGGGCGCGGAAGGCGAGCAAAAAAGCCCCGGTGCCGAGGACCGACAAGTCGCCGTCCGCCGGCTCGGGAGAAGGGACTATGATGATGTCCTTACTATTCACTAACAACAACAGCAGCAACAACAACACTGCGAAACAACCTATACCAGCAGCACACCACCACGCCGTCATCCGCCCGCTCAACGTGTCCGTGGAGCACCAGGCTAGCTGCCACTTCATCTCGCATTTCATCCTGACGCCGAGGGACGGGAGCGGCAGGGCTCTCATGGACTACATGCTCCCGCTGCTGAAGGACAGTCCCCAGGCCCACCTGCAGCACGCCTTCAACGCCTGCGCCATGGCCTTCTTCAATAATCGCGGGGGCGTATGCAGCAGGTTTTCCGACCAGGCGCTGCACGAGTACACGAGGGCCCTCAACGGGACGAACACCGCTCTGAGGAACCCCGAGACGCAGTTGGCGGACACGACGTTAGCGGCCGTTCTACTGCTGGGCTTATTCGAGGTATGTCAACAAGCCAATCTTATATTTCTTTTTTTCTTTTTTTTTAAAAAAAAATAAAAATAAAATCTGGAGTTTGTTGCACACCGGCGGTTTTCTAACACAAAAGCCTTTCCGTAGAGCATCACGGCCAAGCAGATCGGCATGATGAACTGGGGCTCGCACACCGAAGGGGCCATCCAGCTCGTCAAAGCCCGGGGCAAGAAGCAGCTCAAGACTAAGATCGGGCTGGCGCTTTTCATCGCCGTCCGGACGCAGATGGTATGTTTTCCAACCCAATTTTCTTAATCAATGCGCGAGAGATAAAACTATCGGTTATTACTCGTACCCGTACTCGTCACCGGCTAAACTAACGAAAACGGCTAGATCATCCATAGCCTCACCTCGGGAACGGCACCTATCATGGGACCGGAGTGGTGGATCGACGACGCGAACAGGAACGACACGGCGACGCGGTGCCACCGGATCATGATCAAGCTGGGGGAGCTGCGGGCCGAGGTGATGCGGCTGATGAACAGCATGGCGAAGACGCCGGAGAACGTCGAGATCATGCACGACATGCTGCGGCGGATCCAGACGGTGGACCAAGAAGTGGTGGCCTGGATGCGCAACGTGCCGGACGAGTGGCGGTTCCGGACGGTCGCGTGGGAGGACCACGTGCCCGACGGCGACTACTCGAAAGCGGAGGTGTTCCCGGGCCGGGTCGACATGTACCGCGACCTGTACATTGTCAGCGTGTGGAACACCTCGCGCACGGCGCGCCTCGTGCTCGCCTCCCTCGTCGTCCGCTGCGCGGCGTGGATCTGCAGCCCCGTCGACTACCGCACGACGCCCGAGTACGCGACCGCGGCGCGCACGTGCGTCGACACCATCACCGACGTGATCGCCTCCGTGCCGTACCAGCTCGGGTGGCACCTGAACAAAGACCGGAGACGGCAGCACATCTTCCTGCATCAGCAGCAGCAAGAACTACTAGTACAACAACACCAACAACTATACCAACAAGAACAGGAGCAAATGCAGCAACAGCAACAAAGCGGATTCCCGTGCGGCGAGGAAGACCACCCCAAGGCGATCGCGGGGTACTTGCTCACGTGGCCGCTGATCTGCGTGCACAGCCAGGACTACACGACGGACACACAGCGGGCGTGGATCCACGGGCGGCTCAAGCACATCGGGGACGAGCTGGGCGTCAAGTACGCGCACGTGCTGCGGCAGCTGCAGATCCGGATGCCGAGCATGCTGATCCGGAGGGACGCGCTGATGGCGAAGCAGGCCAGCTCCATGCACGAGTATTTAAGGAGACAGCACCAACAGCAACAGCAACAAGTACGGAGTGGGAATGGGCAGGCGCAGAGCAGTATGGCTATACGGATCAAGACCCCACTGACGACGACGACGACGACGACGTTTGCGCCCCCGGTTCCGCCGGGGATGTCGGCGGGCGTGTATGTCGGACAGGCGGCGCTGGACGGTGGAGGGGTTAATAGTGGTGTTGGTATTAGTGTTGGTGGGATAGATGGCGGTAGCAGTGCGCTACAGCATATCCAGGCGCTGCAGAAGGAGCGCTTCGAGCAGCATCGCGCGGAACTGCTGGCGCGTGCGGCTGGGGGCCGGGACGCGGGAGAGAGCCAGAAGTGGGTTGCGCAGGGGTGGTTGGTTGTGTGATGCTAATGCTAACGCGCGCGGACGATATTTGATGCTATTGGAGTTCATGGAGTTGCTAGGGAGGGAGCCGACGTTACGGCTTGGAACTGGTTACGGTTACTAATTTACGATAGCCAGGTCAAGGCAGGCCAGGCTATACTAATTAACACCAAGTGCTTTTTTACCTGAGCACTTGTAACCGACCTAGCTGCCTGCCTACCTTAGGTAGGTATGAAGCAAGGGGAGCTTAGCCTATCAAGATTCAAATTAGACGGCCTGAAGTAAAGCTTAGACGAATATCTAGAACTGGGGTCGGAGTCGGAGTTGGAATTGGAGGTTGGATGGGACGGGATTCCCGCGGCGCGAGGACGCTATGATGCTTATACCCGTACCCATACCCGTACCCATCTCGTTAATACAATTACCAGGGGGACTGGGGCTGGGGCTGGGGTTTGAGTGGATTCGGAGGCCTCGATTGTGGTAACCACGCGGTATGATTCATATATCGTATACCCGCTTCTAGAACTCTAGGACTCAGACACTAGGACTTCTGGGTAGAGTTGAGTCTGTAGACTTTTATTATGTGGTCCCTTTATACGCGGAAAACGAATCGCGAGGGAGCTTGCCAGAGCTATGACCGCGAAGCCATGTTTAAGTACAAAGTACCTTGTCGGATATGATAATATTTGTTGTATTTCTCCGCGGATATAGGGATGAGAGCTAGGAATTAGTAGCAGGCAAGGCGCTAAAGTGTACCATTAGTTTGACAGAGAGGAGGAGAAGGCTTCTCGGAAGGTTGCTGAATAGAGAAAAAAAAAAAAATACATAACTCTAGAGTCTTTATCATGACCTCGTATATAAGAGTGATGGGAAAATTCGAATATTTTCCAGTCTCCACAGACTATCTGTTCTGTGTGTGGCTCTCCTCAAACGAGACATGATTTTGCTTTTCCTTCAGCAATGCGCAGGGCCGCATGGAATTGTGAGACATTTCTCTCCAAGGCGATCATGCGCAGTGTGCGTACCTTACATGACTTATACCATATGGTCTTGTCCGTTCAGCCAACGCGGCCTCAATGTGGTGACTGGAAAAGCACAGCCCGGTGAACTTGCAATGCGTCGATCTTGATAATAGTAGTAATTTTACCTTAGTTAGGTACCTAAGGGAAGAAGGTGAAAATGGAGAAGAAAGAAATTTAAACGCCCAAACTCTCTCGTCTTCGCCATTCCTATATGAAGCCATCCGCTCACCAACCAGGGTATCATTGTATATCGTACAGGTTTCCCCTTCGCACCCAGTCCTTGCGCAGCGGTATGTAGTAGATTCGAACCGACTATACGTATATAGTTAATCCTTCTTTTTTTTCTTTTTTTTCTTGTCCCATAAACTCGCGATTTCATCGATGTAAGTGAGTAAGTGGGTGGGTGAGTTAGACGTGTAATAAATATAGTAAAAAAAAAAGAGAGCCGTCTAAATCGCATAAACCCACCGGGCGTCTTTTGAAATATCGCAAAGTTGTCTTACGTCGTCTACGCTCGGCGGAACGATCTAATCCACGAAGGCGCGCAACAGCTCTACCTCTAATATTTTACTTCCTCTTGACCGGGGGCGTGGGGTTCCCCAAGTTCCAAGCTTTGACGACCCAGTTCTGAGTGGCGTCGACGTATTTCTCCTGCTCGACATGCTTGACGCCGACCTTGAGGCCATCTTTAGTAAAGACGACGTTTCTTCGGGCCATGCGCTTCTCGGTGGTGTCGCGAATCTTGGTCAATCCGAGGTATACTTGGTAGACGACGAAGGCGATGCCGCCGAGGATGACGAGAAGGATAAGGAGAGGGAGTAGCTGTCTGCGCGACGGGAGGAAGCGATTTTGCGCTTATGTTAGCCAATGGGAACGGGTAGGACTCTTATGTACCTAGGTAGGTACCTATATATAATAACGCAGGGCAACGGCAATGTCAATTGTCAACAACAGATAAGGGTTAGTACCTGAGAGTAGAGGGCTTGGCCTCGACGGGGATGTGAGACTTGCTCTTCCAGACCATGATTTCTGGTGTAAGTGCCGATGCCGAATTGATAATATTCCTGGATGGTTATACGGAAATATGTAGTTGCGCAATCTCGTGAGGAGAGGGAAAAAAGAGGAAGAAGTAGTAAATAGTTAATGGAGATAGGCGACGGGAATAATCTATTGTTAGTACAAGGAGTCTCTAGGTATGATTTTTAGGTATTTTATATGTATTGTACATATGTAGGAGGTATTAGGTTACGTTAGGTACTGTAGGGAATGATCGGGTGAGATTTGCAAAAGATCAGATCTCTATTGGAAAGGACTTATATATACTCGTAGCACTTATCACCGTGCCGTCTTCCGGATCTAAAAAAGAAATGAAAGAAGGATGGGAAAGGGCAGGCCCAGATATGGGGATGTTAAATGCAGTTGCGCAAACGGGAAGCATACAAACTTATATAGTACCTAGGTACCTTACATATTCTGGGTACCTAACCTTAGGTACCTATATACTTGTACAACCTGATAATGTATAATCAAGAGACAATCAATGCATCCAACGTCCGCGTATTTGATGCATGTGGAAGAGACCGCGAGGAGGTCTCAGCTGAAAACGACCATGGCCCTTCAGGTTCAGGAACCGGCCCATACCAACAACGTGCTACGGTTAGGTATAGGTAATGCAATGCAGTCGTTGTGGATAGTGGAAGGGAACGAGATGCTAAAATTAGGCGGATACTCCATAGGTACGTAGCATTCGTAGCACAAAGGGAGTTTAGCCTGCCTAATCGAGGTCGATTTGTAGGATCGAGCTGGAAGTTCGGCACGTTTTGGTTTGCTAGGTATTCATGTATACATACGTATTGTACCTACAAGCCCAAGTAGGTATTACACATGTACCGAATATGATTAAATATCGATAACGGTTCGATAAATGATAACATCCATCTTGAAGAAGTCTCATCACGTGAGAAGTTATATAGAAAAAACATGCTTTTAGCTTCTTTACTCTTTTACATAAGCCTTTTTGCCCTTCTGCCCAATTCCCAAGCTTGGCAAAGAAGCTTGGACCAAGCTCGATTCTACAGTACCTTAGCTAAGGTACCTGAGCAGCTGAGGTAAGTTCACTATTCAATATGTAGACCCGCTATTAAGCAGCTTCGCTGCCCGCCGTCAGGTTTGTCCACCATTTTACGCCTTCTGTCGAATCACAGCGTCATTTGGCTTGTGAAATTGACAAGTTGCTGAATTCGGGTAACATCTAAATCCATCGCCAGTGTAATCCAAAATGATGATCTTGTAAACCACAATATTTTACGCCCTGTGATTTTTCTTCACTTTTTTTCCCATTTCTTTTTTTATCTTACGTCGTTCCATCTATACACGCCGCTAGCAGTCTCCCATCCCATCTCGTTTCTGCTTTTTTAAAAAAACGTGGCCTCCGAAAAAACCACTTCATCCTTTCTCGAATCGTGTCCACAAGTCCGAACCCTTAGATAACCTCACCACCACCAACACATCCCGGCTCAACACGGCAAGATATTTCCTCCTACTCGGCCTATATCCGGTACTAACTAGGTTATTTAAAAGGTTCGTGGAAATAGAAATCGTCCAGCATAAGTAGGAGGGAGGCAGGATCAGGACAGGTTGCACCACGAGAAATAATCCCTGATCGGTGAACCACTGCGCCAACATGGCTGCCCCCAATGATGGCTACGGCCAATATCCACCGCAGGAGTACGGCCAGGAGGCGCCATATTCCGACCAACAGCCCGCCGGCTACGAAGGGCAGACACCTCCTCCTCAGGCCACATCGCACCATGACGGAAAAAAGAAGAAGAGGGGCTACGCAACTCAAGCATTCGAATTTGGAAGCGGCGCAAACGCAGGTGCTACTCCTCCGGCACCCGGCGGTATAACACCTGGATATGGAGCTCCTATTCCGGGCGCTCAACCTTCTCCGGGATACGGCCCCGGTGGTGCTTATCCTAACCCGGAATTTCAACAGGGTGGCTATGGCTCTCCCGCACCTGGCCAGGTCCCGTACGGCGCTCCGCAGCAGCCGGGTGTTCCCCAACCAGGACTAGGTGGTTATCAAGCTCCTGATCCGTACTACCAGCCAGGAGTTGGACAACCACCTCCGGGAGTTGCTGGCATAACTCAAGGAATGGCCGGTATGAATATGGGACCCGGTCCTCAGCCTGCTGTCCAGCAACCCGCTCAGCAAGCTCGGCTCGCCTTGAACCAGCTCTATCCTACCGACCTCCTAAATCAACCATTCAACGTCTCAGAGCTGGACTTGCCCCCTCCTCCTTGCATCTTACCACCAAATGTAAGTCCTATGGGAAATATCATTTACGTCTTCATCTTGATATGTAAGGCTAACTCTGGCAACAGGCCAGTGTCACTCAATCTCCCGATGCGAACTGCCCTCCCAAATATATTCGGTCGACCTTAAACGCAGTTCCTACTACGCATTCCCTGCTTAAGAAGTCTAAATTGCCATTCGCCCTTGTCATCCAGCCGTATGCCGCTCTTCATGAAATTGATGACAATGTCCCCGTTGTCCAAGATCAGGTTATAGCCAGGTGTCGGAGATGTAGATCTTATATCAACCCTTATGTGATCTTTTTAGATCAAGGTCACAGATGGCGGTGCAATATGTGCAATCTTACCAATGACGTGCCGCAAGCTTTTGATTGGGATGCTGCTGCTCAGAAGAGCGTCAACCGATGGGATAGGCACGAGCTAAACCACGCCGTCGTCGAGTTTGTTGCGCCTCAAGAATATATGGTACGCCCTCCGCAACCATTAGTATATCTGTTCCTTTTCGACGTTAGCTATGCTGCTGTTTCGACCGGTCTTCTTGCCACGAGTGCTCGGACTATTTTGGACAGTCTTAACAGGATACCCAATGCCGACCGACGAACCCGATTAGGATTTATCGCCGTCGACTCGAGCTTACACTACTTCTCTATTCCCAAGGATGACGATGAGAACGCAGAGACGTCCATGCTAGTTATTAGTGATCTAGACGAGCCGTTCCTACCAGTTCCTCACGATCTTTTGGTCCCCCTGATAGAAAGCCGAAACAGCATCGAGAACTTCTTGACTAAACTTCCCGACATGTTCCAAAACAACCAGAGCAATGGCTCGTGTATGGGATCTGCCCTGAGGGCCGGCCACAAGCTCATCTCGCCGTTAGGTGGCAAGATCGTGGTGCTTAGTGCTTCGTTACCGAATGTGGGAGTAGGGAAGCTGGATATGCGGGAAGACAAGAAACTACTCGGCACATCCAAAGAAAGCGGACTGCTTCAGACCGCGAACAGTTTCTACAAGTCATTTGCCGTGGAGTGCTCGAAGAACCAGGTCTCTATCGATATGTTCCTTTTCTCTTCGCAATACCAAGACGTGGCCTCGCTCAGCAACCTTCCACGATATACCGGTGGTCAGACTTGGTTCTATCCAGGATGGAATGCGGGTCGCGCCGAGGACGCAGTCAAGTTTGCGTCCGAGTTCAGCGACCACCTATCTTCAGAAATTGGGTTAGAAGCAGTACTCAGAGTACGAGCCACGACAGGCTTGCGTATGAGCACATTCTACGGAAACTTCTTCAACAGATCTTCGGACCTCTGTGCTTTCCCGGCTTTCCCCCGAGATCAATGCTACGTCGTCGAGGTGGCTATCGACGAGACCTTACAGAAGAATTACGTTTGTCTACAGGCTGGTGTCTTATATACTACATGTAACGGTGAACGACGCATTCGTGTCATGACGCTCGCAATTCCAACCACAACCAACCTTGCCGACGTGTACGCCTCGGCGGACCAGTGTGCCATCACGACATATTTCACTCACAAGGCTGTCGAGCGAGCTCTCAGCAGCGGTTTAGATGCCGCCCGTGATGCCCTCCAGAGCAAGCTAATTGAGCTCCTACAGACTTTCAAGAAGGAACTGGGAGGTGGAAGTATGGGTGGTGGTGGGCTACAGTTCCCTGCCAATCTGCGCGGCCTTCCGGTGCTCTTCTTAGGGCTAATCAAGCACGTCGGTCTCCGCAAGTCGGCACAAATCCCGTCAGATCTTAGGTCAGCGGCCCTGTGCTTGCTATCTACGTTGCCCCTACCACTTCTAATGCAGTACATTTACCCGCGGTTGTATTCGCTACACGACATGCCCGACAATGCCGGAGTTCCTGACCCGGAAACTAGCCAAATCGTCCTTCCGCCGCCTCTAAACTTATCGTCAGAGCGATTCGTTAGCTACGGCTTGTACCTGATCGACGATGGCCAAACACAATTTTTATGGGTAGGCAGGGATGCGGTGCCTCAGCTGTTAACGGACGTATTTGGCGTGGCGGATCGCACCCAGTTACGCGTCGGCAAAGGCTCAATTCCGGAGCTTGACAACGACTTCAACGAACGTGTCCGAGCCGTGATTCAGAAGAGCAGGGACCATTTATCACGCGGAGTAGGTAGCATCGTCGTACCTCACTTGTACATAGTGCGGGAAGATGGCGAACCCAGCTTGAAGCTCTGGGCGCAGACACTGCTCGTAGAAGACCGGGCAGACCAAGGGATGAGCTTCGGCCAGTGGATGGGAAACCTGAGAGAAAGGGTAAGTTGATAGTCTATTGATGGCATTTGTCCTTTGTCATAAACCATTTTTGCTCATTCCTATTTTCAGGTTGTCCAGTAGCATCTCCACTGCCAAAGAACCGAGGGTTTGCCATACAAGTTGAGCAGACTTTGACGATAAAAGGAAGAGGCGACCTGAAAGAAAGGAAGTAAAAAACATAAAACAAAACGAAAGTAACACCAACGAAGTCACCGACTTGGAATTGACCGGCATGTCAACTAGCGCCTCACACATCATGTTAAGTAAACTATCTAGCATTAATAAGCGTCGCCAGAGGCTTTGATCACTACAAGTCAGTGGGCCGATCTTGTTCTCAGGTCTGTTTCATAAGAAGACCGTATTGGGTCTGATACGTGACCGAGTGGACTCTGGGACTTGTTACGCGCCTTACCCTACCATGTAGAGAGAGCTCTCTTAGCGAATTACAATCCCGTTTCCCGGGTGGTAGGAAAAGAGATCTGCTCGAGTCGGCCGTCTTGATATGCTAGTAATACGGGTGATCGTCATTGTCATTCTACCAGGTGTTTTTCACGTATATCGTTGATATTTACCTACCTACTTACCTACCTAACCTAAAGATTCATTCGACCACTGGATGATATTTACCTTTACCGATTTACTTACGTATTTTGTCTCACAAGATCTTGTTTAGTCTAGTACGCAAGTTACCGCGGCAACGGCCACGATAAGTAGGTTAGGTACCTAAGGCATGTAGGATATGAAGAGCACATGTCCATATGTAATACATTACCTAACCTAACATACCTTTAGGTACAGGTAGACAAGGCAAGGTAATGCAAGGTAAAGTACCTTAGATCATATTTCCTATCGGCCGTACGTAGACGACGCAGCAACACCCCCATTCCTCCACCCATCCCTCTACCCCTCCTCCTTCCCTTCTTCTTTCCATCCCCGGATTGTCTACTATTACCTTAGGTACCTCCTAGGTAGATCCAAAGTCCGGTCTCAGCAAATAGGAGAGCCGGGGGAATACGAGGAATGGTATGTGTGGACGGACTTGTGTGTGTGTGAACGTTCAGCGTTTTCTTTCCTTTTCTTTTCAGCTGAACGAACTTTTTTTTCTCGTCCTCTTTTTTCCTTTTTTTTTTCTCCGAAGCACCTGGACGGACAGATACACAGACACAGAAAAGGTCAGATTACCCGTCCGTTTGGACCCGACAATCTGGGTATTGGACGACGTCGGGCGGGTAGGTGAGGTAAGAGGTAGGTAAGTTTAGGTAGGTCAGTATGTTAGGCTATCATTAAGCGCTTCGGTTTTATTATTCAGCCGTTGGATTTTGGGGGGAGCGGCAAGCTAACTTTTTTTTTGGTACTTGCTTTTTGCTTTTCTGATCATTTTTACATACCAATGCGCGCAAGACAGAGAAAACTTTAGACGGGACGAAGTTTGGCGCACGAGTTGGTCGGGAGGCAGCCCGGTGCCGAAGCGTCCACTGCTTCAGATCCCCTGGGACGCAAAGAGGTTGTTGTGTCGAGTTGTTGTCGAGCGCCGAGTGTTCGACCAAGTCATGAAACTGACAGGGGTCGAGTGTTCGTCGGGAGGTTTCAAAAATAACAGGCGCTCTCTCGGGCTGCGGTGCGCCGGCGCTTAAGCGGGGCCCTCATTGGATGGTGTCCAGCGCTCGAGAGAGTGTGATGATTGTGATGGAATTATTAGATGGAGTTGGTTGTTTATTATAAGGGCTGTTTATAGGATGTCCAATATGAAGATAAAAGGTCTAGAAATGTTATCTTATTGGTTCAGCTTATAGGTTATGTGATATGTAATACCTAGGTACTATAGTACACCACCTAGGTACATGCTCATCTCATGTCTCATGTACACATGTACATTGATATAATTCGTAAGTCCATGTGCCTCGATTGAACACAAACATCCCCTTACCCCTCTGACCCCACTAGCCAATCCTCGCCTATCAATTTAAGGTTCTCTCCTAACCCTTGGCCCATCGCTGTCACAATTACGCTCTACGATAGGTACACTACACCACCATAGTTTGCCGTCCCGTCTTGAGTTAGAACTTAAAACATTCCTCGGGACTTTGGATTTCGCATGTTTTGATATACCTTACTTGCAGCGTACTTACAGCAGCAGTTCCCTTCTTTTGTTTTATTTATTCGGCCCCCCTTTTTTGACAGACAATAACAACTTGCCTCGTAACTTCGTACCGAGCCAAACCTGATTTTAGATCCCACGTGGAGAATTGCCCGGGACTAACATCATACCTAAAGGCTTAGAGACCTCGGCGCTTTGACCTACCCTAGCAGCCTAGGTACCTACCTAGATAATATCGTCTTAGGTCCTACCTAAAGCTGGACTTGGTATTTCAAAAGTTGAAGACGAAAAAAAAGTGGACAAACAATTATCTCATCTATAATACGTTTTCTTATCTCTCTTTTTCTCTCTCTCTCGCACTCTTTTATTCCCCATTCCCCGGTACTAGGCCCCGAGAGGCCGTTCCATCCGTTAGAACTCCTCCTAGTGTCTTGTCGCCGTCGCATTATTGAGGTCCACAGTCCACCCAGCGCGGGATTCTATTCAATAGATCACCGAGCCATACGTACCGTACCCTATATAGGGGGCCCGAGGGGGGTTTTATCCACTGTCATTGTAACGCCTCAGCTCCTTTCCGGTCCAACTTGGTCCAACCTGGTCCAACCTGGTCGAGCTCTTTTTTGACATCTCTCTACCTCCATCTTTCCATCCCTCCCCCGCTCCACACACTACGCACCACAACCACACCACCACACAACCCGCTCACTTATTTTTTCTTAAGCAACCGAATTGTTGGTTCTATTGCATAGGGCAGTTATAATATTGACAAGATCGCCTCGTCTCAACTCAATTTATTGTCATAATTATTGCCTGACTTTAGTTACCTTGTTACTCTACCGATATACGAAACTTCACCTGGGGTGATTCAAACAATTTCGTTTTTCTTGTCCTTTTTTTATTTTTATTTTTATTTTTTCGTATTCTTTCTTCCTATCCGGGACGGGGTCGCTTAATAAATTTCGAATCAAATTAATCACGGGTATCTATTTTAGGTAGTTGCCTTAGGTTAGCCTTAGGTTAGGTACTAGAAAGGTACCTAGGTACCTACTTACACCTTCAAAACCAATTAGGTTAGGTACCTGCTTAGGTACCTCCTACCTTGGGGTTTTCGAAGGCGGGGCCAAAGTCCCAAAGCTCCTGTCGTTTTTTAATTCAACTTTGAACCCAACGATTTTCATCTTCTATTTTCCAATCACTCCGCCGGTAACTAAGGTTCTAACCCAAAGGTAAGAATTACATTTCATTTCGTTTCATTTCAATTTTATTTCCTTTCCTTGCTCTTATCCCTATCCTTATATACCTCCCATGTGCAATCATAATGGGACGATGGGCATGCTATCTGTCAGTCTTCGATCTCAAAATCTACCGTGCACTTATCGGGTAACGCCAAGGATCGCTACTCGTACCGGCGCGCATGTCAGAGACCCCGTTTCCCCCCTCTTCCCACCATTGGTACAGACGGCGCGCCTCAAGTTTTGTAACACGGGGGTTACAACCACAAGCACCACAGGCACCACCACTGGCACACCATAACACCACTCTTTGACCTCGACCTTGAGACTCGACAACCCGTAGCACAACCCTTTTCGACCTTCAGTAATTTACCAACTTAACCGAACCGCCTACTTTATCTCCAACTGTTCGTCTTTGAAGGACGAATAGTATCGGTCGAACCAGGCAACAATTGCAGTAGAGCCTACCACGATTTACACCGGCCTGAGTTGCACAGACCTACCGATCAAAATCGCTTAATTACCCACAGCATCCGATCTTCATTACGGAACGATCAATTATCACTTGTTTTTTTTTCTCATCTTCATTTCAGCCGCAGTTTTGTTGTCTTTGTCTTTACGCCTTAATCCTCAGCTAATAATTCATCTACCAGTACCAGCTTAGTCGGATAGCCGCAGTATCGATGCACTAAGCTGAGTTCGACGAAACATAAAGAAGCATTACCGATATTTCGTTTGCCAGAGCCGCTTGAAAGAACAAACCGTAGCGACGCTGCAATAAAGCAAACACCGGATTCTTTGCGACGGCCGATCGATCTATAGAGGTCTTCATCTCAGCGAATCGTGCTTAACGGCTCCGCATTCTAGACAAATTGGTCCTATTTCGGGAATTGCGAGTAGTAGCGCCTTATCCAATAATCCTGTCGAGCTTTACTCCGCCGAGTGGAGCGTGCACGAGTTTAATATTCCTTGGCGAGCCGAGATTACCTATAGAGGCGCTCTTATTGCCCTTGCAGGACTTTAATAAATCCGCTTTTGAGGCCTGAGGCGGTGGAATCTTTAAGCACTTGGTCTCCTTTTCCGCGTTCGGTTTTGAATTCGACATAAAGCATATTCTCCATTAACAACACAGCAACATGTCTCGATCAAATCCTCCCAACCCGGCCGGATCCCGGAAGATTTCGTTCAACGTCAGCGAGCAGTATGATATTCAGGATGTTGTGGGAGAAGGAGCTTACGGTGTTGTCTGGTAGGCTTGAATAGGAGCGCCGAGCTCACGCAAGATCAGGTTGCTAACGACCATATGCAGCTCGGCGATACACAAGCCTTCGGGACAAAAGGTTGCCATCAAGAAGATTACTCCCTTCGACCACTCCATGTTCTGTTTAAGAACCCTTCGAGAGATGAAGCTCCTTCGATACTTCAACCACGAGAACATTATTTCTATTCTCGACATCCAGAAGCCGCGCAGTTATGAATCGTTCACTGAAGTGTATCTGATACAGGTACGAAATTGTCCTCGAACCTAGGTGTAGGGACTAGCTGCTAATGATCCTCTAGGAACTGATGGAAACGGATATGCATAGGGTGATCCGTACACAGGACTTATCTGACGATCATTGTCAGTACTTCATTTACCAGACTTTACGAGCGCTGAAGGCCATGCACTCCGCAAATGTGCTTCACCGAGATTTAAAGCCTAGCAACCTCCTGTTGAACGCCAACTGTGACTTGAAGGTCTGCGATTTCGGACTTGCTCGATCGGCGGCGTCACAAGAAGACAACTCGGGTTTCATGACGGAATACGTGGCCACTCGATGGTACCGTGCGCCCGAGATTATGTTGACCTTCAAGGAATACACAAAGGCTATTGACGTGTGGTCCGTTGGCTGCATTCTAGCCGAGATGTTGAGCGGCAAGCCCCTGTTCCCCGGAAAGGATTGTATGTGACTCGTTCACTCACCCGATGCCGAACGACCTTTTTGCTAATAATGCGTAGATCACCATCAGTTAACCCTGATCCTGGACGTTCTTGGTACTCCTACGATGGAGGATTACTACGGCATCAAGTCTCGCCGCGCCCGCGAGTATATCCGCTCTCTTCCGTTCAAGAAGAAGGTGCCATTCCGAACCCTCTTCCCCAAGACTTCCGACCTAGCGCTAGACCTACTGGAGAAGTTGTTGGCATTCAACCCGGTGAAGCGTATCACCGTGGAAGAAGCCTTGAAGCATCCTTACCTCGAGCCGTACCACGACCCTGAGGATGAGCCTACGGCACCCCCGATTCCTGAGGAGTTCTTCGACTTCGACAAGCACAAGGATAACCTTAGCAAGGAACAGTTGAAGCAGCTCATCTACCAAGAGATTATGCGGTAGAACGGCGGTTTCTTGAGCAAACTCAGGATTCGAGAAAGCATCTCGCAGCTTATCCAGAATCTGAAGCTTAGGGACCGCATCAGCCCAAATAGCACACGTATGCGGAAGGCATCGCGGTTAAGGGGCGACGCTTCAGGTGGTTTTGCATAGCAGGCGGTAACAGCGTTAGGGGGAGTAATTAGACGGCAATGACCTTGTTGGAGGGCCCGTCTGAAGGAGGGGTTGGTCCTGAGATATAGGCGATGAAGAGAAGACTGTGGGGATCTTTATGCCGCGAGATCTGGTGCAGGATCTGGCATGATTGTGGAGAGGCTAGATGATTAAGGATATATCGTCTTCTCTCAGATTTCTTTTCTTTACGCTTGCTGGTAGTAAACACAGACCTTTTTTCTGGTATTTTAGCCCATGGGTTTAATTCCCTTAGGTAACCCGTTGATTATTTGCCGTGTTGTCTGTGAGCTCCGCCGAGTAAGTAGAGTTGAGAGTGAGGTTCTGCCGTGATGAACGAGGTTATAAGCCAGATCACTTGATATCCTGTTGAGGTAGAGAGAGAGATGAAATGAAGAATGCAAATTAATAACTGAAGTAAGAGGTATCTTTATTATTGCTGTACGAATAAATGAGTAACGGGTAGGTTGGTATTATAATCTATTGATAAAAACTAGGTAGGTTAGTAGGTTAGGTACCTACCTAACCTTAGGTCCATATATGGGGAATGAATGAATCGCAAAGTCTTGGGACGAATTCTTGAAATCTTCCATGATTACCTCACCGAAAACTCATTTCTACGGAGTTTATGATCTAATACCTACCTAGGTACCTATGTTTATTAAACTTTGATTCTTCGAATTCGACGTTGAATCCTTGACTGGTGAGGCTTTTATACATAGGTAGGTTAGGTAGGAATCTTTCTCGGCTTATTACTTGCATAGGAGGATAGGAGAGGATAGGATAGGAAGCAGCAAGCTCTCGGGCTGGCTACCTGTAGGTACCTAGAGTTTATAGTAGGGCTTCTGGGGCAATATGATAGTAGGTGCCTACCTAACCTACTCGGAGAGTTTGTATGTTAGATACCTACCTAGGTAGGTATATAGGGGATGAGGGATGAGGGATGAGGGCAGTAGGTATGGGTATGGGAATATAAGGAAAGGTGAAAGAAAGTGAGGTTTGGCCTGGTGGCAACTATAAACTAAGAACCGAAGATCATATGTAAGGCAGTGGAGTGGAGTAGATTTGGGTATTTGTTATATCGAATTATTACTCAATTCGACTCGGCAATCGATCGCCTGGTCATCCATGTTAGAAGATACCTCTTACGATACTTACCAGAAAGTGGTAATGTATAAGGTAGTCCGCCTTTTCTACTTTTAGGTACCTAACCTTAGGTACTTACCCCTTGAACTGTTCACTAGGTACCATACCTACGAGACTATTCATCATTTATACAATGATAATGTATGAATTAGGTACTATCCCCCTACCGATCCCATCTCACTATAAATACCTAGGTACCCAACAACTAAGAACAGGCCGACAACGTATCTGTCTCACTTATTAAATTCAAAGCTACCTAAGCTAGCTAGCTAGCGAGCAGAACCAAGTGGATATGTTCAGCATTTCCATCCTTCAAACCCTCCCAACAAGAAAGACCAAAAAACATTTCAGGCAAAGCTTGCTTGCTTGCTCGCCGCCCCTCCCCATTGAAACCGAAAACGCCTATTTGCTCCGGTAGTCATGATCTCGGTCGTTTATCTGCTAGATATGGTATTTCCAGCGCCCCCCCCCCCTTCCCCCCCCCCCCCTTTTCCATCCTAGCCTGGTCTGGCTTTTCTTGGGAATATACCATATCGTACCATATCATATCATATACTATCCTCCCTAAAATCGGGCATTGTACCACACCACGACGTCCTCCCCTCCTCTCCCCGCGCGTACAAAAACAGTCGCGATAATCATCGCAATAACATCATGCCCTACCTTGCCCTACCTATCCCTCCTCGTTTCGTTTCGACAAGCTGACTTGGTAAACAAACGAAGAAGAATTAGTAAATGCCAACACATGACTTCTTCCCACCTTCTTAAAAGCAACCCCCTCCCTTCCCCTTCATCCTCCCTTTCCCTCTCCACCTAGGTAGGTAGGTCCTTACCGTCAAACAATATAATAACATATACCTATACACCACCAGATCAGCCCCCGACAACCCACATCTCCACGCCCAGGACGTCGAACTTCTCGCCCTCCTCGCTGAGCGGCTGGTTCAGGAACGTGTCGCACGGCGCGCTGTGGCCGCGGCTCAGCCCGTTGTCGAGCCACAGGCCGAAGGTGCCGCCCCGCCCGCCCCCGACCGACAGGAACCCCGTCTCGCAGAAGATGCAGTAGTCGTTGGCGCCCGTGAACGCGAAGTTCTGGAACCGGATGCTCTGCGTCGTGACCGGCTTCGGTTTCGGCGACGCCCGGCCCGTCTCGAGGCCCGTCGGCGCCGGCGCTAGTTGGCTCGCGGGCAGCCGGTCGTTGCGTGGTAGAGGGGAGGAGGAGGTGGTGGATGATGCGATTGTCGTCGTGCGGAAGTTGACGTTGGTTGTGTCGGCGGAAGGGGGTGGGGGTAGAGGGGCGTGTAAGCTCGCGCGCCAGAGGAAGCATTCCCCTGTGCCGAAGTAAGATGGCGCCGGGTGCGGCGCTTCCGTCAGGTATGCGCCGAAGGTCTGTTAGACGTATAAGTAGGTAAGCTAGCTGTCCAATATCTTGTACTTATTTGCGATGCTTATTTTCAGGACATATCCCCGCGATACGGAATCCGGATGGCAAAGGGAATATGCGGGCATATGGGAGGGTATATGGGAATACGAGAATTAGGTACTCACCCCTTCCTTTCCATCTCGCACGACGAGCACGAACCCGACCCTGCGTCCGCGGTACTCCTCGCACCGCTTATACAGGGTCGAGAGCGAGCTGCCGTCCTGGTACAAGCTATATATCAACGTCCAGTCCTCGATGATCTTCAAGCGCTCGGGCAAGAAAGTCCGGATCTCCTCCGCCAGGCCGCGCGCCAGCAGCCTCTCGGACTCTCTCGTGTCGGCGCGGTAGCCGCGCAGCGTCAGGGGCTCGAGGGAAGGCAGCCCGCGCAGAGGCGACGGACTGCGGCGCGTCGGCGGGATGAAGGGACCCGTTATGCCGTCGCCTACGCCGACGGGTTCCGAGTTGGCGTTGTATAGCTGGGTGTGGGACGGCGGGTGAGGGGGTGGCGATTCGAGAGAGGAGAAGCGTCGCCAGAGACCGAGGACGGCGGAGCCGATGCCGTAACCGCCGGAGGAAGAAGAAGAGCCTTGGCGCTGAGGAGATTGTGGTTGCGATCGTGGTTGTGACTTTGGGTACGTATACGAACGGGTTTGAGGTGACGGGGTGTGGTGGGAAACGGGAGTAGAGTGGCCGGAGGAGGGCGGTGAAAGGTCTATCAGGTCGGTACTATCTTGCCGGTTGATGCTCATGGTGGGCAATTTTCGAATTGGGGTCTCGGTCTGGTGTCTTTGGTGTAGGGATGGCGTGAGTGATCGTGTTGCGGATCTGATAGTTTCCAATTTACTAGTTTCCGATAATAATAGCTAAAATAGCTACTATGTAAACGCACGAAGCACGAAGCGGCTTAGGTTGGACTTGAAAGCTGGAGAAGTGGATTATAATAGGCTCTTCTCGTCTTGTCTTAGGTCGTATACTCCGAATTAACCTGCATACCTCTCCTTTAGGTGGTACACAAGGCAGGGTTAGTACTTGTAATTCAGCGGAATCATGAATGTGACGTAGCGTGATGATGGCTTATGGTGGGTGAGTGGGTTGGTTTGTTTTAATTTGTTTTATTTTTAATTTGTTAGTTATTGCCACCTTGTGTCAGCTTAGCCAGCTCACATACTTAGGTAGGTACCTAGGTAGCTGCCTGTAGTGGGGTTGGTGGCGGGCGTTTTGCAGCGTTACGTCGTATTGGCCGGAATTAAAAATTGTAGATAATGGGATGTTATGGATGTTATCAGGGTACGGTAGATAATAATGTGGATATACTAACCAAAAGGGCGAGCTTCGATGATACATAGGTCAGGGAGGATGTAATAGATATAGGCACCCTACTTAGAGGTAGTCAAATATTATTAATATAAGGTAGATGAGATTGTAGATAAAATTGTAGCTGATATGGTAGACGAACAGTAAAAAAAAAAAAAAAAAGAGAAGAAGGCAGTCGAAGTTGGGAAAGTCTGAATAAATAATTACCGAAGGTACCTATAACCTGCCTAAGGTAAATAAATACATAAAAATGTACCTGACCTACTACGTCTTGTGCACTTATTTATACTTTAGGTAATACAACATAATACCTGCAAATACTGACCAAACTATTATTAAACTCGTACCACTTGTCCTCTTGGAACTTTAATATTTTTTTTTCTTGCGTGTCTTCTATTCGCCCTCTAGAGCTTAGCTCTGCTACAGTCTATTCTGCCTCCATTAGCCCGCTCATAAACGCAGATCGGTCGCACGGATATGCTGTATGATAAACCCCTTGGATTCGTAAGGACGCACAGCATGACAAGCATTAAGCCCGTCTACATCATTCAGTCCTATCACTAGGTTGAATCATAATTTGATTTCGATAGCATCAAGTATACCCTGTCGTATTCCTTCGGGAGAAGGTTCCTTAGCACATACTCTGGGCTCGTAAGCGAACATTTTCTTGAGATAGCTTGCTGTCGTTGGCCCAATTGTTGCGATCGACGTGGGCGGCTTCGACTCGTCCGCCTTCTCGATAGCCTTACCTGTATCCTGCTCAAGCAAACCTAAACCCTTGAGCATGCTATCGCAGCCCGTTGGAGAAAAGACCACTACCCATCGCTCCGGTCGGTTCGATGTTCTTTGTAACACGTCCGCAAAGTCAGCTGCGAAGGATTCCATAACACCAGTACCGTATAAGACCATCTCTGTTACTTCGATTCGTCGAACACCCGGTAAAGTTTCGTCCATTAGCGTCTTTGGTATAATGTCCCGCCTCTGCTCCCCTACTAGGAAGAGCAGCGGAGGCTTGGTGGGGCGGTCTTTGTACCAGTCGTCGTAATGGTCCAATATGAACCGCGCAAGCGCATCACCATTTCCAGTATGCTCACCAAAGACCTGGAGTGGGGGTGCCTGGGGGATGGCTTTAAGCGCTCGGGTCGTAGCAGGGCCCACGCTATAGACAGGTATGTCTTGGAGGTGTGGCCAAGTCTGATCACCTATTGAATTCCTGCGAGTCAGAGGATAGAACACCGCTGGACGCGTGAGGGGCCTGGGGCCTCGGACCTTTGCCCTCGTCAACTAACTTGGCGAATGCCTCAACAGCTCTTTGTGAGGTGAAGATGAGGCCGCCATAAGCGCTATCGGCACTACGGCTTATCCTCCTTTCCCGTAGCAACTTTTCGAATTGCCGCATGCCGTCATCCTCAAATCTGTGCTGAAGGACAGGAACGAAGATTGGCTCGAAAGAAGGAGAGCCGTCTCTCGGGGCAGAGAAGATGTCTTCGTATGCATCTGTTGGTGACGACTTCGTCTTGAGGAGCAGCACGGGAACTTTGTCCGGGCTGGAGGCCGAATCCGAAGCCATAAGAAGCTGGGCGGTCTAGACTACCTGGGCAACCCGGGCAATTATGAGAGAAAAATATTCGAGCGATGTCTTGATCACCTGAGCTTAACCTAGGAGAGAGTTGAACCTATCCTAGCGATTAGAAGCTCAAATGCCAAGGCCAGGCTCAAAGATCTCCAAGATCTCCAAGAATTCCAAGAGTTCCAAGCTTTTATCGATAAAATATTTCCAATCGATAAGACCTTCCAGGAGGGCCGAGGCACTGCTACAAAAGTACCTATGTACAATACGAGGTACCTACCTAGGTAGAGGTACCCACCTAGGTACCTAGTGAATTAGGTAAGGTGGGGCGTTCTCTTCGGCCCGTGTTTAGTCAGTGGCGTCACCGGGAGGTGCCGGGACTCGCTTTCCGCCGAGCTGTTGACAAATCCGCGCCAGCTGAATTTATTTTTCCTGCCAACACCTTTCGATCTTGTCGCAAAATTATCGTGAGCTTCGGCGCCGGTGTTTTCTTTTTTTACGCTTATTTTCATTTTAGACCCATTACAGTAATAGAATGGCTGCAGACACGAGAGAGCCACAGTCCAACGAGCTGCCTAAGGGAGTGGTCATAGGAAAGGATGGCAAGCCGTGAGTAACACTATCAGTCCCGGTTGGTTGGTGGCCGGGATATTCAGGTCCCCCCCATTAACATAAGCTCATATTGCAGATGTCGATCATGCACTTCAAAAAGGGATTTCTCTGCGTGGGCACAGATGACTAAATCCTCGCTCAAATCTGGTAGTAATGCTGGAACAGGCGCTGCTGTCGGGGCTGGAGCGGCGGCCGCGGCGGGCTCTACGTTTTCGTCGCCGCAATCTACTCCGGATGATTGTCCACCTGACGTAGAAACATTGGGCCGAAGCACGTGGACACTACTGCATTCCATCGCCGCAACGTATCCCAAGACGCCAAGCGCCGCTCAGCAGTCCGACCTCCGGACATTCATGGGAACCTTCTCGAGACTGTATCCGTGCTGGGTATGCGCCGAAGATTTCCAGCGCTACATGGAGAAAGACCATATCAAAGTCGGTAGCCGAGACGAGTTCGGGAATTGGTTATGCGAAGCGCATAATGCTGTTAATGTCAAGCTAGGCAAAGAGAAATTCGACTGTTCCAAGTGGGAGGAGAGGTGGCGGACCGGCTGGAAAGATGGACGCTGCGACTGAATTATGAATTTTTTTTCGTCCCCGAGAATCTTTGCTTTACAATTATTAATTCACGATACCTTTTTTTCGCCCCTGGTTGAGGCATAAACCGGAAACCGGGATTTGGATTACTTTAAGGCCATTTGAAGTTCATCTGCGAGGAAATCCACCTAGGTACCTATCTACTCAACGACCCTGTATTACCACTGTACGATATGTTACGATAGAAGAATGATCGATGAAAGAGAATCACCTTTTCGAATTGAAAGATGAAGCTGTGTATGTCGCCGGGATTTTTTCGAGACCCTCTTGTTCCAAATCGAATCGCGCCCGGCGTTATCCATCTGGAATTCACCGTTTTTTCCCTTATCATTATCAAAAGATCGACATTTTATGATGCGCAGTAAATACGTAGTAAATGCTACTGGGCCGTTCCAGACCGGCATCCAGGCTAGTCGGGGCTCTTTTTTTTCTTTCCAGGGAACCGGGTTCGGCCGATTGGTTTATTATTAGAGAAAATGGATACCTATGCTAGCATAGTCGTACAGTGTACAGTGAGCTGAGTGAGGACTAAGAATGAATAATGGGTTGAATTAAGTTTGATGTTATGGTCTTGAAATCTCAAGGTTTGAAGGGTGAGAGAAAAGTTAATGCGAGATGAGACTTGGAGTTTGTATGCATTTGGCAATAGATTCACATGTATATCCCTGACCGACTAACGGGCGAGAATGGGAAAGAAAGAAAATTCTACGACAAAAATCAAGCAGAAAACTCGATATCCATTGCATCATCGCCTGATCATCGCGAGACGCCGAAGATGCACCATGATCCACTGAAACAAGGCCCGATATTGTCAAGAACAGGCGATGCAAACAACCACCTTACGATTTTGAGGCCAACTCCTTTTTTGTTTGAAGACCAATGTTCGTATCCTGCGTATCCTGCGTATCCTGCATCGACATTGCCGTTGCGATAACGGGAAATGGGTAGAGGCTGAAAATACTTAATATTTAGCTGAGGTCCCTGCATCTGTCCGAGACTTTTTTTCTTTGTTCTACATTCAGAATCATACATCCTTGACTACGAATACATCATCACACTTGACAGAAGTATAGTGTAATATATACCTAAATTTCCTGAGCTTCCGAGGTATCGCTACTGTCAAATCAGCTCTCTCAGACTACTTTACACTATACATCAACTTACATCAACCTACGTTACCGACCAACGTCTACCCCTCAACTTATATATTTTAAGGTATTTATAGACCTCTCGCTGCTTTATACCTTTAGACCATTTATAATAGTACTTGGAGTACTTATATCGCTCATATATTCCTCATCCCTTCATCCCTTCATACCATTTATATCATTTATACCACTTACAAACAAACACACGATAACAACATATTTACTGACTCTTTTTATTTTTAAACATAGAAAATAAGAAGGACAAACTTCTCTACTTATTCAAGATGGCTGCTAAAGACATCAGAACCGACAATCTGAAAGAGCCCGTTGACGTGGCTGATTATCTCTTCACGAGACTTTACCAGCTCGGTATCCGATCGGTCCACGGTCTTCCGGGTGATTTCAACCTTGTCGCCCTCGACTATTTGCCCAACGCGGGGCTTAAGTGGGTTGGCAACTGCAACGAGCTGAATGCCGCCTATGCCGCCGACGGCTACGCCCGTATAAAGGGCATTAGCGCTATCGTCACCACTTTCGGTGTTGGCGAGCTTTCCGCTATTAACGGCATTGCTGGCGCTTACAGCGAGCACGTCCCCATTGTTCACATCGTCGGATGCCCTTCTACTATTTCTCAGCGCAGCGGTCTGCTGTTGCACCACACCCTAGGAAATGGCAACTTCAACGCTTTCGCCGACATGAGCTCTTCTATCTCTTGCGCCGTCGCCAAGCTCAATGACCCCGTTGAGATCGCCGCTCAAATCGACCACGTCCTGCGAGAATGCTACTTGAACTCCCGCCCCGTTTACATCATGCTCCCTACCGATATGGTTCAGAAGAAGGTCGAAGGCGCGCGGCTGGAAACCAAAATCGACTTAACCGAGCCTCCTAATGATCCGCATCGGGAGGACTACGTCGTCGAAGTCGTACTCAGGTACCTGCACGCCGCTAAGCGACCCGTCGTCCTCGTCGACGCCTGCGCCATCCGTCACCGCGTCCTCGACGAGGTCCACGAATTAATCGAGAAGACCAACCTACCCGTGTTCGTCACGCCTATGGGCAAGAGCGCCATCGACGAGACTCACCCCAACTTCGGCGGCGTGTACGCCGGAACCGCCTCCGCCCCCGCCGTCAAGGAGATGGTCGAGGGCTCCGACCTCGTCATCTCCATCGGCTCGCTCAAGAGCGACTTCAACACCGCGGGCTTCTCGTACCGTCTCTCGCAGCTCACCTCCATCGACCTGCACAGCGACCACTGCATCGTCCGCTACTCCGAGTACCCCGGCGTCCGCATGAAGGGCGTCCTGCGCAAGATCGTCGACCGCCTCGACGTGAGCAAGATCTCGGCGCTGCCGGCGCCCAAGTGGGAGTCCCCGCCGGTCACGCCGGACCTCGACGCGGTCATCGGGCAGGAGTTCTTCTGGTCGCGCATCGACCGGTTCCTCCGCGAAGGCGACATCGTGATCACGGAGACGGGCACGGCCAACTTCGGCATCTGGGAGACGCGGTTCCCCGCCAACGTGACGGCGCTCAACCAGACGTTCTGGGGCAGCATCGGGTGGGCGGTAGGCGCGTGCCAGGGGGCGGCGCTGGCGGCGCAGGACATCGCGGGGCCGGAGAAGGCGCGGCGGACGATCCTGTTCGAGGGCGACGGCAGCCTGCAGCTGACGGTGCAGGAGATCAGCACGATGCTGCGGCACGGGCTGGACGTGATCGTGTTCGTGATCTGCAACGACGGGTACACGATCGAGCGGTACATCCACGGGATGGACGCCGAGTACAACGACGTCGTCGAGTGGCGGTACAAGGACCTGCCGGCGGTGTTCGGCGCCTCCGCGGACGCCGCGCGCTCGTACGCCGTCAAGACCCGCGGCGAGCTCGAGCGCCTGCTCGCCGACGCCGACTTCAACGAGCGCAAGGGCCTGCGCTTCGTCGAGCTGTACATGCCCCGCGAGGACGCGCCCAAGAGCCTGATGCTGACGGCCGAGGCGAGCGCTAAGAGGAACGCTATGACGGAGTAAAGTATAGTAAAATAACGTAAAAGAATCGAAGAAAAAAAGGAAAGAAAGAAAAGGGGGAAGATGTGTATGAGATATGACCTCTTTTTTGGATACATGGGTTAGGGGGGTTTTGGCTTATATATTTTTCTCTTTTACATGTTTTTTGCGAGTTGCCATTTGAGGGGGGGGGGGGGGGGGTTGGGTTAAATAATTCTTCTATTTTAGACGCATCGTAATGGGATCACGTTCAAAGTATTATTGCGTTTATTATTATTCTATCGTGTTTATTATTACCGTGCTCTGTTGTCAGGTAAGAGGTACCTAACCTAACCTGCCATAGCTCCATAGTTTTGGTAGTCCTAGGATGGTTACAATGGTTAGGGGTAGGTAAAAGTTAGTACTAATACTATTTCTTATGCATGTTCTTACTTGAGATGAGGTACTTTAACGCTCACATATAATCGAATTATATAATTCCTTGCTTGGAATGTATGAATATATACTCCAAGGGGCGGTGGCAAGTTGTTTCTCGAAATCTGCAATTGTCAAGTTCATGGTAAGGTCGTATTGCCCCTTAATATTCCTGCCCCTCCAGATGATTTAGACTGTAGTATGGATTGTAAAGCTGGATGTTTCCCACCAGTCAGCAGAGTAGGTACTCATGTTACAGGGTGGGACCAAATAGTACTTAGGGGAATACGTAATTTCGTTGTTCTGCGAGTAACTCTAAACTACCTAAGGTTAGCTGTAGAAGTGCGTAAGAGGTAGCTATACATTAAGTGCCGATAGGCTCTTTGTTCTAGATGTCTCATCCGGGATCCTGTCAGTTTCATAAAAAATGGTTGGCAGATTTGGTGCTTGTCCAAAAAGATCCATATGAGCTCAGAATACATTGAGTTTTACATATTAATACCAAGCATGCCTATTAGTAGGTAGATACACCGCCCTCTGGATCTGACACATCTAAGTGATGAATCAACTGTTGTTTCCTCTATAAGATATGTGCTTTTCATTTAGAACTTATGTAGTTTGATGGACAGTATCTACGCTTGCCAAGTTTGGAAAAGTTGGGTATCTTATTGGTGTTGTTGCCAAAGATGATTGAGCACTGCTTCCCTCAGATTGATCATATTAGGTGGAATCATGGGGACATCACATACCTTCTGCTTGTTTGTGTTGGCTTGGTACGTGCATATATATGAGACTATCCTTTCCATATTATCTTCAGCCAGAAAGGAGTAAGAGGACACGGATCTAGATTGGTGATCCTGTTCGATATTTTATACGAACGATCTCTTCGACGAAAGTGGCGATGGCACAAGATCACGACCAAGATTCTGCCATGACATCAAGAGAGTATTTGCAGGCTTACGGAATAGGACACGAAATAAATGATCCTTCTAAGAACGACTCATACACGTACCTTAAGAAGTTAGGGGGGATACCCTATACGATCCGGAGCGTTTGTCAAGTTGAAAACAACCGTACGAAAGAGGTATATGCCAGCAAAGAATGTAAGTTATCGGTTTCTAAATCTCTCAACAAGAAGATGGTTAAGGCGATCTACGATGAAGCCATGATTATCAAAAAGATCCGACATCACCATATTGTCCGATTTTGTAAATTTCACTGTCGTGAGGAAAAAATAGTTGGCTTTCTGATAGAGCCAGTCGCCGACGAGAACCTACAAGAATTCCTCGAACGGGTGGGGAAAGAAAAAGTGGACAAGGGGCATAAGAACTATAAAGATATGTGCCAATGGCCTGTATGCCTCTTTCACGCTTTGGGTTATCTACACGAAAGTAAAATCTGCCACAGGGATATAAAACCTAGCAACATCCTTATCAAGGGCAATTGTATCCATCTTACTGATTTCGGAACCTCGAAGGATTTCAGTGAGGCGACCACGTCTATGACGGCGAGCTCAAACCCTGGAGAAACACATCGGTATATGGCTCCTGAGACCTATAAGGACAAGCTTCGTGGCAGGGCGGCAGACGTCTGGGCTTTGGGCTGTACCGTACTAGAGATTTGCACTGTCGCCTCGGGTAAAACCATAAATGATTTGGATGGCCATCTCAAAGGCAAGCGACCTCCATGGTTCTGCATATGTTCCTATCATGTTTTGGCTTGGATATTTCTCCTCCTGTAATCACTTGCCGAGAAGGATACGCAAGTTCGACGGCACATCCAGAAGATGCTACAGCTAACATTCCTTATGCTTGACCCCGATCATGAGAAAAGAGTCACCATGGAACAACTTCACTATTTACTAAACAAAGGTGGCTTCGATTCTATTGCTTCATTGGCTTGTGACAAGTGTAAAAACCAGGAATTGACACACGCTGCCCAGTGCAGCATTAAATTCAAGAAAACAGCTGATGAGGACATATCCATGAGGGACATTACACAAACGACCGGAGCACCCTGGGAAAAGATCAAGCAGAGGTGGCTTGAAAGTGGTTCTGAGTAGCGTAGTATTCAAATAGCACAAGATACTACCTAAGGTAGGTTGTTCTAGGTTAGGAACTGATCAATAGAAGATCTGGTATAAGTGCTTAATATTTGATCTATGTCTGCCTTGCTGCATTTATACTATGATACTCTGCAATGCTTCCTTAGCTTTCTGTAGGCAGTCCATCGAGTCACCTGAAGAATAACCATTTTCTCTTATATTCCCTAGGCTTTGGGAGCCATTTGGAGACGGCTTAGTATTGCCAACCAAGCAAAGCTTGACGACCTCCGACTCGAGAGAAGCAAGTCGCGTTGCTTTTAAGAGTTCATCCTGAACTCCTCTTATGACTGGGCGTTGCGTATGCTCGTTTAGAGAAAGCCCGAGGGAAAGATGAATCGGTCGCCATAGCCCAATTTCCATCAAAACTACGCCAAGACTATATACGTCGTGCTTTTCTTCGTATCCATATTTTCCGTCTCGGGGAACGTCGAATTGGACCTCTGGATGGCGATATAGATCGTGTTCCTCACGCTTTGTCGGGAGCTCTGTGCGGTCATCCGACGGACGGGAGTAATCAAAGCCTCAGAGGCACAGTGGCGTCCAATCCGAAGAAGATGAAGTTAAGAATAAGATGTTATCGCTTCTCGGGCCTTTGTGAAGCCACTTTGCTACATGGAGATATTCAAGACTTGTCGTGAGCCGTAGCGCCATGTCTATCCTGATGGTTAAAGAAGGCTTCGGGATAATCTGCAACCTAGCGTATAGAGACTGGGGAACCGATATACTTGTCAAGGTAGGCGACTCGAAGACAAGTCCAAACCGAGCCGAACTCGGGTCATGGACATAGCCCAGAGCGGCCGGAAGATGGAGCTTTTCGGGATTTTCGGGATTCTTAAGGAGCAGTGTAGCGAGGCGCTCAATCCGATTTTCAATAAAGCGACAGTAAAACTCACTGATGTCTTCGTCGTAGCACTTCCACTCTATCCATACCGCGGCATCGTTGAAAGTACCAGAAACTCGTTGTGATTTGTCCTCTTTTTGGTTATCTTGAAGCTTAACCGCTGATAAACTCAATTTGAGATCATCAGAAAGTGGGACTCTCAGTAGAGGCTGTGCCGCCGCGTCGTTTTCGTAAGACACACCGTCGTCGATGACTGACATGTTGAGAGCCTTGAACCGGGTTAGCCGTTCTAAAAGCCTATACGAATTCTCGTTGGATCCCTGAGAAGACCCGCCTGAACCATGACCTGAAGGTAGGCGGTGACGTGAGCGCTCGAACTCAAGAATTTGATCGACTTTGTCGTGTAGCCGTACAAATTCCAGTTGCGTAATTTCTTGAAACTGAAGGAACTGACTTCTTTGATCTGGCTTTAAAATGAAATCTAGTGATTTGTTTAGTGCAATAAACCTGGCCAATAGTCGTTCGAATCTATCTGCGTCAGATACGACCCAACGGAGTCTCGTGGGGAGTTTTGAAAATACACCTCCGGCGGACTGAAGACATTTGCGGAGTAGATTTCTTTTTTTTGTTCGTTACCTCTAACGACTATGTAAATTAATTAGTACTCTTGCGCTCAACTGAAAGCGAAGTTGCCTGAGCATGCATTGGAAGGGAGCAGTCTCGCTTGCTCCGAGATAAACCCCCCTTATTATCCTCCGCAGATTTCGAAGATGGGCCGTGCCGTTGCTTTATCTCAGAGGCTTCAAGCATTAAAGCTTTTATTTGGTTTAAGGATTCGAGAGCAGCCCGCCTTCTTTCATCTTGCTGCGCAACTTCGATCGTCGTCTCATATGTGAAGCCTGATGCGGTCCACCAGTCTAGTAATTTAAGCTGCTCAAGGTAGAAGCAATGCCGAAGATAATCATACTCTTGGGGGAAGTATTTAAGTTCAAGAATGACTTGACAACCTTGGACGCATACAGCAAAGATTTGGAAGACTAGAGATATTGCGCCCACTGCAGTTCCAGGGTCCATAATTGCTCATTGATTCACAAACTATAGGTCTTAAGTTAAATATATAATAGAGTCAATAGAGACGACTATATACTAAAATAAAGAGAAGAGTTGTGCGTTCCTTATATCAAGTTGTGTGTATTTCCTGCCTTGGGGGTGGCGTACATGAGTTATGCAATGATGTTAACAGTGTCACCACGCGTAGGCTACCGGCGTATAGATAGGAAGTTACTGTTACATCAGTGAGGCTGAGGTAGATAATATGCACTTCACTTCCGTTGTAGTTATCGTCGTTATTTTCGTATGTCTCAAAAATCGATTCCAAGGTTCGCCAATCGATTGGAGATGAACCCCCCGGCAAGAAGCAGATAATACGCTTTAAACTTACACAGAATTGCATCTGTTAAACCTATAAGGTTCAAATAGGAAATATTCCAACCGCCCTGGTATAGTACCCGTAGGTGCCTCAGGTAACATGTATACACGCATACAAGTACACGTTATATAACTTGAATGACATAACCAAGTAATGGTCATACGTCTAAGCCTCATGAAAGAAGGCAATTCCATTATACGCCAAAAGTGTAATTAGTACTACCATACAATTAAGTCTTCATTATCCGCGTAAGGCTAGCTGTCCTTGTATGTGAGAGTACCCACTGCTTTATTATTTCCACTATTTATTATTATAGAGATATAATGTGAGACGACGTTTTTGGAAAAACACCCTGGACATAATTGCCTCGTTCTTAGGTATAATAAAAGAAAAATCTACCAAATTCACCCTAAACGCACCTCCTAACACGAAAAGGGGGCTTCTCTAAAGGCGAAAGGCATCACGTGCTTTTTATTGTATATTGTATACTGTATATTGCATATTGCATAAAAGATAAGTATTCACTTAAAAGGCATATCATGGAACCTTCTCAAAGATGCTCGGCATTCAGCGCAGCCTCGGAGGTTCTCTTCATCTTAACAACAACATTTACAATCGCACATCCCCATTTACGTATTCTCTCAGACAGTTTAATTAATTACCAGAAACTAAGGCATTTTAGAGTTTCTTATTTTCGACACCTTTTATATTCCAAAAAAAAGATAATTATTCCACATCAAGCAACTTTTGTTGAAGTTGCGATACAACAGCTTTAAGAGTGACGCAAACGAGACCTCACAATCTACTTAAGGGGAAAAATAAAAAATAAAAATAAAAGCAAAAATGGGCGGAGAGAACTTGCACCACGTCAAGTCGCTCGCGGAGCTGCAATCCCTATTCGCGTCAACCACATACGTGGTCGTGGACTTCTACGCCGACTGGTGCGGGCCGTGCAAGGCCATCGCGCCGCACTACGAATCGCTGGCCAAGCAGCACGGGGCCCCGCGCTTCCTCGCCTTCGCCAAGGTGAACGTGGACGCCGCGCAGGACGCCGCGCGCGCGTACGGCGTCACCGCCATGCCCACCTTCCTCTTCTTCAAGGAGGGCCGCCAGGTCGCCGTCAACGGCCAGGCTGCGATCCGCGGCGCCGACCCGCGCGCGCTTGCGGCCGCCGCCGAGAAGCTCGGCGGCTTGGCGAAGAAGCGCATGGCGGAGGCGGAGGCGTAAATGCTGCGGTGTTGTGGCTTTGATACGAGATTGGTGTTGTTTAGGTATAGGTACCTAGACTTAACCTATGTACCCAGAAGGATACGTTAGGAACGAGGCATTTGGCTTGGATGAACTTGGCATACGAAAATGTCAACCGACGACTCAGATAGTTAAGTAGTAGTCTTACAGATCGCTAGGTACCTCTTGGCTTAATTACCCGATAATCATCTTCGTGTCTGCATAAGGCGATCTCTGTCAGATGCGTACTACATCCCAGAGCTATAGCCTTTAATCCATGCGTTGCCACGCACTCTTGGATCTTTGTTATTTCACTGATGCTTGACAGATTGGACTGGTAGATAATAATAAGTAGGTGCCTTTAGCTACCTACCTCCTAGATGCTTAGACCTGATCATGAACTTGATTACATACCCCTTAACGTCCCCCTAATCCCACTAATTTGTCTAGGTACTTAGGAATATGTACTTGAAGTATTTATGGTTAATTCTGGGACTACTTAGTATCAAACGTGAAAGTCCAAGCAGGTATCGAATATTAAAGGGGTAAAAAATATTGGCCCGAGTGGGATTTGAACCCACGTCTTCCCAACCTCGACCTTTCATCTGATTGTTTTTCAGAAGCACGTAATGATGGAATGTGCTCCCACTGCACCACCAGGTCTTTTGTGATAGGTGGTCTGAACTTCAGGACCATATGCTACCGTGCAAAACTCCGTAGATGCCATGTTCATGTGACTTCTTCACTTGGGCATCTATATTTCACTGAGATACTTCTCCGCTAATATTTTGGGAATTGCCTAGAATTAAGGTACTTGGCTCTATATAGAATGTATAAGACTCACTTAAGTAAAGACACTAACTTATTTACAGATGCTAGAAATCGGTTTAATACCCCTGAGAAAACTTATTTATTAATATATGTGCCTTTTTTCGTTTCACTACATCTTATAATACTATTACATTAAGGGCTATATCTCTTGTACGAGGTAGTTAATAGAATATGATAGACTTTTTCTTTTGGAACAAGTCACTCTGGAGATGGGTTTACGTCACCCACTCATTTGATAACGCCGGAATAAGATTCTTAAGATATGTTTCAACTGTCTTATAGGCATCGCTAGTCAGTGGGTCTATCCCTTCTTTTAGCACTACACACTAAAAGAAGTTGAATAAAAAGACATTCTTATTTAACCTAGAAAACAGGGACATTTTGATAAGGATGACTTCGTGGTTAACAGGGGCTAGTCATCGAGGAACTCCCGTTAATAAAGACTTTGACAGCCCCACAAGAGGAATTGGAGATAATACCACCCCAGTTCTTAGATGACAAGTAGTTGAAGTCAGATTGAGGCTCTTCATTGGGCTTTGCCCACGAACTTAATAGATACCTGATATAATTAATTGTGACCGCTACGCCGCGTCCGTATGGCCAGCTCCAACATGGAGGATGCAACTAATGGTGCGTTGCATTATATATCAAAGAGTGTGGGTCTCAAGGCTGTAGGGGTGCCATGCAACGATGCCACGTGCGTAGGTGAAATATGTATGTAGGTTAGTGGTTAGTTCGATCGATCTAGGGAATAGATCCAACGATCCCAACAGGCTTTTTTTTTTAAACTGCTGTCTGGGATCCCCCCCCCCCATCCCTGGCCTGGTTTTTGAGCCGCATCAACTAAACCGAGACCAACAACGTCAAGACAAGGTTTGTCGGATCTCATGTATGAAGAAGCTAGCGTGACGTGGCGCCGCCGATATAACTACGCCCCCGTACTAATGCCGGCCGTACATCTTGACAAATAATATTTCAAAGATTTTCAGTTAGAAATACCATCTTAGTGAGTTTAAGTATATTGACCCTAGTTGAGATATTTATGATCCACAGGTTTTGATAATAGTCTTTCGTCTTTATCTAACAGGTACCTGACATAGGTAGTGTTTGCTTCGGTTTGGAGTTCTTTGATCTCGAAATATTGTCGACTCCAACTGTACGGGCGGCAAAAGAACCCCTGTCCGGTGATAGTGATAGTATGACTTGACCAATGGACTGCCTTACAACCTGGTTAGTCGATCAACTTTTGGCAGTTACCCATTTGGTCGAGGGTTGTCGTTTGATATTCTAGTTTCGGAGATGGTGAAGTGAACCTTGGCGTCTCATCACCTGGAAACAGCACATATAGTAGGGATCTTTGGGTGTTACAGGCCTTAATTATCCCCGGACAGGAGCCGGATAGGAGGCTCAATCGAATATTCGGATTAAAACAGCTTAAGGCGGTAAGTATTCTGATATAGTGGTATAATACTATGCTACTCACATGCAGATACAGTCGTAAACAACCCCGGCAGCTGCTCAGAACGTCATTCATGCATCTATATAGCCTTTATGTGCTGGAGTTTATCGACCCAGACTTCGCACTGCTCCGGAAAGGTTTAAGATAATTCTTAGGCAACGATGTCTCAGGTCGGGAAATATTCACCACTAGGAGATTTAGGAGACGTGACCTTCACTATATATACCCACACAACTATTAAAAGGTCTCAACTTGAGCACACCGTATATCATCACCGGACTAGCACGTTGGCTCGTGTTCATCCCACCGTTTATTTAGACCTGTCGGCGGACATCCCAGTTTCGTCGTACTGATAACAAATCCCGATATTGCTTGCTATACGTCCTATGGGTAAGACGTGCATGGATAACTGTTCCATCGGCACTTAATGATCAACATATTCATGCGCTGCTCAGGGTTCAACCTTGATAGTTTCACTCACATGGCCGCAGGCTGGCCACGCCCCATTCTTGGTGCTACTCAGAAGCTTGGCCAGCGAGTAGTTTTATATGTACACGACGTCAGACCAACGCCAGGTGCTAGAGCCACCTTTTAGGCTTAAGCCTCAATGACAGGTTGTTAACCTCACAGCTACCAAACCACTTCACCAACCCTCTCTTGAACCCCTCTCCCCCTTCTAAGCCTCGAGTCGTGGCATTCTATTATTCCCTCTTTCAAGCCGTGTTTCACAAGTCATACTCAAAATGCTCAAATAGGTATCTTGCTTGATTCAGTTGGCTATCTAAACGACCAATCCGATTGGTTAACAAAGGGAATCCCCATCCTGCCCATTTGATCGCGAGGTCAAGTGTCTAATCAGAGTCCAAAAGGAAAACTAAGCTACATACCCTCCCCCTTCATGCCCCGAAACCGAAAGATATTACACTATGTGAGCGACACATACGATCTAAGCAATTAGGTAGAAAACTGTAAATATCAAAACCCCCATACCAAGTTCCCCTTTTTCTTTTCTGTATTCCGACATCATCGCCGCCCTTATGCCCGCTCATATCAAAAGAGGCAACGAACCCCCGTCGTAAGACATTTCATGTTAAATATAAACGAGAGAAGAAAAAACAAATCAGATAAAAACAAATAAAAAGCGAGTGTTGAGAGGGAGGTCTCATTCCGCTGCCGGGGTCAAGCGGCATTGTACGCCATTGTTGAGCGTCAATGATAACGTCAGCTGCTCTCTCCAGTCGGTCGGGTCCAGGTTCTCGATCTTGGCGAACGCGCGAACGAGGCGCGCGATCGTGTACGACGACTCCGTCAGCGCGAACTTCTGGCCCGGGCAGATCCGGGGGCCTCCGTTGAAGGGCAGGAACTCCCAGCCGGGGCGCAGGTTCTCCCACCTCTCGGGTCGGAACTCCTCGGCGTCCTCGCCGAAGAACTCCTTCCGCCTGTGCATCACGAATGTGCTGTACGTGACCACGTGGTGCTTCTTGACGAATAAAGGCGATTTCCCGTCGGGCCCGCCACCGACGGGGAGGACGGTGTCCTTGTTGGCCATTCGGCTGTTCGTAGCGATGGGTGGGAATAAACGAAGAGCTTGAACCCGGCAATGTTAGTCGGGAAATATTTAATAGGTGGGAAGGGGGTTTGGGTTTGTCTAAGAGCTTACTCTCATGTATCACATATCGAAGGTACTTCATGTCCATTAGAGCTTCGTATGTCAATGGTTCGCAATAGTGTCCCAAAACGTCAGCTCGGAGCTTATCCCACACGTCGGGCCTCCTGGCCAACATAAAGAAGACGAAAGCCAGTAATCCGGCAGTTGTATCCCGGGCGGCTAAGAGCATGTTGACGATCTGATCGCGCAGCATGATTGGGTCTTCGGTATCCTTGGCGAGCTCGTTTAGGAAGACGTATTTTCGGCGATCACCACCGACTTCATCCTTATCCACCTTCTCGTCAGAAGGAAGCGATTGCTTACGGCGGTACTCCAGAGCTTGTGCGACGAACTTGTCAGCATACGCGTGGACGGTGTCGCAAGAATCCCGGAACTTCTGGTCGCGGTGGGCGAACATAAGATTCCCGAGTCGCAGACGCAGAATGGTACCTTGCTGAGCGTAATCAAGTGCGTGATGGAACGTGGTGGCAGCTTCCGATGCGTTTTCTGACATCATCCCTACTGATTCCCCGAACATGTATTCGCTGTTGGAGTCAAGTACCTGAACAAAAAAAGGGAGGTGAGTTACCAAATATGGGAAAAAAATAAAATAAAATAGGAATCTGACTTGTCTGCATACATACCATACGGAAAAATAATTGCTGAAGATCTACCTCATAGTTACGGCGAGAGATGAGAGCGATGAGTTGATCGACGTGGTGGCCGAAGATGCTGAAGTCGGTAACCTGGGCTCGAACGAAGCTCGGTCGTATCAGAGCACGCTGGTGAGCCCAAATCTCGTCATCCGTGGTGAATATGCCTTGCCCCAGGAGTGGAGAAGCGCTCTTCCGTCGTAAAGGTCCCATGCCGAAGTCCTGGAACTGGAACGATAGAACGTTCTGGATGAGCTCCGGGTCACACGTGTTGATGGTGGTCCGCAAGTAGGTGTTCGTGGTAAAGGTGAGGCCATTGGTGGCGTGTCGAGTCCTGAGTAGGTCGAGGAAACCGTGCTTCTTTGCTGCCTCGAGGTTCTGCATGACGATGTCAGTCCCCATGATGGGATCGGCCTGAGGTAGCTTCTTAGCAGGCAGACAGCCATGCTGCGTTTTCATGAGACTTCGGCGTCGACACGTGAAGAGCCACTGGACGGTAGAGTATAGGCAGTACGCAACGAGCCCGCAGGCGACTAGGAGCAAAGAGAAAGCCATGACGAACTGTAGTGAAAGATGGAAAGACAGATACTATCTGTGTTGCATGTCACACTGCAGGAGGAGAAAGATGGGGAGCGGAGTAGGCAAGCTAGCTTACTTATACTCTCAGGAGAGTTCTGGCCCAGCGTTGGTTGGACCCAGACCGTGACAAATGAGGGAGAGAACATGCTTGTCTATCAAAAAAGCCCGATGATGCCCAGCGTCGAGGCGTTTCGTATGAGTACTTCTGGGTCGGCAAGGGGGATCCATAAGTCCATAAGCTATCTTGGGCCACCGATACGCACGCATGTTCAATCGTCCACGGGTTTCGTTAAGCCAGATTATCAACTCGGTAGAAACTTTTCTCTTTAACCAATCAGGCAATTGTCTAGAAAGGGTGCATCCAATCAGCTTGCCCCGCAACAACCTCGTCACTGACATGGCATGTCCAATGGAATGCCTGTCACAAGGGGATAAATGCACAGGCGGTACAAGTGCGTTATGAGGAAAGTACCGTGCCGGCCGGCGAGCGGAAAAGTGATGAAGAAAAGAAAATATCTCCTCCCACCCCTTCTGGAACTGGCCATTGGTCCCACGGCTGATGGGGAAAAAAAAAGAAAACAAAGAAGAAAAAAAAAACACAAGTGTCATAGCTTTCCCAAGAAGTATATGGGGCTGATATTGCTAGCTTTGGGGGATAGCGAGCGCCCAGGACGCCAGCAAGTCTGTGAGTATAAAATTTCATTTTACGAGACACTACTTAGTAGTCCGTTACGTTCATGTGTGTTCTGTATTCGCTGCTTATGTGTCTACACAAGACTGGCGGGTGTCATATTTCCTGGTACTTGGGGCGATCGATGGGTCTCTTTGCAGTTATCGCCAGTTGGACTGATCAGTGATGTAGGAATGACCTCGGCGACCTATGTCCGACTCAGCCCCGGACCCTCTCTCTATCTCTCTGCTCATCCTGTTGTGATTATTCCTCTACTTATCGCGGGATAAATGTCTCGCCGCCAACAGGGTTCAACCATAGCGGTGTCACCTCTCTTTTTTTTTTCTCCTCTCTATTTTGAACAAGGGGTGTGATCCTCCATATGGACGAGGTGTGTCTCAAAGCTACTATACAGATGTAGCTTTAACCTTCCTAGTGGTAACGTGTCGTAATGAGGAGAGTTGTCGTGATGCTACGAAGCTCTCTACCGACTTTCACGGCATTTTATGAAGGCGGCGGAGGCTCGAAATGTCCGAGACCACGTGGCTGTCCGCTGAAAAGAAAGAGATCTCCTTGGGATGTGCATACATACCTACATACATACGCAAGTCCTGGTGTTCGACGATACTGTCCACTTGGCACGATATTCTCACTCCCGGACTGAGGATAACGATGCCCATGGGTGTTCAACAGTATAAGACAATACATAAAGAAGCTAAGCTGGTTGGGGCTTAGAAAACGCCATGGTTCGGAGGGGCGCTACCGACGGGTCGGAGTGGTAGGCTAAGGTGAAGAAGCCAGTGCGCGCCTTAAGAGTCAGCATCGATTTAGAAGGACTAGGCGGCGGTCCCGGATGCGAGTCAGCAGGGGGGGGAGGGGGGCAAAAGGAGGAAAAAAAGGAAAATAAAAGATTGGGGAGAAATTTATCCATTTGGATTTTTCCTCATGGGCTCACGGGCTTGGTTCCAATCGAAAGTTCAAGATCAGCGAATGGCTCGATAATCCACGACAATCCACGACAATCCACTGAAAGGGTTGAAAGGCTGAAAAAGAAGCGGTATGTTACATTGAACGCTCACGCATCCCGCTGTTACAGCCCGGATGCTCTCGTCGAATGTTAACCTCCCTGGACCTCTAAAGTAGATACAGTTGTCAGTTGAGGGGGTTGACGGTGGAGTTGACAAGGATGGATAGAGCCCACGCAGAGGACTTCAGGGTTCTGACAGGGCCTTCGGTTGAACCTGCAGCTTTCCCCATTCTTAGCTTAATATCCTATAGGACGGCTCCAGGGGGCGGCATGGGACTGCCGGAGTTCCTACTACTACACAAGACACTAGACTGCGACGATGTCTTGTACAACGGCACACACATACACACACACACATAGACATACACGGCACACACATTCCTACCTTAGGTAGGTACACACTTACAGCACACCAGAACAATACTGCTACTGCTGATGCTACTTCTCGCTTCTCGCTTCGTAACCGCTTCGTAACGTTCTAATCCCATCCCACACATTTTTCCACCACTAGTCAGGCGGCCTTCCCCATCGAACCCTGACATATTGGACATATTGGATTCTTCAGCAATGATAGGGTTGCAGAGGGCGGCAAGGATTTCAATGGTATGCTGATGCGTTGGTTCCCTATGATCTTGATATGAGCCCATTTACCATATTAGGAAAGCTTCTAGCGCCCTCATTCGAACACACGAAGAAGCAAATGAAAGTGGACCGACCCTGAAGGCGGCCTAGTTTCCAAAGCCATGGGAAATAAATATAGTTTCCGTCGGTGTGGATTTATTAATAACCAACAGGATCACGAGCGGGCTTCAGGGCGTCCAATAACATCTTTGAAGATAAGACAGACTCATACCAGTAATATGGTTGTCGGGTTTCTTGGGACCGCTTTGGGACGCCTCAGGACGCCTTGGGATAAACTTGGGATTGTCTTGGGACCCCCCAATGACGCCTGAGTAGACGCCAGAGACGCCACAATCTTACCCGAGTGCCTGGCTTGGGAAAAGAATTTCTCTCCACCTCGAAACGCCCGGCAGAATAGAAAGGACCTCGTGTACACAACGTGGTTGTGACTTACATACATATAAGTCTTACATATAATCATGAATCCGGTGGAAAAATTCGAAGAGTTCCCAACCGCAATCCTGAATCCCAAATAAAATTCCCCACGAGCAATCTGCTCATCCAGCCCATTCCATTCCACCCATCATCCCCCATCCATACGACCCCTACGGTTCATAAAAAGCCGTAAGCCCAGTACCCATCATAAACTTACCCACCGTTCCACAGACCCAAACTTTTTGTTTTTTTGTTTTTTTTACCTTTTCTTTCTTTTCGCGATGACTACAATCAAGAATGTCGCCGTTGTAGGGGTCCGTCATCTCCACCCTTGCCATTCGCCCGAGCTAGGTGCTGACATTTTTTGATTAGGCAACTGGGAAGATCGGCCGCCCAATCGTCGACCGTCTTCTCGCTTCGAAGCTTTTTAAGGTGACTGTTCTCACGCGTGACGAAAGTCGGCGGCGGGAACTCCCCGCAGAAGTCACCGTTAGAGGCGTAAACTATAATTCCATTGAGTCATTGGAATCCGCCCTCCGGGGACAGGATGCGCTCGTTTCGGCTATAGCCTTCGAGGCCATCCACGTGCAGAGAAACCTTGTCCACGCGGCGGCTAAAGCCGGTGTGAAACGAATGATTCCTTCTGAGTACGGCAACGATCTCTTAAACCCTAAGCTTGCTGATTTCCCCATCTACAAACCTAAAATTGCCATTCGTCAGCTCTGCGAGCAAAAGGCAATGGAGAACCCGCCATTTTCGTGGACTACGATTCACAACGCCTCATTTCTGGGGCCGGACTGGACCTTAGACTTTATTGTGGACGTAAAGCAGCGTAAGGCTGATATCAAAGATGGCGGTGACGTATTGTTCTGCGCTACGACTTACGACGACATCGCGCAGGCCGTAATTGGCATCTTGACCCACCTGGAAGAGACGGCGAACCGTCCGGTGAGAATCTCTAGCGTCAACACGACCCAGAACGAATTAATTTCCATCGCTAAGGAGCTTGGCGCTACTGACGGCTGGGATATTACTCATTCCAGAACTGAGGACCTGGAAAGCGAGGCCCTACGACGTTGGGCAGAAGGTGACCATAGCGAGGAGGTGATCGCCATGTTCATTAATAGGGCGTTCATTGGTAAGGGCTGGGGCGGATACTTCCCGGTCCGGGACAACGATTTGTTGGGTATCAAGGGCTTAGAGAGAGATGAGCTAAAAGCCATCATCAAGCTTGCTATGGACAGATGATCTGTGTACTCACTATTACTATGGTAAAAAAAGCAAATGAAGAAACCAGCTGAATGGACCTGGCTAAAAGGGGGTATCATTATGTATATTCCATACTAACATCGGTACTAATATGTAGATCCCATTCCCAGCGTCATGGCACCGGGTCACATTTCCCCCACACGAAGCATATTTGAATGCTGGTGTTTGCCCTCTTGTTGGAATCCTACTGAACTATACACTACTTCTTAATTCTTCGTCCCTCAAGAAACTCTGCCCCCAAGACCAGAATGAAAACACCCTAATATATTGCTCGTCGAAGCGCCTTTGCCCTTTCTCTCTCTCCAGCCAGAGCTTCGAATCTGAGAATAAACCAATCCATCCCCAAGAAACCTTTTCGAGGTTTCTGTACCAGGTATACAACAAGATATATATATATAACGCTTATACACACAACGCATACGCACCATTGAACTCCAGAACAAAACCGATACCGGGTTACTTCAGACTTTTGTATTCCGTTTCTATTACGTCCTCCTGCGTTATCATCCCGGTTGCGCCAGCCCAAGAGGGAGTCCGTCAGGATATATATTAGTATTCGCGTGTCCCTCCCTTATTTCTGTATCTCATCCTTTCTTTCTTTTTCGTTCGTTCTTTCTTTACGTCCGACCGTTGCCGGTGAAACTCGATCTCTGGGGGCCTCTGGCGAAAGAGTAGTTCCCGTGGATCTGGTTCTCCTCGTCGCCGATGGCCGGGTGTCGGGTGTCTGACATGTCCCTCTCGTCGCGCACCTCACTGACGACCTCCACCTCCACGTGTTTGTGGATGTTGTGATTGTTGTTGCGGGTAGGGCTGCTGCCGTTGGTGCTCGTGTCGGTCCAGCCCTTTAGATCTTGCATCTTGACGTCGTCCACTATCCGTTCCTCGCTCTCGTTAAATGTGAAGTTCGTGATCGGGTTGGCCGTGGGGGGCCCGCGTCGTCGCCAACTCTGATGACTTCCACCGCCGAACGTGCGAAGATCGCTTCTCGATTCCTTGTCCGTCAGCTTCTGCTGCGAGCGCACCGTCGTGATTAGAGAGCCGAGAATCGGAGTAAGCCACAGCTTGATTAGAGGGAAGACCATAGGTAGGTTCGTCGTAATCACAGCAACAAACGTCTCTCGAACGGCCCAGGATCCAGCGAGCTGAGCTCCATTAACCGGGTCCTATGGTGTTTCTTATAAGTACGTGTACCCGCGAATGAGGCAACAACTATTATCAACTTACAGTTACGATGAGAGCACAACGTAGGATAGCACAAGCAACGACGAAGAGACCGCCGCTGAAGAGAACGATTAAGCCAAATTTCTTTGCGGGCTTCAAACTGGATTGCCAAAGCATAGGGACAGGGATAGAAATCAGATATAAGTCGGTCGTTACATTCATCGACAGATACACCCAGATTACTTGATTAGATATGGCCGGCTGGCAGACATCTAGATAGAGAATTAGCTGGCGCTTTCAAATATAATGAAAACTTGGAAGAGTTAGGTACAACATACTTCCTGGATCGGGATAGATCTGCCAATTCTTATGAAATGGACGGCATCCCAAGTAAAGGTTCAACAATACGACCATGAAGCTAGCGATGAGCAGTCCAAACCCGATGTAGATACGAATCAGATAGGTCCGGTTCAATCCAGCCTAGAGTGTCACTTAGCCACAAAGTGCAGTATAACACAAGATGGGAAATGGGCACCTACCGTTAATCTCATGTAGAAGACCAACAGGGACGCCTTGAGGGACCAGAGGAGCACAGAGTAAGAAGACCATCCTGCGAGCTGGATCTGGGAGCCGGTGACCCTGAAGAAATTAGTTAGCATATACCTTACTTGATTGACCGCTTTCTCTGCTTTGTACGAGGGTTTACACACCTCGTCTTGTATTCTTGACTGTCTGGCGACAACGCGGCACGTTGCTCGTCCGTCATACCATTGTTAGCCAAGCCCTGAGCGACAGCACCGACCGAATAGGCCAGACTGGTTTCGACAGCATAGAAGGTCTACGTGATGATAGTTAGTCACAGATGCACTTAGTCCGATGAAATTAAGACGAGTAAAATGAAGACTAACCACTCCAATCCAAGCCAAGTAATCGTCGGCTTGTAGGTGCTTAAGTCCTACGGCTTTTATACGGCCGTACGTCCGAAGTATAGTCACGAGAATACCAATTGACAGTAAGGTCCAGGCTTCGATGGTGAACTGGCGCATGGCCGCGGCAGCGGCAGCGGCTGCTGCCTCTGCTGCCGCGGGATCGGGTGCAGGTTGGGCGGCTGAAGACATGATGTGTGGTCGTCGTCGTCGTAAGGAGAGACAAGTTTGAAAGGGGAGCGAAGCAAACAAAGGGACGGGAGCGACGGGACTATTGAAGGAACCTGGGAACTTGAAGTCGACTAGCCAAGCGAAGACACACGGAACGGAGGGAAGCTAGACTTTAGACTGTTTTTTTTTCTCTTCTTCTCTTCTTAACTACCTATTCGGAGAAAAAAGCTGGCTCGCCCCCCAAAAAAGAGGGCGGAATTCGTATACCTATACCCAACTGAGAAAGCAGAACGACATATAAATTTTTATACAAGGTTCTAGGGTCTTTTTTTTGTGAAAGGCGTTGTGACTGGTCAATTCGTTGATAGAGCGCAAAGATCGGGATATCAAACCTAGGTTCTTGCGAGCCTGAACCACAGACTGGCCGTATGGACATGGGTTGGATTAATCTCAAGTCATTATCAGGGTGGGTATCCAAAGCCACATATATGGATACCAGGTCACAGATCGGCAGAAGTCCGAACTGCATCTGGGACCTTTTCAATGCCGTTATTGTTCGTGTGACGATTGATATCACTTACTCGACCGTCGAACGGCATTATCACACGCGAACCAACCTGATTGTTTTTTTTTTCTCCGTAATATGCAGGAACCAGATATCAATCTCTTGTATTCGAATCTTGGTAGCCCAGAGAAAAACGCGGTTCAATATTGCCACCCAAAAGCTACCCCTAGCTATCTTTCCTTATTACCTACCTAGCTCCTGTATCGTGCGTCACATAAGCCCTAGAACTATTACGGCTCTTATTTGTGAATCGATATGTGCCGTGTCCTATAAGACGTATATCGACTCCGATTGTATGCATAACCATATGCGCGGCTAAACATCACGGTTACATTCCCTCAGGGGCCGGCAAGTTAGCCTCTGCAGGTTTGCGGGACTGCTTCAGCTTTTTTTTCGGCGTATGAACAGTTTCCCCGAGCCGTCGGGTGAGACGAAGCCAAGGATATTATGATATATACCAAGAAGCTAGGGGAAGGGGGGCCGGGGATAAGAAGAGAAGATCGTAGACAGTATATATAACAAAGAATTGAAGAAAAAAGAGAAGGTCCTAGAATTATTCTCGTTATTTACCTAGTGTGTAGTATACATATGTTGTTGGGAAAAAGTAGAATGTCCGTGGGGGTTTAGACTCGGGCAGGATTCGGGAATCTAAACTACTTACGGAATACGTAGAAAAGTAAACAATTAAATAGAACAGCAGCTAGTGTAGAGAGCCTCACGCAGGCGGGAATTCCTATCCGGAATCTCTAGTTTATGGTTTACCTACCGCGTTCGGTATCAACTATACCCTGTGTGGTTATGTCCTCAAGTCCGAGAAGGGCACAAGTATATACCCCACTTATATCAACAAATGAAAGCTTTGAAATCAAGGTCGTGATATGCTGTCTTGGGAATAGTTCGGAATTATGCTGTACAATACCATACATAATAGTACAACACGGATAATACAGTATATCTATCTGATGCCCGTTTAACTTATGCATGAGACCCTCCCATTACGGGAACAGATGCAGGCTAGAACATCATCTACGCATCTAACGAATCTACGACAAGCAAAACAGATGGTGTGCTGCACCGATGCATCGCATATGCAAGTTGGTATTAAGCGAAGGTTTCAAAACGACTTAGGCGTAAGCAAATAACAGGAAATATTTTTATTTTTTATTTTTTATTACTAGTTGGAGGTTGGAGGTTGGAGGTAGGTAATAAGTTCTTACCTCATAACTTATCAAAAACCTGGTCACAAATGAATCCCTTCAATTATTTTATCTTATTTCATCATTATAACCTACCTTGGGTATCTACTTAATGGTAGGGTAATCTGTTATTATCATCATCATCATCATCATCATCGCAACAAAATACCAATTCATCGGTCTGTGCTGATAACCCACGTTGTAATTGGGCGTGGTGCATCAAGTATCTGAATTTCGTGCATATCACAGCAGCAGCCAGGATGGTCAGTTATAATGATCCCGCTTTCAGGGAATATAGGTGGGGTTGCATGAGAAGGACGCAAAAAAAGGAGGGTCTGGTCTAGGTCTAACCAGCTACGAGGTAGGTACCTAAGGTATCATAGTAACTTAACCAGTTACTCTCTCTCTCTAATCAGATAACTTAAACAATTACGTCTACCTAAGCTGCTAAGGTATTATCGTCTATATTATGGGATTGCGACGACGGGACGGCTGAGACCAAACCAAGTCCAAGAACAGTAAGTGATTGGCGTGGATCTTCTCGGCTGATATACCGTTTGACGTTGGCGGATTAGATTAGCATTTGGCAACAATTGCCAAGAACGCGGAGGGCAGCGCTTCTGCTGCTGGGTATGAAGTGGTTCTTGAAATGGCAACCATCCTAATCTAAGGTATAATCTAAGGTAGCGCAGACATCACTCCCTGTCTAATGCTGTCGACATTGGACAACCCAGAATATCCCCAAGACACGGGCCCCGTCTACCCTTGCTTAGCACCGTACGACTAGGGGAACAACAGATTAGGGCGGGCCATCGGCGTGTTTGAATGAGACGAGCGATGCCGTTTTCTGTTCAACATGCTGGTACTATCTTATGGTGCAGAATCGGTCGAGGCCCTCGATCGCGTGAGAAGAGAGAGGGTAGGAAAGGCTGTGTGTCTCTCCATGTTTCTTGTCTCTTCCCTCTCTTGACTACATACATACATACATTACATACATACCTGCCTTACCTCCCTACCTAGACTATGTCCTAACCCCCTCGACGCCTTCGGTGCGTTTTGCATTCTCATGTTTATCCTATGACCTTTTATCCAAATTCCCGGTTCTTTTCTATAACCAACAAGACGCCATTGCTTGCTTTGTTTGCTTGCGTGGGACACGGCAGACCCCTCGGATAAAGTACCGAGCCAGTCTTGTGTAAGTGTATCACAATGGCCGCTACAAGTCATACAGAAAAGCGCGATGCCATTGCCGCCACAGAAAACGTCACAATGGAGAAGCTGGACTGCGTCGTTGTGGGTGCTGGTAAGTTGATAACCCTCTCTTCATTCGTTCATCGTTCATCGCTCTTCTACATGTCCACTATATATGTCCGCCATGCAAGGCATCAGGCAAAACTGTGAAGGGAGTATATATAACTGACCCCGGCCGGCTTGGCAGGTTGGTATGGATTGGCTGCTGCGAAGCAGTTTCACGTCACTCAACCAGAATGTTCGCTCGCGGTGTTCGACTCCCAGTCCAGCCTGGGTGGCACGTGGGCCGACGACCGTCTATACCCAGGCTTGAAGAGCAACAATCTACTGGGAACTTTCGAGTATCCCGACTTCCCCATGGACACGCCGACCTTCGGCGTCAAGCCCGGTGAACACATGCCGGGAGGAGTTATCAATAGTTACCTTAAAGCGTACGCGGCCAGGTTTGGAATCGCCAACTTGGTCCGTCTAAATACCAAAGTCCTCGTTGCTGAGCATCAGGATACCGTCGAGGGTGGCTGGGTCTTGACGGTTCGGCAGCCGGACCAAAGCGAAACCAAGGTCTTCGCGCGCCGAGTCGTCTTTGCTACCGGTCTAACTTCAGAGCCATTCTTACCACACTTCGAAGGTGAAGAAACGTTTGGCGGCAGAATATTCCATGGCAAGCAATTTAAACAAAATGCCGACACGCTGCAGACCGCCAAGAGGGTGACGATCTTCGGCGCCACCAAATTCGCATGGGACGCCGTTTACGCGTACGCCACCGCCGGCGTGAAAGTAGATTGGGTAATTCGGTGTAAGTATTTTTTTAAGTCGTGATCTTGACAAGTCCGCGGTGTGTGTATGTGTGTGTGTTGACCGATTTCAATAGCTTCTGGCCACGGGCCATGTTGGATCGCGCCATCATATGTAACTCCACTTAAGAAGTGGATCGAGAAGCTTGCCAGTAAGTCATTGTGATAACTCATCTGAAGCTGAATGAAATATCTTAACACCATGTGAATAGACATGCGTTTCCTGACCTGGTTCAGCCCCTGCGCATGGGGTGATGTTGATGGCTACGGCGGAATTCGTGGCTTTTACCATGGCACTCCCGTTGGGCGCGCCATCGTTAATTCATTTTGGAAGGTTTTAGGTGGAGATGTTATCAGTCTGAACGGATACGATTCTCATCCGAAGACGGCTAAGCTGAAGCCCTGGACTAGCGCCATGTTTACGGGTGCCAGCTTCAGTATCATGAATTACGATACCAACTTCATGGATCTCGTTAAGAGCGACCTCGTCGACGTATACGTTAGCGAAATCGACCATCTCAGCCCGGGAAAGGTCCATCTATCTGACGGCACCGAGTTCGAGTCGGACGCTCTACTTGCCCACACAGGTTGGAAACACGTACCGCCCATCAAGCTGCTACCGGAAGGCATCGAAGCCGAACTTGGTGTTCCTCATGCGCCAAACCCTGATGCACCGGCGAACGACCTCGCCAACAATGCGAAGCTCATGGAGCGTGTCGACAAGGATATTCTGGACCGTTTCCCCCGGCTGAGGGACCCACCGGTATGGAACAAGGATTATGTTCCCATGACAGAACAGAAGGGCATCAAGAGCGACGACGATGTAACGCCGTACAAGCCGCTCACACCGTATATGCTGCACCATTTCCTCGTGCCCCCATCTGAAAGGTTCCTGCGCACCCGCGACACAGCGTTTATTGGTATCGTGTCCAACTTCAGCAACATGATCACGGCACACCTTCAAGGTCTCTGGATCAGTGCGTATTTCGCCGGTAAGCTGGAACGAGATCCGTCGGCGGCAGTTGGCGACGCGAAGGCGATGGAGCAGCTTCAGTACGAGACCATGCTACACAACCGCTTTGGCAAGTGGCGGTATCCGACCGACGGCACGAAGAATCCCAACTTCATCTTCGACGCCGTCCCGTATCTCGATCTCCTACAGAGCGATCTGGGTCTCAACATCTACCGCAAGAAGGGCTTCCTGGCGGAGCTCTACGATCCGTATGGTCCCGAAGACTACCGCGACGTAAACAGCGAGTGGATGAACAAGTACGGCAACATGAAGAAATTAGCATCTCTAGACGACAGCTTAAAACCTCTAGACTCGCAGGAAGCCGAATCTGGGTCGGAATAAAAATCTAACTGGAGCTTTTTTCTATGCGCTCTGTGAGCAAAGCACGGGCGTGTGCTAATGAGGGCTGTACTTTATCTGGATTACGGGCACTAACGGGCAGGGATGGAGTTGTCTTCTTGATGATATAAAAAAGCACTTCTTCATTTTTTCTATATGTATTCTTTTTTTTTTTTATTGTTTTTTTTGCGCATCGGCATGATCTATCATTTCTTTCCTTCTGTCAAGAAAGTTCTACTTGTACAATTAGCATAGCATAGCATGCTTTTTCTTTTTCTTTTTCTTTTTCTTTCGAGTAGAAACTAGATGATACCCATAAAAGCCAGCAGCAACCAACCGGCACAGAATGAGGCTGGGTATGCATAATACCAAACGATGCAGCGCAAAAAGCACGTGCAGCATGTCCAGCATAAGTCTTGTCCACGTGCAATCATGCAATCTCGATGCCCCAACAGTGTTTACACAATCGAAACGTGATGCCCAGAGTCCGGAGAAAAGAATAGGGGTAAGTGAAATACGCACTGTAACCCAGCCACTTCGCTGGCACGTCGTATACCTAACGCATAACCTAATTGCCTAGAGGTACCTAAGGTAGTGAAAATTTCTACCCTGTCTAGCATATCAAGTTTTTCCTAATACTATGCAACGCTACAGTAAAACCATGTCATCGGATATGTTTATGTTACCGACGGCAAGGAACATTGAACTTGCTGCATAAGGCTCCTTCCAGACAAGTGACGAGGTAACTTAGTACGTAACCCCCCAAGCATATACTCCAACTCTTATGTCCGTCCCACCTTATGCACTCAGTAATATGACATGCATAGCAGAGAGAGTAAAAAGGGGACAAATAGAATGAGAGCTACGTACCTTTGGAAGTAACCTCGATGCTCTCTCAGTTATTAGTTAGTTTAGGTACCTACCTACCTTATTATTATCAATAAAACAAAAGACCAGGTTTCAAAGACGGCTACAGTTGATCAATTAATGATCGACGGACTCGAAATTTTAGGAGGTACATAGGTAATTTCAATGCTGACGAGGCCAATCATTGGAGTCCGAAGCCGAGCCGGCCCAAGCCACTAAAAAGGGACGGTCCCGGTTCTAAGACCGGATCCGGAGAACGCAACGGAATCATATGTTCTCAGTGCCACAAAATATAAAGTCTCGTCGCCTAATGGTTTTAAGACAGCATCGTTAGGTTAGGTATTGTTGGGGTTTTAGAATGTTAGAGATAAGGAATTAGTCGATGTTTCAACGGATTAGCCTCTTTTTAGTTACCGAAGCTATTCCCTCGGCGCTGCAGCCAGTACACTAGCAGGGGGAATTACGGAAATAAGGAAACAAGGGACAAGGGTCGCTTTGGGTCACGAAAATCGAAACCCCCCATAAGGCATTAACGGCGGGTCCCCTTATTTTTATGCTTATTGTTAAGCCCCTTTTTGTTATACACAAGGATAACTTTTTATTGTGAATTTGGTCAATTTCGATTCTTGAAGCGTGGGGTTTTTACAAGGAGACGAACCTTCAACCAGGTCAAGCAGGGCTTTTTATTACCCCTTCCAAGTCCGAAGGCCGGGCGTCTTCAAGGAACCGTAGCAAACTTGAACGAGTTCTAGACTCTCAAACCCGGCTCAGCCTTAGGAAAAGCCAAAAAGCCACGCCTATGTATCTATCACCATGGATTGGATCTTGGTCCTGACAACTAATCCCTTCAGCCTTGTCGCGCTTCAACTGGTAACTACGCAGGCATATCAATTAAAACCCAAGATGTAAACGTTTTTCAGTTTAACCAACAAACTCACAAAAAAACTCGGCCGACAATCACAGAATAGGTTGCCATTCATCTTTCGAAATACTACCTTCTTATTCCCAGCATATTGGTAATGAGACGTACATCGCTTGCATTCTTTCCTTGCGCATTGCATAGAATTTTTCTACCTGCACGGAACAGGATGCAACGTATAGGGGGCTCCTACATAGTAATCTGGCCTTCGTCTCGACCACCCCCTCCCTTCGGAGAGAAAATTCTGTTGAACGACGGTGAGCAACGCAAGCGTTTTTACCGAGGGCGCTCTCTCTGCACGGTCAAAGGTTTTTGGAGTCTGCATTATAATCATCGGAGGAACAGCAAGTTCTAGTAAGATATGCCCGGGTCGAGGCCACAAGTACCTAAGGTAGTGTAACTGAATAAAGGATATATTAACTCAACTACCGCGAGAACGCGAGAACGAAAGAATCTCCAAAATGCGACGTTTCCTTGAAACGATAGAATTTGCTCAAGCGAATTCCGTAAACCATGCTTGAGAAAGGGGTTTTTTCTTCTTCTTCTTCTTTCTTTTCGTTTTCGTTTCTTCCCTAATCCCGTCGAATTCCAGCAGCTGCACGGGACCGTCTGCAAGACATCAGTGAACATTTCACGTGTGTATGGCGACATGCAGGCCTTTTTCGTTTCTCCTTTCCCCTATGATGTAGGTATGGGAATACCTACACCAAATGATGGGTAGATCTGCTCTTTGCCCGCGCCAACCTCCCGACCGCCTTTTTCGAATGCACGCAACGCCACCAACAGAAAAAAAAAAACTAACATACTATGTACTATGCACCTATTTTACCCCTCATCTAATCCCTAAGAAAACAAGACTGCATTTAGCTGCGAACTATACTACACGCGCATGCAGACGACGGTCACGAGGTTTTTATCCTGGATACCTTGTATATGATATGCGAGAAACCGGAAGCGTGCATTAGCCAGCAGGATCTATTGAATGTTGGATGTTAGCTGAGCATAAGGTTGTGCATTTGTCGGCGGGGTTACGGTCCGCAATGAGAAGCCGATGAGCAGATTATTCGGCCCATAGTACGGATTTGTATAGGTAATGTTAGGTACCTACACGAATTGTACGAGATTCCCATGTCCTTTTTTTTTTTTTTTTTTTTTTTTTCCTCTTCTTGCTCTTCTTTGTACATCCATACTAGTAGTAAGCGTTCATATTTTAATGCGAAACTAAATACGTATTTTATGTAAACAGAAAGTTTAAAGGTACGAGTTTCGCGGGAGCAACCGTTTGATACCCACAGAATAGACAATTGTTTAACGGTTAAGGTAACCGTTAGTTGTTAACTAAAGAAGCCTTACCAGCTGTAATGAAAAAGAACAGCGAAAAAAAGATCTAAAAATAAGAAAAGGTAACTAATTGAAGGTATCATACGATAAACTCACCAAATTCGCTTATGATACACTAGTTAATTTAATATCATCCTCGAGGGAAATTTTAATACGCGCTCTTGGTAAGCAAATAGTATGAAGCAGCAATTTACAATGATGACAAAGGCGAAAGGCGACTTGGTCATGACCGGATTCAAAATACGATGTCGCCGCAACGATACCTATTCTGGCTCGCCCAAACTATGCGATTTCGAGGTAACTCAATTTTCGAATAACTAATCCAGTTAAAAACTCAGCTTAAAGCCACGAGGGTGAGGGATCCACCAGAGGTTACTATATTCAACGCCTCAGCTCTGCATACACGCGAACTAGAGCGAACCTTTGGAAGTGAAGCCATGGTTCGGTTCAGGTTTTAGCGCGTGGTCTCGAATTCCTTCCTGCCGATCTCCTAGAGCCTCAAAAACAGAGGTCTCGTGAATCATGATATATAGGTACAGAGGTAACGAGGTACTATTCAACTTCAACTATTTCATTCATTGTAAATAGATTCATAATTTATTGTGCTTACCTATGATGTTCTAGCGAATAACTAGTACGTAGTATTTACTTGTCTATCATCTTAGTCTACAGGTGAGATCTTAATCTACACCACCATCAGCTAGTTAGTTCTATCCAGGGGTTATCGTCGACATCTAACGCCTCTGAATCCTCTTAGTAATTTCATTCGTTCATACGATAGCTAAACGTCTAGTTTTCAAGCCATCGAATCCTAAATGTCCTACGGGTGTTATTCCCCTGTCTTACATGTGTCTTCCGGCGCCTCGTGGCGTTTTTTTAATCTTCCCCGTCGAGTTCCCCCTTTCTTCTCATCGACAATGTGATTTTTGACATCATCGCGGCTAGGTATAATCCAAGGCGGTAAGATATCTATGACCGTAAAAGCCTTGGGATTTTACTAGGATCCATTTCCTTGATTATCCAAAGCCAAAAAGATACACCCAATGCAGCCCCGTTCGCGACCTAACGTAAACCCTCTCGAAGATAAGGAAGAGGAAACAAGGCCAATCTCACCGGGCTGCTAAGGGAACTTCCCCGCGCGCGAGACGTGGCGGATGCAAGAAATCAAGCCGCATAAATAATAAAAAATAAGGAAAAATTCCAGCCATGCGTTCGCGTCCCTACACACCGCCACCTGCGCTGCCACCGCTGCTCGCCGAGCTCTCCACGTTCCTCCCCAATCGCGACCGCAGAAGCGACGAGAGCGACAGAGCAGCGGGAGCAGCCTTGTTCGATCTAGACCCCGAGACAAGCCGGCTATTGCCAGCCCAACAAGAGCGCGAGCGACCGCAGCACTGCGTAAGAGTCCAGGGCCGACTGGCGCCAGTGCGCAGCGTGTCCGTCGCCGCGACGACTCCGCGCTCGACGAGCCAGACGCGTTTCGACGCGGCTGTGAGCGGCACCGCGGCTCGGGCTCGGGCTCGAAGGCGGCGGAGCTCAGACGACCTGCGTGAACATGTGCATGTACATGCACATGCACATACACCTGTATTGAGTACTAGTCGCGAGGACGAGGAGGCGGGAAGCGAGAGAGACGCGCAGCTCAGAGGTTATGGCATTGGCGGACGGGGCAATATCCGCGAGTTCTCCCCCCCACCAACCTCCTTTTTGTCCCCCCTACCCTCCCCCTTACCGCAAGATTTTTTTTTAACTTACTTGCGCTTGGATTGAAATCTCATACTCGCTACAGGTCGGCCTACGGACGTCATAGGGACGCAGTCCAGCAGCGCATCCTCCCTATCCGCGCTGTCCCTTTTTTCGGGGACCGGCTCGACGCACCGCTCGTACTTGGGGTCGGGTGCGGATAATAATAAGAAGTTTAGTCTCTCGGGGATATTAAATCGAATCGAAGAGCGGAGGGGGAGGGAAAGGAGTGTTCGGATATGATACGATATGAGTATTAATGGAACGGCGTATGAGAGAAGTCTAAACATGCCTTAGGTACCTAATCTATCCTGGGTAAATTATCATTTTTTTAATTATTTGTTTCTTATACATAATACAGCTTAGGTCTGATAGAGAAGCTTTAGTGTAACTAGAAGATAGCTAGGTAATCAAGAACATATACATTTTCGTACCAATAGCTCTACCATTTGCAAGTGTCTACCTGGTCTACCCGATTTTGAGGACAATTAGACCATTGAGCAGCCATATAATAAGTACCTTCCTAGACAAGCACGTACAACAGGATCTAGTATCGCTGGACATTATCGAATTGTCATGTCATGAAGTATCTCCTTGTTCTTGTATAATGCCCATGCTTAGGTCTGTCACACAGGTGCTTCCCGTCTAATACGTATAACACTATCTATTTAACGCTCATCAAGATGGTGTAAAGCACTCAGCAAGGGAATGCACCCCGAATTGACAATCGAAGAGAGCTTCCATACACCTCTTATGCCCCTAAAATATCTCTGGGTATGACTTTTCTAATTTACCGCGAGAAAGCGCCAACCAGGCCTTATGAGCGAGACCTTGATACGTCATGATAGTTGGAGTACCGTGGGTTTCAACTTGACCCTACCCTACGTTGGCTCGAACTGAACTACTTACAAGCCCCATGCAAAATAGCTTCCACTTCTCGTTCATGGTGGCTAGATCCGCACTTCGGCGACCAATTAATCAATATGGAAAAGATATTCTTCACTACCATACCCTACTTGGTGAGTGTGGATTCCGGGATAACAATTCATACATTCGGCCTCGATACGAGGATGATGATAAGATTGTATCTATTGATATTCATAGCCCTTACCAATACAGGCTCAAGTAACCTCAAAAGTTCATACAGAGCTTGCCAATGCCGTGAAGAAACACAAACGTCCTTATTTTGGGTGAGCCAACCTGGTTCCAACACTAAATTTCAATAATACCACATAGGTATCACTGCTTCTCCCAAGGTTAGATTTTCTATTGCAGGTATATGCCGTATAAGAATATATATTTCGGTAGACGTACGGCTTTTTATTGGCTTAGTTTGGTCAAACAAGTTCTTATGTTGTGAGCTATATATCGAATGTATTTGATTTGCCAACTTATGCCCGAGTATTGGTCAAGTGGTCACGATGTAGTTGCAATGGGACATATGTGCGCCATGTTTGTCCAACCTTGTGACCAAAAATAGCGCCTGCCAGATGAAATTCGATCTACACAGCTTATTTCGTTGCGTACCTAGGTTTTCGTAGCGGACTACCGCATAAGCTCATCGACGGTGGGATCAATGGTAAGGTTAGGAAATGACGTTCCAACATCATTGCAGCTTTACCTGTCTGCTAGCCTATGAGAATTTTGGTGGTAAATGAATAGATGTTAAACAGAATAAAATAAACAGTACCTATGTAAATATAATTTAATTTGCAAGACTTGATTAAACCGGATTCGCTCAGTCAGAGAGCTCCCGGCTAGTCTCCGAGATATTCGTACACCTGAACCTAAATCGAGTGAACAGATTACCTATGTGTCTAAGATACCTAAGATTGGCACATCCTGTAACAACCTAGACATCAAGCAGCACTACGCTTCAAAGTTTCTATAATCTCCAGGAATGACATTCTTAATATGCTTCTTGGCCATCGCCTCCATCGCCAACACCGTCTTCGTAGAACAATATCCCACATGCATGGCGACAGCTGGCGTGAGATTCAACCCCGCCGCATCCGCCGCTAGGAACGCGCTGTCGTCCTCGGCGCAAGCCGGTTCTCGGTCGGACACGTCCACGGCTGCACCGGAGATGCACGTCTCCCGCAACGCGCGGACCGCCGCCGTGTTCACGACGCCGCCGCAGGCTGCATGGCGCTTAGCTCGGGCGCGTCGATCGTGCTGCGCGACGACGTCTCGTGGGGTGCAGCATATGAAGAGCGCGGTGGCCGATCTGATGACTTCTTCGAAGGGAGTCCGGGAGACGGCAGCCGGCCCGTTTGTCTCGTTCGAGGTCTTCGGGCTGGGAGTACCCGCCTCCTTTCGCTCGGCGATAAGTACTTCCATTCCCAGGGCCTTGCAAAGAACATCTAGACGCTTTCCTGGTAGGCGGGTTTAGCTCGGATGGGGCGAGATATCTTAGGTTGGGTAGCTGTAGCCATCGTTTGACGTAGGTACCAGGTACTTACCAATGGTGCCGTATCCAATGATACCGGCGACTTCTTGTTCAAGAGAGCATGGTGGAAGCCCGTTGGCGGTTTGCATCATAGACGCAGTACTACCATGTCTTTCAACGAGTTCTTGCCGTCTTCGCCTAATGTTCTGATCTCATTATGGAGTATTACGGTCTTGCGTCTAGCTGCGAAATACTCAAGTAGAAGTTAGTAATAAGGATGCGGTTATCGACCCCCTTTTTTCATATGACTACCTAACCTAACCAAGCTAAGTGCATGCTCAGGGACTGCTGGACGTCGTTCCAAGGCATCTAGCCACTTTGATCCCACGACGACATTACTCCACGTCAATGTGGTTTGTACTGGCGGTTGGAGTGATCACGCATTTGCTTATTCGTCAACAAAGCCTTCATTCAATACCGAAATTTATACACAAACGTACAGATAAGGTGCTTCACCCAAGCTATCAGCTGTGATGAAGGCTTGAGGAGCAATAACGATTCTAGCGCATTGTATACATTCGTGTATCTCTCTCCTTCGCTTCTTTGATATGGCGATAGGAGATGTATTCATGCGTTCGAGGGGCCGTGTCGATATTATTAAGCGTTATATGGACTCCCTCGAGGAGTAAGATGGTAGCCTCTCTGGCTGCAAGGGACGAGACACTAGAGAGACGATAGTGGGTAAGGGTGAGATGAGTATTCCATAAGAGTCTATGATAGACTATAGGTAAATAGAAATAGGTAGCTATTAAATTACCCCCCCCCTTAGGATTCTCTAGCGGAAAGTGCTGCTTGTAACAAAAAAGAATATTGATAGTAAGAACTTTCCTACCTCTCATACATTCTGATATATCCAAGTTGAAGACTCATACATACCAGGTAGGTACCTGTCAACTATTAATACGTTTTCTGGACATCAACGTTACACATCACTATTTCGGGCCTTACGCTGTCTACGCTGTCGTCCTGAGTAGATGCTTTTAGTTGCTGTGGATAACCATAAGCCTTAGTGACAATTTATTGCTTGCATTCATGCCATTTTTCTAAGTCATCCCCGTCTAATACGGCAGTCCCTCTTCTCCTGATCTGAAAACTGCTCGATCCATCCGAGTCCAATTACGGCAAAGAACAATCAACAACTTCTTGTCTTCCACGGGACTAAGGAAAGGTATTGGTTCCAACCATATCCACGGCGTCCTCAACCTTCCGCTGCCTATGCGTAGCATTTATCACAAGTCTCCGCGTAGAGTTGAACGTAACTACGCTGCAACTTGCGCCTATAACTCAATCTTCGATCCTTGGTAGCAGGCACGTCTCAGGGCCGAACTCTGCCAATTTGTCTTCTAACTGTTACTCCGTCCTCCTTGAAAAGCCTAGACATAACGATCAAACTGGTTTCAAGTAGTTGAGATACAATATGGACATGAAAATACCAGTACCTTTATACCTAATAGTGAATAAGTTGAAGATTAAGGGAGATAGGGGTAACAATGAGTTACTTATATTCTTAGTTTATCGTGGAATATAGATGAGCTTATTAGAAGTCTTGCTTGCTAATCAACTCTACCTACCTGGAATCAGTGTTTCCCGTCCACTGATAATGCCATCTCATTATCTTATTTAATACCTACCTAGTTAAACATTCTCTTTACAGGGCTTATCGACCTATTATCTATATGAATTCTCAAGACAAACGGGAGAGTTGAACTAGGTACTGAGCATCCATGATCTACACGCGATCCCTAAAAGCCCGTTAACTTAGGACTTGACGTCTGGACTAACCCTAATCTTTTAATTTATATCTAGTAGCTCATGTCATATAATACAGCAGTTCTAGGAGAGGCCTTGCACATCATCTATCCTTACGGTCTTTGTTATCCCGGGTCCGCCCTTCAGAACAAGTCTTCCTTGAACTTCCAATGATTAGCCTCGATGATGTCGGCCGGCATGGTCCAATCCTACGGCGCCGGGTTCTTCGGGAGGAGATCTGGATAGTCTTGGTGAATACTCCATAGATGCAAAGCCATCGGGACGGCGAGGATCATGGGGTGTCGTTCCGCACCACAGTGGTCGACCAGGTTGGTGAATTCGCCGGGATCGATGGCATCATCCATGCAGGCAGGTAGTTTATCATAGTAGACTTTGGCAAGGTCTGTAGGGAGGTTGACCCGTAGCTCTCTGGAACTGCAGTGCTAGGTTAGGTAGGTCTAGGTAGGCATGTCAAAGAGGGCGGGGAGGCGCACAAATGTTTCCGAATACTATGCGCCTTGGACTGATTGATAGGATCCTTCCTTAGCAACCGAGTTGACGCGACGAGGGCGTCCAAGTATAGCCTCACGAACTTCTCGCGATGCTACACGAGATCTTCTTTCAGGAGGCGGAGTTGGAAGTGATGAACCCTCCAATGCCGCGGCCGGTATTTGTCTAAGTTGGGCCATTCGGCCTTTTTCGGGGGCAGATCATGCTCGCGCATAAACTGTTCGGCATGGGCGAAGGTTATGCGGCCTTTATCCTTATGCCACTGGTGCCGGAAGACCGAGACGACAGTTTTGAAAGGAAGGCTCGCAAGTCCGGTGGCGGCAGTCTGATGCTGAAGTGTCGTATAGCGACTGGGCTCCGACGATTGTTCGTTTTCAGCAGCTGGCTTTTTGCCCTCCTTTACGGATGGATCGCCACTCATATTCAAAAACTGTAGTTGGTATCCCATGTCATATCGGCGTTAAAGATCAAGCAACGAGAGAAGGGTTGTTCGCACAGAATTGGGAAAACCATAGAAAACCATATTAATTCATACCTTTCTTCATAATCATACATGGTAACCATACATAATGGGTAGCTCCTACTTTTACAGGTACCTGAGGTAAGAATTGCCTTACCATGTAAGCTTATCATCGTCCAAATCATAATTAGTGCTGGAGAGAATTGGAAGTTGTAAGATTAGATCTGGAATAGAGAACTTGAACTTGCTGTAATTATATGAATCCTATACGTTCATGCCGTATGTACATATAACTTATAAAGAACAAATAAATAAAATTATTATTATATCCGTAGGAACAATATGTATGTAGATAGGTAGTACTTAGGTATGCATCAATCGAGATCGCGGGGACATTTTCTGGGGAAGCTTCGAAAGTTGAAATAGAGAAACAAAAATAATATTAACGGTACCTTAGGTAGTGACGACAACGAAGCCTTTCCTCCAAAACTCCTCCCCCCCCCCCAAAAAAAATGTCGACCGAAAAACCAAGCACGCTACGGTCCATTATAGCAGGCGCTACGGCCGGCGCAATCGAAATCGTCATCACATATCCGGCCGAGTTCGCCAAGACAAGAACACAGCTCAACCGCAAGCTAGCCGACGGCCAGAAGCTCCCCTGGCCGCCCTTCGGCAAGCAGTGGTACGCCGGCTGCACGACGCTGATCATCGGCAACTCCGCCAAGGCCGCCATACGGTTCGTCTCCTTCGAGCAGTACAAGCGCCTGCTCGCCGACGAGAACGGGAAGGTGTCCGGCCCGAGGAACGTCATCGCCGGCTTCGGCGCCGGCGTCACCGAGTCCCTGCTCGCCGTCACGCCCACCGAGTCCATCAAGACGACCCTGATCGACGACCGCAAGTCGCCCAACCCGCGCATGCGCGGCTTCCTGCACGCCGTCCGCATCATCGCGAGGGAACGGGGGATCCGCGGCTTCTTCCAGGGCCTCGTGCCCACGGCGGCGAGGCAGTCGGCCAACAGCGCCGTGCGCTTCGGCTCCTACACCAGCCTCAAGCAGCTCGCCGAATCGTACACCGCGCCGGGGGAGAAGCTCGGTACGGTCGCGACCTTCGGCATAGGGAGCGTGGCGGGCGCCATCACCGTGGCCGTGACCCAGCCCCTCGACACCATCAAGACGCGGATGCAGAGCATCGAGGCGAAGCAGGTCTACGGGAACAGCGTGCGGTGCGCGGTCCTGATCTTCAAGCACGAGGGCGTGCTGACGTTCTGGAGCGGGGCGCTGCCGAGGTTAGCGCGGCTGGTGCTGAGCGGCGGCATCGTCTTCTCCATGTACGAGAAGAGCATGGAACTGATGCGGAGGTTGGATCCGGAAAACAAATACATATAGACGTGGGGAAAGAAAAGAAAGGAAACGAAAAAAAAGTTTATTCATTACCTGTTACCTAACCTAGAAAGATACCCGGCAACCTAAGGGATACATGATTTGACGATGTTGCTTTTTATATTAAAATCGGAAAACGGATTGGGGATTACATGTATGACTATACGACTGCCTACCTAACCTAACCTTTTTATCATAGGTAAACTCGCCTTGGCCATGCTGCTTCAAAGGAATTTTCGAACGGTTGAATAACTTCTGGACTTGCAACAGTGGTATTAGGTGGTGGAAAAGGGGGTTTAAGTTTAAGACTTTGGAACAATGCTTATGAGGTTATGATTCGCACCAGGCTTTTGTCCATAGCTTGGCTACGTGGCTACATACCTATGTACTAACTATCGGTCGAGGACTCGTTCACAGTGGTCCTGGAGACGCGGATAACCACTATCATTGACGTGTGAGCGTCTTCAAGTCCTCAGGGGTAATCTATAGATATTCACCCTAGTTCTAGAAGAGTGCCTAGAAACGACCAGAGTCCAACGAGTTCGTATGACGCTTGAGACTGAGTAGAATTGGCTTTTTTTCTTTCTTTTTTTCCCTTCTTTTTTTCAACCGTGTTATATGCTATGCATGATTCTTTCAAAGGCTGGGGACGAAGACCCTTGGTATTACTACCTATTGTAATCTTATAAACCCCTTCAGCCGCAGCAAGAGCCTATCTAAGTAGGATCGAGTTGGCGCCTCCTCGAGCTCTTTTATCAGATCCTCGTAATATGTCGGATTGCTCCTAGGGCGCAATAGTGAGCCTGTAATGGGATACTGCGTTTATATCTTTTTTAGTATTCGCCTTATATAATAACCGGGGGGTGGAGTCGTTGGTTATACCATTGTCTTATATCGGTTGTGTAGAAGCGAGTATAGCGCGTTGGCTTGCTTCAGCTGGTCTTGTTCGGACAGACCAGAGGGGCGTTCGAATCGCTTACGAAGTACGTCCTGGAATTGGACCTGAGGCCGTAAGGGGTCTTTAGGCCATTGGTCAAGAGCTCGCAGGATGTGGCGCTGAGCGCTCTATAGACGTGTAAGTAAATGTGTACGAGCAAGCACCAGATTAACTTGTATATATATAATATATATAATATATATGACGATGTAATACGATGTAATACGATGAAGGATCGTTAACGTACAATTGCTTGACGAGACATCACTGAGGACCTAACGTAATGTAATTCAACGCAATAAGTAATGTCAGTTAATCACATTTGCTCCTTTCCAGTAACTAATCGTAGCTATTCTTGCGCATTCGGTGATGGGATGGGGGATGTTCTCTACTTACGTTGTCGTGCCATAGAAATTTAATGATAAATCAATGACGGAACGAATCATAGAGCTTACTGGTGCTTATCGATAAGAAATCAGTTCTCACTTCACTGCCTTAGCATTAGCATTAGCGTTATCGATTACCGTAATGGGTATAGAATCAATAACCTTCGGTCGCAGGCCTCCAATGGTTTTAAAGGCTTCTGAAATTGCCGAATTAACCGCGTACAGTTGCGCTTGGGGCTGTCAGGCGCTATTCGTCAGCCGGACCTTTTCGCTTCGGCGCTGTTCGATCTTAGGTACCTAGGTACCTAGTACCTAACTTAAAACATCCCTGCGACATTAGGCTACAGGCAACACGGCGCAGGACGGGGTGCCTACAAGTTCCAACTTCACTGTATTCCCTATGTGTTGAACCATCTTTAGGTACCTACCAACTTAGATAGGTACCTAATCTAGGGTACCTAATTCGCATCATCATCTTCTTCCCTAATCCCGCCGCCGCTTCTGCCCCGTGTCGCATGTTTCTCTCCCTTTTACTACTACAAGCCAACTTTCTTCATCTATCAATCACTTCATCACCTCATCTCTTTTTTTCACCCCTAGTCTTCAATACTCACTCTCCTTTATAGACTAGGAATCTATTTTCGTCCTATTTTCTCTTCTTACTCAACCAATAAACCTGCGTCGCGAATATTTCCTTCATTATTTGAAATCCGCCACTTCCGCTACTCCCTTTTTTATACTTTTCCCAACAGTTACATTTTTTTTTGGCTTCTACCTACTCTTAACGATGTCCGGACGTTACGAACGGGTCAACACCCAAGACGACGAACCCGATACCCCGATTGCTCCCTCTTCGTTACGACCACGATCGACGCCTAACTCTCCCCCGCCTTCATTTCATTCCCGGGCCTCTTCTGCTGAAAGAAGAAGGCGAGATGTCGATCCTGCATTAGCTGATGCATTCGATGCCGAAGACGACGATAGCGACGATGATGAACCCGATGATAGGCAGCGCTTAGTTCGAGGAAATTCTTTCCCCATTTCAAACAACACTACGAGCCAGACTTCAAATGGGAACGATGCGCGAACATCTCCCGGAAGCCAGACACAATTCTCCGGTGTTAACAACGCTCAGCATGCTAGTTCAAGAGTGTACGGTGGTGGAATACAATCGGATGGCGTATTTTCCAACATGATGGCTCGACCGGAAAGGGGCGAGAAGGTCGTTGAAGAAGCACCTCCAGTAAGTATCGGACATATTGTATTGGACGTGTTAAAACATTACTAACGACTTTTTTTTTTAAAGACCTACGAGCAAGCTGCGGCAGATGCTGCGCCACCATATTGGGAAACGACTATCCTAGCACCGGGTCTTGGTGGTCCCGAGGATGTTTATATCGATGGAATGCCCGTTGGCTCAGTATTCAGTTTTATTTGGAACGGAATGATCAGCATGTCCTTTCAAGTGTTTTTCGTTGGTTTCCTCCTTACGTACCTATTACACTCCACACATGCGGCAAAGAATGGCTCTCGCGCCGGACTCGGTATAACACTCATCCAGTACGGCTTCCTGTTGAAAGGATCCTCTTCCGACTCGGGCGGTATGGCCGGTGCGCCTACGGACGGATACGCACAACCTCCGGATCCCAACAGCCATGATTTTGACCCCACGACTGTTTCGACTGATAATGGCGAAGAAGGTTCGGCATTTAGTGATATTGTGGGCAGCGAGTGGCTAGCGTATCTGCTTATGATTGTGGGTTGGTTAATCTTGATCCGAGCGGTTTGCGACTACGTCAGGGTCAGGAAGCATGAACAACTCGTGCTGCAGAGCCCGGACAGAGGCTTAGGCATACCGATTATTGCCGAGGGCGAAAGGCCCGAGACCGTGGTTTAAGATGATAGGTATCATGAAAATCGCCGGCCATTTTGAGTTGACGGGGTGTTCTCAGGTCGATTGTAGCACACGATTGTTAGACAACTGACATCAAGATCGGGGGTACAGGTTTAGGCGTACGGGTGGTTCTCTCAAAATAACGGCGTAATGGGTGTTTGGGGATATTGTTGCCAATCCCCCTTGAATAACCTAGATATCCTAGGGTTTAGTTATGGATTATAGGTTTTAACAGAGCATTTCAAAGCGATTCCGATGTAATAATATGATTATCTCTGCAAGCAAATACCTTGGGTACCTAGAAGCCTCACGCCAAGCACCTGAGTGGGTTTACGGTTTACCACCTTACAATGCTTACATACCTCCTAGGTACCTGTAGAGGTAGGTACATGATATTGTACATGAGATCCACCAAGACCCTGAACGAATTATCTGGCTGTCTGGGACCCAGATCTGCTAGTCAAACGGCTAGCTTGGTTAGGTACCTAAAGCTGCATGAGTTTATACCTAGGTATCTTACCTAACTGTACTACCCAGTGGATATTCAGATCAGATATACACATTTAATCCCTTATGCCATGCCATGCGTTATAGATTATCGATAAGACTAGGGAAAGTATCATGTATACCGGGAAGGTTGGATATTGGGTGTAAGTGCAAGTTGATAATGCCCCGCATTGCGTAGATGGATGTCATATCCCATTCAGTTTGACGAGATTTTATGTCATAAATTCATAATATGAATTGAAATTTGAATGAACTATCCCCTTATTAATTGAATGTCGTGCACAATACTCGAACTTACTCTGCAGCAAGTTTTTATCTCAGACTTCTTTACCTATTCCAAAACCATCCTCAACCATCGCGTATGAACTTCAGGCTTCGCTCAACCTACTCATCCACCTTACTTGCCTATAACATATCCAAACTCCCTCCTCCGAAACCAACTTCCCGTCTCCCCGCTCTCGTAGCCCATTTCCACCATCCGTTCCAACCCCCGAAGAGCAGGGCATCCAGACGGTTGTCAACATTCTCAAGAACAACAACATCATCATCATCATCATCGGCTAGACGACCCCTACTAGCCATGGCCTGGTACAGCTCCGGCAGCACCAACGAGGAGCTGGTCGAGAACCTCTGGCGCTCCAACCTCATCACCACCCCCCTCACCAAATCCGCCTTCCTCAAGGTCGACCGCGCCAACTACGCCCCGTCCGACCCCTACGCCGACAGCCCCCAGCCCATCGGCCACGGCGCCACCATCTCCGCCCCGCACATGCACGCCCAAGCCGTCGAGACCTTGCTCCCCTTCCTACTCCCCAAAGAAGGACAAGAAGAGGAAAAAGCAGCCGCGCGGAGCGGCAGCAGCGTGCCTAACGTCGTCGGCCAGGCCGGCCGCCCGAGACGCGTCCTCGACATCGGCAGCGGCAGCGGCTATCTGACGCACGTGCTAGCCGAGCTGGTGGGCGACACGGGGGTGGTCGTGGGCCTAGAGCACATCCCGGCGCTGCGGGACCTCGGGGAGCGCAACATGGCGAAGTCTCGCGAGGGGCGGGCGCTGCTGGACAGCGGGCGGGTGCGCTTCCGGGTCGGCGACGGGCGCAAGGGGTGGTCGGAGGCGAGCCCGGGGGCCGCGCAGCCGGGGGTCGGCGGGGAGGCGGCGCCGAGCGCGGCGGAGGAGCGGGGGGACAAGAAAGAAGAGGCTGGGGGGTGGGATGCGATCCACGTCGGGGCGGCGGCGGCGGAGCTGCACGACGAGCTGGTGCGGCAGCTGCGGAGCCCCGGGCGCATGTTTATCCCCGTGGAGGCGGAGGACGGGTGGGACCAGTATATCTGGATCGTGGATAAGGATGAGCAGGGGAATGTTAGGAAGGAGAAGTCCGTTGGGGTTAGGTATGTGCCGCTGACGGATGCGCCGAAGTAAGTAAGTAAGCAAACGGGAGGACGGGGGGCGTTACTTTTATGCCTGGTTTATGTTATATTATCGGTTGGGAGTCTCGGTTTATTGAAAAAGGGATGGAAGTTTTGTTAGTACTACTACTAGTGTTTGATCCCAAGGTATGTCATCGCCATCAACACCGTGTCTTCCTCGCTGGATACCTAATCTGGCGAAGGTGTTAAGCTGTGAGGTTGGAGTATGGAAATAATGAAGACGAATAGCCGCTGAAGGCTGGGCCAAGAAAGTATTCTGCGAATCTTATAAGTTATGCGCGAAGATGTGTGTATTAGCTGAAAGAGTAGGTACGGATAACTTGCAAACATACCTTATTTACTACCTGTCGAATATATTAGGCTTCTTGATACGATTAAGAGGGGTAGTTTGCTTCAAAGTAAATCCCATATCAATACGTGAATTCTAGCCATGCCAGCAGGTATGAGGCAAATCTGGATGGTTCATATAGGTGAATTTGAGGCTTAGTTACGGTGCTTCTGTTGCAGGTATTTACAGATTTTATTTCATAAAAGAAACTCCGAAGCAATGCCAAATCCTTGCCTAAGATAACCACGTCAGCGTGTTTGAAAGTCCCTTCTAGAATACTGGAAACTAGAAACAGGTAAGTTATTTTAAACGCCGTAAATGGAAATTGTGTATTGCCCACCCCCTAGTTGGTATCTACAGCGTTACAATACAACTCCGCCAGGGTTGACTCTTGATTAGTTTGTTTATCTGTAAGGGGAGTCGGCTTTGATAATAGCCGCCAACTCGGGCTCCCATTTATCTCCGTTTGCTAGGAGCTTCTCCTTGTTGTATAGCAACTCTTCTCTCGTCTCGGTCGAGTATTCGACGTTGGGGCTCTCGACGATCGCATCTACGGGACATGACTCCTGGCAGAAGCCGCAGTAGATGCACTTGGTCATGTCGATATCGTACCGAGTCGTCCGCCTTGAGCCATCGGCTCGCTCTTCTGCTTCAATCGTGATGGCTTGGGCTGGGCAGATCTAGACGAAGAATTAGTTGAGACTCTGACGCATGATGGATGTCCGGTCCCGAGGCAAAAACGTACCGCTTCGCACAGCTTACAGGCGATACATCGTTCTTCGCCTGACGGGTAGCGTCTCAAAGCGTGTTCGCCACGAAATCGGGGAGAGACGGGACCCTGCCAAAATATTAGCCTCCGAACTACGCCGAATGCTTCCCTCTTTTTAAATGTGGTTTCCGTCATGTCGTCTCGATTGTATATCGCGCAGGCTCGTTTGGGTAATCAGTATGGGTATTCATATCCCAACTATCACGAACCTTTTCAAAGGGGTAGTAAATTGTGTATCTAACGGCGTAACGGCACATTAACGTTATAGTCCTTCCCCGGGGGGTCACTGAAGGACTTAAGGAGGAAGACTCACGGTGGCCTGAAGAAGTTCTCTAATGCGATGTACATGCCTCTGAACATCTCCGTCAAGAGGAAGTACTTTCCAGCGCGTTCGAACGTCCCATCCTCTTGCTCGTCCCATCGTTTCGGCGGGGGAGGTCGGAAACCCTTCAAGGGTCTGCCAGCGGGCGTGGCGTAGGTCCGTTGCGCGACTATTCTAGCCACTGTTGAAGCCGCGACAGGCTGTCGGCGGATGAGCTGACGAGACAGCATGGCTGTTGTCGATGTGGTAAGCCCTTGCATGGCGCAGTGCAATTGGGCGACAGTTGGAATAGTAGGAGGCGAAATCGAAATCGAAGTCGAATGGAAGCATTAATAACACTTTAATAACTTCAAGATCAATGTTGGAGTTGACGGGGTTTTTGGTGGAGCTCAAGATTGCCATTATTACAAAAGCATTACCGTGATTGGCTGGTACATATGTACCTTTACATAGTACGGTACATGAACAAATCCAAGTCCAGGGAAGCCACATTAAGTCATAGCCACATAGGTAATTCGGTACATGTAGTCCGGTTTGTTCCACCGAGGGGCATCTCAGGTGGGCACTTAGGTAAGAAAGATACCTACCTGATAAGATAGAAAGATAGAGGTAAAGGTTCCTCTGTAGTCACGTGTAGTAATTCATTTACTATTTCGAATCGCCGCTAGCTCCGATGGGGCCCAAGCTCGGAGGTTGCAACTTTGAAAATGACGAGAAATTTATCGTTGTTGAAAACCTCCGCGCATTTGAAGCTCTAACTAAATCCAATCCCACTACGTATCACCTTTTTTTTCGACGACCACCTTCTCCCTCCCGCCCGTCTCTCAGACCACCCCCAATTGACTCGTTCTCCATCTCCACAATGTTCCGCGCAGCATTAATTCGAACCGCCGCTACGGCGTCCCGCGCCGCTGTCGCTCGACCTATCGCCAGAAGAGCCGTCGTCCCCGCCAGAGCTGTCTTCGCCCCTGCGCCCCGGCTCGCTGCCTTCCAGACCGTACGAATGTATTCTGCTGGTAGTGGACTGAAGAAGGAGGAGGTCGAGGGTCGCATTATGAACCTCCTACAGGGTTTCGATAAGGTGAGTCGGTTTACAAAAAAATGTCGTCGAATTATTTTTACTGTTAGATTGGATGGCGGAGGGACGGGGGGGAGGAGGGTTAATCAGAAATATGTCGCCAAAAACATAGCGCAGAGCTATCACGATTTGCAGTCTACATTTGGATACGGGAGTTGTATTTTATTTGAAGCGAATAAACTTGCTAATTAAATGTTCCATAGGTCAACGACCCCAGCAACGTAAGGCCTCACCCCACCCTCACTCCAATACATCATATAAGCCTCTCAGATACTGACCTTCAGTAGATCAAGCCCACTGCGCATTTCTCAAACGATCTCGGCCTGGACAGCTTAGACACAGTGGAGGTTGTTATGGCGATAGAAGAGGTATGCATAACTATTTACCCGAGACGCATCGGTTCGACGAACATATATATATATATATGTCGTATATATTATATATTCTTGGCCATTTTCAGATTACATCCCAGTCTTGAGTTAAACTCAGTTTCTAACAATGCATTATAGGAATTCAGCATTGAAATCCCCGACAAGGACGCAGATGCTATTCACAGTGGTATGGTCCCCTCATAAGACAATGAAAACGGTTCTTTTTACTTTGAAGTAGCTGCTAACTCACGTCTAAATAGTGAACCAAGCTGTCGAGTACATCTTGAGCCAGCCGGATGCGAACTAAGGCATTCCATCTTGTACAATAACACAGCTATATAACTTCTATAGCAATGACGCGTACTGGCATTTAGACTCCACGATAGTGGCTGCTACGCACGCCTGCAACGAGTCTTAGGGCAATGATAGACGGGCTATAATCGACCAGGTCGATATAGTCAAATCCCAACGAGAAAGGATATGATTGAAGATGAGCATGGCGCGGCTAAAATCGAATACGATTCCTCGCCGTTGTATTAGTGTATAAACCTTTCCTCCCGTCCACAAGTTGTGCCACTTTGTGTGTTTAATCGTATCATCTATACCTTATGAAATTGCGAACTATATGAATTTCGAGTAAACAGTAAGGTTCACCAGCATTAAGTCTCACATACCTTACATGGGTCCAAGGTCAAGTACGTCTGACGACGATGCTAAGGCTGATCTGATCGACCCTCACCGCTAGCCAATGGGATGGGGATGGAGACGGGGACAAGGGTTATCATAAGGATTTAGACTCCATCCTTCGTTTTTGCATCAATACCTAATCAATAATTGTCAATAATTGAAACGGCTTATGCGAAGACAATCAGCTTATGGTATCAAGGATATTTCTTTTCTTTTTTCTTTTTTCCCTTCATATCAGATCAGAGCTACCCTTTGTCGTTCATTCTTTGGCTATATGTTTTACCAACTGCGAGCTTGTGAATATAATTTACAGTCTGCTGTGTTTTAACCCTTCACCCGCGTTGGGCGTTGACCTATATCGACTAGGTGAGGTCCTCGCCTTCGAACGAAGTTGAGAAAGCCCAGCCTGTGTGGTTGTATTACATACAATGGACAACTCAACCGCGAATAATAACGGAAACAGCAATGAGGTGGGCAGTACAGGTATGGACAGTTCGACGCTGGCGGGCGTGGTCTCTACGGTGATCTCTTTTATCGCACTGATCGTCTCGTTCATCCAGCTGCTATACCAGTACTACACCAACGTCTCGCTGAACGCCCTCGGCGCGAGGAACTGCAATGAAAGGGTCATGGGCCCTTGGGCCAAGTTCACTCGCCGCCGGTGGAGATGGCTAGAACTTCGATACGAGATTATCTTCGAGTCCCCGATTCTCTTCGCGGCGCCGGTCTGGAACCCGCGCGGACCTATCCCAGGCCGCGAGATCTGGTATATGAGCGGGAGCGACGAGAGCTATGCGGAAACTAGGACTCCGATGTCTGTGGACTCGGGCCCCTTTCCCAGGACAGCTGCTGTTCGGCACGGCGTCAATGTCGAGGCTACCTGGGTATTACTACTACGAACGCTACAGTCGATGGAGCGCGACAGCTCGAAATGGCTGGATGTCGTGCAGAGTACGGAAGACTGCGAGAAACCCTTGCCTTTCGCCCATCGTACGCTGGCCATCGCCGTCCAGGCGCAGACGCTCTCGTGGGATTTCGTACCGAACTTCAAGAAGCCGTTTGCAAACACAACCATCTGTCACATGGTCGAGATAGCCGCCATGCTGGGTATATACTGGATCATGTGGGACGCAACGGTAGATCGTTACCGTGCCGAGGGCAACGGATGCATGCTGCTAGGGTCCTTCAGCGCCGAGCAGGGTATCGTGTTCAAGTTCGTCAGGCACGACAAGACCCAATTTCGCGAGCACCGGCTCATCCCTAGCAATATCATTAAGAGGCTCTGCTTCGGCTTCGCTCCGACCTTTTACCTCCTCGATAAGTACGACTTCGTCCCGGAGAAGGGCGAGCGCGAGATAGCTACAGATCCGATTCTGCCGCTCCTGAAGTTGGGGAGCAGACAGGAGATCGTCGAGACGCTTATGGATCTTGGATGTCCCGTACTGATATCTGAGCATTTCCTCAACGAAGATGCTAGGATTTCCCACCTTTTTCCCAGTAAGCATCTCACTTCTCTTTTCTTCTCATTTTACTATCTTCCGCCTCAAGAGCGCGAGCTATGATATATATGATCTACAAGCTTACCCATACCCACCTACTATCCAGTCGTGTTCGACATCTTAGGAATGCTAGGCCGATCAATCTCCGTCGAAGGGTACTGCTACCGCTTCCTGCCCAACCCGACCATATTCCGGTGGGATCGCCGATGGTTCAAGACGAAGCGGCTGCTTCTCGTTTTCGGGGAGCATCTCTCCCGGCTCATCGGGGCCTACAACAGGACGGGGGATACGCCGGAACCCTTGCGTGCTATTGCGTCCGCGCTCGAACGCATAAGTCCGCAGCTAGAGAACCCCAACGCCAAGGACTACTCGCCGGCACTGCTGGATAGCTTGCGCCGTACTATGACGACTCTGGATGGATACTTGAAAAACGCGCCGGGGGACTGGGAGTCGCCGTCCGAGACCTTGGTGCTCGATATAGCCAGCAGTCACGTTGCCTCCTTGGTCACGGACCTCAGCCGCCGGCCGTCGTGGTTCGTGGACTTATTCCCACTGCGACGTGCCGACGACGGCGTCAACGAATACACATATATAACGTTCCTATTCCAACACAGTCGTCGAGCGGTGGTACAGTCGCACGGCGATCTGAATGACCTCTATAACTTGCCCGTCGGGGAGATAGAGATCGAAGCACCGCCAGCGATGGATGTGGTTGCAAAAGGGACGGATGAATTGCCAACTCCTTGGAGAAGCGATGCGAGGTTACGCGATGCCACGTGGTGCTTGCTTGTGTTCCGCATGCTATGCTGGCTTCAACTGCATGACTTTCACAGGGACGATGTCATGATTCCACGTAGCGCGACTTATGGGAGTCGGATGCCTGTATATATTGTTTGACATAGACGGTTCGATATATTTACGACAAATCAAGATATAAACAAAATTGTAATATTGTGCATCGCAAGTGGTTGTTGAAAGCGACTACGACAAGAGCTCCGGCTTGACACCCGTATAGTAGGTACTTATTTTCAATCAAGAGGATTACCCCTTTCTCTAGCATAGCATATAGCAAATTACGAACAAAACATCACTAAAATACCTACCTGTAACTAACATCTAAGTGGGATTAAATTTACAGTTAATGCTTTGACAAGCTCATTGCCAACAAGATACATCGCCGCAACTTGGATGATGCGGAGGCCGTCTACCTCAGACTATGTTTACTAAAGTAGAAAACATTTAATGGTACCTAACCTTTCCATCCCGCGCGTTGCTCAGCATCAGGTACATCTACTTTGCGATAGCTTTGTCGACATTACTTGACAACACAACAGGCAATATCTAATATCTAGTTGCGAAATAAAACTACCTCTTGTGGTTTGCGATGCCATCAAGTCCGTGTCTTACCAACTTCAATTTTTGCTATTGGTTAGTGCAAGCAACCCAAGGTTTTACGAATTACTTCAACATAGGAGCTGATCAATGGTCAGGTAGGTAATGAAATGGGTGGGCATGTTGTTACACAGAATACTCCTATTTAGCAGCTACGGATGGGTCTGCTCGCGTGTTTGTTCCTGTCCAGGTAGAGCTAAAATACGAGAAGCACCATGTGACGATGAACGCAAACAATGAATCAGGAGGTTACGATTCAGCTACGAACTAGATGGGCAAACAAGATAAATACCTATACGAATATCTACTTGGGCACGTCGCAAAGCAGCTGCGTACCTAGGTAGGTACAAATTGGGGGGTAGGTAGGTAGGGTCATCATACTCAACCTAACATCACGAGGAATACTCCACCTCCAAGTCTTCGAGGCTATATTAATTATTAGTAATTCCGCGCAAGAAAGTCCGTCCTCTGGAATATGCATGTCTTAATATGTATGCGGTCAGCCTCTAGCGCGTACCCAGCTCGAAGCTGCGAATGTCTGTGATTGGGCCGTGCGAGCTCCCAGTTGATCTCCAAGCAACGCTGCATACGACCCTAGCCTCACGGTCTCATGTATAGACTTATACAACTATTCGTAATCTTGGATCACCAGACTGGTCGATTGCTGGCGAGCCGGGCCGAGCTGGGGTTACTAGGTGGATTCCAGGTCGTCGGGATGCACAACAGTTCTGCGCAACGCCCAGTTCAGATCGGGGGTAACCAATGCTCTAAATGTACCTAATTCATTCACTTATACGCGGCTCAATAAGCTCTGACATCTACTCCAAAATTGCATTTTTACATAGGTACCTCTGACTTGAGATATGCCCAACTGACCATAAGTAGTACCTCTTATTGAAAGACAAATCATACTATCCGGAATTATGTAGTAACAGATACATGATGTTACGCGAAGTTCCGTGTGAGTTAACTACCTACCTAACCCATATCAAACGCAACGTAAGTACGAATTCTAAATTTAAGTAGAGTTAAATACACTTTGAGCAGCGAGGATTGCTATATTAGACAGGCCTGCTAATTTGGCGTTGGACCTCGCTGTACTTGAGAACTGGGGCTGAGTCCAACCACTCTTGTTAGATAAGGTTTTTAACTCACAGCCTTGAGTATTATTAACGTGGTATAGGGATGTAACAACTCTCCCCGTAGTCTTCTGATGGTCAGTGATTTAAAACTACCTAACTACCTAAGGTACCATAGCAGCAGAACCTTGGAATTTTAAACCATTGGGATATATAATGATCATTGATCAGAGGCCAATGTTAAGCCATGTTCAATACTAAGGGTATGCCCAATATTAAACGTATGCCCAATGCTAAAGATAGATTTCTTAATAGTTAACTACTCTTATTTTTTAAAAAATAAAAAAAATTATTATTTTTTTTTAATAATTTTTTTTGGAAGATTGCATCTTACCACTTAACAATTTAAATTTTTTTTTCTTAAAAGTTCATTTGATTTTTAAATTTATATATTAAAAGATGAAAAATGTCTTAGAAAAAAAAATAAAAAATTTCAACGTTAGGCATACCTTTAGCATTAGGCATACACTTAACGTTAACCATTAATCAATAATCATTATACATCTCAAACATTGCTCCTCAAGTAACAGTTAGGTATTTTGACACCTATATTAACGCTTAAAGCCTTATTTAATGGTTAAAATTCCCAGGCCTCTGCCGCTACGGTAGGTGCTCTACCAACAGCATGATGAGCAAATCACAGACCGGCCGCAATGGAGAGACTAAGCCTCTGACTACCTCCCTCCTTAATGCACCTAACGCAAAGCACCCTCGTAGACAGACACTCGTACATGTGCCCTTCTGCCTACCTAGGTACCTGGCTTTCTCCCATTGTCATTTCCAGGCTTTTATTTTAATGTGTGCCTTGGCCTAGATGATGTTGAACAGGCTGTTTCAAGGGAGCGATTCGCAAAGAGTCGGCCCGAGAGCCCAGCAGAGAGAAATGGCAACCTCTTCAACTCCAAGCCTCGTCCTAGGCAGCAGCCACCCTGAATATAAACCAAGGCGGCTATTTGTCGTATCTCAGTGGTTGGTGAAGTCACCTCAGTTCAGAGAGGGTGTGAAAGAGAACAAGCTCTGTAGCCTTCTTCAAAAATAAGCCTCATCAAAGATAACTGTCCGGGTGTTGGTAACTTAGCTTCGCCCGAGTCGCAATTCGCTGCAGTGTATCCGTAGAGCCTTGACAAGTTCCTTTAACCATACATACTTCCACACTACCTTTATACGAAATCGTAAATACGCGTGAATTCAGTGTGAACGCGAAGAGGCCGCGTCAGAAAGAAACATTGTGCGCATCTGCGCCGAGGCTGTCTATTGATGTGGCACAGACTCCTCCAACCATCGATATAAAGTGTTTTTTTCTTTTCAATACTACCTAACCCCCAGTGCCTACCTCACATCACGTCACATTTATAGCCGTATATCGATAAACACAAGACAGCCGGGCGACTCATATTAACTCGGACGAGGGCCCCATGTATGACACAAACTGTACCTGCGTACGCGTATGATAGTAATCCTGGGTTGACAAGCAGAATGCCTCGGTGGCGGAAGCCTTCCTCGATCAATAGGTTAACTGACCGGGATGCAGAATCCTTCAGCCCTACGAGTTTGTCATATACCTATTGTGAGGGATAGAGGAGTCATCAAACCCTGGGGTTACATGGAAGAACGATCAGCAGATTTGCCTACCTTCTACTCATTGCCCTTACATCCCGCGCATCCCCCTGCTCGACTCACCATGTCCTTGTTTGCATATTCATCCTTCTACCCCTTACCTGCACTGTATACCGAAAACTTGTCAGGGTGCCTTTCGATTCACTCGGCGCCTTTCTGGTAGTTGCCCCATTGTCTACCTGGCTTGACTCATCCTAGGCCATGATCGTTTCTTCTTCTACGTAGGATCTGTCTATCAGGTGGACTTGTTTGTCCTCGCGTAATGTACCTAGGTAGCTGGGCCTATTCGTAAGTAAATGTCTGACCAAGGAAATAAAGTACACTTCGCCATTTATAGGTGATATCGTGAGCTGTCTGATTTGGTGGAAAGGGGTAATAAACGTCCTAGCATTTACATACCCCTATGTGCTATTACTATGCACCTATCTATCCTTTGAACTGTTCCATAACATTCTGGCCAGCCAAGTTATATGTATAAGGTACCTTAGCTTAGGTAAATACCTATGTAAGATATGTAGGTATGAATGGATGAGTGTATGAATGTGTAGCAGCATGATCCTGTTCTAGTCCAATTGTGAATTTTCTTTTGTGTTTTTTTCGTGTGTATATGACCGCCTATGTCTACCTCCATTTCCTATTCCAACCAAATGACTGAATCCCGATTACATGTTAAGCATAAATAGCTGAACATTGCGTGTGATAGATCGGATGAGATGTGGAAACATAGATAGAAAAATAAATGGTTGAATGCCGATAAACCCAGGATATCTCCAAGAATGTAAATAATATAAGCAACCGCCCCCTGTGACGCAAGATGAAAACCCGGTTCGAAAACAGGTTATAAACAAGAGAAAGGGGAAAAAATGTAAGAAGAAATCATGTGGTAAATATGATATTTTTGCCCAACCAACTCCGGCCCCCTTGATTGCATGTCCTGTAGATAGTCTCTTAAGAAACCCGCTATCTCGTCGGGGTGTCAGTTTTGCCAACCTGGATGCCGTGAGAAAAAGCTAAACAACGAGTAGCAGGAGTCCGCCATCTCTATACACGCCTGCTTAACTATGCAACAGTCTTCCTTTTCATACTTTCCATATCTCTCCCCCTTTCCTCCTCCTCCTCCTCCTCCTCCAATATGGACAGGACCCGTTCGTAGCACAACGCCCTTTGTATAATACTCTCCTCCCATGTTTTATAGCCGGCTTCTGGGCGCTTTTATAATTCGTGACTTCGTGACTCGGGACGTGGTATGTTTTTTTTTTTCTTCTTTTCTGTTTATATGTGCATCTCGAAATACGCATACTTCGAAATGCTTTCGTAGAAGGACCGGATATATCTTTCTTGGATCTTCATTGGTATCCTCACGAGACAATGCGTCATTTATATCCTGGAATTACCTCCTCGACTCAGTATCGCTTTACCGGCCACCGACACCCTCAACCACTCTCGCAGCGCCATCGTCCTTCTTCCCGGGCCCTGCGGCTACACCAGCGTAACTGGAGCTCCAGACGCTCATAGCCGTGCCCACGCCGGACATTCGCTTTCGCGCCCTTATGGTGCTATCCCGATCGCCATCTTCGTCCATGCTAAATACGAATTCGCCATCCTCTTCCCCTATGGGGGTGGTGTACCGAGCGCTAGAGCTGATGGAGCCACTGCTGACGTGGCGTTCGCCAGCTCGGCCGTTTGACGGTCGTGACGTATGGGAATTGGGATGCAATAGTGGTGATTCACCTCCGTTGCTGTCGATGCGTGTGCGTTGCAGCTGCTGAGACAAGGCACTTAAACCCTCGATGCTACTGGACCGGCTCGAATTGTGTGGTCGCACAACATTGGCACTGAGGCTGGATTGGCGAAGAGGACTTCCGACGTGTCCAAATGCACCTGCGCTAGCTGCTGCAGCATGCTTCTTCGCCTCGTGTTCCTCGTGCTGTCGTTGGAACAGCGGTCCCCACCGACTTGGACTCGACGCCATGGGGCTGCCGAATTTCGAGCTTACCTCACCGTTGGGTGTCCCCGTGCCACTCATCCCCGCGATACTGGGCGACGTACCATTTCCCCTGTGGCCGTTAGAGTCTTCATCAGCGGCTCGCGAACCGCGTCGTGCTTTCTCGGCCGGGGTTAACAGGTCTTTCAGATTGTCAGGCAAATAATCCTCCTCCAGGAAAGGAAATTCCGACTCCCAATCTCGGTCGATGGCACCGACGATAGCACGGGGCGCGCTACTGCTAAGCATCTTAGGTTTAGCATAGCGGCTCGAGTGCATCTGACGTCTGCCAAAATATTCGTCGGACGGTTGAGTCGGAGGCGAGGAACCAGCCGCAACGGAAGAAAGGTGATCATTGCTGCCGAATGCCGAGTGGTGTAAGAGCTTAAGAGTTTCTGAGGTTCTCGAATCCTTAGCCGCGTTCAGAGATGGTGATGGGGAGTCGAGTCCGAATTGCGAGGGCACCGAAGATGGCCACGGCCCTCCGGGATATCTGGCGGCATTCGAGATACCATTCGAATCGAAGGATGCTGGAAGAGGGGCGTCGAGTACGGATAAGCCCTTAGCAGTTACGGGCGAGAGACCTAGGCCGAGGCGGGCCGGGTCCTCTTCTCGTGGTGAGCCATACTGAGAGCTAGTATGGGAATATGTAGTATCGATGGTAGGCACGTTTTCTAAGCTCGATCGTCGATCAATGGATTGATAAGTCTCGCTCGGTGACATTGGAAAGCCGTATGCGTTTCCATATGATGGATTGGTGTCGGCGCGCATAAATGAATTCGTTAAAGCGCTGTTGGAGGAATTGTAGCTTGGATTGACTCGGCCACCGAGGTGGATGGGCTGGCCGATGGTGATACCATTTTTACCGTAGTTGATTCGCCGACCGTCGGCGAGGACGTGAACATTGGCGCATTTAGGTCCGAACTTGCAATTGCCCTATAGTTTCACCAACATGGTTAGTCGTTCTTATTTATCGTCGTACCTAAAGACCTGAAACCTAGTACCGAGGGCCCCAGGACCCGGGATCTGGGTGTATGCGAAACCGTGAGACTTGGGGACTTGGGAGACTTGTCTTCCTTACCTTAGCGAAGTACTTGCACACCGTTTCCGAGGCAGTACCCAGATCGTGACTGAAGGGACACGCGGAACCAGCCTGACATGCGCCTTGTCTAAAGAATTTACACGGTACGTGCGACGTGTCTGCGATTAGAGAAGACCGAGGTTAGAGAGGAAACGATCTCAAGGTTGCCCAAGGTTGGACAGAGCATGCAAACATGCAAAATATGTATTTACTTAGCATTGAGATAGATATTAAAATATCACTTACTCGGTGGACTCCTCGGGCCATCGAAGCGGCCGTGTGAGGGAACTATCGGACTCATTGTATTTGCCTGGGATGGAATGTTTAAGCTACCGGACCTCATATGACGATACTCGGACATTTTAGAGGTAGCAACGGTAGCTGCGATCGGGTAGAGAATTTAAATGCGACGGGGGAAGAAGAGGGAAGGGAAGAGAAGGGAAGAAATAAGTTGTAGAGGTTGCAGTAATAATACGGGCGATAATAGTGACAATAATACCAGTTAGTGGGTAGAATGGTAGGTAATAAACGGCGATGGTGGTAGCGAGACGTGGGAGGATTTTAGGAGGGGCGCGTCGACGACAACCTGGTCGCAGCAAGCATTGACGCCCCCTTATCGTCTAAGCCCAGGGTCGAGTTCTTTTGCTGCTCTTCCACTCTTGATCAAGTCCGAGGGTGGTTGTCGAATCGGCAGGACTAATCAGCTAGACGATTTGTTAGTATCGAAGCACGTAGCAGAGTTTCTAATAGTCTGATAATAAGAAAATTAAATAAAAGTAAAATAAAAAGCTAGGCAAATGTACGGGCCGAAAAAAAGAAGATTAGAAGAAAAATGATAACGAATTCGGACGATGACGATAATAATAAAAAAGAAAAAAAGAACTAAAAAAGTCTCGTCCAACCCTACCGCCTACACGTATGATGCTAATGCAGGCGGATACCACTTCGATGGTGTAAGGTACAGGAACAGATAATAATGAAATATAAAAAGTTTAATATAGGTGGAGAGAAGAAATTGGACTTGGGAAGCGATGATTTGAGAATTCCGAAGCTCCGGGGGTACAGTTATTGTGTGCGTACCTATTAATATGCGTGGTGTGTCTCAAGGTTACTGGAGGAAACGGATTGTGAGCTGTTGATTTTCCTACAAGGCGAAAAAAGACTCTCGAATAGGACAGGGAGAATAGAATAGACGTAGAGGAAAGAGGAAAAACCACGGACGAAGAAAGAGTAGGAAGGATGGCTAGCGGCGGCAGAGATTCGGCCAAATCAAAGAACTGCACAGCGACGAGGGGTGAACATCCCAAATTGGACTGGACTGGACTGGACTGGACTTTGACCTACGGGTTTGGGTACCGGGTAACAGGTAACAGGTACCTAGCTAAACTAGCTAGGTAACCTAGGTGTAGCTAACGGTTAGCGAGCGATGATAGAGTGAGAACGGAGAGAGGAGCTTGGATGAGCTTTAATTATTATGTATTGGCCCAAAACGTAAATCCGGTGCGGGTTGGACTCTGGTAGGTTAAAGTTAACCTGTTAGGCGGGAGTTGAGGAAGATGGAACCTCAGGACCTGGGGGAGAAGAGATGGGATGGGTTACAGTGGTCCTACCGGGTTCTGATTGGAATGGGAGAACGATCGTAGTTCGCAGGCGGGCAAACTTGCCTAGTAAATCCGCCGGGATAAAAGACCTACAAGGACAAGACTCAAGAGGGGTTCGAGGGGTCCTAGACGTTCACACTTTATGAATATAAATGTGGGGGGGAGGTCATGTAAGGCGGTAAGACGAAAGACTTTCGTTTTATTGAAAAGGGTAGAAAAAATGCAGATGAGAATAAGAACTGTATTCATAGGGTGGTTAATTGGAGTTTGAGTAAAGTACCAGGTGTGTACCTAGGTAACTTATATATAGGTATTTTGAATAAAAGGTAGAAAAGCAAGGTAAGGTAAGGCAAGGCAAGGCAAGAGAATATTGAAGTAGGTTAGGCTAGGTTTAGGTGCCTCCTAGGAAGGTAGGAATACAGTATGAAGTAACTAGCATAGAAATGATGTGGTTTACCTGCTTCTTAATTCTTGTTCTTCGTCTTGTCTCTTCTTCAAACCCTCTTGGCTGATTAGAAGAGACAGTGTCGTGAGTGAGTAAGTGAGAGTATCACGACCGGAAAATTCGGAGAATTTGTGATAATTGCAACAAGGATGACGATAGTGATGATAGTGATTCGGAGCTATAATGATGAAATCAATGTTACGCCTGACTGTTTTTATTATTCTTCTTATCCTGGTCTTTCTCCAGCGGCTAGATCAAAGTCGTTGATGATTCGTAAGACTCGGACGATTCCAGTGGGAGGTCATCTACTTGTAAGCTGATGGTACAAGCTCAAGACACCTTGGTGGCATGTAACGAAGTACTGGGAAACCGGATCAGGTAAGGTCTTTCCAGGAACCCGCAGTTGCGTCTGCCTGCCCGTCCAGTATGTCTCATAAGGTGGTGGATGACTCTAACCAGCCACGAGGTCACGACTTAAGCTGTGTCAACACCACCCCTCATGTGTTCCCACTGGGTAACTTCTAGTGTACTATGACGCCCTGTATATATGAGCGAGTTGAGCTGGAACCCTAGAGAACAAGCTCTAGGCAGTTAACGTAGCAATTGCCTAAACGAAGCGGGCCAATGTAGCTGCCAAATAAGTAAACGACCTGAAGATCAGAGTCATATGCAAGTCGACGTAAGGCACTGTTTCTCTTCGAGATCACCAGTAAATAGGTACCTGGATACAGTTACAAATAAAGCCGGCGCCTCCGCGTGGGTACTCATTCGTTAGCGGCTCTCGGCTAACCCTTGAGCCGAGTTCTTGTTCTTGTATGCTATCAAGCGACGAAGGAATGGCTCCAGGATAAGGTCAGACAGTCCAGGACCTGGGAAGTTTTGGCTAGGCCTATACAGGGGTGACGATGGCCTTGTGTGGGGGTCTCGCTGGTACTTCCAACATTCAAGTACGCGAACTTGAAGCGCCGTTAGGTTGCAAAGAAACAGACAGCAGGTTAAAATTATTAAATCGTTCACCCGGTTCTCGCCGGTCCCGTGACTTTTCAATCGTGAGAGAAGAGGGATTGCGACATGACCTGATCCACAGGTAATGAAACGGTGAGTTGGATCGCCACGAAGTCTCACGATGATGTACAAATGTATGTATGTAGTTAGAAGAGGAGTTATATCCCCATCCAACCAGAAAGTTGAGGGGTGGGTTGAGATTGTGCCTTAGGCCCGTAACTCTCACAATGCCCTGGCAAAATGGATCGCTACCTTTACCTAAGGTAGATATCTTTAAAAGCGGTGAACAACGTACTGGTATAATACCAGCTTGGACACTGGTTTTAATGTAGAGATAAGTTTGACCGAACCCAACCACTTAGGTATACGAAGAAGTATATGCGGGCGAACGGCCGGCCACTTGTATGCATGAGATGATGGGTAAGGTGAGAAGCCCGAATTATGCTGATGATGGATCCTTTCGCTTTGAAACCCGACGTGTGGCACCCAATCAATCAAGGCCCTAGAGAGTACATAGGCTCCTAAAAGGTTGCCGTGCTCAAGGTCAACAAATGATAAGCCGCGGGGTCGGTGTTCTTTTGTATTAAATAACACCGTTTATCCGAATTTGTATCAGGTCCAAAGATGCTGGATTTGGGGGAATCCGATCGGCGAAGCGAATGAACTACCCAGGGCGGCTAGATACCCTAAAAATAATCTAGGTACTACGTAGGTAGTATAACGCGAGAACCGCACGGACAGGTGGTTGAACCAAGTTAGGCTGCAGATAGTCGAAGTGCCAAGCAGATGGATCGCCCTTAAACGGTCTGGGTAAAAGCGAGCATTGGTCTAAAAGATGACGCGACGGGATGGGATGTTCTTGTTCCTAGTCTTTTTAAAAATGTCGGATGCGTGAACTCGGCATAAGCTATCATGACAAATGCATCCCTTGAGCCGGAAACCCCACAATCGGATACAGTTAGGTTTCTCACTCTATATAATTTGTTTTGCGCTCATCATATTTCTGGTCTCAGGATGTGATGTGGTGGTGAGTAAGTGAGACGTGAGGCTAAAGAGCTAAGTACGAAGTGTAACCCGTAAATGGGCACAAGAGTGGTAAGACGGAAGTAGCTCCCTTGTGCGCGTCCCGAAGCGTCGGTGACCAGCAACTTGCCTCAATGGAAAGTTAGGCTTAAGTGATATATCAGATATACTAGTAACTATTCTCGTTTCTCCCTGGTCATTTTCCGCACGAGGGCATCCGTAGGTCCTGCTCGTATTTGTCGGGCCAAAGACACTTCGTTCTTGACAAGGACGCTCAGCCGTGGCGAAGTAGCATCAACCAAAGAGCTGATGGATTTCGTAGGATTTAGATGTTGAGAATATGGATAATTTGTGGGATAATGAGAATGCAGGGCGACGTTGTGGGAAGAGGAGGATGCGACTTGAGACGTCCCAAGCAGGTGGTTCTGGAAACTAAGGGAGCTTAGCTGTCATCCATCAGAACACTTGTGCTTTGGGGGCCACCCCAAACGTTTATTTATGTCCGCGAGATGTCATATGGCCGTGATATGAGTGAGCACTAAATTCGTATATTGTATTGACCGACCTTGTTGGAGCGGCCGGCGCGCAACCTCGGACGAAGAATGACGTACGGCACCGTACGCAACGACCATCAGTTAGCCTCTCTATAACACACAATAAAGATAGACACCACATAAATTAGGTGTTGTTATCTATGCCGATATGTCTAAGGTGGACAATGTCTACTTGTTTTTTGCTCATGCCTTGGATTTCATGATGATCTCGACTATCTTCAGTTATACCTTGATAGCTTGCATCGGATGAGCGACGAAGGTGCATAAGTGGCGACTGCAGCCATAGTTGCAGCGCTTCTATCATGCCTCGTGTAAGTAAAACCGGGACAGACTACGCGCATATTTGCACACACATGTACGCACGCACGCTTATTGCATACCGCGTTTTTCGCCTTTAGTTAGTCTATACCCATAATCATGATGTTTTAGTATTGTATAGGTAGGTTAGATGCTTAATACCCATAAGATAGCTGAAGGACAGATATTGATGGAGGTGTATTTTCTCGAGTATCATCAGCAAGCACTCGACGCATGTCGAAGAATCCGGCCAGGTCTTAGGCAACCCAGCTGGAATGAATGGTCCGGATCGAAAGGGTAAAAAAAAAGAGAGAGGAGCCACCAAGTCATCAGATGTTTAGTTTAATGACCCGGGGACATCGATAAACTAGAAGACCGTTTCAGCCTTTGACCTGGCTGCATCGGTGTGCTGCCACGAGGTCGGTTGAGGTCTCCTCTATCCGCACCTACGAACAGCCATGGTACGATTAAGGAAGCATTGCCATCGAAATTAATCTGAAAGTCGATATCGCGAACCGAGATATCCGATAGATAGGTAGTGTATACACTTCGTTACTACCTCTAAGGTTAGATGCATATTATAAAGTACATAATATATTCTGGTGGGGATTAGATATGTACCTGTAGATATTCATACGGTATACCCACTGTACCTTACCTTAGGTACAATATATGT